AGGTACATAGTCTCCTACAGCCCTCCTCCCAACTGATGAGACCGCTTGAGATCCGCGCTGTCGTTCAACAAGACGGCGATCTGAAATCCCGCAATCCGCTTCGCTTACTCTCGTCGAAGTCGAATGGCTCCTGATCACCCCACATGGCTATCGAGGGAGAGCCTATGCTGTTACCTATTACCTAACGGATCGCCTCAGTAAAATGAAATAAGGATTTGTGGAGCTATGTAGATAGTGCTGTGCCACAGTAGTTTTTAACAGCAATTACAAATCGATGGAAATGGAATGGACCATTATTGATCTGGAGATCCTTTGAAGAAATCTGGCAAGGACTTCCGTCAATGAAATGACAGCGTTGACATAGACGCATGGGACTGTATTTTCTGTATACTGTGTATGTGCGGACCGCGGAGTTACTGCGCTGATCTCCGCAGGGTGATACAGAGAGCCGAGGAGGAGCAAAAAGAAGGAAGCAGACCAGAAGGTCGACGTTACTAGGCAGCTGCGATAGGCCTGATAGTTTTTTTCTTTTGAGTTAATATTCCACAAAAGGGTCGGATGACATTCTACCGAGGAATACATACGTACATACTGTATGTCTATAGGTAGAATATATCGAGAAATTCTCAGAAGAATACAATATAGGCTTACAGCAGCACAATCCGCCAAAATCCAAGCACCTGGTCGTCGGTGCCGTCAGGGTCGATCGATTACCTCACGATGTGTGCATGTCGGAGGAGAGCTTGTTTGAATGGGGCCTGTCAATTGTTTTGCACATCTCGTTCGAAGACCAGGCGTTTGCGTCCCCCTTCGTGGTCAGGTCAGGTCAGGTTAGGATGGCTCATTGGCCAGGGACTGACTGATCGTATAAAATAGGTAGGTAGGTAGCTTCATTACAGAGCAGATTGACCGGTAGCTGGTCACGTTGGAGGGTATCGCAGTACTAGTTAGTGCTCTCGAGAACCGTGGAACAAGCTTCCAACACGCCAGCCTGGTTCATTGCTCCATCCTTCGAGCCTTGCTGGGGATTTCGATTGATCAGCTCAACTGTCCTCCACCCCAATCCCTTTGTAATCATTTATCCTCCTGTCCCATTCTAGGTATGCACCTTTTCTCAACGGTCTTGTCAGTACCAACTCAGGAAGCTATCATGCGAAGATTGGGCAGGATTGATTTCGAAGCAGCAAGTTAGCAACTGGGACAGGCTAACAATACCCCGCATTTTTCCATCTCCAGCTTGTCTCACGCTAACTACAGGACACTAGGACAAGAGTACAGCCTACAGACGTACTGCTGCAGCCACCAGCAGCGAAGTGTCGAAGGATTGAGCCGAGAGCTGGGATGGGCTGACTAGCTAGCTATGTAGCTAGCTAGCTGTCCCCTCTCTGGCCTCGTATCCAGCACTCTCACCAGTCACCAGTCCCTCGTCACCACTGTTCGACGGTCAATGCATCTATCATTTACACTTTCCACCGCTGATGCAATTCTGGATTAAACTCATGGTTTCTTATCGCTTCGGCTGGAATGATGTGACGACGAAACTGGTACTTCCAATTCCCTACTCCAGACTCAACTAGCTCCTGACTACTGTTTCACAAGCATACATTTTAGACGTTCTAATGGCTTTTCAGGGCCCCCTTGCGTCGACGACCATGGACAACATCCAGCCCGTGGTGATCATCCAGACTCCAGAGGGGCAGAGACCGAGCAAGCCAAGCCCGAGATGATAATAATAATAATACTAATGTACATGGCATTATTATTATCTGACAAGCATAACTTCGATATTTTCTCCCTCCAGCCTTTTTTTCAGGTCCTCAAAAGAAACGAAATGCAGGGATGATCCGTTAGTGTGACTGTGATGCCTAAGGAACAAGCTAACGGAGCGACTTTCCCCCTCTTCGTCTCAATGATGCGAGACATGCATTGCTACACCAATCGTGCATCACGCCGTCCTTGGGGACTTGGCCAGCGCACGAAAATCTCCGACTTGCATGGGGTTTCACTTAATCCACGCACCCGTCGCAGTCGGGTAGAATCAGGACCCATCAGGGATTATGGTGATGGGTAAGGGTTACGGTTGCAACCGGGCCCATCAAAACGGCGAGACCATACTCCTTCAGGAATCTCTAATCCTGCCCTTTCCAGTTTCTTGATGGCAAATTGTCGGTGAGGCGTTTGGAATGGGATAAGCGAGACCGCAATTATTTATGGACATTGCAACGTCCGTACCTAGTCGATAGTAAGGTACTGACTACTGACTACTATCTATTTAGTAGTACCTACTACCTAGTACACTCTCGCTGACTGGAAGGAAGTCTTTGGTCTCATCATCCCCCCTTGCAGGCATTGGTTGCTCTTGTAGCCTCACCCCGGAGTCTCTACTCCGTCTGGATTAGTGTTCCCGGTTTTCCTTCTCGAAATTGAAGACACACGAACGGTTGAAGCACTTGGATCGTCTGGATCGACTGGATCGACTGGATAGATAGCCAACCTGAGGCTGATAATCTACTTCAGCCAGGTTGGTCACGTCCACAAGTTCACAAACGCCACATGGGATTAATGTGTCTGACATCCACTCCTTTGCCGCATCAGGAGTATCTGGTCTCCAATAGACATGAATTCTGATTTTCCGATCTGTTGGTGGCTGGAAAAAAGAGTCGCTAGTAACTATGATGGACATTGTGGTTCGATGAGTAGTTAACTACCCAGCATATCGTGGATGCGTGGGGTTTTTCGTTTCCCTCGCACAAGTCGATGCTGCCAACGAAGAAGGATTGAGGTTGCTTCGCTTCCACTCTGTCGGATCCTCCAAAGAGCCACCTGGTGCCTTCTAGCCGCTGCATCGACTCTATCTAACTCCCTTCTCATTCATGCTCCGTGTCCAGGATGGATTGTGGACGAAGGCGCTGATTATGTGTATTGTGGGTATCGAACTGGATCAGCGTGCATTCCCATCTCTTTCTCCCCATTGTGTAGGTTCTGGCTGGTTGCCTCTTCAGGCGTTCATTGTTCCGAACTCCGGTTCATTAAGGGATACTTGGATCGGATACTGCTCCCATGATTCCGATATCCTGGACAAGTGAGACAACCAGAAGATCCAGATTCCAGACATCTGTTCGGACTCGGAAGGATTTGGCCGGATGCCTTGGTCGTCGCCATCCCGTCCAGACTCCAGAGCGACACAGAGCCCCGCCTCCCGTCAGCAACGCCCTCCCGTTCTGATTTGATGCGTTGCTGTTTCTTCTAAGGTTTGATGTTTATTGACCGTCTTGCCACGAGAGGAAAAAAGACACGATCCCTCCCGTACAGAGAGGCTTGGTATTCTGCGGACTGGTACGGGGATAATTTCCTTTGCAAGGATTGCTTGAATTGACTGGCGCCGTGAAAAATATGTAGAGGAACATGATATCATCCAGCTTTGGCTCTAAACTAGTGCAAGACTACAAGCCCTTTCAGCAGGCGATGGGATGTCGGTTATTGACTATCGACTGATTCCTTTCGTTCTATTTTCATCCCTCATCCATCCCTCTTTCTTCGCCTATTTACCCGTTGGATGGAGACGCCACCACACTGGGCTGACTGATTGATGAAAATTCCGAACCTGATGCATGCAGGTTCTACCTAAGCGATGTCACCCTGACCATATTATTTGCTTGAACTGCATCGCGGTCGTTGCTTGCTTCCTTCAGGGGCATCTGGCCACCCTTCTCACCTGACCAGGAACAACCTCGGCTGAAGTCAAAAGAGGGAATACGATCGCTTCAAAGCTTTCGGTCCACGATTGTCTTGTCTCTGAAGGGAGAACATCCTGATTCCCATCATCCGACGGCCGCTCAACTGCTGCTGCAATGCTTCCCATGTAACTCGACTTGGCGCATCCGCCCAATGGCCGCATATAATCGCGCACCTCATCTTCCTGGGTAATTGACATGGGTATACTTAGATAGGTTTCCCTTTGTTTGCACCCCAAAACAATAAAAAAAAATAAAAATAAAAAACAAATAAAAAAGAATATCGAAGACGAAAAAGAAAAAGAAATAGAAAAAAAAAACAAAAAAATCTGTTCTCAAGTTACCGCCTCTTTAACCTCACCGAATCCCCTTGACCAGGATCCCCATCCTTGCGCATGAATGTGATTCACGCACCATTTTGCTGGTTCTAAGGGCCACTGAGATCACAAGTGTTCTGCTTCCATCAGTATACCTCCCATTGAACCTAACGTCCTCTCCATTCTACTTTGGGCGATACCGCGCATCTGCGATGTGTAGCAAATTCTGGTTGGTTCTTGCTTATATTGAGGCTGGCATAATACGAGAGTCGATGCGTCTGCGATCGAGTGTTCCCCTCGACCTGTCCGGATAATTATCATTGCCCTTATGCTTACCTCGGACGTTTGGAAGAGGCATGCTTAGGCGACCAGCATGGTTCTTTTTTTGACCAATTGGTGCAGTCAATGCTGGTTGGGATGATGCGCCGTGGCTGCATTTCCCTGCTTCGATTTCCCCGTGATGCGCTGGAAAGTGAGGGCGTAAGTCGAACAGGGAACGGAAAAGAAGAGCAGGAGAACCTGTCATTATATTAGACTTGTTCACCTGACAGATGGTCTACTGGCTGCCACCGTTTGGACTGTCCAGGTAAGACGTAGCCGGGTGCCAGGGCAGCCGGAGCTTCCCTTCAAGGTCGAGCTCACAGTAGTGGACCGCGAATCTCAAAGACTATCTGTCTCTTAGATGTCGGTCAGGTATCCATGTCCATAAACCAATTTGATCAATAATGTTGCCAACCATGTCGGTTGTTCACTTGGAGAAGTCATGGAACAGTCACAGACCCCATAATGGAGATCGGCATCACATGATCTCGCTAGCAAGTTTAAGTTATCGGAGTTATCAGTCGAGTCAGTCTATCTAACAGTATCAACCACGACCGCTTAGTTCCGCACAGCAGTCAATTGACGTCTAGCTTCAAAGTCAAAAGTCGCACTTGGACGATCAGATCTCATGACAGAAGAGGGGGCCTCGAACGCCCTGCCAGACAGTGTCTTCGTTCTGGTCACCGGCGCCAACAGGTACGGTGTCCCCCCCCCCCCCCCCTCCCCCTTCTGCGTCGGTGATCCTTTTTGCGTGCCACCCCTTATCCATTACCAGAAGTTCTTCAATTCCTGACTCTTTATTCCCCTCGTTGGTTGCAATTTTTCTCTTTACAGTGGCCTTGGTTTTTCAATATGCTGTCGTCTGGTCGATGACTTCTTAAAAGCGCACCAAAATTCCAACCAGTCCCTGACCATCATCTTCACCACGCGGAGCACCAAGAAGGGGAATGACACGCTCCTCCGCCTGCAGGACCACCTTCGCACGTCGTCGCCGTCATCTTCGAATGCCACAGCGGCTGCACGCGTCACCTTCATCCCCGAGAATGTCGACCTGTCGAACCTCGTCTCCGTCCGGGCTCTCTCCCGCCGCCTGAACCAGACCCTCCCCAAGCTCGACGCGATCGTGCTCAACGCCGGTCTCGGCGGATGGACAGGCATCCACTGGCCCAAAGCCATCTGGGGTGTCCTCACCGACCTCGTCCACGAAGTCTCCTGGCCGTCCTTCAAGCTCGCCCCGGCAGGCATGGTGACAGACCCGCAGACCAGCCTCGGCGCCGCGGAACCCCGTCTCGGAGCCGTCTTCTGCGCCAACGTCTTCGGCCACTACATGCTGGCGCACAATGTGATGCCGCTGCTGCAGCGGTCTGGCCGGCCCAATGGGCCCGGGCGCGTGATCTGGGTGTCCAGCCTTGAGGCGTCGGCGAACCTCTTTGACATCGACGATCTCCAGGGCCTCCGCACCCTCGCCCCCTACGAGTCCTCTAAGGCGCTCACCGACATCCTCGCCCTAACCTCCAACCTCCCCAGCACCGCCCCCTGGGTCCGCAGCTTCTACTCGACCGACGACATCGACAACGACAGCAACGATAAAACCCAACATCTGCAGCCACCAAACACATACCTCACACACCCAGGCATCTGCGGCACAGGCATCCTTCCGCTCTCCTGGCCGCTTTTCTACGCCATGCTCTGCGCCTTCTGGCTCGCCCGCCTCCTCGGCTCTCCCTGGCACACCGTCTCCACCTACATGGGCGCCTGCGCCCCCGTCTGGCTGGCGCTCGCCGCCCAGTCCGACCTCGACGCCGCCGAGGCGCCGTACCTGCGCAACGCCGGCGGTAGGGCAAAATGGGGCTCCTCGTGCTCGTGGTCCGGCCGCGACGCGCCCGCCTCCACCGAGGTCGACGGGTGGGGGTACGGCGGCGTGGTTGGCCCCGCCGTCGTAGCCGGCGACCGGTCGCGGCGCCGGAAGCGCGGTGCCGCGGATCTTACGGTCGAGGAGAAGGAGCGGTTCGAGGAGCTCGGGCGCAAGTGCTGGCAGCACATGGAGGAGTTGAGGGTGCAGTGGGATCAACTCCTGGACCAGGCTGAGGCGCAGGCTGCCACTGCGCCCAAGGCCAAGGCCTGAGTCGAATGGTGAGTCGATCATGAATTAACCGTGTGGGGGTGGGGATATAATCGTTTCTATGTCTCTGGGGGTTTATTTCAACATCTTTGTACTTCTACTTATCATTTCCGTCCTTGTACCCTTTCTAATGTATAATAAGATATCCCCAAGCTACTCCACGATCATCCTACACAGCTTAATGTATATAGCGGGAGAGTCTCGTAGCGATTACCATTGCTTTTTTCTTCAATTAGTTAGTCCTGACTCCCAATATTTACATTGCAAGGCAAACCGCCCTCCCCCCCATGTCCGCATTTTATCATTAAATCAGATGTAGTATTATTCCCGGATGCCCCACCAACCCCCCAAGAAAGCACAAGCGGAGCAACGAAGACACAATCAACAGAAGAAGAGAAACGGTCCACCAAAAAAGAGAAGAAAAAAAAAACGGGATTAGGGACACGATAAGGGGACAGCGTCGAGCTGGAAGAACAAGGGCAAGAAGAGATAAGGGGTCGTGGGCCGCGGCGGTTGTTGAGGAAGCCGAGTTTGGCAGCTGGCTGACGATGGGATAAAGCGGGGGGTCAATAGAAGACGTAGCCAAAAGAAAAAAAGAATAATAAATGACTTAAACGGCTCGAGAGAGAGATTAAGAGAGAGCCCAACTCAGAAGCACCACTCCGACCATCAAGGCTTTGCGAGTGCTGAGATGCGGGACGAGATGGAAACGGCGAAGATGAAAAGGGTTGAAGGTTATGCGCGAGGCAAGGAGGAACTGTTGTGGGAGTGGTGGAGTAAAGGCAGAATTGAAGAGATAATGACACAACGACGACTCCGGTTATATGCATCTGGGTGATTGAGAGGTAGGTAGGATCAATTTAGATCGAGGTAATTCGGGACATGTCGGCATTAGAAGGAGCGAAATCACATGATGATGGCAGGAACTGCGCGATGAGATCGACCAGTTAGTTCTTGTTGCGACAAGGTGCGCGGAGGGGAGGGAAGAAAATGAACTTACCATCAACGTTCTGCTTGATGCTCTTGTGGGGCAGGATGGAGCCACCGTTGACATAGACTTCGTCCGCAATGGTGACATCGTCACCCAGCACGGTGACATTTTCCAGACGCGCCCACTTGCCGACAGAGCTGTTCCATCCGACAATGGTGGACTTGATCCAGGCGTGGTCCTTGATCTTGCTGTTTTCGAGGACGACGCACCGCTGCAGACGGACACCATCGCCGACCACAACGTTGGGGCCGATGACTACATTGGGGCCGATGCGGCAGTTCTTGCCAATCTTGGCGGAGGGATCGACCATCACGTTGCCGCCATGGACGTAAGGCTCACTGTTGGGGGCGAGCAGCTTGGAGTTACGCTTGGCCAGCGAGGTGAGGTAGAGGCATGTGCCAGTGAGGAAGTCCTTGGGCTGTCCCACGTCCATCCAGAATCCCTCCAGGTCGTAGGAGTGAAGCTGACCGTCACCGCAGATGGCGGGGAAAGTCTCCTGTTCGATGGAGGTGGGGCGCAGGTCGATGCGCTTGAGCACGCTGGGGTTGAGGATGTAGATACCGGCGTTAATACGGTTGCCAACGAACTCGACTGGCTTTTCGACAAAGCGATCGATGCGGGAGGGGTGGTTGGGCTTGTGCACGACGACACCATATTTGGACGGCTCGTCGACCTTGGTCACGACAATGGTACCCTCGTCGCCATGCTTCTTGTGGAACTCGGCGAGCTGCTTGAAGGGGTAGTCGCAGATGATATCGGAGTTGAGGACGAAGAACGGAGAGTCGTCTTTGCCGAGAATCTTTTCGGCAAGCTTCAGGGGGCCGGCGGTGCCCAGGGGTTCCGATTCGACGGAGAACTCGATTCTGACGTTGTATTGTTCCTCATACTGGGGGTTGCGACATTTCAAATTAGCTCCAGGGATCGGCGTAATCGAGACAAGGCGCGTGATACCTTCTTGAGGGCCGCGACCATAACATCGGGGCGGTAGTTGACGGCCAGAACGATATCCGTGACACCCGCAGCAGCCAGACTCTCGACCTGGTGCAGGATCATAGGACGGTTCCCGAATTCCACCAGGGGCTTGGGGAGAGTGAGAGTCTGCACGGAGAGACAAAAGTATTAGCATCAATGCGCGTAGACATAGTCAGAACGATCTCAATTGGTATGAAAGGAGACAACCAGCTTCAATTGCGGGGGGGGGGGAGATGGGCTTACCAAAGGACGCAAACGGGTACCGAACCCTCCAACAAGAATGAGAGCTAAAGTAGAGGTCAAGAGTCAGACATGGCGCATTGAGAATGGAATGCACGTTGAGGATGAAGAATGCATACCCTTCATGGTTGATTAGGAATAGATAGAATGGAAGGAAGATAGAGAGAGAGAGAGAGAAGGATTCAAGGAGAAGTAGATAGGGAAGAAAAAGGATGTCAGGAGAAAGATTGAAGACGAGGGGCTGCGAGGGGGAAAAAGAGAGAGAGAGAGAGAAAAGGAGGTCCACAGGCAACGAGGGTGAGAAGGGGCAGTCAAATCAGCGATGATTTGCGACCAGAATTTCACCACTCTTTTGATTCCGGAGTAGAGAATTGATGTGCAATTGACAGAGAATTAAAAAGTGTTCAAAGAGAGGAAGAAATGAAGAAGAAGAAGAAGTAGAAGTAGAAAAGATGGGAAATAATAATAATAATAATAATAATAATAATAATAATAATAATAATAATACTGAACACCTGGCGTTGTTTCTGCTGTAATTACTTGAACTTCCAACTGGTGGTACTGCTACGTACTAACACCATCCTGAGTGGTGGTCAACAATATGGAACCACTATGGAACAGTACCTCGATGGTACCTGGTGATTGGACGGTTTCTCCTCTGTCATTATTGTCAGGCTACCGTACCTTTTCCTTTTTCCTCTTTCTTTTCTTTTTCTCTTAATTTCAGTTTAAATGAGAAAAGAAATGATACTTCAATCCAGAAACCACTGAGAAGTGCACGTTTGCAGCTCCCCAACGCCACAGGCCGGCAATCCCCATATTTCCTCTTTGGTCAACCCCCCCGTTGAGGCCGAGAACTTTTGCCGCGAGAGAACTATCTCTCTACTCTATAGTTGCAATGTGCATTCTGTGCAGTTACAGCATAGATATCAGATACTACTAGTCTATACAGGAGACATCTAGTCCGTCCGTCCAGTTGAGGCAGGGAATAACTACAGACTTCTGTACACTCTTGGTCAGGTGCTGGTGGGGCTCAACGCCCCTTGATCTTATCGACTGTATTTTAAATAGTGCAGCAGGACTGCAGACTGCAGCCAGTGTCTTCTGATCTCTGTCTCTCACTCAGCTGTCGGAATCAAGGAGAGTCGTGCGGAGTACGGAGTACAGAGTACAGAGGATAGATACTGGACGAGAAATGTCGCCGCATCGGGGAAAGTACCTGGGAGAACCTATACTCCGTAAGTACAGTAACCTGATGGCATCGGATGCCCCTGAGTTAGGTTTGTTCACTTCCCGATATCGTTGGGTTGCACTCAATTCCTGCCTCTCATTCGATAGAAGAGCTAGTTGGCTCTAGTAACACTACCCCCCCCCCCCGGACTAACTCTTGAGAATTGATCATAAGGTCCATGGCATGAATGATAAGGTCCATGGCATGAATGAGCATCTTTGATTTAAATCGCCACCACTCTCCATGGGGGACAGGTGAAACTCTGAAACTCTGAAACTTTGAGCCATGTCTAGCAATCATCCAATGCATAGAGAAATAGAGATCCCCCAGGAAGAGGGACCAGAGCATGGCATCCAATGAAGATGATAATGTGTCTAATAATAACTGCCCCATTCATTCCTGCGTGTCGGGGGGCAATAATAATAATGCCGGCTGCCCACGTTTCTCAAAGGAATCATGCTCACCGCCTACTCGATCCGGTGCAGTATCCACAAAGCGCCGGATCCACTCACGTACCTTCCGTACCTTCAGCAAAAGAGGATCCTCGGACTGGGCTTCATCGCCTGCGAGATGATGAAGCCGCCTGGCGCTGTAGAAGCCTCCTGCATCCGTTGCGTCGACCCGCTGTCGATGCAACAGCTCGACGGTCGTAACCCCCCGTCGCAGACTCTGGCCATACACCCGTTCTCGGAAGGAGCTCAATCCCACCGTTCGGAGGAGTACAATGTCGCGAGGCCGAAGACTGGACAATGTCTTTCGAAGCTCTTGCGCGTCACTGTCATATTGGTGATTGGCGGGCGCCTCGTCCGCCGGGTTGAGCCAGAAGGTGACCCCAAACCCAGTTTTGGTCTCATCCCCAACTACCACCTCGACGAGATCCAATTCTCTCTTCCATTGCCGAGTCACAATGCGGCGTGGAGGGTGAACCACAATGATACCGACAACAAGGTTCATCGTCATCGTTTGAGGTATAATCGACTGTAAGTATGTGGCGCTGGGGATATCTCCCAGGTCACTAATACCACCTGCGATGGATACAGATCCTAAGGCCGGTGTCCCCCTATCGCTGGGCGTTGCCGACGAGGTGCCTGTACTGTCAGCCCATGAGCCACTCTCCAGCACGGACATGGTCGCATGCAACCCAGTGGTAGATATTTCGGATGTCTCGTAAACCGCAAAGGAATGATCGTAAAATCGAGAGATCGCTGACTTTTCGGATGCCACATTCAATGCGGCATCTGCGAGAGTGAGATCCTGAGTCGTGAAGAACAGAGCATCTCCGTTTGACCCAAGAGAAAACTGGTGATGATTCCGCGCCGGTGCTGTAACATCCTGCAGCAGCATCCATTTCACAGCTTCACCATTCGAGACTGCCCTCGTTCCTTGCTCTGGGGTAGTCGGGTCTGAAAATGGATATATAGGTCTGTCGAGCAATTCATCCTCATCCCAGCGAAGGCTGTGCGATGTGGGGGCTCCGACAAGGAAGATGAATTTCCTGGACATTGTGGGAGTATTGTGAAGGAGGCCTTGTAGCCCACTGTCACGCCAAATCAGATTATTCTGCTCTAAGTATATATAGAATAGCAGAAACATCCCACACAAACTGCTGCTATATCTCTGAATGCTGGTCCCTCAAGGGGACGAAGCAGGATAATATGTCTAGCAACAATAATCCATCATCCAAACAAGGGACAAGTTCGCAATTCAATCGTTCCAAAACCCTCTGACAGGTCAGACCACAAGTGGTGGAGGATCGACCGTTTCCTGTGATGTACCTGGGGTATAGGGGCATGTGAACAGCCTGTCAACGACAAGCAGAGCGGAAGATCCCTCAAGCCCGAAGTCTCACAGCATGAGATTGATCGATTAGATGCGAGTGCGAAAAGCTTATTCCTTATTTCATGCCGAGAGACGCGGAGTTTTGGATAGAATCAAACAGAAAGATGGTAGAAGGTAGGAAGATCAAGAGCGCTGACTATGTATATACATTCACGTGACCCGGGGCGAACTACGGCAGGCCGTCCAGACCGGAGTGGCAACGTCTACGCGAAATTCGCCGCCGCATCCTTGGCCGACTGCGGAGTATAACCAGTCATCCCCCCATCTTCACCTGCATTCGCCATTCTATTCAAAGTCAATTGGCGATGGCTTCTTCTCTAACGCAAGACTAAAATCTCATCTATCTTGACTCTCCAGTCCTATCTTCTTTGTGTTGTCGATATCAACTGCTGCGGCCGAGTGCCGCTCACTCTCCGGACAACTATGGCTTTCCAAGTTCCGGTCTCAGGACCTGTAAGGACAAGCCCCATTTCTACTTAGGCTTGCAGTGGTGCTGATCATGGATTTTCACTTGCTCATAGAATATTGTGACCGCCACGTCGGATCTCTTACCTTCGATGTCGAGGCTATTGAATGCGCCTTGGACTAGCTTCGACCGCTCCGTCGCTCAGCGACCCGCTCAGCGCACGCGTAACGGCGTGGAATCAAATGTAAGCCCTCCGGAGGCTTGGATATCTTTGGGCCAAGCACAGCTAACAATAACTAGATAACCGGTCGGGTTCCGCTGCCTGAATGTCTTGATACGGTTTCTCTTGAGGCTTTAAGATCGGGTGCTATGCAACGACCTTTGCAACATGGGCTGTCCCGGGCTCTCTCAAGGGGTGAGTTTGCATCTCCTGCTATTTAAAGACGTCGAATGCTGATTTTGTGTTGGGAAGATGCGCTCCGGACTTCCCCAGGTATCGCCCGCCTTTATCATACATCCTCCTTTGCACGACCCTATTCTACTCTACCCTCAATCCTGAGTCGACTCCGCCAGGCTCCGAAACCTGACGGTCTGTCAAAGTTTCAACAACAGCGGTTTTTGTTCGGAGGGTCCTCTCATAACCTGCTGGCACAGAAGGAGAAGACTGCGAACACCAACCCAAGCAGTGCCAGCGCACAGAATGCTTTTTACCAGTCTCTGCTCAGAGCCAATATGCCTGCCATCATCGTTGAAAGATACCGAAGCGGTCATTTCGCTAGCAACGCGTTGTCCGAGGCAATCTACTTGAAGGCGCTGCAGCGCGTCGGTGGTGCTGATTCCGCCGCGGCGGCACACATCTCAGGCGGAAACGACAACCTCAACACCGAACAATTGCGGGCCATCGGTCAGGCAGTTGCAGCTCGAAACCACGGCAGTCAGGTCGGATTGTCGACGAAGCACACCGGCACTGGAGCCAAGGAGGCTCCTCTGTATGTCGTCGTCGAAGAGTCTCTTGGTTCCGCCGTCTTCCGCTGGGTCAAGTTCTTGTTTTACTTCGGCTTTTTCACATATATCTCTCTCGTCCTGATTACTATCCTCGTCGAAACCACTGGCGTCTTGAAGAACATGAAGGGAACTCAGAGCAACGAGGCTCAGCCCCAGCAGCAGACCGTCCGTTTCTCCGATGTGCACGGATGCGACGAGGCCAAAGAAGAACTCCAGGAACTCGTTGAATTTCTGCAGAATCCCGACCGTTTCTCCTCTCTTGGTGGCAAATTGCCTAAGGGTGTGCTTCTCGTTGGACCTCCTGGTACCGGAAAGACATTGCTCGCTCGTGCCGTTGCAGGAGAAGCTGGTGTTCCTTTCTTCTACATGTCTGGCTCGGAATTCGATGAAGTCTATGTGGGCGTTGGCGCCAAGCGTGTCCGTGAGCTCTTTTCGCAGGCCCGAGGCAAGGCACCCGCCATCATCTTCATTGACGAGTTGGACGCCATTGGTGCTAAGCGGAATGAACGGGACGCGGCCTATGTGAAACAGACGCTGAACCAGCTGCTGACGGAACTGGACGGATTCTCCCAGACCAGCGGGGTCATCATCATCGCTGCTACTAATTTTCCTCAGCTGCTGGACAAGGCTCTGACACGACCCGGTAGATTCGACCGCAAGGTGACCGTTGGTCTTCCTGACGTTCGTGGACGGATGGATATCCTGAAGCACCACATGAAGAATATTCAGATGAGCACCGATGTGGATATTGCAGTTCTTGCACGGGGTACGCCCGGGTTCTCCGGTGCCGATCTTGAGAACCTTGTCAACCAGGCTGCCATCTACGCCAGCAGACACAAGAAGACCAAGGTCGGACCCAGGGACCTTGATTGGGCTAAGGACAAGATCATGATGGGCGCGGAAGCTCGTAGCCGTGTCATCCAGGACAAGGACAAGGTTCTGACCGCCTATCATGAGGCTGGTCACGCCCTCGTTGCTTATTTCTCCCCAAGCTCCACTCCTCTGTACAAGATTACGATTGTGCCCAGAGGAATGGCGCTGGGTATCACGCACTTCTTGCCCGAGATGGATATGGTTTCCCGGAATTACACAGAGTATCTGGCTGATATCGATGTTTCGATGGGTGGAAAGGCAGCTGAGGAGCTTATTTTTGGCCCTGAAAAGGTGACGAGCGGTATCTCAGCGGTAAGTTTGTGCGTTTGTAACAGGTCGATCATAAAGCGTACTAAATGTTATGCAGGATATCCAACAAGCCACCGAGACTGCTTTCACCCTTGTCACACGCTTCGGCTACTCGAAGAAGCTCGGCAATGTCGACCTGTCGTCCAACTACGACAGCCTGTCGTCGGAGACCAAGCAGGAAATCGAAAGCGAAGTGCGCCGCCTGGTCGAGGAGGCGCGCATGCGTGCCACCAAGATCCTCACCGAACGCCGACACGAACTGGAGCTCCTCTCCAAGGCCCTGATCGAGTACGAGACCCTGACGAAGGAGGAGATGGAGAAGGTCCTTAGGGGTGAGAAGCTGGACAAGATGGAATCCACGCCCTCGGCTCCGCTCAAGCTTCCCGATGCTCTGCAGGGGGCTACGCTGAACCACCCTGCCACCAAGGCCTCGGAGCCCACGGCGGCGGCCGAGTAATCGATCTTCTCAGTCCATCATGAATACTCCTATTCGAAATCCTTCCCATCCTTGAGCCTCTCTCTCTCAATACCTTCTGAACTCCTCTCCTCTCTACTCTACTCTTACTCTCAGGGTCTTGAAAGACCCATGCAATCCATTCCAAATCAAATTCTAAATCGAACTCCATCCGTCCTATTCCTTTTCATTTCTGTACTGTACTTTTGTTCCCCCTCGCCTTTTTTTTTTTTTTTTTCTCTTTCAATCTTTCGGTTTCTCCTGGTTCTGGTTTCTGTTCGTCTGTCCTCATATGCCTTGAATAGATATTGAACCGGACTCCCGAAGCAAACTCTTGCATTTTTGCACATGGGGAGCGACAAATTGCGCACTCAACAAACTGTACTGTACTGTACTGTACTGTATTGTATTGTACATATATGCATGCATACTATCCATTTTTCATAGGTGCTGGTAGCTGGTATTTAAGTTCAAATGAAAAGTGATACTACTACTGCGTCAATCACCTTTTGTACTTTTGAGTGACTTTCGGGGGAAGATATCGTCCGTCGACAATTGTATGCTTGGGCAGATGAGAATCCATGTATGGAGGATGTGATATATATGTGTGTATGTGTCTCTGGATATAAACCCATAGCAACCTCATATCGACCAGAATTCAAAGTATTAAATACGATCTACAGATGAAAAAGAATTGCGATCCTATCTATGTGTAATTTATATGCGGAGCTTAGATACAAGGGGGGGTATATATATACCTGATGATGGGTGATGATGACAATGGATGAGGATGATGGGGGTATCCAAGAAGAACCTAGAACCTCCAGAGACCGAACAGAAAGGAAAGATCAAAAGATCAAAACTAGAGAAGCCGGAACAGAACCCCCAGCCAACCCGTGTGCCCCAAGACGGAAGGAAATGAAATGAAACGAGTTACAGGACAGGGAGAGAAGAAGGTAAAAAAAAAAAACAAAAAAAAACAAAACGCTCAATCGCAAGCACGTCGCACAGATTTCTTTCTTTATATATTCATTTTTTTTTTCTTTTTGTCACAGATCAATCCTGGGGTCCCTCGGATACGATCTCGCTTGCATCCAGCCAGCCGCGAGACATCTCGACGGCCTTGGACCATTGCTTGTACATGCGGCCGCTCTGTAAGGGGGAGATGCGTGGCGTGAAGGTCGTGCGGTTGGCGCGGTTCATGTTCTTGAGTTCGCTGAATTCCTTCCACACGTCGATGGCAAAGCCCGCAGCGATGGCGGCGCCCAGCGCAGTGGTCTCGTGCATGGCGGGGCGTTCGACGGGGATTTGGATAATGTCGGCTTGGGTCTGGCGATTTTCGTTAGAAGGGGGTTTCTTTCTGATCTGGGGATTGAAGATCGAAAATACATACCTGCATGCAAATGTCGGAATTGCTCATGCCGCCGTCGACAGCGAGTTCGGACAGTTTGTGGCCGCTGTCCATGGCCATGGCGTCGAGGATCGCCTTGGTCTGGAAGCAGGCAGCTTCCATGGTTGCGCGGGCAATGTGACCGCGTTGTGTGTGTTGTGTGATGCCGACTTGGTGACGCTGTTAGTGCTGATACTTGGTGTGAAAAGAATCGATATCGCAGAGGAAACAAACTTACAGATGGTTCCCTTGGCATCATCAATCCAGTAGGGAGCAAACAGACCGCTGAAAGCCGTAACGAACACACAGCCACCGCTGTCGGGAACCGTCGCTGCCAGGTCACTGACCTTTCGAGAATCACGGAAAAAGCCCAGATTGTTCATCAGGAAGGAGATACCGCTACCGGCAACCGCCACGCTACCTTCCAAGGCATAGACGGGTTTGCGATCCTTGCCTAATTGGAAGCCCACCGTGGCCAGCAGGCCGTGTTTGGAGATGACAGGCTTTTCGCCTACGTTGTAGAGCAAAAAGCACCCCGTGCCGTAGGTATTCTTCGCCGATCCGGGGGTGAAGGCGCAGTGGCCCACCAACGCTGCCGACTGGTCTCCCAGACAGCTGGTGATGGGAACACCCGCCAGCGGGCCGAAACGGACAGTGCCGTAGCCATCAGGATCCGACGACGGAAGAATCTTGGGCAGTCGGATCTTCTTCTTGTCCAGGTGGAAGAAGTCCAACAGGGTGTCGTCGTAGTCCAGCGTTTCCAGGTTCATGAACATGGTTCGGGAAGCATTGGTGACATCGGTGACATGGCGTTCACCTTCGGGCCCGCCGTTAAGGTTGTAGATCAGCCATGAATCCACGGTGCCAAAGCAGAGTCGTCCCTCGTCATAAGCCTGCTTGACTCGGGGACTGTGGCGCAGGAGCCATACTAATGAGACGGAAGAGGGGTATGTGGAGAGGGGTAGACCGCAAATGCCCGCAACCTTATCCGCGCCGTCTTGTTCTTTGAGCTCGCGAACGAGATTCTTGGTCCGGGTGTCGGGCCAGGCGATGGCATTGTGTAACGGCTCACCGGTTTCGGAATCCCAGCAGAGGGCTGTTTCTCGCTGACTGGTGATGCCGATCGCTTCGATTTCGGATTTGCTGTGACCGAGGGCGAGGAAGGTCTTCATGGCTTCTTCGATGCAGGTATAGACGGAATCCACCAGCTCGAGGGGATCTTGTTCGTGCCATCTGGAATGCAAGGAAACCCGCGAGAGTTAGTTTTATGGGAAAGAAAAGAGAAAAGAGAGCTGGTTCCCGAGACGTACCCTGAATACTCGTGGATCTGACGGAATTCGGTCTGATATTTGGCGACGGGGACGCCTGTGCAGTCGAAGATGATGAAGCGTGAACTTGTAGTTCCTTGATCAATGGCTCCGATGAAACGGTCTTTTAGATTGTCGCCTCGACGGCTTTCGTTTTGAAGAAGTGAGCGCTCGCCGTCGTACGATTGATAGGCGGAGAGATTTGCATGGCTGTGTGCGTCATGAGCGTGGTGCTCTTCGACGAGGTGATCCAGGTCGGTCATATCGAAAGGGTTCCTCATTGTGACAATGGGGAAGGGGTATGTGTATATGTATAGAAAATCAATGCGAATATATAGAAAGGCGAAACTCCTCTCTCTCTCTGTGTGTGTCTCTCTCTCTCGCTCTGCTCTGGAGTGGCCGATTGGCAGACGACTAGCGAGCTCGATGCAAGAGAAGGTATGGAAGGGGGACTGGTGGGAAGAATTTACAATCCCTAATCAGGTCTGACTCTGGTGTATAAGACAGCAGGAAGCCAAGTATAATAAGGAAGTCGAGTAATTGCGAAAACTTGTGTGTAAGTTGTGGTGGGAGTAGTAGTAGAAAGAAGAGTAGTAGTAGTGATAGGTGATAGTAGTAGTAGTAGTAGTAGTAGTAGTAGTAGTAGGTTCAATCTACAAATGAGGAGAGGTGGCGGTCCGGTTGACAACGCGGGGGCGAGTCCAAAGTAAGTAAGTAAGTAAGTAAGGAAGGAAGGGAGTAAGTAAGGAAGTCGAGGAAGTCGTAAGTCGGGTAAGAAAAGTGACTTTTTGGATACTCTTCAACCGACAAGCAAGCAAGTAGGCCCAATTGGTGACGTATAGGTGACTCTCCGGGAGAAGGACAAGACGTGGATATCTGGATGATCGGAGGATTTTCGGTGGGGAGGTCGTAGATAAGTGGGTGGTAGGAATTAGTTAGTCGAAGTCGAAGGCGAACAACTTGATGGTTTAGGATGCTGGATTATAATTGGAGGGAAAGGGGGGTGTTGAATAGAGACAGCGAAAAATAGCAGAGACGCCAGTTTGTTGATGGGGGAGTTTGGTAAAAGGTAGAGAGTAAAAGAGATCCGGTTTGGGTTCTGGATGGAGAAGTGTGGAAATGATATCACCGGTTGGGTAATGAATGGGTGTGGTTTATTCGGGGTGTAGAGGAAAGAAGGAAGTCGAAGTTGGAGTAGTAGTTAGTAGTTAGTGGTAAAGAAGAAAAAAGAAGAGGAAGAAGGATCAAGCCGAGAGGGAAAAGAAGAGTCAATTGTCTTGAACAACCGGGACGAGGGGGCACTCTTTATCCCAAAGGGTGGATCGTGATTGTGATAGAACTACGGAGTACGGAGTACTACACTCTACACTCTACCTATCTATACTGGCGCGTGATTCCCAGCTGTCTGTCTGTCTGTCTCTCTCTCTCTGAGTCTATTATTTCTACAGTCTGGAGGAGAGAGAAAGAGAAGAATGTCCCGTCGGTTTGTCCATGGCGGAGAAAAAAGTGGGGGACCATTTCTCAGTACATTCTTTTATTATATTTTTATTTTTTTTTCCTGATCAGTTGACTTGACCAGTGGGACTTGTATTCCCATTCTAACATTGATATTCCTCCCCAAAATAATTCAATTCGGGTGTTCGTCTATCATTCCCCTTACTGATGATTTCCAATTGCCATCTCACAGGATAACTCGCCAGTCTACCAGTACCTATTGAAGCGAATATCGTTTCCTTATCGATTTTGACTCGGGGTCATCTGATCTCGTACAGCGTCTTCCAGAACTATTGAAGAATGTCTTCTTTTCTGTTCATGTCTGGCTCCTGGTCAGAATCCGGCAAGCTATCCGACATGATATTATTACTCTTCCATTCCCTCCATAGACTCTCATCCCTCCTTCTAGACCGATCTCTTTTCTCTTCTTTTCTTTTTTTTCCTTTGCAGGAGTCCCGCTAAGAATAATTTTGGACTTTGCACATGACATCCAGGATCGAGACCCATTCGGCTGGTCTGAATCACCACTAACTACTAGTTCGTCTCGAGGGCACAACTGCCCTGGCTAAATACTCTTATATTCAGGAACACAGTTTGGAGGGTTGATAGATTGAATTTACTATTTCCATACGATCATACAATTAAAAAAAGGAAAAACGGACGCAAGAGGCTACTACATCGACAACTACTACATCGACTTGGATTTCCTCAAGACCAGGTAGCAGGTACCTCTCTGAAAGTACCTGGAAGAAGGGGATATCTCATTAGAAGTCATCAAGGACGCTATCCTGGACTAGCTGCAAACACATGCAGATCTAGAGTCCTTTGGACACCGTTCTGGAACTCTCACCTCGCAGCCCCCAATTCCGAGTTCAACTACTAACTACCGAACTTCCTTCTCCTCTTCTGCATACTCCGTACTCCAAAGTCCAAATTCTCCAAGAGACTGGAGATCCGACAGTTCTACCGTTACCCCTCCATGTGCCTGGCCTGGCCTAGCCTATCCTACGGAGTACATTGTACATAGTAGATAATAGTCACTGCCTTGATTTTTTTTTTCTTATTCCAATTATTATACAGGTTGTGTCGATCAACCATGTGCCACATGACAGTGTTCAATTTTTTCTTAGTTCCATTTCAATTCCACCGGTTGCATGGAATCAGTAATAATAAGAATAATATTTCTATCTTACCCCTGTTAGGGTTAGGCTCTATGAGTTCTTGCAGTTGCACGACATTCCATCCATAGTTTACATATACTCAAAATAAGCTACATTCGCCAACTGAGATATCCGGAAGCGCGATAGGGACAAACCATCCCGGCCCTGTGATTTATGGAGAAATCGGGGTTGTTTGGGTTGTTTGGGCCGTCGACTGAACACTCGGGGCAGTCGGGAAATTTTGGGCTGCGGTGCGCCACGATTTCTCAAGGACCGGATGGATTTAGCCTAGATAGAGTAGAGACACTACCTAGATTCTAGAGAGCAAGCAAGGATAAAAAAAAAAAAAAAAACACACCCAGTGTTCCTGTACTCCAGATTCTCCAGACACAAAGGAAGTCAGGAACCACCAGTCAGTCAGTCTCCCTGGCCATGACTATGACCTCAAGCTCGCCGTCGTGACGTCTGTTTTTGTCCACTTTCTTGCCCTTCCCGTACTCGGACAAGATAATCCTCCCTCTGTTTCCCCCGTTTGGGTTGACTATACTGCACCCACCGCCAAGACCCACCGCAATCGTCCCTCATCAGACTGAAGAGAACAACAAGATACCAGAAGATACGTATGTAGGAGTGATCTAGATAATTAAATACACGGGCTAAATGCAAGGGAATCTCACTTGCTGCATCCTCTCTAATCTCCAGTATGTCAACCTCAAAAACCCCCATCCGCCACCACAGGGCCAGAATGTCTGTGGATGTACTCCGTAAAGTGAAATGCAAGAAAAAAAAAAAAAAAGAATGACTTTGAACTGCATTGCATACCTCGGCCTAGTTGGCTAAATCGGGAACCACGGCCAAGGTTCCATCACGTCGAGCGGGCCGATTCATGTGCGCCCCCCAAACCCGACATACCTTCCACACTTGGCTCCCGTGAGTATCCTTACCTTACCTTACCTTACCTTACCTTACCTGGAAGTCTGGAACTGTAGGTAGGTACGTACCTACCCTAGGTTCCATTATTATTCCAATGACTTATGGAAGCCGGCGTGACTCGTGCAGGAGCTGGAGCTGGAGGTGAAGCGGAGGCCGGGGAAGTTCCAGGCTCAATATTATTGCCGCTTCCTTTTGAAAAATAAGTTTTCCGTACATCTATCTAGATAGTCCACATTCTACTGGAGATTTCCAGTTGTTCGTAGTACCTACTAGAGGTAGGTAGATAGATACCTAGTAGTATATGCAACCTACCTTGCGGCTTACTCAAGGGTTGGGTACCAAACTTCGCACCTGTGTACGGAGTAGTGTGTAGTACCCTGTACAGTGCTTACGTCGTCATCAGACTCGGTTCTTGGTTCTACACAGTACATATGTAGTCCCACTTCTTTCTGCTCTTGCAATGACTATATATATATATATATATATACTCCGTAGAGCAAATGAGATCGATATGCCAGAATTAAGGTAAGAGTTTGCGCTCATGGGGGATCTATCCCTGTACTTGAGCGGATTGGGTTATCATTACTACTATTATGCACTTTTGCTCTGAACGAATTACCCCCTAGGGAATAAACCCGGGGGACGTGAGAGCCCACAAGTGCTCCCTCGGTTCGACCTCACCACACTACGGAGTACTAACTTCATCCCTTTACACCGACGATCGAGTCAATCCTAAACAAAAGAAAAGCACCAGCGTCCGCCGGGTCGTTGAATTCGCATGTAATCTACAGATCCCCAATCAAAACAATGCGACGTCCCTTTTCTACTGTCACATCGGGCTGCCACCCTCATGCACACACCACCGCCCCACCATCACGTTTCTCTCACTACACCTGCAGAGAAACCATTTACTCGGCCTCCTCGCCGAGCTCGGCGCGGCGCCGGGCATCGGCCTCGGCCTGCTCCTTCTTCTTCAGGAACAGCAGAGCATTGACCTTGTCGGTGATGGTGTGCTGGCTGCTCATCGTGGTGGAAATCTGCTCACGGCCGATCAAGCTGGCGACAATGCTGGCGCCGACAATGAAGGTCAGGACGAAGCGGTACATGCCGTACCAGTGTGGAGCACGGCCCTGGGCAGCGGCGCGCGCATCGTTGTAGTACAGGAAGGTGAAGGCGAGGAACTGAGTGATCAGAGCATACTCGACGGGGAGGAGCAGAGTAGGCCAGGCGACAGCCGGGGCGATAACACCGGCGGCGTAGCGCCGGTAACCCTGCTTGCCACCGTATCCGGCCCACTCGAGACCCCAGTGGACGGCTCCGAGGAAGGAGAGAATCTTTATGAGAAAGAATCGCTGCGTGTCAGACTTGAACCATTCTTCCCACTGTCAGTAGATGGGATCACGGGCACTCACCACGGCACCATAGCCGACCTGGATAGGCTCGAGCATGTGCAGCATCAGCTCCGCGCTCTGGCCGGAGAAGATTAGGCCGTCGCCGCTGGCGGCAGCACGGTTGATCTCGTAGGAGAGGTAGACGGTCTCAAGGGAAGTAGCGAGGTAGGGGATGACACCGGCCATTCCGAGATAGAGAGCCTCCTTGGGAACGCCCTCAAGGCTGAAGGTGTCCTTGATAACTTTCTATACGTCGAACAACCGCCTCCAATCTTAGCCCAAAATTGCCCACCTGCAGAAGCATGGAGACGATTTGCACCCGTAGGGAACGTCTGCCTCGGAAAGCACCAATGAATCAGACTTACCGCCTCGGTCTTGATACCCGCCATCATATCAGTGTCCTCCTCAGCGACCTTGAGGTCCTACAGTCCCCCACATCAGCAATTGACCAACCTGCCCTGACATCACCAGGACTAACCTTGGACGAGCTAGAGGCATACCGAACAAGCGCGGTGGTGACGGGCTTGCGGGTAGCCAGGGCCAAGCTGGACGAAGTTGGGCGAGCGGGAAGACGAGCGGAAGACGTCAGATGGGCCTTGAACACATTGTTGTTGAATGTCGACCGAGCCACCGAGGCATTGGAGCTCGAGATAGCCCTGAGGACAGAGCGAGCGACCGAGTTTCTGTACAACATGGTTGACTGGGATAGCTAATTTTTTTTGGGGGGGGGGAATGCTTGGTCAGTGATTGAGATCAGGAAAGCTCGGATGGACGGAATGAAGTCGGAACAACTCAATTGAACAGATATGCTGGTACAGTTGAGAATCTAAGAGTTGGGATTGAAGCTATTTACCTGGTGCTTTATCGAGTAGAACTCGTAAGAGTGGAGAGTTTGTGGTCGTGGAGGCAATCGATTCCTGAAGGCTAGGAAATGAGGTGATACAACGATGAGGTGTGGTTAATGTCTGGCTCGGGGACGCGACACACACCAAACCCGCAGCTGTCATCGATATTCTCTGGACTGCCTCAGGCACCCACTCGATAGCCTCGGAATCGGATCAATTAGGCACGAATGCGGGAGGCTTGCGACATCACGTGGCTGGACTTCTCCGGGTTCTCCAGGGTTGCAGCCCTAGGCAGCTACGGAGTAAGTAGCTAACCCAACTTACCTAATAATCCCAATGCAGCCCGCAGAAGGATGACTAAGGACAGACAGGACGCCAAAAGTCAAGGAAGAAGAAGTACCGACGTCACTGCGCTGGAAATAGTAAGGTGAATGCGCTCTGTTGTTCTTCAACGGCGGGTTGAGGTTCCCCTAACCAGTCCCCCAGAATTCATAATAATCAATAGACATCGGCGCGGATTTTGTCCCCAGGTACAAGAAACGAGATTCCGGGGGAGCTGCAATTGGGTCATTATTAGGCTTGATATCCGATACCCAACTACTCTCTCATCTCATTCAAGGTCATCTTGTCGCCCAGCACCAAGTAGCAGCAGCACACGACGGCTTTCCCTCTACCTGCAACCGCCCTCATTCATCCCTCCCCCCATCGTACGATTTGGAGGAACGAAATTAAAACTTCCATCTCAAACTGAGTGGTTCGTATCGATATTATTTGAACCTTTGAGCTAGCCTATCTGGATGGCTAGAGCTATCATAATTTGCGAGTATATCTAGAGCTCGCGCTGGTATGTCATATCGTCTTATCCTCAATGCGTCCCCGCGATGGTTATTCTCCGAGAACAGACTATACCTTCTATTTACCCATCCTCTTCACACCCTTAAACATGGGCTTATCAGACTGGACAGTAATTGTTAGGCAAAAGCGACTATCGAACTATCCACGAAGAGATCCTAATCTGCCCTCCCCCGACCGGGGTTACGGTCGCAGCCCGCAGCCATGTTGGAAGGCTTAGTCGCAAACCTGCTCAATCGCTTTCTGGGCATTTATGTCAAAAATTTCGACGCGAAGCAGCTCAATATCGGTATCTGGTCTGGTGACGTCAAGCTTCGGAACCTGGAGTTGCGCCGAGAGGCACTTGATCAATTACGTCTACCCCTCAACGTCGTGGAAGGTCATCTCGGCCAGCTCACTCTGTCAATCCCATGGTCGAATCTGAGAGGGAAACCCGTCAAAGTCGAAATCGAAGATGTTTTTCTCCTGGCGGCGCCGAAGGAAGATGCGGACTACGACCCAGAAGAGGAGGAGCGACGGGCCTACAACCTCAAAATGGAGAAGATCGAGAGTGCGGAAATCCTCAGAGAGCGAAACTCTGAGGGTATGAGCCAGGAGGAACAACGGCGCAACCAGAGCTTCACGCAGAGTCTGATCACGGCGGTGGTGGATAATCTTCAGATTTCTATCAAGAATGTGCACTTTCGTTACGAGGACTCGCTGGCTTCGCCTGGCCACCCCTTCGCTGTAGGGTTGACCCTCAAGGAGCTCAGCGCTGTCAGTACAGACTCCGAATGGAACCCTACTTTCATCCAATCGACCTCGGAAACGACACACAAGCTCGCTACACTGGGCGCTCTTTCGGTGTACTGGAATACCGATGCAGAGCTTCTGGGCACCGGTAGAGGTTCCGACCTTGGCGCGGAAGCACAAGGTATCAGCCATGCGGAGTTGATTGAAAAATTAAGGACAGGTATTGAAAGCGAGGAGAATCACCAATTCATGCTTCGTCCCGTCAGCGGGCGCGCTGGTTTAGAGTTGGACAAGTCCGGGAAGCACGACCGCCCCGCTGTCAAGACCCGGCTCTTGTTCGACGAGTTGAGCTTTGTCCTGGATGATGACCAATATCGGGATGCGCTAATGCTCGTGGACCTTTTCCATTACTTCCTTCGTCACCAGGAATACAAGAAGCTCCAGCCTAAATGCAGACCAAAGGAGGATCCCCGAGCTTGGTTTAGATTCGCCGGAGAGGCAATTCTCAGCAAAATTCATGATCGAAATCGGCGCTGGTCTTGGGATTACATCAAAGAGCGACGAGACGACCGAATAGCCTATATAAATCTCTTTAAAAAGAAGAAACGGGACGAACAGTTGACACCGCAGGAAGCCGAGGAGTATGAAAACCTCCAGCGAAAGCTCAGCTACGAAGATATTCGGTTCTGGAGATCACTTGCTAGAAATCAATTGCGCAAGGAGAAAATCGGTGTCAAGAAGCCTGCCCCACAGCAAACCTGGTCAGAATGGATATGGGGCGCTAAGAAGGAAGAGTCCGAAGAGACTGCGATGACCGAAGAGCAACGGCAGGAGCTGTATAATGCAATTGACTGGGACGAAAAGAAAGCGATCGCCGAAAGTGTTGATGTACCCAGAGAATGGGTCAAACTCCAGGTCAACTCTGGTCTTCGAGCGGGTAGTTTCACATTGAGGCGTGATCCTCATGGAAAGGGTACCGAGGTCATGAAGCTCGTGTTTGACAATCTTCGAGCAAAGGCCCTCCAGCGCCCAGATTCCTTCTTTTTTGAGGTTGACCTGGGTGGGCTTAGGGTTTACGATGGGACAACCGAAGGGAGTCTCTTCCCCCAGATTGTCAGGGTCAAGGACTCGCTCCCCGAGCTGGAGAATAGTCCGCCAAAAACCGCGGACGATGATGAATTGCAGCCGGAAGACGCCGATGATTACACGGAGGATGAAGACAATCTGTTCCACTTCCAGCTCGAGAAGAATCCTCTTGAAAGTGACGCCGACTCAGTAGTGAAGGTCAAGATGAAGAGTATCGAAGTCATCTATAATCCTACTTTTATCGTGGAGATCGTAAAGTTCTTCGAGCCCCCTGAACGCCACATGGAGTCGATCGGTGCTCTCTTGGACTCGGCGGGAGCCACTGTGGAAGAGCTACGCCAGCAGACCCGAGCAGGCTTGGAGTTTGCCTTGGAGGAACACAAGAAGGTTGATGTTCAATTTGACATTCACGCTCCGCTCATCATTGTTCCGGAAAGTATCACACAAGAAAGCTCCCTCTGTTTGATCCTAGATGCAGGTCATATCAGCGTCAACAGCGAGCTTGTTGATAGACAGACCATGAAAGACCTCCAGGCTAAGCAGAAACGCCAGTACGATGAGAACGACTATAAAGAACTTGAGCATCTGTTGTATGATCGATTTCTGCTTAAACTTGATTCCACCCAGGTCTTGATTGGACCTGGAATCGAGATTACCAAGTCTCAACTTTCTTCCGAGGTCACCACCAAAAACCTGCATATCATCGATCGCATCAATGTTGACTTTGTTCTGGAGATGTGCATAGTACCGAAGAGCACTGAACTCACTAGGACTCGAATTTCGGGTCATCTTCCAGAGCTGCACGCGTCCATGTCGGATACAAAGTACAAGGGCTTGATGAAACTGATCGACATAGCGATCCCCCAATTTGACGACGGTGGACGTGAGCCTGATCGCTTGTCTGCCGAGAAGAAGCCCAGTGAATCAGCTGCAGCAGGGACTAGAGCTAGATCAGCTTCCTTTCAGCCCTCGATCCCAATTGAATTACCTGTTGTCGATGAAGACTCCGATACTGAAACCGACGACGAGCAAACAAAGAAAAGCCTCGATAGGCCGACAAACATTCACCGTCGAGACTTTGAGTTTAAGTTCACTGTTGGCTGTCTTCGAGGCTCCTTGTTTCGTTCAGATCCAAGTGACCAGATGCGCGATCATCTGCTGGTAGAGTTGGTTGCCGAGGGATTTGGTTTGGACTTCTACATGCGGCCGTTTGATATGGTGGCAGAAATCGTCCTGCAGTCTCTGAGTGTCGACGACTATATCGAGGAGAATCCCATCCCTGATTTTAAGAGAATTATATCCTCCAAGGGATTCGACGCAGACGAGGACAAAGACCTCTTCCACCTCAAGTTTGTCCGAGTTAAGCCAGAGTCGCCTGAATTCCAGTCAACCTACGTAGGCATCGCGATGAATCTCGATATGTCGATATCAACTATCAATCTTGTCGTTACCAGAAAGACACTCTTGACCCTTCTGGATTTTGTTCTTCTTACCTTCACAAATCCAGAACAGCCGAACAACCAAGCACTTCCATCCGATGAGGCCCCCGAGAACACAGATTCTGTCGCTCGGAACAACGAACAGACTGGCAAAATCCGGATCAAGGCTGACTTGAAGAGTATTGCCCTCATCCTGAACAATGATGGCGTCAGATTGGCAACACTGAGTCTCAATACCGCCGACGTGGGAATTTTCCTTGTTGGCCGCGCTATGCTTATCCAATCTCGAATTGGCAGCTTGACTCTGGTCGACGATGTCAATACTGGCGCTGCAGAGGATTCTGACCTTCGGAGGCTTTTGACCATCGAGGGCGACAATTTTGCGGATTTCAAATACGAGACATTCGACCCTGAAAGTGCGAACTATCCCGGCTATGACTCGGAGGTGTATTTGAGATCAGGTTCCATCAAGATCAATTTTCTAGAAGAGCCGTATCGTAAGATCATCAACTTTTTGGTCAAGTTCGGCAAAATGCAGGCTATTTTCAACGCTGCTCGCCAGGCCGCGGCGAACCAGGCAAACCAGCTACAGGAAAATGCATCTAAAATGCGATTTGATGTCGTTGTCAAAACTCCGATTCTAGTTTTCCCAGGAATCGTCACTGCTGATCGACCTCGTGATACCATCACTGCCCACCTTGGAGAGATATACGCGAAGAACACATTCGTGCCTCTGGATGAGAGTGTGGGCAGTCCCGCCGTCAATCTGATATCTTCGGGCATACGCAACATCCGTCTAACCTCAAAATTCCACTACGGAGATGGTGTAGCAGAGGAGCTGGAGATGATACAGAAGGTCAATCTGGACTTCAGTATTTGCTACCTCGAGCATCAAAAAAATAACCCGCGCCCAGATATGGAGATCGAAGGATCCATGTCGCCGATAAATCTTCGAGTATCGCAAAAACAGTTCAAATTCTTGCTAGAACTTTCAAAAACCATACCAGAGGCATTCGCAACGGATTCTGAGCAGCAGGAACTCGAGGCTATTGAATCCCTTCCTTCGTTCGTAACAGAACCAAGCAAAGAGGCGGATTCCACAGCTGTCCAAAAGACCAATGAACAAGACCAGACGACTCAAGAACCGGCTGCAACTGATGAAAATTGGGCCAGGCTGGATATGATCTTCAAGATAGAGAGTGTCGGCTTGGAGCTTATTCTTGCAAAGGACGACGAGCCTGTTGGTAACTTGGAAGATTCGAGTCTTTCCAAGTTCGCCCTGAACGACACACGAGTAAAATTGCGCATGTTGACCGACGGATCTTTGGAATCCGAACTTTTGATCCATTCCCTATCAATTCGCGACAGCCGCAACAAGGACACAAACAAGTTCAGAAAGATCATGTCCTTGATCAACAATGACGTTCAGCAGCAATTCATGGCCAGCCTGTCCATGTCACCTGGCCCTGACAAGCATGTGATAGCGATGTTGACAATTGACAGCCCTCGTATTATACTGGCACTGGATTACTTGGAAGCTCTGCAATCTTTCCTGAACTCTACGTTCGCTACTGAGGAACCGGTGGAAATAGAAGATATTGACGAGGCAAGCGAAGGCTCTGAGCCAAGATCTAGTACCAGTGAAAGTCCCGATGAATCAGCCGTCGTGTCTTCAACCGGAGTCTCAGCAGGCGCGGGCGGGCAAACGACAATGTCGTTCAGAGTGAACCTTGTTGATGCCCAAGTCATCATGATAGCTAATCCCGCCATCTCACACACCGAAGCCATAGTCCTCGGTACAAAGCAAGTGCTCTTTGCGCATCAAAACGTCTCAACGCTGCAGATCACCAAAGTGGGTATGTTCCTGTGCCGTATGGATAAGTTCGAGACTAGTAGACTGCGGATCCTGGACGATTTTACCCTCGAGATGTCTATGGACAGTCGTCCACAAGATAAAGGCTCATCCCTCACTTCCATTGACGTGCACATTGAGCCATTGGTGCTGCGCCTCTCTCTGAGGGATATCTTGATGGCGATACAGATCGTCAATAAGGCCTCAGAGATGAGGGCGCAGAGAACCCAGGAAGTTGAGGGTGGTGAAGCGAAGAAGATACCAGACGGTAGACGTCCAAGCGCAAAATCCACTCGCAGGAGATCTAGTGCCGGGCACTCGTCACTCGCTGCTGCGTCAAAATCTCAGCGTGTGACGGGAGACACTGGAAATACGTCCGAAAGGGCACTCGCTTTGCAGCGTTCAGTCGTTTTGAAACGAGAAGAGTTGAATGCACAGGTAGATGGCTTGAGAGTGATCCTCATTGGAGATTTGCATGATCTTCCATTGCTCGACTGGAGCGTCAAGAAATTCAACGTTGATGTTCGTGATTGGTCGTCCACGCTGAATGCCGACACCAGCTTTGATACTTTTATCAATGTCTACAACTTCTCCAAATCAGCTTGGGAACCACTTATTGAACCCTGGCAACTGGGATTCCATGTCGCCAAAGAGGTTGACCCAGAATTCTTCTCAATTGATGCATATTCTAACAAGAATATGGAGCTCACTGTGACTTCAGCCACGATTGCATTGGCATCCAAATCATTCCAATTCCTCTCCACTGAGGAAGATGTCCTCTCGAAACCGAGAGGAGCTGATGCACCCTATCGGATTCGCAACTATACTGGGTTCGATCTTCGTGTCTGGGCAGACGTGAGCACTGGAGAAGAAGGTTCAGCTGCAAAGCTCAGTGACGGGGAAGAATATCCTTGGAGATTCGAGGATTCTACTGCAGTGCGTGAAACGCTGGCTCCTGAAGGGCACGCTGGCCTTGTTGGGGTCAAGCTTGAAGGAAGCGGCTTTGAAAGCGTAAATCGCATCCCTGTTGCTCGCGAGGGCGAGTTCCTGTACAGCCTCAAGCCCAAGGCAGATGGCATTCTCCACAGACTCCTCGTTGAAGTGAAGCTGGGGACTGACAACGTCAAATATATCACTTTCCGCTCACCACTGCTTATTGAGAACAACACCCAAATCCCGGTCGAACTAGGTATCTTCAACCGTAAGGAGGGGCATCTGCTCAAGATCGAGAAAATCCTTCCTGGCGACGCTCGACCGGCTCCAGTGGGCGCTGCATATATGCACTCGATCGTCATTCGTCCGGATCAGGGCTTTGGGTACGAATGGTCAACCGAGCCACTGTACTGGAAAGAGCTTCTGCGACGACCAACTCGAACGATCAAATGTGTCAGTGAAAGTGGACAACAAGCCCCTCCTTTCTATTTCCAGATGAACGCTACCTACAACTCCAAGGACTCCCTGACCGGTGTATATCCTTATATGCGGGTACGGATCTTTGCTCCTGTCGAGATCCAAAACCTTCTACCATATGACTTCAAATACCGTATATACGATAAGGACACAAGAAAGGACTGGACCAACTTTCTGCGCAAGGGTGGCGTCAGTCCGGTCCACGTTGTTGAGCTGTCTCATCTGCTACTCCTGAGTATCGACCTGGAGGACACCGTCTTCAAACAAAGCGATTTCGCCATTATCAACGGCAACGCCCAAGACTTCAGGAGAGAGCATACACTTTCACTAAAAGATGAACGTGGCATTCCCTTGCGACTGAAGCTCCATTATTTCAACATCCCAGATAGCGGCGGCGCTTTCAAAGTGTCGATTTACAGCCCTTATCTCATCTTGAATATGACGGGATTACCCATGGAGATACAAAGCAAGGCCTTTTTACAGTCAGCACGCTCAGCAGCTGGCGAGGGACTTAGACCCGACCCGCGAAATGGAGGACGGGCACTTCCATACATGTATGCTTATCAGTCAGAAGACCCGAAGAACCGATCTATTCTTAAGATAGGTGATTCTGCCTGGAGCAAACCGCAGAGTTTTGAGGCTCTCGGAAGCACATTTGAGGTCATTTTTCCCGACAGACAAGGTAAATCCGAGTTCCACGCCGGAGTATCTGTCGCGGAGGGTGAGGGCAAGTACAAGATGACCAAGGTCGTTACCATTGCCCCTCGCTTCATTCTGAAAAATAAACTCGGCGAAGATATCTTGGTCCGAGAACCTGGCTCATCGAATGTACTCACCATCAAGGGCGGCGATCTGGTTCCCCTTCATTTCCTTCGCCAGGTTGCAGAGAAACAGCTCTGTCTCTGCTTCCCAGGCGTGAACAACCAGTGGTCTTCGCCTTTCAACATTGCAGACCTTGGAACTGTACATGTGAAGCTTGCCAAGGCAAATCAACGTCAAAGGCTGGCCAAGGTCGATGTTGTATTAGAGGGTGCTACGCTTTTCATTCATTTCAGCATGGAGACTCGCAACTGGCCCTTCTCGATGCGGAATGAGAGCGACTCGGAATTCATTTTCTACCAGGCCGTGAGTATTCCTGCCCTATATTGAGCCAAAGACCTACTAATATATTCGCCGTTCGTATAGAATCCAAATGTGGAAGATGACGAGGATGACAGAACCAGCGGCTGGCGACCAATTCGCTACCGTCTTCCTCCCCGGAGCATCATGCCTTATGCTTGGGATTATCCGGCCACGAAGAACAAGTCTCTCGTGCTGACATGCAATGGAAAAGAGAGGCACATCAGGCTCGCCGAAATAGGAAACTTGATACCGATGAGAATACCGCCAGCACGGGCTGGAGAAACACAGAAGATCATCGACATCAACATTGCCGCCGATGGGCCCACTCAAACCCTTGTCTTGTCCAACTTTAAGGCATCCCGAAGCCTTTACAAGCAGCAGAAGGTTCAAACCTCTCAGGCCAGCCTGGCAGCCGGCTTCGAAGTCAAGGAGCTGGACTCCGATGTCAATTTCAAGGCTCAGCTTCGCCTGGCTGGTATCGGAATCTCGTTGATCAATAAGAATTTGAAAGAGCTGCTCTACCTCACCTTCCGCGAAATTGAGATCAAATACAGAGAGTCCAGAGTGTATCAGACCTTGAACACTACTATCAAGTGGATCCAGATTGACAACCAACTATACGGTGGTATCTTCCCTATCCTGCTGTATCCCAGTGTGGTACCGAAGACTGGAAAGGAGATGGAAGCTCACCCTATATTCCATGCCATGGTGACACGCGTCAAAGACGACTCTTACGGTGTTCTCTACATCAAATATGCTACGGTTCTTCTACAGCAGATGACACTGGAGCTTGATGAGGACTTCATTTTCGCCATGCTCGACTTTGCCAAGGTCCCTGGCGCTTCGTGGTCCGAGGAGCAGGAAGGGAGACTCTGCGATGAAGATCTGAATATTCCAGAACCGCAGAACGAGAGTGCCAGTCAAGATGTGTACTTTGAGCTTCTTCATTTGCAGCCCATGCAGCTCGACATTTCCTTCATGCGGACGGAACGAGTGAATGCCGAGGACACCATGCAACCTTCGAATCCTTTCATGTTCTTTGTGAATGTCATGACTATGTCGATGGGCAATATCAACGATGCACCAGTGCGACTCAATGCCTTGATGCTGGAAAACGCGCGTGTCTCGTTTGGAGTGCTTCTCAACAATATCCAAAGACATTACACTCAAGAATTCCTGCGCCAAGTTCATGTTATTCTTGGATCAGCCGATTTCTTGGGTAACCCCGTCGGTCTGTTCAACAATGTCAGCTCTGGTGTCGCCGCTATTTTCTACGAGCCGTACCAGGGTCTGGTCATGACCGATCGGCCCCAAGAACTGGGTTATGGGATTGCCAAGGGTGCTACAAGCTTTGTGAAGAAATCTGTGTTCGGCTTCTCCGACAGCATGGCCAAATTCACTGGAAGCATGTCCAAGGGACTTGCTGTTGCCACGTTAGATAAGGAATTCCAGGATCAGCGGCGGATGTCAAAATCTCGAAATCGGCCCAAGCATGCGCTGTACGGTATCACTGCCGGTGGCAACGCGTTCGCGACCAGCTTGGCGAGCGGAATCGGAGGACTAGCCCGTCACCCACTGCAGGGTGCAGAAAAAGAAGGTCTTCAAGGTTTCCTCAAGGGAGTCGGCAAGGGTGTCCTTGGCCTTGCCACCAAGCCGGCTATAGGTGCCTTTGATCTCGCTTCAAGTAAGTGCATTATGGAGATTATGGGCGGCACACATGCTAACTGCTAGGTAGACCTCGCTGAGGGCGTACGAAACACAACGACAGTATTCGACGCTGAAGGTCTCGACAGGGTTCGCCTTACTCGTTTCATCGCGACGGATGGAATCGTGCGTCCATACTCACAACGCGAGGCTTTGGGACAATTCTGGCTCAAAACAGCCGATGACGGAAAGTACTTCAATGAGGACTACATCGCGCACCTGGAGCTCCCGGGTAGAGACATGCTGGTCATGTTGACGTACGACCGGATCATGCTCGTGCGCACGAAGCGACTTCGCACGGAATGGGACATTCGGTTGACCGACATTCAAACCATCTCTAAGGAGAGGACTGGCATGAGCATCACGCTCAAGGGTGGTGCGAACGGACCGTTCATCCCGGTGCAGGACGAGAGCGCGAGGAATTGGCTATACCGTCAGATCGCCATTGGTAAGTGACAAAGCAGACCTTCTGGATAGTAACCGCAGGCTAACGAGCTTCTTTGCTTTAGCCGTCAATGCATTCAACGAAAAGTACAACGTGAGAGGTTAGTTTGGGAGGGTCTTTCTTCTGCCTCTAGTAACGACGACGCTACGTACGCAATAATCAGTGCATTTGTAATGGAGAAGCCAAAATGGTGGATGGGATGGGACCTGGTCCGGATTTCTATTCTGACCCCCCCTTTTTTCAAGTATATATTACTTTCAACTATTCATTGATGATTATGATATTGGTAATGTATATATTTCCTAGTTGCAATACTGTTTACAAGAGAATCCATGCTGTTTCCCTGCCCGTGGAGCTATGTGCGAAGGTAGCCTTTCCGTGATATTTCATTGCATACATGTAGATACAGTCATCAGAGAGAATATAGTAAGAGATGGGTATCATCAAAAGACCCAGAATAAAACGCAGAGAACCCAATCCAAAGCTCAGGCGGGTACTAAATATTACCTGCCCTCGGCACGCTCCACAAGTCGATCTTCCAGCCCCATGGGTTCCCAAACATCCTTCGCTTTCTTGTTTTGAACCCAGACGACATCTCCCTGGATGAACGCGACCAGTCCGCCCTTGCCCGTGGCACTCGCGGTGATGCGGAAAAGCGGCTGTCCGTTTTGAGGATGCGCTTCGCGCAAAGGGAGGATGATGAGACCCTGTTCCATGCACCATGTTTCGAGGATATCCTTGAACGCGATTTCCTCGACCACCTTGGGCTTCCGCGGTGCCGGGGCCGCCTCCTGGGCGGCAGCCGCTGCAGCGCGTGGTACGCCTTCGGGAGGAATCTGTGGCGTCGCAGCGGTTGGGACTGGGAGCTCGGTTGCGGGGTCTTCCAGGCGGGATGCGAGATCCATCTGCTGAAGACCCTTGTTCCACTCATCGTCGACGATACTCAGCTCGTTGATCTCAGCGGGGATCTGAGATCGCCACCAGGTGAACCACTCTCCGACTTCCTCGAAGTTGGGATCGTTTGTGAGCCAGATGTATAGGATGTTGTGCCATTTGGGGAAGAACTCGGCTACCAGAAGCAGGCCGATGACGTTGGGCTTGAAGAATCCCTTCCACTTCAAGACGTCTTCCAATGCGGCCATGTCCTGTTCTTGAGGGTTGACCTCGAAGTTCTCCCGCAGATGACGCGCAAGCCGCGGTAATAGATGATTGCGGAGGGAGGCGTCAAATTCGGACCCCAACGCGTCTCGCCAAAGTTCAACGCCACTGATCAAGCCCTTGCGGAGATCCCACGAATCCAGCACCACGCGGAACTTTCTTTTCGCGTCAGAGAGCAGACCTGTAGCCTGTTTCGGGTTCGTATGTCGTTCATCCAAGTACTGCAGCCATGTAAATAGCCACCACGGGAAGCGTGAGTTTTGATGGGAAGAGGGATGGCGCCGGCTGCTGCTTCTGGGTTTCCATTCCTTCAGGCCGCTGCTGAGTTTAGGAACGACGAGCTGGTCGAGCACGTTGGCGTAGACGAAGGACGGAAGAACGTCTTTCCACGACACGACCAGCGATGTCGCCGGGGATGGGTCGAATACATCCCAGTCATTCAGCAGCGCTGAGCGCACTCGTGGAAGCCAAAGGGTGTAGATCATGGTTTCATATGGTGATGTTGATTGCCTTGATGTGGTTGCATCCTCCTTTTTACGAGACAGAAGTGGCTGGAGGCGACGAAGATTGGATACAAGAAATGTCGGCTCTTGAAGAGGTTCCCATTCCTCCATTGCTTGCCGAAACAATGGATGAATAGCAGCGACCGCCGTCTCTGATAGTCGATACTCATCAATCTCATTGCGGTACTTCATTTCCATCGACTCAAGCTTGCTGGTCAATTCGTCGAATCGCGCCAGCATGCTGTCTCCTTGGAAGATCTCCAGCTGCCCGATGGCAGTAATCAAATCCGAAAGCTGATCCGTCTTGAGCTGATTGGTGTCTAATTGGTCCACAATCTGAGCTTCCTCTAACTCGATGAACTTTTTCCGCTCCGTCAATCCCTTCCACTCATCTGCAAATGCTTCGAGATCGTTGCGTGCTCGTCGCGCAATCTTCAGGGCTTCTCCTTCACCTTGATTGACAAACTCTAACGGGGTCATCAATCCGGCGGTAGAGGTCAAGACTCGCTGTTCCTTTCCGGTGGCATCAATCAGCGATTTCAAGACGTTAGGTACTTCGAGACCATCCATATCAGCCTCAATCTCGCGTGCGGTCCGGAATCGAGGTTTCGCCCGTGGAATCGGTGTCCCTGTTGCACTCCGGCTCTCTCGCTGACGCTCTTCCTTCTTCTTCCGTCGCCGTTTTCTTTCTTCGTCCGAGCTGTCTTCAATGACCTCCCCTCGCGCAGCAGCTTGCCGTTTCTCTTCCTCCCGAGTCTTCTTTGTCTTTTCTCGAACCGCGCCCAACCCAGCGCCCATCGGCCGCGCTTGGGCTTCGATCGGATTCACGATACCCTGTCCACTTGCACCCAGACCTTGTCCTTCCTTGTATCCCATCTTCGCCATCATGCGCGCAGCAAAGGAATTACCACCGCCCATGGCACCTTTGCCGCCATTGCTGGTCCCGCCCCTGGGGGCAGAGGTGGTCGACTGCATGTTGTTGTTCCAAGGGTTGCGACGAGCACTGCCGAGACCAAAAGAGGGAGGCGATTCGGACCGCGAAGAAGCTCTCGCAAAGCCACGGAAAGCTGTGGGAGGATGAGAGTCCTCCTCATCTGAGCTCATGTCGACAATTTTGCGCTTCTGTCCAGCGAACGATGACGAGGTCGGTGACTCCATGGCCGTTTGAAGAGGATAAAATACGAGTGGGGATGGATAGAAATGGCAGCCTTATCATAGGAACTGAGAAGACTCACAGCACATGAGGATTATGCCATGGAGACGGCTTGCATCGATGAGACGCGATCGATTCGATAACTATCATGAGTATACTCCAAGAAGCAGCTCATTTTCTTTGGTAATCGCTCGGGCGGTGTCGGGGCGGGGAAACGTGAGCTCCGAAGGGAAGAGAAACAATGACGTTTTACCCTCATCTCCTTCGAGCCGGATCGGTTCTTCCTCTTCTCTCTTCTCCCCTGAATTTTTCCTTAAGAAGCATCGGAATCCATCTCCTCTCTGTCTCTGCAATCGATATATTCTTTTGAATTGCAACAATGGCCGCCTCTCTCATCGGTACCTCTGCGCGCACAGCCCTCCGCTCCGGAGCTTCGGCTACCCAAAGAGCTGCTGGTGTTGCGGGCTTGACTTTTGCCCGCGGCAAGGCTACTCTGCCTGATCTGCCTTGTATGTGAAATCACTCTCTTGATATCGATTATATTGCTACTTTGGCATGATTCCGAATTTCTCGCTCTTTTTCGGTCCAAAATACAACTCGATCGATGAAGAACATCCAAGTTGCACAAATGCTGCTTTGATATCAACTAACCATCCATTACAGATGACTTCGGCGCCCTGGAGCCTTCGATCTCCGGCAAGATCATGGAACTCCACTACAAAAACCACCATCAGACCTATGTCAACAGCTACAACCAGGCTTCCGAGCAGTTACAGGAGGCCCGAGCTAAGGGCGACATCGCTGCTCAGATTGCCCTCCAGCCCTTGATCAACTTCCACGGCGGTGGCCATCTTAACCATAGCCTTTTCTGGGAGAACCTGGCCCCCAAGAGCTCCGGTGGCGGTGAGCCCCCAAGTGGTGCTCTGTCCAAGGCTATCAACGAAACCTATGGTGGCCTGGAGAACTTACAGGGCAAGATAAACACTGCCTTGGCTGGAATCCAGGGAAGCGGATGGGCCTGGCTGGTCCGGGACAAGCAGACCGGCGACATCAGCATTAAGACATATGCCGTAAGTGTAATCAATAAGAAAGAAACAGTTTCAGATGACTAACCTTAGCTCAGAACCAAGACCCCGTCGTTGGTCAGTTTGAGCCCCTTCTCGGTATTGATGCCTGGGAGCATGCCTACTAGTAAGTCCACCATGCATTTCCCCCTTGGGGCAGTTCGATAGTTGAACAGTGGCTGACATGGTGCCTACACAGCCTCCAATATCAGAACCGCAAGGCCGAGTACTTCAAGGCCATCTGGGAGGTCATCAACTGGAAGACCGTGGAGAAGCGTTTCTCCGCATAAACATCTCAAAAACACTGTATATTCACGCAGCTTGATTGGAGCGTTCTTATGCGCGTGTGATTGTATAATGATGTTCTATATCTAGTCCAGCTCCATTGATCTATCCCCTAATCAACAAGTGCACCAATCTATTGCTTGCGTCAGTCAGACCTAATGTAGCTTGTAGCCATGGTTGACAGGAGCACTAGCCACAGTGGCTGAAGCCGTCCGGATAGTCGCGGGTAATTCTTCCGTACCAGCCGGTAATCTTACTGTATTGGACGTTTTGCAGCATCATCGACGTTCCTAAAGCGGAAATTCAATCCTCCAGCTCCGGGGATTAGTTATAGATCAGGGCTGTAACGACATCATTTCTGCGACAACCTGACATCCGCTTTCCTCAGCAATTGCTCAGGATGTCTGTGGAGAGTCCAGGCCAGAAAACTGGCTTTCGAGCCTTCATGGCGAATGCCCTGAGACCCAAGAAATCCCGCCAGGTCCTGCGCAAGAACACCGCATCTACACCAAACCTCCGAGCGGCTACACGATCAAGCATCGCCAGCGAGGATGTGCCTCCACCAGTCCCTGTTCTTGCACCTTTGGAGGCCCATCGGGTCTACTATCGCGAGAAAAATGCAGAGATAGACACCCAGATAGGAGAAAACCGTGACCACACGGCCATGCTGCATTCACTGGGTATCCACGATACCGAAGACTCGGATGCTTTCGCATCAGACCGGTATGGGGAGGATCGGCCTCCGGGCGAGCCGATGATAGCAAGCCTCTCGTCTGATCTCTGGGCCATGATTGCCGAGGAGCTCGATCCGGGCGACGTCGCAAGCCTCGCCTTCGCAAGCAAGACGCTTCTCTCGCGCCTGGAGCGCCTGGAGCCCTGGTCGGTGCTGAACCAGCCCGAGAACCGCGAGTACCGAGTCAACTTCCTAGCGCCGCAGGACCGGCGTCTGCCGCACCATCTCCTCTGCATGACGTGCGCAAAGTACCACCGGCGCACGCAGGAGGGCCGCGAGAAGCTGCAGCCCGCAGCGGTTGTCAACCCGCTCTTCGACTGCCCGAACCTGCGCAACCCGCTCCTCCCCGCGCCGCGGCACCGCATCACGCACGGCCGCATGCTCTACTTCACCTTCGTGCAGCTGGCCCTGCGCGCCCACCGCTTCGGCCCGGCCTACGGCATCTCCACCGAGTCGCTCTCCCGCCGCTGGCGCCGGGACGGCTGGACGCACCAGTCGCGCTATATCATCCACAAGAACCGCCTGCTGATGCGCGTGGTCAGCCAGACGTTCGCGGCGCCCGCGCTCACGCCCAGCTCGCAGCGCCTCCTCCTATACTCGCGCGAGGACTACTGGCCGTACTTCTCCGCGTGCGCGCACTGGCGCGACGGCCAGCTCATGGACGCCTGCAAGTGCGCCCTCGGCCACATCCCCAAGCCCCGTGACACCGCCGGCCTGCAGGGCCTCGAGCACCGCGCCAAGGACCTCTACCACCACCGCATGTATAACCCCAACGAGCTCGCCACGCTCTGCAACACCTGCCGCCCCATGCGCCGCTGCCCAGACTGTCCGTCCGAGTACCTCATCGAGGTCAAGCTGACGGAGGACCGCATAGACCCCAAGAGTCTGCGATTCCGGCACGCCATCGTCGTCACGCGTTGGTGTGACCTGGGCGATGGCTCCTCGTCGCATGGCTCCGCCGAGTGGGCTGCGTGCAATGGTCTGCGCGAGTATGACTCGTTCGCTGCCCTGACAAAACGGTCCATCTCGGGCACGTTTGAGGCGGCGTTTACAGATGATACCCTGCCGGGGCAGAGGATCGTCTCGATGAATCCCAAGGGGAAGAGGCTCGGAGAGGCCGGGAATAGTTGGTACTAATGTTGAGTGGGGGGGGGGTGGTCCTACTTCCTTTTTTTTCTCTTCTTCTTTTTCTCTTCTTCTTTTTCTCTTCTTCTTTTTCTCTTCTTTCCTTCATTGTGTTTCAATACTTGGATTTGATATGGCTCCGGCTTTTCTTTCAAAACATACGGTACGGGTAAAAAGGAGTATGGTCCTAGGATTCTGGATGGATTTGAGTTGGCGGATATAAATTTACGTTCAGGGAGATAGATTGGTCTAGGAGTCAGAGAGTTTTACCTTGAATCTTAGTATGCTCTAATGTAAACTCGCTCAAATCGCGTTTAGATTTTCTTCTTGCATACCTGGTGTTCAGGAATGTAGGTACGTATAGCTTTGGAATGTTAGGGTTTGAGGTCAGATTACACTAGGATAGGATAAGCTCGTTATGTTCATGCAAGTCGTGAGCGGTAAGAAGAGTCATGCTGGAGATTATGACACCATCGGTCAATAAAGATGCATACAGAGGGAAATAAGTGAGAGACATAGAAATAAGAACTCGTCGAGTCGTCAGCCCAGCTGGACAACCGTCTTGAGAATCGGAAGCCTTAAACAAATGTAGACCAGATCGAGCATCCCCAAAAAGATTAATGATGCGTCAGGTTCATAGAAGCTTCGCAAGAAAAGAGCCTGGGTATCGAGCATTGAAATCCGAGTCAATAAGAATGAAATAATGAAGACATGTATGATGAGAATGCTAGGGCAGGGCAGTAATGATGTACCAGCGTCTCATGATCAGAATGATTAGGACCGACGGGGCCTCCGCTCGACATAGCGTGGTCGCCGTACGGAATTGTCGTCCTCCTTTCCATGCTTGTGCCTCATGGTGGACGAGGAGTTCTGAGCACTGGTATCTGTCCCGTCACTCTTTTCTGTCTCGGATATGGTGCCCGGAGTCTCACGAGCCCATCGAGACGACGGTCGTTCCTTGCCAACAATCTGAATAGTCCCCGAATTATCGATTCCCGCCTTCCTGTGAGATCCGATTCCGCCCTTCATCCAGCCAAAGATGCTGAGAGAACTACGCCTCTTGTGCTCCTTACCACCGGAGGTGGAAGGCCGCATAGTCGACGCGTGGGTCCGGAAGTTTGATTCTGTCAAGGAATGAGGGAGAGTCTTTTGAGGAGCATTCGTACTCTTGCCATCTCCATCCTTCAGTGCAAAGACACAAAGCTCTCCATGGCCGCGTACAGTTGCCAGCCCGTCCTGAGTCGTCCGTAGCGGCTTTGGAGAGCGAATAGGCCTGTTCTTGCGGATGACGGGAGATGGTGCACCATCGCCACTATCCTCTGAGTCGGTGATTGGAGATGGCTGCAAACGACGTGGTTGCGTCAGACGATCCAGAAATGGCGGTCGAAGATGAACTCGTCGTCGCTGATCCCGTTCTTCATGTGCTGGCGGCTGCGGATTCCTGCTCAATGCAAGTGCCGGCAATGCTGAAACAGAAGGGTTTCTGATAGTAGAGTCGACACTGTGGCGACGGGCGAGGAATGCAGATTGACTTGGGGCTCGTGCCCCGGTAGTCTCAGGATGCTCCGGTGCGGCACCGTTGCGCGCTCTCGCGGAAGGTCGTTTCTTCGTGGGACGAGGACCTGGCTTGGCCGCCTCGATCCAGTCTTCGGGTGTCAAGGGAGGTGACAGAGCCGCCATGGCCGCCGCTGTCCGTTCACCCAGTGAGGCTGGCGGAGAATAATGGTCCTTTTCCATCTTTGAAATGACTCTTTCGATACCCACGGGATTGAAAAGCACATCATCAACATCACGAAAGTACGCCATACCTCGTCTCGATGACCGCTGTCCCAGAAAATAACTGGTCTTGGATGGGATGCCGTTCAAGGGAAACATAACGGGGGTCTCTTCATCCTCGTCAACGCTGGGACGGGGGAGAGTCACGTCACTCAAGTTAGGATTTAAACTCGGGAGAACGGCGTCGTTGATGGAGCTTCGTCTTGTGGTCATCTCGTCCGCAGATCGAGGACGGTGAAGCTTTCGTCGAGCTGGAGAGGGCTGAGCGGGCTGGGCCTTCTCCGCAGCGTTACTGCTATTGGATCTGTTTGTCGTCGTAGCACATGCCGTACTCATCGTATCTGGAGTAGGAGGCAATCTTGAACTTCCGAAAACATTCTCAAGCCGCGTCTTCTGGTTGTGTCCGTGCAAGAAAATATCATTATCGAATGGCAAGGTTTGGGTTGTTTTCAGTGTTACTGTGCGCCCCTGATCCTTTCCTTTCTTGGTATCGGTCTTGGACAGGGACTCGAGCTGTGTCTGGTGCCAGCCAGAGCGTCGGGCATGTTTACTTGGTGGCTTCTTAGTGTCTGGTCCATATGAGGCCGTATTTTTTGTGATGATAGTCTCCTCGAGCACAGGAAGCTGAATTTGATCGAACACAGGTAGGTCTTTCGAAGTGTCATAAGGCATGAGTTCGCTGCATTCGCTTAAGGCACTCAATCTCGGCGACTCTGCTTCAGTGGCTTCCGTTACTGAGTTCATGCTCTCACTTTGAGTCATCGCACTTCTCGCGGGGCGTGGGTGGCTCTCGGAAGTAATGTATAGACTTCGTAAGGCTGCGGTACTGTGGTGCTCTTCGCGGAGGAATGAGGGAGCCCTGGAGAGAGAGCGACTTCCTGAGGAGACCCGGCGCTGATCGCCAAGTGTGATGGCGTTCCTCGAGGAAGATCTTTCCGGAATATCAGGAGTCACGCAGGCTCTGGGAGTAGCGACCTCTGACCCGTCGATGGTGGGTGGACGAGCTGTTGTAGGCCTAGAGGAGTGAGTAGTCTCCAGCTCTTCAATTTTTGCTTCGAGTTGGCAGATCAATTCCACGGCCTCGGTGACTGCCTGGTCTCGCTTGTCGATTTCTTGTCGGAGCTGTTCATTGGATTCACGGAGCCTCTGATTATCCTCTTCAACGCCTCGAAGCTCTTGCAACTCCTCCTCGAGACCGTGAGTACGTTGGGCCTCCTCCTCCAATTGCTGCATGCGTTCTAGCTTCTTTTCCAAGACGGCCATTTGCTGTGCGCGATGAAATATATCCAGCTTCAGGTCAAAGTTCTGCTTATTAATTTTGGAGATATACTAAGACAGACGGTCAATTAGAACCTGTATATATTGTTCGGCCAAGGAAGGTCTCACCTGGTCCATCTCTCTGATTCCCATCTCACGTGGCTGCTTATGGCCGGCCGACAATGCGCTGTTGACCTTGCGCTGTTTTTCGGAACCTGCATCTTCCTGAGCTTGCGATTGGGACTGAGAGCGCTCCGGTGTATGAGGCATATACTCGGCATACTCGTCCGGTGCCGGACCCCGCGAAGCTCTAGTTGCCCGTTGCTCTCGGAGAAGGTCTTGTAACAAGGCCGAAGAAGGATTAACTAGAGGCGTGGTGCTGGGTTCCGGAGTCCCTGTCGCGCCCCCAAGTATCGTCAGCATCACCCTATAATAGATAGTCTCAAGGCTCTGCGGATTGCAAAAGTCCCGTTCATACCTGCCCGTGATCTTGCGTTTTTCGGTGTTCCGCCAGGTGTTCCTGTCACTGGAGAAGGGCCATTGAGCCACGACGTTTCTATGCGGATGAATCAGCATGCCGACAAACTGTCGCAAAGCTCCCGGGGGGCAGGGGGATGGAGTCTTACCAGGGTTCAATCGCGATGGGCTATCCATAGTGGCCGTTCTTTTGACACGAGCGAGTGCTGCAGGAATTGGAGCATCAAATTTGTCTGTGGGACAGCAGTCAGATTAATTCTCTCTCGTGGGCTGTGAAGCTCAGCGACCTGCAGGAACGAAGGAGAACGCACTGTTTGGACCGTGTCTCAGAGATGTCGTACGCGTCGCGGGGACAGGAACGGTAGAAGAGGGATCGAAGGAGCGTCGCAGGGACGAAGGGGCAGTCGTTTGCACCGAAACGATGCTGCGGCGCTGGGGTCTGCTATCCATTGTCGGCAGAACTAGACGATTGTTCCTAAACACACAGGGTAGCTAGGATCTGGGCTAATTTGCAATCTGACGGCTGGCCGTGAGTCCGCCAGGGACGCCAGAGTTCTGCATGAATCAAAACAGAGAACGGATTAGCTCATCGACTGATTGAGCAAGGGTTGATCTAAAGATGGGTTGTTGCGATATTGGCAGAGTAACGAAGCGAGGGGGTTCGGACCCTTTGGAGGCTGGAAGTCCCGCGATCGACGAGAAGAAGGAACGGTGGGCTCGCTGATGCAGGCGATGAGCACTGTGATGAGATGGAATTTGAGAGTAATAATGATCCGACGTGAGGGGAAAAAGCGAAGGACAAATAAGGGCTGTGACGAGTCAACTTGGTGTATCTTTCTGGAGCAGTCTGTGAGGCCAAGCCCACGATGTAAGTCAATGACTGACAGGCGATCGACAACAATCATCCGGAGACTGGAATGTCAGGCAGAGGTTGCCATGCAACCGATCGTTGGGTATGCATGATCTAATTACTATTCACTGGATGATGAATGATGGTGGTGTCTATTCAATGAAGTTATTGCCCTTGTGAATGGGGGAGTAGATACTAGAGTGTATGAGACTGAGAGAAGATCTATACATATGTTAAGGAATAATAGCCTGATTAACTCTCAACTAGTTTCATCCCTTAGCCTATAATATCATTTCCTTCACTCACTCACTCACTCTCAGGTCTCTTGTGTTGGTTCCATATTAATATTAGGTATTAATGAACTACAGAGTATAGTGCAACTTGCAAGTATAAATTAAAACTAAGGAACAAGCTAAAATCATGCACAGTCTTACTCCGTAGTTAGGCTGTCAGGGGGGCTGGATCTTTACTCCGTACAGAGTAGTCTTCACTATATATACATACATGCCCTCCATCAGTACTTGACTACCAGGAAGTTACCATGATAATATGAGACATATCTGATCCGACACTGTACCTACCGGTGGCAGTTCACTAACAGCAGGCTTTTTTCTTGATTTTGCTAGATGCATAGCCACTAGACTAGATATGTACTGTAGTTGACTGACAGCCATCATGATAATGTATCACACGGTAAAAGTGATAGTATCCATTGATTCCTCAACCTCCAGACAAATGAACAGACCTCCACGAGTGAACCACACATGATGTTCGTCCAGTACACAGATCTTTTTACGCAGCGCAATGGAACAGAGATCTTATGCTGGAATTTCAGGCCGCATTGGAGAAGAATCTAACAGTAGACCTGATGTCAATGTTCCCAGACTTATATCTCCATGAACATTGACTCACTCAATCCTGTCATTTATCCTATGCTGCAAATATCAATCTTCGGGTATTAGATGAGCTCTTTGATGCTCCGAGGCACGAACCAGAAGCCAACCTGCTATCTACGTTCCCGAAGAACTATTCTCGCAGGATCAAAATGGCGACTGGACCAAAGCTCTGTCACTGGGATCATTGGCTGGGGGGATAGTGGTTTCTATCCCCATTACTACGAATGCACTTGATTGACGCGGACTCCGAGTCCAGTGAATGAGGATGACTGGTATCTTCATCTGCCAGAGAGCAATCTCACCGTCAAAGTTTGTTTCCTGTGCGTTGGCTGGTTGATTGACTTTGGCAGATTCTTCTGAAGCCTACATGGGTTAGACATGACCTGGAAATGGTGAAATAACTGTGTCAGGAGACATTAGCAACACTCTGAGTTGCGCCACAGCTCCCTGTTGCGGTTCGGCCGTGAATAGACAGTGTTCGGATATCTCAATTGATCTGGTTGCAAGGGTCATGATTCAGTTTCTTAATAATCCAGTACAGCAATAGTTAGCTTGACTGTTAGACAGTGGACGCTGACATCGTAACATAAAATAAAAAGCTAGTTCTACCTGGTTGGAGACATTTGTTTCACATACTCATGATGCCCTGATACCGATGATTTCGATATATTCAGCAATTTGCAAATCAAAGACCCTTATCATGGCTTTTACCATCTCAACTTATGTGGTACTTTGTATCAGTTAAAGAAGTTTGCCTGTCATGCAATCCTATATCCAATACCTCCTGGGTGACTCCGGGAAACGGCATTCCTCATTTCTGCCAGAAACAAAGTTCAAATCTTGAATAACATATGAGGACAAGGCCAGCTTAGTCCATTTGCATCTTCAGTCCATCACTGCATCACCTCTTTTTAGCCTCCCCTGCCCAAATCCGAGTCTCTTTTGCGCTGTCATGAGCCACACGGAACACTGATGTATGATGGTAGAGCCTTCTTGTCAGTCGAACAATCTGCGGGCTGGAGATATCATAAGTCACTTACACCGTCTCTCTGTCTCATCTAAACCGCGAAGGAAATCTGCACCGTCCCCTAATGCGCCTTTGGGGTTATGTGCATGATCCGCAATCTCCGCTGCGCGCTTTTTGAATGTCTACTCAAGACAGATTAGCACGGCGAAAGTCCTAGGAAAAGCGCAGGTGACCGATCCACACATACATCGACCAAAACATCCACCATTTCCTCCTCTTCAAACAGGTCAAGGACTCGCTCGCTCAGATTGTAAAAGTGCGGGGCCAACGACCGCAAATCGACAGATCGCGGATCCGCCTTGAGGGCATTCATAACCCGATCCGATAATGCTGATGGAAGGTCCAATGTGACCAGCCGAGAAGTCCCCAGGCGCGCCCTTGCAATTTTGGGTTAGAAATGACCTGTTGTAGGAGTGATCGTATACAGTGCTTAGGGTTCTAACCCAATAGACAGCATCACGCCCAGCCACAACGGGAGATCAATTCGAGTCCCTGCTTTTATCTGCGCGGCTGGTTAGCTCTCAAGCCCTCCTTGCTCCTGTCCTGTCGACTTACATTTTCCCCAGGATTGCCCTCTAGGATGCCAAGCCCCGGCACTTCAAGCTCGAAGGTGCAGGGTAGTTTCTATGGCCGAGGTGAGAATTAGGTGAATGGCACCACTGGAGGCTGACATACTTGCGCATCTGTGAGAATGGAATCCACATCATAATAGGACATGATGAGTTTGTCTACAGCAGAAATCTCAAATGGCGAATCATCGATCAACGTCATCAAAGTTGAGGAAGTTGAAGCTCGCTGCTGTCGCGTCCCACTGTCACGCTATCACGTGACTAATATACTGATGTTCGGTTCTTGGCACCACCTCTTCGCTCGTACAGCCAAACAAACCTGGCTGGAGGCTTCCTGTATTAGTATGGACTATGGAGTACCACATACAGCCTGGATTTGTAGAGATGTCTCACTCTGGCAGATAAACTACAGAGTATAGAATCCTGCAAAGGGAAGCGCTCAGGGATGCAGTTTGTCGTACGAGCTTGTTGACTTTTGCCAATTCTAGGTATCTACACAAGTTCCTTTAGGTTACGTATCCTGACCTACTACGTACAGTTCTACAGACTACAGGGTCAGATAAACAACACGCCAAGGCTGTCATATCTGAAAGACATCGATATTATAAGGTTAGATTCCTGCTCCGCATGTACCGGGACTAATCCGTGCTACAATACTACTATACAAGAGAATGCGTGCACGAGCATCGGCTCTCCGTCCAAACGGCGCTTCAATCTCCAGTTCCCTGCCCTTCTAGCTAGGCTGAGATGGTTGACGGTCTAGAACGGAAGATTTGCGGCGTTCGGATATAGCGCGCGTCTCCACCAGTCGTCAGATTCGAAGTTCGAACCCAAACAGATCCGGTTCATTATTACAGGGCCTTGAGGATGGGAACTACTATTCTACAAGGATTCATGCAGCTCATTATTTGGACAGATACTATCAGTATGCAGTACCTATATTATTGACTACTGCTGAAGCCTGTTTGCTTTACCTTTACCGTCTAGGTTAGGTAAGTAGGTAGGTAGGTACCTATGTAGGTATCGTGGTTTTCTGGTCAGGGTACATTACGCGTATCTTACCGTACAATAACCGGGGCTGCCCTGCCTGTTCACAGAAAAAGGAAAACGGTCAAACGACTCGACCCTGGATGCGATTGGATTTACCATACCATACAATCATTCTGCATTCGGACAGATGCTCATCCCAATGCTCCGGACACTTTGTATGGCTCCCTGAGTCCCTGGACAATTGAATCTGCTGCAACCCGCCTCTTCCCCCGGATCACGGCGCATTCTCCCTGCAGTCTGACTTTTGATCTCCTGTTTGTTTCGATGATATGTATCGAACTATCGAGCCCTGTGTCCATGTTGGGTCTTGGCGTTGGGTGACATGGGATCTCGCTAAGAGCGATCTGGTCTAGTATATCCTCTAGTTGGTTCCTACTGGATCAGCAGTGGACATTTCTGTCTTTTGAGAAGTCGAAAAAAAAAAAAAAAAAACATCATCTTTCTCCAGTTCCTTGATTTCCAACGACATCTGGAATCTAATTACTTATTATGTGGATTGTCACTACATCATCGCTAGGAGTTTTCTTCGATTCTGGATGGTATCTATCATCTGCACATACCTATATTCTCAAGAGGTCAATACCCATGGCATATATTACCTAGATCTCTGTAGGTACTGTAGTAGTTACCTGGGATCTACCTTACCTACCTACTTGGTAGGTCTTACACGTATTGGAACGGTACATATTACGCAGAAAGTCGCTGTAAGATGCAAACAGATGTACCTGAGTGGAGGATACGCAGGAATTCCCTTTTAAATTCCCCCTCCTCCAACGAGATCCAAATATAGCACTCAGGACCAACTTGTCATGGACTGTATGGAGTTTACAGATTGACTCTGGAAATTTTGTCGAACTAATTTCCCCCCAGCAGGGATATCTCCATTCTACGATCAGCTAGACAATAATAATTATTATCTCACGATTGTTATTTGATTAAATCTTGTTCTCCGGTATCTATCTACCTTGTCCTGCGCTCAGAAGCTCTCCTGATCATGCTGGGTTTCCTCTCTTCTTCCTCTCCCTCATAGCTCTTTCTTATCTTTCTTTCACCCTCAAACCTTTGTTGAACCTGATTACCTCCTTTTTTATCTTTCACTTATCCATGCCTATGCATCATCCTGCATGAAGGTTGCCTTATCTTTCCTCAAGAAACCCTCAATTATCGATTCCTCCCCTCACTTTTCTCTCGGCGCCTTCGACCTTGCAGATCTCCCTGGACTCTTGATGGCCCTTGGCTACATCGCCTGCTCATCGATCACTGCGGAAAATGGCTTACAACGCCGTTTCTCAGGCCGACCTCGAGGTGGCTTCCAACGCGACAGATTCTGATGCCTCCCGCAGCCCTTCTCCTCATTCGCAAGATGGCCATAAATTCGAGCAACTACCTCTAGATACGGATCATATCGGTGGAGGAAATTGTATGCAACCAGCCAAGTCCGCGGAAGATACCGACTCTGGAGGCTTGGGCTCCGTGTTACGCTCCATCACTTCGACCAACTACGATATCGTGGAGGAAGACGACTACGAAGAAACGGAGCCACCGGCGAATGAACGCGCCAACAGTCTCCGCCGTACTATTCCTCCGCTCGATACCACCCCAAGGTCACCAGCGCAACCGGACGCCGAGGAGCCGGCTGTGCGTACTCCGATCAACGATCATCCCGTGCCTCTCAGTCATCCAACGCCGGATCTCCAGTCCATTCAAGGAGCCTACGTCAATAACGTGGAGAGATTGGAACGAAGTGCGGAACGCTTGAGCTCGAGCTCGGCGGATATCGCGAGCGAGATCCGGAAGATGAATCTCGAGCAGAAGAGACGGCCATGCAGCTCAGCCTCCAATCCAGCTCTCCCGTTCAATCCCGAAGGCTCTCCTTTGAGGAACAGTCTCTCAAGCCCTCACGGCTCGACTCGTTCAGGACCTCGTCTGGCGCTAGTTTCTGAACTTGGGGATGGCGGAGCGTACAGTGATCCTCCATTTCGACCCGCCATCGAGTCTATCCCCCCACTTCAGCTTCCCAGTCCCTCACCACCCCCAAAAGACGCCCCTGAACAATACAACCTTGATCCAGGGCATGGGATCGAGCGACCATCGTCGGCTGCGTCTGGTGATACGTACCAACAAGCTAGCGTGTTGTTCACTGACTTTGACGGCGTGCATTTTGTCCCCCATGACAAAGGCCCGGACCTCATGCGGCATGTGTCGCTCACCAGGCCTCCTTTGGCAAGCAGCTCTGAGTCGTACAAGGAACCGCAGGCGGGAGGAAACATGGTATATTACCCTGCCCCCGTCCCAATGATGCTGAACCTGCCACCGCGGCTGTCACACAAGCCCGATTCAGAACGGGAGCGGGAGAAACGCCGCACGCAACTTCTCAGCTCAGTTGCTTTAGCGAACAGGAAATCCGCGCCATGGCTGTCTGGCCGGAGCTCGGAAGAGACCAGCGAGCGCAAGGGCCAGAAGGACATACCACCACAGCTTCGGGCAAGCGTCTTCTTTGAATCTCCAGCCGCACCGCTTGAAATAGAGGTCAAACAGGCTTCTGCCGTGGAAACACTCGAGAGCATTCTGGAAGCATCTGCACATGCACCTGTGACCGCTTTCACCGAGCATCCTTTTGCTGGCAACTTGGGATCTGATGTCTACCGGAGCTCGAAGCACAAGACATCACACAAAGATCTCTCCGACCAGAAGAAGAAGCGTAGCTCTAGAAGTCACCTTCTTGCCGAGTACAATGCTTCTGATCCGGATGCCAGGGCGACCTCCATGGCGAGTCAAGGATTTCACAAGCAAACAGAAGGCGATGCTGCAGAGAGACATGATGATACTGCTTTGCATGATGCTGATCGTACTTCTGATGAGCACACTGGTAGTGATGATTCCGAAAGCAGCGATGAAGATTCGGAAGAAGGCGAGCCGGATTTTGAATACACGGGCCCCCCTAATACTCTACTTGCAGAACTTGAAATGCGAAAGCAGGAACTCAAACAACGACGAAGGACAGCTGCAACTTCTGTTGGGATGCATTCGACTCTCCTTCAACTCGAGGCTGTCGCTCAGAAACAGAGTGAGCACAGACGACAGAGACCGGTCACGTTGGCCTGGGAAGACCCAGATGTCCACAAACACGAGGAGGAGGACGATGAAGACGTACCTTTGGCCATGCTCTTCCCCGAAAAGGCTAATGCAGCGGACGAGAGTCGACCATTGGGGCTCATGGAGAAGAGGGAGATGGAGGAGAGTGAGCCGCTGAGCCGACGTCGCGCAAGACTTCGAGGCGAACCTCTGCCGTCTGGTGGTCTTGATAAGCGTCCAATCACCATGTACACACAAGCCATGCCGGAACCCGCTCAGCCCGACAGTGGAGACGAGGAAGAGACTCTGGCGCAGCGTCTTAAACGTCTGAAAGCCAAAGACCAAACTAGCACCGTGGCAGCAAGTGAATTCGCAAGTGAACTTCTAGCAGAGATAAACCAGCTGCATGAGGATGAACAAAAGGACCCCGAGACGGAGCCTGTACCTGAGAATGAAACTCTCGCTCAGCGGCGTGAACGGCTCCGGAAGGAAGCCGCCGCTCAGAAGCAGTCGGCTCCCAGAGCTCCGAGATATCGGAGAAGCATGGCAGACATCCTGCATGCCCGCCCGATCAACGTTGGGCCACCGTCGCTGAATGAGGCTGCCATCCAGCGCGCGTCGATATATCACCGCCCTGTCGAGCCCCGAATGTCGATGCAGCAACTTCCCACAAACTTTGGTCAATTCCCCTCGGCAGGATTCCCACAACACCAGGGATACGCCGCTTCCGAAATGCAGGGCTATGGAATGGTCCACCCAAACACCTTCTACAGTGATGCCATTCTGGGGCGAAACCATCTGAGCTACGCGATGCCAAACAATTACCATCCCAAGGTCCTACAGCCAGTTGTTGATAACGGCCAGCGAGAGATGATCGATCGTTGGAGACAAAGCATTCGATAAGGCGTTTCTGCTCTCTCTTTTCTCCATTCAACGTTTGCTTGCAATTTCCGCCTGGACTGCTCTCATCGCATCTTTTCTTTCTTTCGTTTTTTTCTGAGCGATATGCTATTGATTGGGAAGCACGAGTACCCTTTGTGTGTTGGTGATATCCATATAGAATTAGCGATTATTAGCTTTGTTCTGCGTAAAGTCACACATCTGGTTGTATGAACCTTCCCGATGGTTCGGATATAATTTCCAGCATTCCAACCAGATTATACGTATCTACAGTATGAATTAAAATTTCTCGACTTAGCATTTGTCCATGCATCATCAACTGTGGGAAAGGTGCAGTATCGCCTGCATCGGCGCATCTGCTTTGCAACCAGTCCAACCAATCCGAAGCATTGGCCCTGATGAGGATACATCCATCTCAAAAGCTTGTCGTTATTCCATTTGATCCAGAATTTCCATGTCACTTAAAAGAGATGCCATGCCGATGTCAAAAATAAGGTACAAAACAGAAAGACGGAATGCAATCATATAGATGGCTGTTGATGGCCCGCTTTCGGGGCGATGATGGATGACATTCTTTCGTCCACCGTTTCTGTCAACAAAAATAACAAACCGACTGGTCCATGTTTTTGCCCCGTTTTCCATCCCATCTCATTCGTTCTTCTTCTTCTTCTTCTTCCTTTGACTGCGCTCAATCTGTCTGAATTCAATGAAATCAATCATTTGAGCACGAAGTTGCCTGCAGGACTTCCATCTTAATCGACCGTTTCTCAGCTTCCTCTGCATGTTTATCGACCCCCGTTGAGACTAGCCCCACAGCTTTCTATCGATCGTCAAGCCCGTGAAACACAACAGCACAGATCAGGAACAGCAGATTCGGAGCATGATGGGAAGTCTCTACGAATCCTGAACAGAGTGACCACTCATAGACAGGCACCGTCGGTGCTTGGGGGTGCCAATCAAATCATGCCAGCATCTACCGTTTTCTCCTACTGGCGCCGGGAACATCGTCGGTCGAGTGCGCCCCCCATCGCTTCCTCCGTGCAGGGTGCCCCGAAAGGCAAAAGTGCCAGCAACACTGCTCAGCTTCCCGTGATCCATCACACGCCCGTCCTTGCGACTACAATCGAGGAGTCCGCCTCGCTTACTGATGCACTAAGCCCCCTCACGTCGAACGAATACTCCTCTTCGGACCTCGATACGGACAAGGGCCATGCCGCCGTTTCTGCGGTCCCGGTCAATGCGCCGTCATCCTCTGCGACCAATCTAGCCGTGCCATCGTCGACGTCGGATCAGCACGCCCACCCGCAGTCTAGTCCTGAAGAACGCGACAACGTATTCACAGACTTGACCGCACAATCGAACCTGTCGCGGCTGTCATTCACGCCCTCTCGTCCGGACTATGGCGATAGTGATTCTTCCAAGCCGAACTCGCCTTTCCGGCTGACTTTCGGAAAAGGACTGCTGAACGCGCACAGCCAACCCTCAGAAGTCAATATACGAAGGTCCTCTACACCGGTGTTGATGTCTGGCGGCGAGAAATCAAACATGATGCAGAAGGAATACCGGCCGGAAGGCGCGAGTGGTCGGCGACAGGCGGATCGGGATTTGGCTGCGGAACATACAACGCATAAATCCGGGAAGACAAGGCTGCATCTGCTAAATCCTATGTCGCTCCTGGCTCGGAGGCGCTCTTCGCAGATTCCCGGCCTGCGGGCGGAGGAAATCAACATCAGGGCCCGGAATGTGGTCCCCGCGATTCCGGACGATTACGACCCTAGAATCCGTGGAAGTATTGTGCATGACTTCTCTGCGCCTCGGCCGCGTCGGAATCTATCTGTGGCCCCGGTGCTGTTGCAAGACGTGACAAGTACTCAGAGTCCCAATGATCTGTCGCAAATTGGAAACACACCTGTGGGGAGTGGGAAAGACGCACCGGCTCTAGCAAGTGAGCATAGGAGGAAGCATAGTGAATATTCACCGGTTTTCAAGGAGCATTTTGAGGATGATCAGAATGTGCTACAGGTCGATAACAAGGCCTATTTACAATCATCTCTTCTGACGGACACATCTTTTCATGGCCATGAACCATCGGTCCCCGTCTTCGCCAGAAGACTCCCTTCCAAGATTCCGGATCATGATGAACATCCTAACGAACATACCAAGTCCCAGCCCGAAAAAAAATATCCTCAAGGAGAATCTCAGGCAGACGCGTTGGGTGAAAATCCGCCAGCAGGCGGGCCAGAACGAGAACCAGACACTATAGAATTCGTCACCCACCAGCCGTCGGGCTTACCGAAACATTTCAAGAGCAACGCATCCCGGTTCAGCTTTGACATGAACGGAGTCGAATCTTCAACCCAGGAGAAGCTGCTGGAAGAAAAGCACAAGGAGAAAGAAGCAGCACGCAGAGCTCAGGCTCGCCTTGAAGACAAAGATTATAGTGATGTCGATGATGATTACGATAATGACCTTCTGGATGACCTGGACGACCTGGAAGAGAAGATTCCTGGAGTCAATGTCGATGCCGAGGAGGACGAGTTTAGTAGTTTTTCGGCTCCTGGAGCCGCCCTCACCAGCTCTTCGTATGCGCCCGGCCTTTCTCCGGTTGTCGCTAGTCCCATCATTGCACCTCAAACCTATATGCCCGTTGATTCAGATCCCCGAGTTGACCTCGGCCTTGTTCCTGCTTTACCGGTAAACCCAGACCTTCTCATCACCCATTCCCCCACCTCTACGCTCTTGGGGGATTATGGTAGTGAAGATCCCATCGAAAATCAAGATGTGCATGTTTCGCAAACGGCAAATCAGTTTGAAAAGTTAACAGCCGGACATCCTATGCCTACGGTCACTTCCCCGTCAACATCACAGCCCATCCAGGAAGATGATGACTTGTACTTTGATGACGGGGAATTCGGGGATCTTTCGGCCGATGCTGAGGGGGAGATATTTGATGAATCACTCTTTGATGACGAGACTAGTCATCTCTATGCCCGGAAGACGACTGCCGGACCCCCGGCCTCAGTCCCCTCTGAGATCAAGGAGGACACGTCCGAACTGGATGAATCTTCGACTGGGTTAAGCGCACTCGGTCCAGGAGTTGCCCAAGAAGGGGGGCTTAAACCTGCACCTAGCATGACCAGCGACGTTCGAGATCCCAGCCGAATGGTGTATGGCGGCCGTGCCGTCGTCGGGATAGACCCTAGCCTGCCCACCAAACCACTTGGCGGAGTTCTCTCCGAGCATAACCTCGAGGCGCTACACAACGCTTTGGAGAAGGCTGCCAACGCGACAGCCGACATGGATCGGTTTGATCGCAGCACCAGCGTGAGTGACATATCGATCGGCCAAGATAGTGCTGCACAGACGACTCAGACGATGGATTCTTACTCGGGCCTCGTATCCGACGACAGCCATCTCAGCCAAGCGTTAGATGTATTGTGCTTTGAAGAAGTACTGGATGATTTTAACTACGATGACGACGATACGGCCTTCTATGATGATCCCATAATTGCCGCTGCCAACGCGGAGGCGCTGGAAAATGACGACGAAGGCTTCTACGGGCAAGAGTTCGGATTCTACGCCCAAGCTCATGGGGGTCAAGTCTCCGAGCTCACCAACGGGGGCTATTTTGGTCCGCGTGGCATCGAAGGCATTTCCCGGAGCCATAGCAGCCGGGGCAAATTCAGAGAACCTAGCCTGACCCCCATCACCGAACGGAGCGAATGGAGTACGCGCAACTCAGTCATTTCGGTAGCCGCGCATGGGAATGCTCATTCGTCACTTCCCAGTCCAGGGTTAGCCCAGCTCGTTGATATGGGGAATCTCGACGACGAGATGTCCTTGAGCGCGCTACTGAGGCTCCGGCGCGGTGCCTGGGGCGGTAGCAATGGAAGTCTCCGCAGTAGCAGCGGCAGTCCACCTCCTCATCAACACCCGTCTTCCAATCGCGGAAGTTTTACTGGGTTTTCCGATGTGAGCCCCAGTGTACAGACTGTTCCCCCAGATTATCTCTTCGGAGGGTCCAGTGTGGCTGAATCGCCGATCAAAGAAGTCGGTGAATGCGGACCCCTCATTGCGACGGATGAGACCGCCGATGCTGGACGAAAGGGACCTGCTGATATGATTTGACGAAAAGCCGCCCTCGAACGAGGGAATCACCCAATCTGTTGATCTCCTTGATGCCATCCTCTTCAGATAATATCACGTGATGATTTGAACCAGGAGGGTGACGGGTATATATGCGTGATCTATCTTCTGATCTATACGTTTCTTGATTTAGTGGAATATTCTGTGATGCATCGAGTGACCATACCCCGTGTCTTGGACAGTTTACTTATAGCTCTCTTATTCCCTTCCTCTTTCTTCCTGCGTTATCTAGTCTGCTTTCCGTCCCTTTGGACAGACAGATTGATAGTGTACTTGTTACGATGTGATGATGGAGGTAATTTATAACGTGCTTTTGCTTCCTGTCACTCCAGATCCCTCCTTTCTCGTGGAGTCGATATTCGATCGAATCTTCTCGCTTGTTGCTAGGTGCTCCGTCTCCCAGCGGTGCCTTAAGGTAGATAACTATGAAGTCATCCTGCATCTGCTAAGGTAATTATCAGGTCTTCTGCCTTGTTCCTGTGGAGGTACTTTTGAGTTACCCTTCTTAGTAAGTGGAACTGAGCTGTGACGCTGATTGGCTCACCGGCCCATCCGCAAAAACCCGGAGCGGGAAATAGTTTTAACCGGGCCGTGGCGGTGCGAATACTCCCAATTTTACTATACGGTGTTCTGTAATTTCAGCGCCATCGAGCGGTCTAGGTAGTGGTTCCGCGCTGAGTCAGCTGTGGCGGGTATCAGGCGGACAGCAGGAAAAGGGCAGCGTGTTCAGCCACATCCACGCTGGCCGTCATAGCCGTAGAAGAATCTCGGCAAAACCTCGCGCGCAGAGTTTCTTGATCCTCTCTCTCTTCCTCTTGCTTCTCCAGACTATTTCCCTCTCTAGGATTCTCCCTTCACTTCCCTCTTCCCCCCCCCCCTCAAAAGAGGATATTCTTTCTATCTTAGAGCGTGTTTGCTCTCTGATGAGTACAGTTTCTGCGCAGGTGCTACGGCAATCTTAGTCGACACCTGTTTTTTTTTTTTTTCTTTAAATCCCTCACTTTTTAGTGACTCCCGTACGTGTTCCTTTTACCCGTCCCAATTCCTACCAGCTCTGATGAGCCTTGCCAAGCTAACCGCGACGAATCTGCCAGATAGATTATCGGAAATCTACAGTCGTTGTCGAATTTCGAGTGGAAAAGAACCTCGAATTCGTTCGCATTCAACTCTCTACATACCCCTTCTACGCATCGACGACGGAAAAATCCCGCAATGTTTCGCAACACCGCCGTCAAGGCCAGCAGCGGCATGCTGCGTGGCTCTACCTCCTCTACCTGCAGACGGTCCATTTCTCTCACGGCCACTGCTAGAACTACCGCTAGCCACAGCTCGAAATTCGGCTTGACCTCGAGAAGACCTCTCGCCGTCGTTGACCGTATGTGCAATGGCAAGAGATTCTATGCCGCCGGGACTAGCGTGGGAGTGGTGAGTTTGAGCAATCCTTGAATTTTCTGTACGGTCTTTGGTTGAATTGGGGGTGGCTAATCTTTTGGGTGCGCGGTTTCGCGCGATTCCTTGTTATCTGTTTAGGATCCTAATGATAACTTCCTGTCTGGCAACACCGCCAACTATATCGATGAGATGTACTTGGCCTGGAAGAAAGACCCCTCGAGTGTGCACATTTCGTGGCAGACATATTTCAAAAACATGGAAGATGGCAACATGCCCATCTCCCAGGCTTTCCAGCCCCCTCCCACCCTTGTTCCTACACCGACTCTTGGCGTTCCCCAGGACATGCCTGGTGCAGGCCTGGGTCTCTCCGCTGGCACTGATGTGACAAGTCACTTGAAGGTTCAGCTCTTAGTTCGCGCCTATCAGGCTCGTGGTCACCACAAGGCCAAGATCGATCCCCTTGGCATCCGTGGTGAAGCGGAGGCTTTCGGCTACAACAAGCCCAAGGAGCTCGAACTCGACCACTACGGATTCACCGAGCGGGATCTCGACCAGGAGTTCACTCTCGGCCCCGGCATCCTTCCTCGCTTCGCTACCGATAGCCGCAAGAAGATGACCCTGCGCGAGATCGTTGCCACCTGTGAGAAGATCTACTGTGGCTCGTATGGTGTCGAGTACATCCACATCCCTGACCGCAAGCCTTGCGACTGGATCCGCGACCGCTTCGAGATCCCCGAGCCCTACAAGTACTCCGTTGATGACAAGCGCCGCATTCTCGACCGTCTCATCTGGTCACACAGCTTCGAGTCCTTCCTGGCCACCAAGTTCCCCAACGACAAGCGTTTCGGTCTCGAGGGTTGCGAGACCCTTGTCCCCGGTATGAAGGCCCTGATTGACCGCAGCGTCGAGCACGGCATCAAGGACATCGTCATTGGTATGCCCCATCGTGGTCGTCTCAATGTTCTGTCCAACGTCGTCCGCAAGCCCAATGAGTCCATCTTCAGCGAGTTCTCCGGATCCGCCGAGCCCTCGGATGAAGGTTCCGGTGATGTCAAGTACCACTTGGGTATGAACTTCGAGCGCCCCACGCCCTCCGGTAAGCGCGTTCAGCTGTCTCTGGTTGCCAACCCCTCCCATCTGGAGGCCGAGGACCCCGTTGTGCTCGGAAAGGCCCGCTCCATCCAGCACTATAACAACGATGAGACGGAATTCAAGACCGCCATGGGCGTTCTGCTGCACGGTGATGCCGCCTTCGCCGCCCAGGGTGTCGTCTACGAGACCATGGGCTTCCACTCCCTCCCCGCCTACTCGACCGGCGGTACCATCCACCTGATCGTGAACAACCAGATCGGTTTCACCACCGACCCCCGTTTCGCTCGTTCCACCCCTTACTGCTCGGATATCGCCAAGTCCATTGACGCGCCTGTGTTCCACGTGAACGCTGACGATGTTGAGGCCCTTAACTATGTCTGCCAGGTTGCCGCTGACTGGCGTGCCGAGTTCAAGCGCGATGTCGTTATTGACATTGTCTGCTACCGTAAGCAGGGTCACAACGAGACCGATCAGCCCTCTTTCACCCAGCCCCTGATGTACAAGCGCATTGCCGAGCAGAAGGCTCAGCTTGACAAGTACGTCGAGAAGCTGATCTCCGAGGGCACCTTCACCAAGGAGGACATCGATGAGCACAAGAAGTGGGTCTGGGGCATGCTCAACGACAGCTTCGACCGCAGCAAGGACTACCAGCCCACTAGCAAGGAGTGGCTGACCTCCGCTTGGAACGGTTTCAAGACCCCCAAGGAGCTGGCCACCGAGGTCCTGCCTCACCTGCCCACTGCTGCCGAACCCGCTCTGCTGAGCCGCATTGCCGAGAAGATCAGCGGCCCCCCCGAAGGCTTCACCGTTCACCGCAACCTGAAGCGTATCTTGGCCAACCGTAGGAAGACTGTTGAGGAGGGTACGGGCATCGATTGGCCCACTGCTGAGGCCCTTGCCTTTGGTACTCTGGTTGATGAGGGCTACCACGTCCGTGTTTCCGGCCAGGATGTTGAGCGTGGTACTTTCTCCCAGCGTCATGCCGTTCTGCACGACCAGGAGAACGAGGGTACCTATACACCTCTCCAGGATATCAGCGACAAGCAGGGCAGCTTCGTCATCTCCAACTCCTCTCTCAGTGAATTTGGAGCGTAAGTGAAAGATGGGGTTCTATTCGAGGCTTCTTTTGATGCTAACTTTCTGAGACAGTCTTGGTTTTGAGTACGGCTACTCTCTGACCTCGCCCAACGCCCTCGTCATGTGGGAGGCCCAGTTCGGTGACTTCGCCAACAACGCTCAGTGCATTATTGACCAGTTCATCGCTTCCGGCGAGTCGAAGTGGCTCCAGCGTTCCGGCCTGGTTATCTCCCTGCCCCATGGTTATGATGGCCAGGGTCCCGAGCACTCTTCTGGCAGAATGGAGCGTTGGCTGCAGCTTTGCAACGAGGAGCCCCGTGTCTTCCCCTCCCAGGACAAGCTGGACCGTCAGCACCAGGACTGCAACATGCAGATTGCCTGCATGACCTCTCCTGCCAACCTCTTCCACATTCTCCGTCGCCAGATCCACCGCCAGTTCCGCAAGCGTAAGTTTCCATTCGACCTCTTATCTCCTGCGTTCAGCCCAGACTAACCTTGTTCCAGCTCTCGTGATCTTCTTCTCCAAGTCCCTCCTCCGCCACCCCATTGCCCGCTCCGATCTTGAAGAATTCACCGGCGAGTCTCACTTCCAGTGGATCATCCGCGACCCAGCTCACGGCTCCGCCATTGACGAGCCTGAGAAGATCGAGCGCGTTATTTTGTGCAGTGGTCAGGTGTATGCTGCCCTGGTCAAGCACCGTGAGGCGAACAACATCCGCAACACTGCCATCACCCGTGTTGAGCAGCTTCACCCCTTCCCTTGGGCTCAGCTGAAGGAAAACCTGGATAGCTACCCCAACGCCAAGGACATCGTCTGGGCCCAGGAAGAGCCCCTGAACGCTGGTGCGTGGAGTTTTGCCCAGCCTCGTCTTGAGACCCTGCTCAACGCCACTGAGCACCACAACCGCCGCCACGTTCTCTACGCCGGCCGGGCCCCCAGTGCCTCCGTTGCCACCGGTCTCAAGTCGGTCCACATCAAGGAAGAGCAGGAGTTCCTCGAAGATGCATTTACTCTCCACCAGGAGCGCCTGAAGGGCGAGTAAATGTAGCATGGCGTGGTACCTCTGGCTTTCTCCAGCAGGAGAAAGCCGTGTACTCACTGTTTGGATTATCATCATAGGTGCTTTGATTTGTAGGAGCTAGCGTCTTTTCATTTCTGTCTCCTTTGTATGAATTCATTTTCCCATCAGCATATTGTACGAGATTCATCGTACGATCTTGCTTTTTCCGTCTGGGGGCTTTTTCTTTTTGGTATCTGCTTTTGTTTTTTTTTTCTACAGAGGTTCCCTGGTATAGCCTTTCCGGGTTGACTTGTCTATACCTAGAAAGTGCCAGTGATGTGCTTGTAAACTAAGATCGCATTGATTTACTAGATAATATGGCAGGTTCTTTTGTTTGTTGATATTCCATTTTTCCTGATAGATAGTGATTGCTCGATAAGCCACGATAAGTGACGTCAGCCTATTTGACTTTTTTGCGATGAGTCAGCAGACGCGTGTGCCTGAGCCTACAGGCATCAATCACCTGATTACTGGCCCAAAGGGGAAAGTCTCTCTTCTCCGCATTGCAGAACTTCCCTCCCCTCTTATCCTCCGCTGCCCATCAACGCACAGCCTGAGCAATCATCTATCTGTTTATTGGTATAACCCAGCCGCAGTCGATCGCCAAGGTTCCTTCGTCCAGCCTTGCTGACGCTCCACCATGTCGGTTGTTTCCTCGTCGACGAACGCCCAGGGTCCCAACGCCCGTCAGTCGGCGCGCCAGACACGGACAAACCCCTCGAGGACGTCCAAGACTCTCGGACGCTCGTCATTTGCGTACGGCCATGGCTCAATGATTGAGACGCCTCCCGCTCCCACACCGCACGGCTTTTACCCTGCCCTGACCCATTTCACGGACGCCATTACCGCGCTTCCGCGGGAGTTTCGTCGCCACAACTCGTTGCTCAAAGAGGTTGATGCCAAGGCATGGGCGCTGGAGGATAATCTGCTTCAGTTGCTGAAGATGTCGTCGGAGTCGCAGCCTGTAGCTTGTCCGCCGAACCCTGCGCCGATTGTGGATGGGGCGGTGCGGGAGGACCTTGTGTTGGCGGTAGGTGCTGTCTACGGTGGATTGGATGTATTTGGGGCATGGGTATGCTAATGTAGAGGATCGGATACGATAGGTCCCGCCTCAGACTCCCGAATCGCAGGATAGCAAGAACCGTCGCCTGCTCTTCGATCGTGTGCGGCGCACCCTCGTCGACTTGATGATGACCGCCGACGAGAAGAACCATGTTATCTCCAATGCAAACGACGAATTGGACCGACAACTTCTGCGGACCGATGGTATCTTCCCCTTCATTGCGGGCGAGATCAGCGAAGAGTCGCGCCTGGGCAGTCTCACGCACTGGGCCTACTCGAACAGGAACGCTGCCAAAACCGTGACGAACGAGCGTCCGCGCCGCGAGACCGCATCGAATAAGCAAGACTTTGCTCATGGAGGCCATGAAGGCGAGGGCTCACATCGCGGAGACGCGAGGCGGGAGGGTGCCCGCAAACAGCGTCGGACACACGCGGACTCGGACTTTGACGATGCTCGTGCGTCTGGTTCGCGAAAAGGCCAGGCCGGCAAGTCTCGTGGCGGCGCGGGAACGGCTCCCAGTGAGCAGCCTGCCGTTGGTGCGCAGGGTTCTGGGGCAGGAACTTCTGGGGCGACGAAACGCCGCAAGGTGGAGCGCCCGCCACCTGTCGATACTGGGGTGGCGGTCATGGAACGATCTGCCAGCGGGACAGGCAATGCTTCGGCGCGTGGTGCCTCAAAAGACGCGACTGGCGATGCGACCAAGAAAAGATCCCGAGCCCCCAACCCGAACGCGGCGTCTCGCAAGAGGTCGGTTGTTACATCTGACGATAAACGGCGTATTGCTAATTGGTTCGCAGAAACAACACGGGTGCCTCTGCGGCGAATTCTCCGATTCTTGCTCCGGCTCCTTTGGCTGGGACGACTAGTCTCGTGCGAAACGCTGCCAGTCCTGGTCCTGGGGCAGTTCGGCCACAGTCGTCTCATGCTCAGCAGAGCTCTGGGCCGTCAGCTAACAGCCGCCAGCGACCGTCTTCCTCGGCGTCTAACCGCCTAGCGAATACCAGTATGTACTGGCCCGTGTCTAGCATGTTCACTAATACTGATAACTTTCTTTTGTAGACAAATCGACGGACCTCAAAGCCACTCCTAAGGAGACACCGAAGGCAGAGGCGGTTCCCGCTCCTGGAATCCCGGATACACAGCGTCGTGACACAGGGGCAGAGAATGCCGCTACCGCTGCCGCCAAGATTCCCGCTCCCGTCAGCATGAAGCGTGAGGATACAGAGATACGGCCTACGGAGTCAGTCGAAAGTCGAGAAACGCCACTACCTTTGGCCGCGAATCCTGCGCCTAAGGGGCGAAACTCCAAAACGTCAACCCCAGTGCTTTCGACGTTCTCGGAAGCCAACACGCAGCGCACTCGACCGACGCGCAACACCGAACCTGCGCCGGCGAAACGGTCACACAAGAAGAACGGCAGTGTGGCGGTGGTGCAGGCGCGGGCGGTGTCGGAGGAGGAAGAGTCGCTGCACGAGGGGGATGACGAGGACGAAGACGGCGAGCCACGTTACTGTTACTGCAACGAGATTAGTTTCGGCGAGATGGTGGCCTGCGACAATGATGCATGCCCTCGCGAGTGGTTCCATCTGTCGTGTGTGGGCTTGACCAAGCCACCTGGAAAAAACGGTGAGTGTTTTGTTTTCCCCCATGTTTGTGGGTGATGAAAGTGAAGGAGGCAAGCTGACATTTGTAGTCAAATGGTACTGCAACGAGTGCAAGGAGAACATGCGGCGCAGTCGGAATGGGCGGTAGACAGTCGAAGAAAGTGGGGGGGGGGGGTGTAGGCTGAGCTTGGGGGAGATAGATTGGACATATTTGATAGATTTGAAATTCTACTTCTACTCCGTTTGAAACGATTTCTCTTCTCTTCTTGCATGCTTCAGTAGATGTAGGAAGGTAGGAGGGTTAATAGATTAGCTCAACACCCGCCGCTGCCTCTGTCCGTCGGCAACAACACTGCCACTGCCACTTCCACTCCCACTCGCAGCAGCGGCAACAGCCTCCCCCTCCAACCTCCTCCTCAGATCCTCATACCGCTCACCACTCTCCGTCCCTCTCCCTCTCCCCCTCCGTCCCCGTCCCCGTCCCTGTCCCCCCACCTCCTTCTCCCCCACCACCCAAGCCGGAACCCTCCACGCAGACCCAGGCAGGAACTCGGCCCGCCACGCCACGCCCACCAGCCAGCCCACCGCCGCAGGCAGGAGCATGGCGGGGAACTGCGAGAGCGCCAACTGCGCGGCGACGAGGTACGTGGTGGATTTGTCCGAGAGGAGGAGGGTGAGAGATTTCTTCCCTTCGCTGCTGCTACTTTCACTACTACTTGTCCTACCCTCTGCATCTTGTTGCTGTTGCTGTTGCTGCTGTTGCTGCTGCTGGTGGTGGTGGTGGTGAAGGTGGGGGCTAGACGAGGCGGTGGTGGAAATCCGATACCGGACTGTATGCGGGATACTTGCGTGGTACTGGGCGAGGAGGGCGAAGACGACGGCGGTCGGGCCAGACGGTAAGTAGGCGAATTTGCCGCGGGAGAGGATGCTCAGGAGGGTTAGGAGGAGGGGCGGGAGGAGGGTGGTGAAGGGTGCGGTGGAGAGGATGAAGGACTATTTATTTTATGATTCCTGTTAGAGCATTGATCACTTTTTTTTTCCCCCTCTCTAGCGGCAGAGTATTCGGATTTGGATTGTGGGTTTGGATATGAATAGGGGAAAGGGAAAGGAAGGGAGAGGGAGGTCGTACAGCCATCTTCCGCTTGCCCCAGGCGCGCTCGACGACGCGCAGATGGTACGCCAGCATGGCGGCGAAGAGCGCCTCGGTGGAGTTGGTGAAGCCGGCGGCTTGCCAGGCGACGCAGCGCCAGAGCTGGCCGTAGGGGTAGAGGTCGGGGGAGACGTGGAGCGGGGCGAGGTGTTTGATGTCGAGGATGGAGAGGGCGATGGAGGCGGCGATGGTGTAGATGAGGAGGAGTTTGGAGACGGGCGCGTTGGTGAGGCCGGAGGTGAGCATTTTGGATTTTTGTCTTTATGCCGGTAGGCACGGCTTGGCCGGGTTGGGGGTTTGATGCGGGTGGTGGCTTGTTCGTTCCCTGCTGAGGTGTGGATGGATGAGATGATGCTGGATTGCTGGATTGCTGCGAACACGTTTCCACCACGTACAGATGATGTCCTAGTAGGCTAGTACGGGCCGAGCCTCGGCATGCCGATGATCTACGGAGTACACTATTCTCCAGCAACTACGAGCTAGTAACTAGAGACTCAAAAGACTAGGCAGTAGAAGAAAGGGAAAAAAAAAAAAAAAAAAAGGTTGGTAATATATACACATCATGATTGAATCGTCTGCAATCGTTGCATCTCCTCCGCCAACGCACTGTTATACTTCGCCAACGCCGTCTCCAATGCCTTGATCGTCGGCCCCAGCAGCTGTTTCACAGCTTTCTCCCCACCCGACACCCCCGCTAGATTGATGCGAATCTTCTTGCCTGTCGCCTCCAGCACCTCGCGCGCATGCCGCTTCAGCCGGTCCACCTCCACCTGCCGCTCAGCCGCCGCGTCGTTCGCCACGGCCTGGATGCGCTCCAACGCCCGGTTCAGCGACTCGACGAGCGACGCAACTTCGGCAGCGCGGTCGGGATTCCCGGACAGAAACGCCTGCCAGAACTGATGCAAGAATTCCGTACTCGTCGCGTGGGTCAGGGTCAGCCGGTCGTACAGCGTCGGGGAAAGACCGTAGGTGCCCGTCGTGGACGACGCGTCCGTCTGGTTGCGCCGATCGCGGATCGCGTCGAGGATCTGTTTCGATGCGCGCTGCAGGTTGGCCTTGGACCCGACCCGCTGGTCGAGCTTCCTCTCGTCCTCGTTCTCCTCCTCGCTCCTGTCGGGCCCCACGAGCTTGCGCAGCTGCGCGGACCCGCCGGCCGGCAAGTCGCGCGCAATCTGCCCGCGCAGCTCGGTCAGGATCTTGTCCGGATCCTGGCGAGTAAGCAGCCGGCTCTGTTCGTCTTCGGCCCCCGTGGCCTGCGAGAAGAACCGGCTCTGGTCGCGAATGTTCAGCAGAATACGGTTCTGCTCGTCGTCGCCCCGCAAATCGCGCAGCTCCAGCTCGTGGTACGTCTCCTCGTCCATTCCGATCGGCGCCGACGGATCGCGGTCCGCCGGCGCCACGTTGGCCATGATCTTCTCGCTCAGCGTGTTCAGGGTCCGGATGATGGGCACCTTGTCCAGGGCGGACGGCCGCATATCCACATCCGGCCGATTACCACGGCGCTGGCTGTTGTTGACCTCGTTACCGGCCAGGTCCAGGAAATTCGGCACGTGCGAGTCACGCTCCAGGTTCGCCTGCTCGTCGTCGCGCAGGTACTTGTCGAGAATGGCGTCGGTGGCATCCGACTCGGAGATGCGCTCGCCACGCAGTTTCTTGAACAGCCGGCTCTGAAAGAACCGCGACCAGAACTGCTGCTCGCTCAGCTTCGGCACGTTCTCGTCATACACGCGCTTCACCAGCGGGTGCTGGCTGAAGATCAGCTGGATCTGCTCTTTGCTGATGTTGAGCTTCGTCACGTTGTCTTCAACCCGCGGCTTGAGCGACGAGAGCACGTTGTACGCGCCGCGCGTCTGCGAGCGCTCGATCGCATGCGCCCGCAACAGATGCAGCCGCGTCGACCAGAACAGCGACATGAACTGCGACGCCGTCAGCGTGTCCGGTTTCGTGTGCAGCGACTCCATGAACATGCGCTGCAGGTTCGGGTCCGCCTTGAGCAGCGACTGCTGCAGCTCCACGTCCGTTTTAAGCCGTTGATCGTCGTCCCAGGGGCTCAGCCCGTGTTCCGGCACCGCCGACACCGCACTCGCGATGGCCATGGCGGCCGATACCCCCTCGCCGGCGCCGGCGGGCGTCCCTGTCCGTACGGGTGTTGCGGCCGCACTCGGCGCGGTTTTGGCGGCCTGGATGGCGGCGCTGAGCGCGTCCTTGATGGCATCTGCTTCGGCGCGGGCGTTGGCGCCGGCCGTGAACGAGAAGACGTATTGGTCCGGGGTATCGTTGGCAGGGGCATTCGGGGGCAGAGCGAAAATCTTCAGCATTACTTTCGGGTTGCTAGCGGGTGTCTGCTGTAGATCTGCCAAAGAGCAAAAGCGAAACGAGAAAAAATCATCATGAGCGTCCGAAGTCCATCAACCTCAACCAAAAAAAAGCTCCTTGTCCATACATACTGGTAATCTGAGCCACAGAAAGCGTGATCATGCCCGCAGCACCGCCAGCCGCTGGAATCCACGAGACCGACTGGCGGTCTTGGGACATGGTCAGCGTGCCATCTTTCTTCTTGTAAGCCGCCGATCCGCTCGGAGGTGCCATCGTCTTGGATCTCGACAGCTTCCACGGTCCTGAGCGGCGTATCGGGGTCCGCCCATCGGGAGGGAAACAGAACCTTCCAAGGGCGAGTCCGGCGGTAGAGGAAAAGGTCGACTGGGACTGCCGTGAGAATTGGACAGGTGGTTGGGAAACGTGAAGGGAAAAAAAAATGAGAGCAGTGAAGTGGCGCCGCAACGGAAGAAAGATCCACTGATTGTCACGTGATATGCCCGGATCGGCGAGCACTGACGCCAGAGGAAGAAAAGAAGCGCGAGAGCAATTGAAATCTAAAGGTACGGAGAAGTAGGAAGGACGATGCATTGAGAGGTGAGAATTGACTAGAGCTATCACTGAATGTACCCATGCGACAAAGCGCCCAGTTGAGTCAAGCAGGTGGGAGCACAACTCGAATAGGATCACACTGTTTCAGCCGGGTCGCTTTCAGAATACAAGATGCAGTCAAGATTGAAGCTGAGGCGATAATGAAACAGTTCCTGGAGTCAAGATTGATCAACAACCTTTTAAAGGACTAGCCACCCACCCATCCCGAGAAGTACAACCATAACGCTATAAGAATCGCTCCCGCTATGCAGAACACAACAATGCTGATCAAGTCAGGGTCAAACGAAGCAAAGCCATCGAGCTCCAAAGAAAAGAGAAACCTATCAAAAACCAACCCCATTTTTTTGCGCTCACGCTGGTGCAATTTGGTATACGAAACCGTCCCTGATGCGAACCCGAAGAAAGAAAGCAAAGACCAAAGGAAACGGAAGAAAAACAAACAAAAAAAAAAAAAAAAAAAAAACAGAAAAGAAAAGAAATAAGGGTATTTGAACATGCAGAATCGTAAGCCGACAAACAGTCCATGACACAAACACTCTTTCTCGTGGTCCCCTTCCGAATCTCAAAATTATTTCTTGAACATGTAGTGTCCGTAGATGCCCCCGACATCACCCACAGCCACAGGGATCTTCCGCATTCCCCACCAGCGGGCTCCCATTTTCCAGGAACGGGACCCGTCATCAGGGGCTTGGGACGGCATGGACGCCGGATCACGGACATACCAGCCGCGGCGACCAAGCTCGCGGATGGTCCAGCCGCTGGAGGGGCGGTTGTTCTTAATCCTCTCGCGCAAAGGCGCAATGATCTTGTCACTGAACTCAATAACCTGCAGGGGCCAGCTCTGCTGGGAGAGCAGCAGGCAAGCGTTGGTGTTGAAAACGGTTCCAATCGTCAAGGACGGAACCTTGGTCAGGTCCAGATAGCACAGCGACGATGGTTCCCAGGCGACGGGAGCAGCTTCCGGCACAGGTGCACAGTTGGACGGCGGTGGGGGTGGAGCAAAGAACGAGTTGAGGTCCTTGCAGGAAAGATCCGCGGAACTCAGACCCAGCTCCTCCAGATGTTTGGTCAGAGGCAGCAGCGCGGCTGCATGGTCCGAGGTGATCTTGGCGCCACCCAAGTTCAACGACCGAAGGGTGGTGGGCAGGTTGGGAAGCAAGGCGGCAATATCCTCTTCCTCGAGCAGTCGGTAACGAGTAGGATCGGTCAACAGGTTGAGGTAGACCAGCGTCTGGCAGACCGCCGGATGGGTGGACAAAAAGTCGACGACCCGCGATCCCTGGAGGCGGATGCACCGGGAAAGACTCAGGTGGGTGATCTGCGCGGTGGCGGGGATGGAGAACAGCGCTGCCTCGTTGATCTGGGTGTGTGTGACATCGAGATGGGTCAGGTTGATCAGGCGCGGAAGGAGAAGCTCAAAGGTGGACGGAGGCAGGCTGCTGCACTCGTGCAGGGAAAGACGCTTGAGATTGGGCAGGCTCAACGGCAGACCCAAGCCCGTGGTCAGCGCCTCGTTGAAAACCGCGGAGAACGACTGGGTGGCACAGCCGCAGAAATCCACGCCCTGCAGGTTGGGCAGACCGGTGAAGACCTTTTGCACAATTTCCACGCTGATATCTCCTTCCACATGCTCCTGGAGCAGACACTCTCTGAGGTTGGGCAGCAGATCCAGGCATTTCAACAGCGTCGTAGAGGTTAAGTTCTGAATTTCGGCGTTCATCTGCTTGGTGCGACCCAAGCCTACCGAGGTGAAGTGGGAGAAATCCAACCGGCGCACCAGCGTTCCCAGAGCGGGATACTGCGACATGTGGTTGAGGGCCTTGGAGAAGATGATGGAATGCGGGAAGGTCATGTTTCTGTACAACACCGCCAGGGTGGCGGCGTGCAACGTGCGAGAGGTCAGAAGACACGCCACTAGGTCAACGTTCCGTGGCGTGTAGCCATTGGGTGGGATATCCAGTGCCAGATTGGAGATGATTTGGTCTGATTGGGAGGGGAGGAAAACAAAAAAGATTAGAAGACGACTCATGACGGAGAATTATAGGGACCTGAAAAAAAAAAAAAAAAAAAAAAAAAAAAAAAAAACTTACCGAGCACTTCTGGGGGCAGCTTCTCCAGCGGCGAGGAACCTGGTGGAGGCTTTTGCGACTTGAGTTGCACGGTCTTCATAGGAAGGTTGTTCATCGCAGCATCCTTCTCCCACGCCCACCCGCGCGTATGCATGCTCCCCAGTGAGCGTAGATCGCCATAGCTCCGGCTGAGACTCTTGCCCCCCAAACGAATCTGCTTCCAGCCCAGGAATCCGCCGCATGGACAACAAAAGTCGGGGGTGTGTTGCATATCAGTCGCGAGAGGCGAGGAGGGTTTGGACTGCTCGGCGGGCGATTGATCGATGTGGGTATCAACGAAGGATTGTGCGATGCCTGCGAAGGAGGGGGAAAAAAAGAAAGAAACCAGTCAACAACGGATGTGCGACAAAGGGACCGACAACAACTACGAAGGCGAGTGCTTACCGTCAACGTCCTCCTTGATGGAGCCAAATGACGGACGGCGGCGACTGCTGGACCGGGAGCCGTTGGGAGAGGAGCAGGTGGAGGAGTGCGGTGAGACGGACTGCGACTGCTGCTGTGAAAGATTGGTATCGAGAGACGGAGCCGTGGTGGTGAATCGAGGAAGAGGATGAGGCTTGTGTAGAGGTACAGCGGAGGAGGTGGCGGCGGAAGACATGGTGGGAGGAGAGGGGGGAGAACCTTCGCAGGGAGGCCTCTAGGTTGGGGGGAAACTATATAGGAAGACTTTCGAAGGATCCGCCGAGAGAGGAAGTGGGGAGAAAGGGAGGAAGCGAGAGAGAAAGAGAGATAGAGAGAGTGAGAAGAGAGAAAAGAGAGAGAGGGAGGACGGAATTCGGAAGATGGCACAAGAGAAGGGAACGGGGAGCACAAGGTCCGGTTTGGGGGGTTTTTTTTTCTTTTTCTTTTTTTTTCTCCTTTAGCGAATATGATCATTAGTTTTGTTTAATTTTGGTTTTATTTTATTTGATTTGATTTGATTTTATTTTATTTTATTTCTCGCTTCCCCGGATTCCCGTGTGTGGGCAGACTTACCGACTGGGATTGACTGATTTGATCGGGCGTAACTTCGTGAGACGTGCGAGAAGCACAAGGTGATGGAACGTTGGAAGAAGAAAAAAAAAAACCAAAAAAGAGGGGCGGCGGAGAAAAAAAGAAGAAGCTGTTAGTCACAGAAATCTATCGAGTGGGTTGGACGGAGTCAAGCTGCTCATTGAAAGACTCCAAAGGACTTTGAGAGTCAGGATTGGATAGAGAGACTTTGGGGATAGGATCACAGAGAGAGAGAGAGAGAGAGAGAGAGAGAGAGACTATTGAGTATTGAGTAATGATGCTGGAGGAAATAATAATAATAATAATAGTAGTCGGGGAAGTCAGATCGTCCGACTATCCGCCACGATAGAAACGGAGGATGACCACAGGGATGCTGTTGTCATTTGTCAAGTTGTCCCCGGTGGAGACATTGTTAGAGAGTTAAACTATCAAGGTATCAAACTATCAATAATAATGTCAGGAGATCGGAGAACCGGTCTAAATAAGAAACGAAATTCGGACTTGATGGCAGAAGATCAACAATCAGCGTGGGAATGGGGAGATGCAGCCACATGGGGCGAATTTGCCAGGACAGATGCTGAGATGATGAATGCGGCAACCGATCTCTTCTCTATCAATTGGGACAGGGGACAGGGTACTGTAGTAGATAGAGCTATGATGGATGGGTTTGAGGTCTTTTCTTCTCTGATCCTCTCAATCAATAATAGGGACCTTCTGCACATTTTATTATAATACCTTAACTTGATTATACAACTAATTAGGCTTAGCACCATCTAATCAGAGTAGGCAGTCCCCATTTCTCCTCTGTAGACTATTGCTTAACCTCCATGGACAGCTGGGATGGTGTTTTCCTGCATACGGAGAATAGGCTGAGGGTGGCTGTCGCTCAGTCATGTGTGATGAGCTTTCTAGCAGTTGAATCCATCGTTATGAAATGGCTTTACTCTCTCTGTATACCACCGAGCATATCGGAGTATTGATCCCTGTGTCGAACCGAATAGAGATTAGAGACTAAGACAAACCGGGTAGTCAACCAAGCTAACTAACTAGTAGTCTACTCTGTAAAGATTAGTAGATAATTGTTGTGGAAAAATATGCCGATTATCCATGGACCCGTGATTGTGAGTTGCCGCTAGTCTGTTTGGGGATTGCCGCCATCATTCTATGACATAATGCAAATCAACCCAGTTCACCTCGACAATAATAAGACCTCCAATCCCAAACCACTTGATTGAAGAAGATCTATACCTATCTTCATCTGTCTATCAACTTCAGTCAGGTGATTCCACCAACTGTCAACAGTCTACAGGACACTGTACAGTTGTACCTTGTACACCGTGACTACTGTGGACTGACGACACCACTACCCCAGACCAAACCACGTTCTCCAAGCTAAACTTCCAGCCTTGTTTAGCCTTACCTAACAGTTATGCACTCACCAACTCGGCATCGTCTGCTATTCGCCCACCGCCGATCCTGGTCATCCCCGACGGTGATCATGCGGAGGTCTTAAAGTACTAGTCTGAGTAGTCTCAACTCTCACTAACTACTACTAGTACAGTAGTACTAGGTAGTGAGTAGTGACTAACTTACTACGTCTACAGTAGATACTAGATATACTAACTCAATGCTGGTAGACAGACAGATGTTCCAGACTCCCATCCCATCCAGTTATTCGCAATGGAATTGGACTAGTGGAGTCCCCTGACATGACACGATTGATTAGGAACCATCACCTGACCCTTCCATCGAGAACTTTCACTTTCACAGCCACTATTAATAAGTTCAACACAACACTGGGATGGTCAACTCCCCCAAAATGCTTAGCTTGGTTCTACTAGACTACTAGTCTACTCTGTAGCTAACCAGAGCTAGGTACTACTACTACTACTGTCACCTGACCCTATATAGGTCCCTTGCAGCATGATACCTTCATATCATACACAGTAGTTGAGCCAAAGACTAGAGACTCAACTATCGAGACTACTCCAGGGTCCTCCGGGACTACCTTACAGCCCAATCATTCACGACTCGAGCAAGGAGTCACGCCGCGCCAAGCCTCCATCCCTTCCACCCCTTTTTCCTCTCCACCACTAGTTAGATAGATACTACGGAGTACTACCTATCTTGATAAATACAACTCACCAGTGCCAACACTCCATACTCGCACTGCGAACCCCCCTCCCTTCATTCCCCGTGCAAGCATCATCGACAGCACATGGATGCCAAGAAATCGCATCATCGAGATAGATAATCCAGGGGGAAGGGAATAATTCCGCGAGAGAGAGAGGAGAATCAGGCCAGATCATCATTCTCATCGTCATTGTCATTGTCATTGTCACTTGACCATAATTGTTGGCAACTGGGCAGAGGAATCCGGAATACATCGGGCTTGGGTGGGCTGATAGATGTCCTAACATGTGCAGCGGACTTCCGGTTTGCTGCATCGTTTGGGACTCCATGGATATTGTGCGTGGTCTGAGCTGGTTTGTCTGCGACCGTCCATCCCCCGTCTTAACTCTCTTCTACAACTCCGTAGTCCGTACCTTCTGGCCTGACAGCACGAGCACACGGGGGTTCAAGTCGAGTCCGGGGGTGATCGCTAGCTTCGTTAAGTTACAGGGAGCCTGCATCAGAACTCAGAAGTCATGATGGATTGTATCCAATTGAATACGTACAGGGAGCAAGCTTTCTTCTTTTTCTTCCCATACCTCTTCAATATAGTACTACGTAAGTATCAGTGAGTAGAGTAGCGAGTAGCGCAAATACACAGTAGACACAGCTCAAAGCACTAACGACATACTTTGGAGCCGACCCCTCTCACCTGGATCAACTCCCACCCTCTCGACGAAAAGATAGAGCCGGTCTAACCTCGTTATCCTTCAAATCCCCCCACCAAACAGACAACCAGACTCACATCCCTCCCCTCCCCCAGCGGTGCAGACAGGCGACCCTCGTCTTCGACACCGCCTCCCGCCACTCAGCCCGACCCGCGCAATGATCTCAGTGCAGGATACCCGACCACCTCCATACCCATCGACCCCGGCCACAGAAACGCGCAGGGTATCAACCACGACGGTCTCATGGCGCTAGTTAGAGATATGCCTCGCCGACGCCGTCAACTGCAGGACTCTTGTCTTGCTAGAACACACCCTCGGCGTTGACCGCTGGTCTCAAGCTTACTAGACATCCTCAGGAAGGGTGGCTGCGACACTGGAGCGGACCACCACAGCCACGAACCGCGCTGGTTTCGCTTTCCAGGAAAGAGGGTGCGTACCCTGGCGTGTAGTTCGACAGGGGACTTTTAATCTCTGTCTTGATCTTCAGGGGAAATCCGGCCAGTCGCAGGCAGTTGCTAATGAAAGACGGAGCCAGAGATTTCAAACACCGAAACTCCGCAGGAGCGAGAGAGACCTCGGTTACTCCGGTGTGATTGCAATTGAAACCACCCGGACACATGGTCATTGGTACTCGCCCCCCCTTTTTTATCCTCTAGGACTATACGCTTTGCCCTCGGAGCGGAGGCCCAGTCTCGGCAACTGGGCAGTCCACGTATCCATCGCCGCGCGTGTCTTTGTCAATGCTTGAGCTGCTTTGAGCTGCAGTGCAACACTGTATACCTGCCCCACGCTGTCACTGTCAGAGCACGATGATAAACTCGACTTCCGAGACCAAGCCAATACAGCCATGCCGCCATAGTATCTCGAGGTTTCGCTGAGGGGTTTTTCCAGCGTGGTTATTTCCGCTGTTGGCACCTATCGGTCGTGTCTGGGAAGGAATGGGAAGAATAAGCTCTGTCGGAGTAGTGCTGGGCTCTTGCAGAGCGTGACTTTTCATACTTCATAGTATCTCAAGATTGGAGCAGCGCTGCCGCCTGGTCATCAATCAACCGGGGAAAGAATATTATCCTGTCTCCGTGTCTGTAGTCGATTCCATAATGGAGAGTGATTGTTGGATTTTTATGGGACAAAACGCCACAACCCGAGGGAGTGGGATCGATGCTCTGGGCTTGCATTTGTGGCTTTAGTAGTTCAGTCTAGTTTACTTTTAGTCACAATTCAATTCTATTCTGATGTTCTTCATATCGTTCACACTTCACAGTTGATACTTGTGGTATTAGTGATGAAAGGAGGCTGGGGGGGGGAATAAATTTACAGGGAATGAAAAACCACTCTGGGACCATCAGGGTTTCAGTCACCTTCGTGATGACCGCATGACTTGGGCGAAAGCGAAAAGCTTATATCCAGACGAACTCTACAGATGAAACGTATAAATGTAATGGAACGGAGGGGGGAAGAAAAAAGTCAAAAGTTCATGATGCAATCCAGTCTAAACTAAAGCAAATAAATACCTAAAGACGAAAAAAAAAAAAAAAAAAAAAAAAAAAAAAAAAACCTCAATGAAATTGTCAGACAGTTGGTCGACTTGTCGGATTCACATCCAGACCAAGCACCAATGGATATCAGTAATAGCCCTAAATCCCCATCATAAAAACCCGTTAAAAAAAAAAAAGAAGTATGCAAATCGTCTAGCTTGATGTTGGCAAGAAGTGGTTAAAAAAAAAAAAAAGGCAAATCACATGGGTAACCAAACGCCAAAGGTGAACCGTTCTCAAATCCGGTCACTTTTCCCCTCTCTTTCTTTCCTTTCTTTCTTCGTCCAAATCGTGTAATAGCGTAGAGTTCGTCATGATGGTCGGTTTCTCGAGTTTATTCGATGGCCGAGGAACCGTCGCCGTGGGTGACAGGGTTGACCTTGGGGTTCCACTTGAACTTAAATTCCTGGCCCAGCTCCTTGCGGACAGCCGCCTTGACGGCCTCGAGAACGTTGGGGAAGACACCGAAGTTGGCCGGGTTGTTCTCGTCGTTGTCGCCGCCCTGGAAGACACCGGTGCGCACCAGACAGGTGTTCCAGCCGTACATGTTACCGCCGACGATGTCGGACTGCGGGTTGTCACCGACCATGTAGACGTTCTTCGGCAGGCGGTTCTCGTTGTGAATCTCCTCCATCCAGGCCTTGAGGACCTCGTCGGCGTAGGTGTAGGTGGCACGTTCGGGCTTGCCGTAGACGACACGCTCGAGATCGACGCCGGTCAGGGCCTTGTACTGAGCCTCGATGGAAATGCGGAACAAGCCCTGAGTCAACCGGGGAGGACCCTTGTGGTCGGTGGGCATCAGGTGATCACCCTGCGAGAAGTAGATGGGGATGCGGGAGGCGACGGGATCCTTGGCACGGGTCAGCAGCCTGCCATCCTCCGCGAGCAGCAAATCGATGATGATCTGCATGTCGGTAGCGTAGTCACGAGAGTCGGCGAAGACCAGAATGGCGTCGAACTTGACCTTGGAGAAGTCGCGGGGCTTGGCCTCCGCGCGGTCCTCGTCAGTGAAGTTTCTCCAGGGCGAGATGGTGGGGTCCCAGGCGACGATGTCCTTGGGATGGACGACATTCTTGAAGCCGTAGTTCTCAGCGACCTCGCGAATCTTCTGTCCCTCACCACCGCAGACGAGGACAGTCTCATAGTACTCCGACAAAGCCTGCATGGGAGTGTGGGACTGGATGAACTGGTCGGTCGAGATGGGGACCTCGAGAACCTCCGAAAGCTGCTCGCAACGGGCGGCCTCAGTCTTACCACCGCCGTTGGTCAGAAGAATGTACGGGATCTTGATGCCGAGCTCGTTGTCACCGTTCAGCATCTTGAGCGCCTCCTTGGCTTCGGGAATGGCGTGGTTTCCGTGCGCGAGGACACCATCGATATCAAAGGCAAAGGCCATATCCTTGGCGGCAGCCACCTTCTCCTTGGACATGTCCTGCACCTGAGAGGCCAGGAGGTCACGCGAGACGGAGGAGGCATCGGCCATGCGCACCGAGGACAGACGAGAGACACGAGGAGATCTGGGGATGGGGAGAGAGGTGCCAAAGGAGTTGCGAGAGCCGCGGCGGTCCCGCATGGACGGAGACAAGCTCAGATTGTGCATGAACTGCGCAGCATCGCTGATGGAGCTTCTGGTGGCAGGAATCTGCACGGTGTTGCCAGCATCGCTGGGGATAGGGAGGGAGCCGGAAGTGCTGCCACGGGCATCTCTGGGAGAGCGAGCACCGGGAGGGGTGGCCTCAACGCCGAAATCAGAATCTTCAAAGCGAGGCATGGTGATGATAGAAGAGTAGCAGTTAGAGATAAGAGATGAGTCGGTATGTGGATGAAGGGATGTGTGAGAGAGGTGAACAAAGAGTAGAGATTGGTGAACGAGATCGAATGGGATGAGGTCACTCTTATACTAGAGGGACAAAGCAGGATGATAAGGGGAGCAATTCACTGATCACACAGAATGCCTTCCCGACGAGTGGATAGGGTGAAAGAAACTGGATGGAAGAAAGTGAATGTTACGAACGGAACCAGAGAGAAGACATCAGGTTATATAGAACAACAAGCTGTCCCATTGAATCAGTGGCGGTCAAACATGCCCCAGAAAGAAGACATCAGTTGTATCTCCATCGTATTCCCTGTGCACCACTACACACATTGTCTCTCATGCTCCATGGCTCCACTCTGGCGTATCATCATTCCTAGGAATTATCGTCATCATCATCTTTTTTTTTTTTTTTTGGGTGACTGATGTGGATGATAACTAGTAGTAAGTACCCTAGTTAGCTGGTTATCTCCCTCCACTGTAGCCTGTAGCCTGTAGCCTACTAGCCTGTAGTTATTATTCAATGGATGCACCCAGATAAAAAAAAAAAAAAAAAAAAAAGGCAAAAAGATGTGATACACCCAGCGGGTCCAGCGGAGCCGGAGTCGGGATCGCTAATGGCTTTTAGGTACCGACAGCCAACAATGGCGCAGGATTCCTGTGGGTCAGCCGCAGTACCGTAAGTTGACGTCCTGTCAGTACCGGTACGATACCCCGTGGTATTTGATTTTGATTACTCCGTACCCCCTCGAGAACCTAAAGCAGCCTACCTGAACCTATGAGGTCGACGGGACTGCAGAATGCTGGTAGGGCGGGGCGGGGGATTGGCCGCCAGAAGGGTGGCATCCCTGTTTCTGAGTCGTTAATTGGTTCAGCTGGGAAATTTCTGTTACGGAGGGAACCACCAAGAAATGATGCTCATGAAGGCGCTCTGCATGCTGAGTGGACAGGAAGCCCTTGAGCGGAGCTTATCTCCCGGTCTGATTGGCAAATGGGGCATTCCCACCCTTGGAACGCGCCACAGATCGATGGAGCCGATGACGATCGAGCGGGCGGCGGGTCAAACGCTCGCGCCGTTTCGAACCAGCAGAGTGAAAGAGAAGCGCGCAAGTGATGTCATGGTGGTGGGGCGCGTTGCTTCAACTGCAACACACTGAATTTGGTGATGCCATCATGCTTTTGTCGTACAGCACCGTCGCAGCTTCTGGTGGTAAACTGATTCTCTTCCAGGCAAAAGGGGGACAGTAAGTACAGGGAGGCCGGTGTGGGATCGGCTTTTCTTAGAAGATCGAGCGACCCAACCGCACTCTGTGCAGTGCAAGACATGGAGCAGGTTTGGCTGCATTTCTGTTGTCATGAAGAGGAGTGGGAACTGGTAAACAGGAAAGGAGTCACATAGAGTAAGGGAAAGGGAAAAGAGAGATATAAAAAAATAAATTAAAAAAAAAGAGGAACAGCATCATCAGCAGCATCGTTAGAACCATAATTATTATTTGGTACTACAGAGTACAAGTCTACAACTACGACAGTCGCCTATACCACTACTATACTACTACTGTCGCCCTGTTTGCCGCCTTCGGTCATCGTCTGAAAGCACAACCCCACCTCAGCTGCAGTTCTGCCCCTCCTCAAAAACCACCTCAATCTCTTATATCAGTAACTGCCCCTGAACGCTGCTGTCATACTGCATATCGTTGTCGTTTCATTTCTGCATTCTTCAGATATTCCCATCATTTCTAATCAACTTCCCACCTAATTTCCCCATCCCATTCGTCACAATGTCCAACGGCCTTACTTTCACTCTCAACAACGGCGTCAAGATCCCCGCTGTCGGGTTCGGAACCTTCGCCAACGAGGGCGCCGTCGGTGAGACCTACAAGGCTGTCACAGAAGCTCTGAACATCGGATACAGACACCTGGATTGCGCCTGGTTCTATCTGAACGAGGGTGAGGTCGGTGATGCGCTCCAGGATTTCCTGAAGAAGAACCCCAACGTCAAGCGCGAGGATATCTTCGTCACTACCAAAGTCTGGAACCACCTGCACCGTCCTGAGGATGTGAAGTGGTCTCTGGAGAACTCTTTGAAGAAATTCAAGCTCGACTACGTGGATCTGTTCCTGGTTCACTGGCCCATTGCTGCGGAGAAGGAGTCGTACGAGAAGCCCAAGATTGGGCCTGATGGAAAGGTAGATTTCTTCCCTCCCCTCCCCCCGGTCTTAACTCTATTTTTTCCCCCGCGCAGTACTGATATATTCATCAATAGTATGTGATCCTGGAAGATCTTACCAAGAACCCCGAGCCCACATGGCGGGCCATGGAGGAGCTGTACAAGGAGGGCAAGGCCCGCGCCATCGGCGTGTCCAACTGGACGATCGAGGGACTAGACCAGCTGCTCAAGATCGCCAAGGTCAAGCCGGCCGTCAACCAGGTCGAGATCCACCCCTTCCTGCCCAACGAGGAGCTGGTGCAGTACTGCTTCAAGCACGACATTCTGCCCGAGGCCTACTCGCCGCTGGGTTCGCAGAACCAGGTGCCGACCACCGGTGAGCGCGTCAGCGAGAACCCGACTCTGAACGAGATCGCCAAGAAGGGCGGCAACACCCTGGCCCAAGTGCTGATCGCCTGGGGCATCCGCCGCGGCTACGTGGTGCTGCCCAAGAGCTCGAACCCGGCCCGCATCGAGTCCAACTTCAAGAGCATCACCCTCTCGGACGAGGACTTTGCGGCCGTCAACAAGGTCGCCGAGGGTCGTCATTTCCGCTTTGTCAACATGAAGGATACCTTTGGCTACGATGTGTGGCCTGAGGAGACCGCCAAGCAGATGTCTGCTTAGATTTTATTTTTGTTTCCTTATGCGGGTCATATGAAATGATGTTTACGAGAGTGATGATTTTTTTTTTTTTTTTTTTCTTTTTGATAAAAGAGAAGACGTGATTGGTGATGATCTACTGAGTACATAGCTATCTTACATGATCCTGGGCCTCTTGAGAGTTGAGACAGTGCAATAGAGCTAACCAGTAGCCAGGTTAGCAGGTTCCTCCACCACTCTCCACTTGCTCTCAGTAGAAATGACGCCAAGAAACGGCGTACTTACTACGTACTCTCTTGTCAGTTGTCAGTCAGTAGCTGGACAGTAGATAGTTACACCCCCCTGATTCGTCCCACGACAGGAACAGCTGAAATTGCATAGAAGCTATGAAGGTACAAAAGTTCAGCTTTCACTATCTAGTGCATGTCGGCCAAAGAAAAAAAAAAAGAAAAAAAAAAAAAAGACTGCTGCACTCACAAGAATCCAAGAACCCAATAAGAAGCCGAACTCCTACAGGCCACAGAGCGACAATGTAACTCGCATGCAGATAATATTAAAGGATGTACTACCGAAGTTTGTGCTAGCAAGTAGGAACTAGGAACAGGTTACTTTTTACTGTATCTGACTATGGAGTACCTAGGTAGTTACCTAGTTAGTGCCTGCGAATCTGAGATATTATTATGACTTTAGCTTGGAGTCGGAGGACAGTCCTCCCTTGTATCCTTATTTGGATCCAGGGACTAGCGAGTAGCGACGTAGTATGACGCTATAGACTCGATTCAGATGCACATATCTGATTTCAGCTTTTGAGATGTTCATTATTCATTTCCAATGAGTATTATTATTATCTAGGAGTAAAGTAAGAGTAAGGTATTACTGATACTGATACTGATACGGTTACTGTATGATTGACCGGTAGCGAATGATCCTCGCGGGATTGACTTGGATACCGGGTTGTACAATACCTACAGAGTACCTAGGTGTAGGGTAAGGTAGAGAGTTGTAGCTGAATGTCGAACTTACCATATCCTGTATGCTACGGAGTTGCAAGTCGTGATAGATAGATCGATCACGACCTACCTATTCTCATGGCGTAGTTATGCATGCATACACAGAGGCTCAGAGCAGTGAAATGAATACAGCACCGCCATCCCCACCCACAAGCCCACAACCCCATCTCCTTGCGGCCGTTAGCTTAATCTACACAGTAGTAGTATCTATCTACTCGTTAGTACTACTCTGTACGGAGTATGTAGGTACTACTGACTGAGTATGTAGGTACTACTGACTGACTCCGTAGTACTCCGTACGCAGGAAGTACCTCAGGTGTTACCTAAGATTCCAAGAACGGGGCCCGGAGTCGGAGAAACCCGGAACTCAGCCACGTTTCCGGTGGGCATATCCGGAAAAGCCCTAACACCGAGCCGCCCGATTAGGTAAAGTCGCAACGGTCCCGAATTTGCGCCGCGCCTGCCATGGCCGTGGCTGTGTCGCTGGGACCGATAATACCCTATCTCGCTCTCTATATCTATCTATCTACTCTGTATACTCTATCTATAATCTATCTATATGTCAGCCCATCTTGGCCCTATGCTATGCTATGCAGTAGTAGGTAGCTAGATCGGCATGACTCAAGACTCAAGAGCTTTGCCCTTGAGAGGTAAGGATTGAGAAGTTGAGAGGGTACGAAGTACGAAAGGAGCTAGGTAAGGCCGTCTCTAAGGCCGCCATGACGTGAGAAACAAAAGATCTACTCTGTTTGATTGGGTGACTGTTGGTGGAGTTGCTTATTTCACCAGCTCTGGGACGACTAGTAAGTAGTGACATACTCCATAACTACCTAGGAGTATGCACTTTGCACCATACAGGGCTCCTCCTTCGTCCTTACTCCTTACCACCTACGGAGTATGGTCCTATGGTCCTATGGAGGTATGGAGCCCGACAGGATGCTATTTTCCATGAACCCCTTCCCGCTGTACAGTTTGAGTGACCTGCATGATTGCATCCATGATCCAATATCAATCCTACGGAGCACGGAGCAGGAGAACGGGCCTACGGGGCTGGGGCTGGAGAAGAGATCCACTTGTATGATTCGTGGGTATGCAGTATGCAGTTAGGTATGCACTATACAGTATACAGCATGATGGAGTCGCCTACCGTACTCCGTGCATGAGGGATTTATGATATGATTCCCTTGGGATTACAACTTGCTCAGCTCATTCCAGCGGAGTACTTTGGAAGATAGACTCTGTAGTTTTGAAATAATGAGGCGGATCGGACACGCCATTCCTCTCGTCGTCGATACTGCCGGATCCAAACTAAATAATAATATTAACCAGGCAAACCTTCCTTTTTGACGACGGTCCCGGTCACAGCCCAAGAATGATAAGATTCGGCCAAGACGGCGAGAAAGAGAGAGAGAGACCGTTGTGGCTGCCTGTACGGAGTGGGTATGCCAATAATGGAGTCAGTCATGGACAGAGAGGGAGCTACACAGGCTGATAAGCTAAACAGGAACACAGTACGGTACTTCGTGCTTCGTACATACAACAACAACGGTACAGGTACAGCTCATATCAGCCAAAAGCATCGATCAAAGATCCAGAATATGCTGTGCACCCTCAGATGACGACAGATCAGTAGATAATCGGAGGAGAACGATGGAGGAAATCCATCTCCCCCCTTACTCGACAGAGACTGACTACCTCACCGTGCAGAGAAGTCAGGTACCAACGGAGTAGAGAGTAGAGACTACTACTACCAAATACTAGCAGACTCCGGGAATTCATACTATCAAAGGTTGGCTGAGATCTTCGCGGATGAACCTTCTACTACACACTACACTGAGAGAGACTGATGATGATCATTTAACCGCCTCACTCAGACAATCATAATTGGTCGGAAGACTCATCACAGCTGCAGTCCACACAAGAAAAAGTCTCTCAAACAGTCAAGTCAAAGATTCACATGAAGTCGAGGTTGGAGAACTGCAAATGAACCCCATAAAATGGGCGATCATCAAACACCGAATCAACAACAAATACATCCAACCATACCAGGGGTAATTCCGTTGAGACAGAGAGAAAAAAAAAAAAAAAAAAAAAAAAACATAAAGATAATCTGAAATACCGCCAGCCCTGTACGCCTTCAAACCCCGTAAACAACCGATTGGTGGTCCACACATTTATGTACAACCCTCATTTGAATGTCGCAGGATGCTATGCTACTAGACTGCTACTAGTACGGAGCAAGGTTCAACAACAACCCCGTTCCTAGTCAAGAACGAGACTGAATCCGTCTCGGCATCGGTGTTGATCCAGCGTGTGCCTTGAGGATGTTCTTGGATCTGATCCCCAGAAGCCGGCCACTGGTCGAGTCATCGGAGCTCTTATCGCTGGTATTATTGTTGTTGTTGTTGGTGTTGTTGCTGCTGGTGGCGCGAGGCAGTGCCTTTTTCGAGACGGGAGTACCCGTTACAACCACGCTGGGTGGCTTGGGGATCAACTTCTTCCGTTTCTCAGTCTCGCCAGTACTACGCGGGGCAGGGAGCAGTGATGCAGTGGTCGTGCTGGTGGCTGCAGCGGGAGTGGAGTTGGCTTTGCACGTCCCCAACCGCCGTACACGCCGCCCTGTTGGGATTGCAGAAGCCACTGCAGTAGTCGATGCAGCCACTGGATCATCATCTCCCGTCTTGGCAGAGCTTTGAGACCGAGTGCTGCGACTGCTGGCCGCCTTGGGATCGGTGCTCTTCACCGTCGCTTTGGCTCCAGCATCCACGATGTCATTGTTGCTCTTTCTTTTTCCGTCCTTCTTGTTGCCGTTGTTGTTTTGACTGTCCCCTTCATACTCCACGAGGCGCTCGTCGTTCCATGTCACATACTTCTTGCCAGGCGTGCGCTTCGGACCAGGGTCTCGAACAGACTTGCCGTCATTGACGCTGGGCTTCTGCTGCTTTTGGGCCAACGCCTGCAGCACGTATTTCGGCATCACCGCATCGCCTCGGTTCTGCCGCGTGTTTCGACGTGTCGTCAGTGCCAGCTCCTGGGCTTCTGTCCGTTGGAGAAAGACGAATTCGGTGCCCTTTGCGCGACGGAGGGACAAGGTGCGAAGAGTTGGGGTGGTGGTTCGTGGAGGGAGCTTGGGAGCACGGTTCCTCGCGCTTCGACGGATCGGGCTGGCAGGCTGTTGATTTTCATCTTCGTTGGCACTAACATCCTTTTTGGACGGAGCGTCGAGAGTAGGGCTCCCCGTCGCAGCCACTTTCACTGGTGACAATTGGGGTTTCGAGGGTGAGGGCGAATTGGCGTCGAGCTCCTCCAGCACCCGTCGAGACGGCGGAGTCGGCATCTCGGTCACTTCTTGGTAGTGGGTAGTCTCTGGCTTGGTCTCTTTCAGCTCCACCGTCATAGCAGCCGCTTTGGCGGCTCGCGCTGCCTGAGCCTTGAACAGAAAGTTGTTGAGTAATTCGGCATCGTCCCCGTCCAACGAGCTGCGCAATGCCGATCGTACCAGAGTGGACTCTTGTGCTGCGCTTAGATCCTCCACAGAAGCTGAAGCGAAGCCTGTGTTCTCAGCCGACGGTCCAGATCGTCGATCATCAGCAGTTGCGACACTAGCGGCGATAAGGGTTGCACTTTCGACACTTTGTTCGTCGGGGCCCATGTCAGAGCCGGTCTGAGCATCATCAGCGGGTTTTAAGTCCGAGTTGTAGTCGTCTCCGGTGAGGTCATTGCGACAGCTGGACACGCCATGCAGCATGCGGGGATACGCTGGCGACGGAGCTAATTCCGTTGCTGTGCCCGGGGTCGAATCAAAAGATGCGTCCGTGTCGTGGGTATTTTCGGCGGTTGACGTGGCCGCATCCCGTGATTCTTCGTTATCTGCCCCATGACGACAATCATCTTCCGATCCCATATCCATCTCCATGGGCTCGGCCGGAATCTCGATGAAGCTGCTGTGATTCGCGGGTAGTTTTCCTGTGATTGATCAGATCGTGTCTCGTAGTCGCCAAGCTTGGCTGAATTGACCAGTCAACGGGCGGAATATGTAAAGCAAGCATACGTCTTCTGCCGGTCGCTTCAGACTCCCACTTCGTCTTAAGAAACGACCGTCCTCTTGTAGCTGTGGCATCTAATGGCTTATCGGAATCCTCCAGCCCAAAACATTGTCGCTTGACACCGCGGACGAAGCCCAGACCCCGCGATACATTGATCTCCGCGAAGAGGCTGTCATCGACATCTTCATGCGACGCGGCGACCAGGCGCTGTATAGCCTTCATGCTGTTGAACGAGGAGCGAAAGCGCTTCCAGACCTTGCGCGATTTGGACCGAGCCAGGAATGCATTCGACGGCTTGCGGTCCCAGACGCGAGGGGTGACGACGGTCTTGACGGGGGTGAAGCTAAACTTTTCGCTCTGAACTTGGAGCTGACTAGAAAGGCTCGGGCCGACGAATGCGCGCGGATGGCGCGCAGTGTCGCGATCGAATTAGCCAAACTATGACAAAGGGGGGGAGGTTGTGCAGGAGCTTGGGACGAGGCTTCTCCATCGGTCCTCGAAAGATCGCCAGATTCCGGCCGTCTTGGTCACTGAGGAATGTGAAACCAGAGGAGCAGTGATTGAGATTCACTCACCATGTTTGTGAAAGAGGCCCTACTAGCAGGGTCGGATCATTGTTGGCGGGCATCGGGAGCCGCGAGGAATGTTTGCGGAGCGCAGGTTTGACGTCAAGGAACGGGATGACGAGAATCGAGGTCGATACTCAGAATTACTCCTGATAAAATCATATAAGCTCTAACAGAGTAATAGAAATGCAATGCAAAGAGGATGAGAGGCTATTCAAACTAAGGAATACTAGGACGCGTCGAAGCCAAGATGAAGAAAAATATCATAATAATAATAATAATGATAATAATAATACTTGAGCAGGGACAATAATCATAAGAAAGTCGCACGTGTTGATTGGCGTTCAGCGGACAGTTGCTGTGCCAACCACCTTTTTAAGGCAGATAATCAGACAACTACTGGAACATCTTCAAATGAAAGTCACAAAGTGTATGATTCTACTTGTTTGATGAGAGTGTCTCAGATCCCCTAAATTAAGAATCCTACAATTAGTTAGATAATGACTGAATCATATCCATCCACTTAGAAGTATAGGGCCCTTGCCCAGCATGCCTTCAGCATCCCCTAGCTATACTTTAAGAATAATTTTCATCAAACTGCAGATCTAACAGACGGATATAATATCCTTACGAAGGCGATCCAGTCGTAGCGGTAGCAAGGTATATTCATTCATTCAGCTCTATCACCCAAGTTAGTGGTCTCCATCCTCTCTGAGCAAAGCACTGGGGAATGCCACACCTGAAGGAAACGTATCTCATAACTCATAAGGAGCCTGGTCTCTGGCCAAGCTCAAGCGGACTAAACATCCCACACCCATCCTTGCCAAACCAGCAAGACCTAGAACGTGTCTTCGTCCATATCCCTCTCATCAAAGGGATCCCCGAACTCATCTACACACCCAATCAGCCAGCAAGTCTCAAAAGCATCAACCAGAAGAAATCATACCCAGATTAAAATCCTTGTCCACAACATACTCCAGCGCTCGCTGGTACTCCTCCTCCGCCCGCTTGTTCATCCACATTGCCCCGGGCTGCTGCTGCTGCTGCTGCGGCTGCGGCTGCGCAGAGATCTGTGCCGACGAGCCTCCCGCAGGCCCGTTGCCCTCAAGTCCCACCATTTCCGTGACATCGGGGAAGTTCTGTGTTTGCGAGCCCGGCGGGGAGAGCTCCGTGGCCCCGGCGAAGTCAGAATGGGGGTCGTCGAGGTCGGCGTTGTTGGTAGGGGTGCGGGATCCGGCTGGAGAGCCGACGGAGGATTCGGGAGATGAGGCCATTTGCGAGTCGCCGTCGAGATCTAGTTGCTTTGTTAGCGGGGTTGGAATTGTGGTTTGGTAGATGGTGCGGGGGGGGGGGGGAGGTATGGAGGTTGCTATGCTAGCACTGGGAAAACATACCAGTTGGCATTGTATTGAGTAGATCTCTCTCCGTGTAATCAAGAAATGCCAGAGAGAAGCCTGACACAGATCAAATGTGACAGCTAATGCTGATTTCTATGGATGATTATTATTGACGGAGAGTAGGTAGAAGTAGTAGATAGTCAACTAAGATACATTATTGCAGTCCCCGGAGTGGAGAGAGAGACGGCGCCCGTTAACTAATCAAATCAAGCAACAATGATTTTCCTGTTCTTCGTTGTCTGGCTTGTCTTTTTCCCCCTCCGCTGATGGTTCGTTTCTTTTCCTCACGCAGACGCTGAAATCAGACTCGATATTCATGGTCATAGCTCGTGCTTTTGGAAATTGGTTTCTTTTTGGTGCATTCCCTGCTCCTATATCTAGTATATTCCCAACGCTTCTCAATCAAACGCCTCGATTCTTGGTGTGGTGGATCACTCAACTCAATTCAATTCTCCATTGCCGCCTTTGCGAACATGAGCGAAAAGCCTCCTACTGGGCCTCCCAATGCGTGGGAGGAGGACTGGGAGCAACAGGCTGATGTATGTTCTTTTCGGTTATTTTATTCCTCGTAATATCTCTCATCATGAATCATTCTACGGTCAACCCATTGGACTGTGTCTCTATCCACGATCTGACTGGAAATTTTTCTCCTCCACAGAAATTAGCCGTTGAACCAGCCCCGCCCCCGGAGAAGAAAGTGTCTTCAAAAGTCACCAAGGCGCAGCGCAGAGCTCAACAGGCGGAATTCAACAGGCAACTATGGGCGGAAGCGTGCGTGCAATCACCTATGCTATACTCTACTCTACTGCTCGGGGCGTCCTGAACGGGTTCTGACCAACAGATAGTGAATCTCCCCAGACATTCCACTTCCTGGAGGCTCGCTCCGACGTCCCTCTGAAGCAGGATTTCAAGCCGGCAGTCACCGTCCTCAGTCGCACGCCCCAATTGATGACGCGCCAGTCATCGTCTGGCGGAATTGATGCGACGACAGCGGGCCTCAGTCGCCTTGGTCTGAACAATGACGGTCTAGACGATTCAGACGATGATCAAAGGTCATCCGAACCTACCCCGGAAGAACGGCACGCCATTGCTCTGAAGAATTTGGAAGAAAGGCAACGAAAGTATGAGGAAGCGCGGGAGAGGCTCTTTGGAAGTCCCTCTGCAACTACCTCGGGCGCATCTTCACCGCGGAGTTCGACTCCACCGAAGCAGTTCGAGGGCAGAGGCAAAGGCAAAAGTCGGGGTAACGGCAGAGACAACAACAGGGACAAGAGAGAATCATCCGCGTCTTCAGGAAAGTCGAGGCAACTATACGACCCGGGATACTCTGCGCGGCCAAACTCATCCTACCTGCAGAAGGAGAGACAGCCGACCGGCGACCGAAGCTCGATTGATCAGCCACAATCTCCACGTCAGCCACTTCGCAACCCACGAGGTCCAGATAGCAGTGGAAGAGGCGGCTTCCGGGCAGGCTACAGAGGTGCAAGGGCAACATGATCTTGCTCATCATGACCGTGGGAAGCGGGTGCCTGATTTTCTTTATGTCGGAATATTTACCCTCGGCCCAGAATCAGGGCAATTCTCTTCCCGAACTGATTGCATTCGCAACCTGCGATGTATTCGGGCAGTTTTCTGGACAAAGCCCATCAGTCATCACGCGATGAAAGCTCCGCGATGATATACTTACGAGCATATCTTTCATAGCTATCCAGGTAGAGTTCGTCAGAGCTCGTTGTCGCCTTGACATGCTCATTGACTTCAATTGCATTCACCCACGCAGCCCAGCGGCTTCCTGCCTCGGGCTCCGGCCAGCCACGGTACGGTTTCAGCACCCGACTGAATCGAAGGATCCAAGGAGCGATCTGGACGTCCACAAATGAGATGTTCGATCCCAAGAAGAACGGACCTTCCGGATCGGCCGCCGCAATCAGTGTTCTGAGACCGTCCTGGAGCTCTTGCACGTTCGTGGATTGTCTCGCTTCCTCCTGTTCTTGGAGGACGCGGTAGAAACTGGGTACGATGTGACGATTGATCTTCAATCAGGTCAGAACTACTTTCGCTGGCGGGAAATCGTGTGAGCAAACCAGTGGGGCTTACATGATCAGTCCAAAGTCGGCAATGAGCTCTTAATTTCGCATCTCCGGGAGGGAGCAGCGGCGGGCCGACGTGCAAATCCTCGAGCTGCAGGGACTCGAGTCAGAAGACAAAGGGTCTCATACTGGACGGGCAGGGTGCGAACTCGAAACCTACATATTCCAGAAGAACCGAACTCTCATAAGACCCCCAATCGCCGTGCCGCAATGCTGGGACAAGACCCCTCGGGTTTACCTCAAGCAATGACTGGGGCTTTTGGTACGGGTCCACTTCAATATATTGATACGGAATGCCTTTAATCTCCAAGGCTATCCAAACACGCTGCACAAAGGGGCTAGGGTTTGCTATTCTTAGTCGGAGGGGACCAAAAAAAGACCGTCCATCGGATGGTTAGACTTACCAGAAGCAACTCCCGAACAATTGCAATTCCGCTTCTTTGGAGTGGTTTATTGCAGTCAATGCCGCTAGTCCGGTGGCTTTCGTGTGATATGTCTTCTGCTGGGTTTGGCTTTGAGGCATGGTTCTGGTCTTGAACGAACTGGTCAGAATTAAGGGACTAATTGAGATATCTTATGCGACCAACAGGTAGTGTGACGTAAGTCGTGGGGAACTAGTCTCCCCTCGTAACGCAATGAAAATAAACAGTCTGTGAAAGAAGATTGATGGAATCCAACTCACTGTAACGGCCTTCTTCTTTTCCCTGGCTTCTTTGAGCAAATAACGCTGCACGCTGTTCTTCTTCACCCGGTCGCTCTCGTCAAGCGTATGTCGGTGGCCACCACTTACGCCATCGTTTTTCCCATTCGCGCCATTGCCATTGACCCGCTGGATCGTAAAGAACCTCTCTCCATTCGCCCCGGGGTGGCCCTCCGGCAAAGTGGGATTCGGCGTAAGCACGCCAAAGGGCTGACTGTCGCGCCTCTGGCCCACGCTGGTCTCACTACTGAACAATGAGTTCACGCTTGGTAGGAACTCGGCCGGTGGGAACGATGAGTCCGCCGGACACGTTCCCGAGAAGTCCGACGCGGCAGCCACACCGTACCCGGGGAAGTATTCGGTGATTTTGATCTTGACGTCGCAGAGGTCTCGCTGGCGGGCGGTGCGCTTGCGCTTCTTCTTGTTGGGGTCGTCGGACTTGGGGGTCCCCGGCGGTCGGCCTTTGAGTCTGCAGTCCCAGTAGTGGGAGACAAAGGGTTTACGCTTGTAGCGTTGCGTGGAGCGGTGGGAGTAGACGTTATCGACGTGGGGGAAGTAGGTTCGGAATCTAGAGCAGCGCGACAGTCAGATTTATGTGTTTTTTTTCTTCCTTTGAAGCGTCTAGGGGGACAATGGTTGTTGTCAAGAACTTACTGGTCTTCCGTCAAGGTGATCATGTCGTCCACGTTAAACAGCTTCTCTCGCCAGTATTCCAGGTCAGGCGGATCTGGTACCAACTTCATATCCTTGAGGCCGGTTTCTTGCTTCGCAAGCTCCGAAGCAATAGTATACCCATCCCCTGGCTGCTGCATCTGTAGACATTGCTGGAACGACTGCGACAGCGGAAGGCCCGCGGTCCGCGCATCGTCGTCCATGCCGTCGGCGCCATTATCATGGCCCTGATCCATAACAACGGTATCTGGCCGATCGGAACGGCCCTGCGACAGCGCCTGGCTAGGATGCACATCTTGATCGACACCGTGCGCTAAGCTCGGCAGAATATGCTGGCCGTTGCCGGAGTGGTCCGCAGCGAACGCCTGCGCCCGCGAAACTTCCTCGTAGGAGGACGGCTTCTGGTGGAATAGCTGGGAGCTCATCAACACGGGACCGACTGGCTCACCCGTCCGCACCGGCCGCATGAATGCCGGTGTGGTGTCGAGGTGATGCTCCACATTATGAAGATGCCGGTGCTCCTGCTGCCGATGCGCATGGAGCTCCTGGTGTTCGAGCGCGGACTGCAGGGGTTGGAGCGATGGCGCGTCCCGAGAATCGGCTAGATCCTGCGTGTGTGTCTGGTGAGATTGTTGATGATGAGGATGAGGATGCTGCTGCTGCTGCTGCTGCTGTTCTGGCTGTGGTTGGGGCTGTTCTTGTTGGGCGGCAGCCAATGTAGACGCGTCGTCTGCCAGCGACGACAACGATCGGGGCTGTAAATCAGAAGGATGGGCGTCAACGGGGAATCGCTGGAGATCGGAGCCATCCATGGCTCGAGCGGAGCAATATATAACTAAATAATTGAAGCACGGGCAGCGGGATCAACGATTCTGGATCATGGCGAGTGCTGCTTTTGGAGGAGTGGAAGGGGGAAATGGTGGGGGAGTTGAAGCGGCGAGGTGCTATGGAGTGCGATAATGATGATGATAGAGGGTGGTCACCAACTACACGATCCATCTCAACTCGAGGAATGAAGGTTCCATTTATAAGTGAATCATGCTGATTACTGAGGTGTATCTAGATGTTATTATCTGCAGTTCTTCTGCGCGGCCTCTTGTCGCAGTGGAAACCCAAGCAGCCAAAAAGCAATTATAGTGTATGTATGTGACAGGGAAACTTCGCACAGGCAAACCAGTCAGTTCTACAGGTTGACAGTTCATATCCTCATGATCTCCGATCAGTACTCATATCAGAAATGAACTTGATCCCCCTTCATCAGTTTCTTCATCAAAACGTCATCATCATCATCATCTCTATCAGACAGCGCTCCGTCTCCAGTGATCCCATCCCGTACATCCCATGTGACATTCCCGAACTCGACAGGTCAATCAATATCCATGCTCATCAACGCTGTACTGGTGATACATGCTCAAGCTCTGTCTGGCAAAGTTACTCCTGGCCCGGAGGCTTTCGCCATGTCGGGTGAACAGGGGCGGCACGATACAAAAGACCGTAGCCATGGCCGCCAGCACAGTGACAGCAAGATTGGCCCCTAATGCCGAGAACATGTACGTCGAGACTAGCGGAAACACAGCCGATAGGATCGATCGAAGAAAGCTCAACGCGGAAAACCCGCTCGATGCGTAGCTTAGATAGCTGTCGGTGAGGTAGCCCCCCAGGACATAGTCTAATTCGTTCAGGGAGTATCCGACCAGTCCCAGAGCGATGGCGGATACGATCCAGTGCAGATCTCTCACTGCAGGCGGGATCGTCCAGGCGAAGACCCAGAGTGCGCCTGCGAGGATCGGGGCTCCCAGCCAGAGACCAAGCAGCTTGTGTTCGGGGAGCAACACGCGGCCCTGCTGCCGGTGCTGGTCGATGATATACAAATCCAGACACCGGGTCAGCAAGCCGAGGCTGAGCCCCACGCCGATGGCGACGAAGGGCAGGCTGGATTGCGGGTCACGGAAACCGAACGATTCATAGATGGGAGGCAGGGCTTCTGTAAACAGATAAACCAGTGCGATGGCGATGGCGCTGATCAGCGACACTATGAACACGATCGGCTCGGTGATGAGAAGGAATAAAGGTCGGGCCAGTGCGACACGCGCGAAGCTGCGCAGATCCGGCGCGTGATCGGGATTCACAGCTTCCAGGGAATCGATGTTGGTTGCTTGGCGAAGCTTTGCAACTTCCCGTGCCAGTATGAGCGAGGGACGCGACTCTCGGATGCTCAGAAGGAGAAACGTGAGAACGCCAGTCACGATGGTTGCGATATAAAACAGCCAGCGCCTGGGAAGTCATTAGCGCTTTCTCATCCCAACATATTATTGATGCTCCCACAAGAGCAACCACCTACCACTCAAGATCCGCCAGAACATAAATGCTCATGATAGGCCCTACAACCAGACCAAGGTTGCTGACAATGGCCCAGATACAGACCATCCAGATGCGGTCACGGGAGTTGAACATATCCTCGATGCTGCCTATCACGACAGTAGTGGGAATCGCAGAGAGCAATCCACTCACAAAGCGACCCAGGACCACCCCTATCAGCGACGGGACGGCAGCCACGACGAGGCAGCTGATGCTGTACAGCGCCGTACTGACGACATAGAGCTTCTTGCGTCCGAACGCTTCGGAGTAAGGGGGGAAGAGGATGCCACCGATTGCCTGTCCTATTAGATACCTATTTGTCCATCAATCCATCAGAACCGCGGAATACATTTCGTTGACTCTCTCGAGGCTTTTGCTATGGGAGGAATCTGTCGGGAAGCGAGGTGCGTCACGAACACTGATACGAAGTAGAAGATGGACAGGGTCTTTCCGAGGCCGAACTCAACGGCCGCAGCTCCGGCTGCAGTTGACTATATATATTTACATGGGCATCAGTCAGGGTCGCGTTCACGGTCTCAGGAGGAACCTACACCTGCGGTGCTGACAGCTGTTCTAAATAGGCCATCAATGTTAGCACTGGGGACTCGGCACCGTCACACAAGCAAGACAAAAAATGAAAAAAAGACACATACGTGAACAACTCCAGGAACACCACCAAGCTGATATCATACGCCTTCCGGAATATACTCCAGTTTCGAGGATGTCGCCGGTTCCCCATCGCCCATTGGACATGGAGCTCGTCGGAGGCCATCTTGAGCCCATTCTGAGCAAGGAGCAGATGCAGCTGCAGCGAATCCGGTTCCTCGACATACCCGAGTACCTTCTCCTCAGGCGTTTGGTCCTTCATGGGGGACAGCATTGTACAAATCTTCAAGGTCAAATAGCAGGAAATCGTTCAGAGGAGGGCGGAGGGTGACACCAGAGTCAGACGCATCCTTGAGTGAAAGACAGATAAATCCATTCGGGGAGGGAGGGGGGTGTTTTTTTTTTCTCCCACCCCTGGCCACAGCATCAGCCAGGGAGGACGGCCGGCGCTGTGGGCAGGACGGGATTAATCTTCACGGCAAGCTTCTGGGAGGTATGTGAGGCTGACGAGCAAGGAAGACGCCCGTCCATGCGCCATTACGACGTGCATTCCTCTTGAGTAGTCCGCTTGCCTAGCCTGGAGTTCGCCGGTTGGAACCCTGCAGCGAAAATAGTAGCGTTGCCCAGCGTGTGGTTGAGGGGATGCAGTGACTCCAATGGGCGTGCTCCGTCATCGAGGGCGAGAAGGGTCAGCTACGATCAGCATTCCTCGCGGGCTGGGATGCACTTACGGGGGGTTCTTGGCGTGCTCTCCCCCGTTGCGCCTATCGACATCGTCTCCGTTTGTTCCTCTGTCTGGCAACGGGTTGTTTTGCATAGGGCATTGGAGAAGGACTGTACATAGCTTGCCTTGTAGGTAGTTCTAGGCTGCTTTTACCCCCTAGGGTCTTAGCGTATCTTGCTCAATCCATGGCTCTACGTACGGTTTTAAACTTGAGGTCGAGTGCTAAAAAGAGGGAAATAAATCATGATCACAGATCATGTTCTTGTTTCTTTACATCATAAGGATCTTCTTCCATGGCTTCCATCAAGCCACTGCGAAATCATTCATAATGGTCCACCCACTCCATCATTCCACTCAAACTTGCCCATGCAACCATTCACACTAGAAAGTAGATTTAAGCAGCACCGTTGTAGGCGAGCTTGTTGGGGCTTCCCTTAACATCGGAAATGACGCCAGAGGTGGCCAGCTGGAGAATACGCTGAGTCACGGCAGCAGGACCAGAGACACCCTCAAGCCCCATGAGGTAGACGGCAAGGCCAACAACGTGGGGAGTAGCCATGGAAGTACCGGAGATGGTGTTGGTAGCAGTGGTGGAGCCGATCCAGGCGGACAGGATATCCTGGCCAGGGGCGAAGATGTCCAAGACCTTGCCATAGTTGGAAAAGGAGGCGCGGGCATTGCTCTTGTTGGTCGCACCGACGGTCAGAGCGTTAGGAGCGGAAGCAGGGCTGCTATTAGAAGCGTCGACCTAAACTAGGGTTAACCGAAGATGCCCAAAGAAATCAGTCAGGAGGAAACATACACCCTCGTTACCGGCGGCAACAACAGAGAGAACACCCTGCTCATAGGCACTCTCGACAGCGTTGTTGAAGGCGTAAGAGTAACCGCCACCTAAGGTAAAAAATCAGTGGTTGTGTCTTTGTGGACATTTAGGACAGCGCATCATACCCAGACTCATGTTGATCGCAGCCTTGCCCTTGCGGCCCTTGCTCACAATGTCGTTGGCAGCCCAGTTGAAGCCATCCAGAATGACCGAGGTACTACCGGTTCTGCCCTCGAAGACCTTGACAGACAGAAGGTTGGTCTGCTTAGCCACACCATAGGTCTTGCCGCCAATGGTACCGGCAACATGGGTTCCGTGACCAAGGGTATCGACGTGGTCACCGCCAACGGCGTTGTAGGCCTTGGTAGCGCGGCCCTGGAACTCAATGTGGTCAACGTTGATGCCAGAGTCAACGACGTAAGCATAGGTGCCAGCACCGGCGCTGGTGTCATAGACATAGTTGGTGCTAGCCTGTCCCTTGTGAGAGATGCTGCCGAGACCCCAAGGGGCACCGGACTGCGTGGTCAAAGCATCAAGGTACCAGATCTGGTCTTCCTCGACATGAGCAACCTGCGAATTATCAGTTATTGTCCCTTGAAAAGGCTCCAGGTTGGGAGGGGAGCAGACATCTTCGCTGTTGCGGATTTCCTCGATGGTAGCCGGATCGAAGGAGCCAGCATAGGCGGCGAAGTCCTTAATCTTGAACTTCCTCTCGATGCCAGCAGGGAACTCCCCGCCAACGAGGCCGCGACGCTCCAGGTTACGCTTGTGAATGTTGGATGCCCAGGCGGTGTGAGACTCAATCGCGGCGGTGTCAATGCCGGACTTGAAAGTGATGATGTACTTTCCAGGGATGATGTTGGAAGAGGGGTGAGGTTCCCTGGCCGGAGCAGCGAGAGCTGCCGGCAGCAGGGCTCCAAGGAGGAGAAGGGTGCGCTTGATGGACTGCATGGTGAAGATGATCTTGCAAGAATATAGAATACCAGGTCAACTGGATGATCTTGAAACCGAAGACCCTAATGATCACCAGACTGGACGGCAGATCAGGTATTTATACCTTTTAGCTGGCATTGAGTTCTCCTGGTCTTGCGCCGTTCTGATGCTACCCTCCCCGTCCACTGACCTTCGAGCAAGAGACCAGATAGAGGTATCTCGGACAGTCAAGACGAAGTTCCCAAGGTAACATTGCATCAAACAGAAGACTGCATCGCGCCCCCGTCGGAGAGTCAGACAGACGGAGTTTCCGGAGGGAATGAGCCAAGGCGAATCCATGCAGAGAATGATGAGGACCATCATAAAATTCACAGGATTGGTTCCAAGTGAGCAAATTACAGCGGTCATCAGGAGAAGTCGCAGACGGCGGAGGAGGCGTATATTCGACGCGAAAAGCACAAGACACCTTCTCATTCGACGCATAGATGAGTCGCGACAAAACAAGTATCTCGCGCCACCAACCATCATCTCGATGTGGAAGGTGGTATACTGGATACTGGATACTGGATACTGGATACTGTATACTGTATACTGTATACTGTATACAGCCCAGCGTCCCTTCATCAACTCCTCACGCTGACGCCGAACTCATCGTGGCAGGCACACCTTGGGGCATCTGGAGTCAACCGATTCGCTTGTCGAGAGTGATGCGACCCTACCTAGCCAGGATCGCCGCAGGTAAAGGGTCAGATGAATGAATGGACGATTGATAGTGATATTGCCGGGGTCATTTTTAGAATAGCCCCATGCTTATGAGCTTGGCGGGAGGGGGCACGAAACGGCACATGAGGGTCAGCTAGATGGACCTGCAGATCACATCCGAGCCATCGGCCCTAAGACCATTGACCAAGACCACACCATCCATCTATCCAGGGGCAGTGGCTCGCGGCAGGAGCGGACATTATTGAGCATATTATGATAAGCACTTTGTCCCTGTCGAGCCCCGCGAGCTCATTTGCCCGTAGTAGTACAGCCAGATCATGCAAACACACATATGGCCAGGGTGATCTTCTGATGCAGTCATTGGAGTAAAATGCCTCGAAACCCTTGAGGTTGTCGATTAGTATCGATCACGATTCATTCCATCCACACAGTACGGCACGAATCCATCTAACGATCGATAGTTAGCCGAGGGATATCCGCATAATTTCGCACCAGGAAGATGCGACACTCGTCTTTCCCCCGTCTGACACAGAATGGGTCATGATCACTTGGGGTGTACTCCATGACCATCCGATTTTAGGCGGAATATAAGCTCTTCTCCTCCCTTCCTCCTCCTCCTCCACCACCGCCGGGCGTCCGACGAATACTGGCCCTTGGCATAAAAGTTATGGAACAATATTCATTAGCGATGACACAATCGAGGCTTGAGACCCTGGTCAATCCTGGGGACTCCTGCTCGTCGCCTTCTAGATAGTCGTTAACTGGATCGTTACATGGTGCACGTCCAGGAACCGAGGCGTATCTGCGCTTCCAACTATGGGTTTGCCTCCGGCTTGGCAACAAGCTTGGCATGTCTGGTGATTATCCCCTCGAGAAATTCCCAGGATGACCGCAATGGCAGGTCAGGCCGTCAGCATGGTGGCGACATAAAGGAGGTTGTACAGTTCGGGATTGCCGTGTCCAGAAGTAGTGGTAGGAGGGAGAAAAGGCGGGGGGGGTTGATTGGAGAAGCCAAGAGTAAGACCACCAACTGTAGCGGCTGGCACTGAGGTTACAGCTTTCCCTCCTGCAACTCCAGCTTGGCATGCTTTTTTCCCACCGGGGATCCGATGGGCTTCATATCGTTCTTGTCCTACTCATATATGCTTGTGGTGGAGTTCGTCACACGCAGTTGTGTCTTGCAGATGATAAGAAGAACATGCACGGGGCTGGCTGGAAGGGCTTTACTACCATCACATCACACCCTCAGTAGACGGCATCGTCAATTGATGGAAATGATAGCCCGACGGAAGAGCAGACCATCCTGCAGCCAAGTCTCAATACATTGTACAGGGTTTAGATGGTAAATACAGGGAGAGCCGCTGGCTGCAACTGCACTGGCCAGTTCAAATGCCGAAAGAACAATAGGTTGACATGTATGACCACATGAATAAGGTTAACTACAGCCTTCAGCAGAAGAACCCACTCTTCTAGTCTCTATCCCCTAGATAGTAATACTTATTCACGCTTCTCCACATGCTTTCTCTGCGCCTCCCGGTTATGGAACGGATATCCTGCCGTGCGCTTGTCTGCGCCCGTCTTGCGACTGATCTTTCCGTGACTGCTGGCGAACAGAGCGCACCACAACCCAATAGACGCTACAGCGAAGTACCCCACCATGGCCGCTGCGAAGACCACTTGATCCGTGGTCGTATACCACGTATAAGCATAGAACCCCGATACCGCATGGAAGACGGATGTCACAACCAACGTAGGGACGGCATACGGCGCCTTCGGATCAGAGTCCTCAGTGGTGACCGCTTCAGACACGGCCGAGCTCAAGGGAATGGTACCAGTCAACATGACTGTCAGAACGGCGATGGTAAGGAGGCTAAAGCCAAGGCAACGGGCAAAGTAGACCTCGATTTCTGCAACGGTTAGCACCGGTTTGTGAGCACATATCTATCGAATAGAGCCAATGGTGGAGGACGGAACACCAACGTGAGGGTTGTCTGGCTTCTTCCAGCATGATTCTTGCGATCATCTGTGGCATCCCGATCAGTGGGATGCCTTGTATCGCCAGCCATCCCGCCGTGGAGTATGTGTAAGCGTAGAATACCTGCACGCGAGTCAATGTCCGTCACCCTTCAAGAAATATATAGCGCATCTCGACTATACGAACATCCATGCTTTGTTGATGTGATCTGCAGGTCTTATCGGTTGATAGTACTGATAACGTTGGACCAAGTGAAGTCGATGACCAGAAGGTGTATGTAGTTGAAGACAAGTCAATTGCAAATAGTATAAGCTTGGAACAGATTCTCAAGATTCTAATGCTCTCTTCTTCTTCTCTGCGGTATATAAAGAGAAGAAACGAGATGAAGCAACATTGACGATACGTCAGTCGGGGCCGGTGACATCATCGCCCAGGCATCCGGGAATGTACCAGTTTGTCTTGTTTGCACATCGGGCACAACAGCTTCTTTTCGATTCTTTCACACTCTACGGGGTGGTGCCGAGACTTCAAATATAGATGGAGGAACAGGATGCCTAGCTAGATACCTAGATAGTGTTAGAGATTCATCAATCGCTTTCTGTACAGTGAAATGTTCGTTTTCACAGTTGCAGCTGAGATCAACCAACGCCGTTCAGGAACCCAGGATGAATGAAAAAAAAAAAAAAAAAAAAAAAAAAAAAGAAAAAAGAAAAGTCAGAGAAGGGAAAGAAAGGCATCAATCGTGACATGATATTAGTCGAAGAGGCTCTATCGATTGATATTGCTAGAGCGCAGGTATCGCACAAAGCTCAGATCCTGGTCGTTTATCCCGCCCTGTGATTCGGAGAGAGCTTCCTTGTATCGCTGAGAGAGACCCTGATTGTCACCAGCACGGGGACCGCCAACTTCATCGTCGTCACTGTCCAGATCCTCATACTCATCCTTTCGAGCGTCCGCCTCCTCTTCCGCCTCGCTGACTGTCTCCGCTTCGGGTTCGGCGCCCGGCTTTCGCGACGATCCGGACATGTTCATGTCTTTCATCAGCTTGCCCAGTTCCAACTCGCGCTTGGCGGCCTGAGTCTCCTCTCGTTCTTTCTTCTTGCGCTCCAATTCTGGCTTGTAGTCCCGTTCGAATTCCTGGCGTTTATCTTCCACGGCTTGGAAGAATTCATCAATACCGTCACCGGTCATGGAACTGACACCCACGACGCTCAGATGGCGGTAGAACTCCTCCAGCATCAGACTCATGCTGTTGAGAAGCGAGCCCATGTATCCGCTACCAGCGCCAAAGCCTGCAGCACCTCCCTCCCCGCCAAATGCACCCGACTCTTCTTCCTCGCGCAGTGCTTGTTGGAAGGCGTCGAAGTCGGTCATCCACTCTTTCGCAAATTCTGCATCTTGAACGTCGGTTTTGTTGAACACCAGAATCATCGGAAGCTTTGTCTTGTATAGGATACTGCAGGCGTAGAGCATATTGCTCATGAAGGTACTGGTGGACGTCGTGCGCGGGGTATCGATCACGTAGGCGATAACGGTAGGAAACGAAGAGGCCAGCGTCTCCAGCAGAATACTGCCAGATGCACTCCAGACAAACACTTCGATTTGTCCCGGTGTGTCGACCAGAATGTGCTCGATAGGCTTGGCTGACGGGTTTTCGGGGTTGGGCGCCGTCCGTTTCTCCAGTAGTGAAATAATCTGGTCAACCTTTGTTGCAAACAGATTCAACGATGTCAAAATGCCACCGTTCGGGCCAAGGTTGTATTGCTTCATGACTTCTTTGTAGTTGATCGAGTCACGGATGTCGATGTTGCTCTCAAATGGAACAGAGTATACGGCGGGGTCAAGGTTCAACACGTAGGGTATCGTTTTCTTTGAATGGAGGTAGGAGTTGATTCTCTGCATGAAAGTCGTCTTTCCCGAGCCTGTAGCGAGTCTGCATCAGCTATCATTCATCTCTCCTCTGTGACATAGATTCAAGCTAGATGCCTCCGTACCTGCCATGCCAACACAGACGACAGCCACCGGTGTTGTCGCCATGATGAACTGGACGATAAATTATTCAACCTGCGAATGTTTTTGGCAACTCTCCAATGAATCAAAAGACACCCTCCAGTCAGTACGGATAATTTAACAAGCTTTTGTGGAGCTGGGAGGAAGCATGCGAAGATGAGAGATCGAGGTCAGAAATTCTTTTTGTCGCGGGGACTCAAAAGCAGATCTGCTTCCGGGTGGAGTCTGGACCGCCCAGACGTCATCCAAATCCGTGTTTTTTCCCGTGTTGAGGCAGCTTTCCTCCACAAAGTACACACAAAGCTCCAAGCAATCATCATCTCAGACAGGAAAAATGACCTTGGAGGATTTCGAAAAGTCCCTGGCGGAGGATCAAGGGCGGCGACGGGAGAGGAGCGACAGAGACAAGCATCGACACCGGGATCGAGATCGAGAGCGAGAGCGAGCCCGCGATCGCAGCAAAGAACGCTCAAGACATCATCGCCATCATCACCATCACCGACGCCATTCGTCTAGGTCGAGAGAACGAGAGCCCCGAGATAGCGACGAAATTGGACATCGACACAAGCGATCCCGCCATTCGACAGACCACGGCGATGAGCGGGACCACAGCCATAAGCGGCGACATCGACACGAGAGCAAAGGTGACGAATCGGCGTCTACAGCTCCGGTGAAGGAGATTATTCAGGAGGAGCCCAGTCGCTTGAAGCGAGATGCCTGGATGGAGGCTCCGTCTGCCATCGAAGTTGATTATGTGCAGCGGCGGCAATCGACGCGACTGGAAGAGGAACCGAAACCCAAGATGCTTCAAGCAGACTATGAATTGAAGATACACGGCAGGGAGTTAAATCAGCACCTTCGTGATTTGAAGGATGAAAAAGTATTGGAGGAACTCGAGGAGGAACCGGCACAACACGAGGTGAACTACACTTTTGGTGATGCTGGTTCCCAGTGGAGAATGACGAAGCTCAAGGCCGTCTACAGAGAGGCGGAAGAGAGTGGCAAGCCCGCGGAGGAGATTGCGATCGAGCGCTTCGGAGACTTGCGCTCGTTTGACGATGCGCGCGAGGAGGAGGCGGAGTTGGACCGCCGCGAGCGCTACGGGGAGGGCTACGTCGGGAAAGAAAAACCAACGGGGGAGCTCTTCCAAGAGCGCAAGCTTGAGCAAGGCATCCATAGGGGATCCCACGAACATGTCCGTGACCCAGAACAGGAACTTGCCGCTCGCGGCCAGGGCCAGAAAATGGAGACCGTGCCGCCATCTAATGCTACGCAACACCTCGATCGCACATCTCTCAACCGACTCAAGGCGGAGATGATGAAGGCGAAGCTCAAGGGATCTGCCGATGCAGCAGAGCTCGAGGAGCGCTACAACGCGGCCGCTGCAGCCATGGCCAATCGCAAGGAGTCCGATGTTGTAGTGCTCGGAGTCATGGAAAATCGAATGCTTGCTGGTCAAAGAAACGAGGTCAAGCCTGTCGAGAACAGACGGGGCCGTGAGCGAGGTCAAGTGGAAGAAAATGAGGACATGAGCATTGAGGATATGGTTCGAGAAGAGCGGCGGACCCGCGACCAATTCGGAGGAGACGGAAGGCGACTTGCGGAGAGAATAGCAAAGGACGCGAAATTCGAGGTCAGCCTTCCTTGTATTTCCTCTGTATGGTTTCATTTATGATACTGACATATGCGCTTAGAATGACTTGGAGTATATGGATGACAACGCTTCCAAACTCGCCAAAAGGGTTCATCGGTCCGAGATCAACCTCAAGAATACCACCATCAGCGAGTTCCAGAAGATGAACCGAATCTTGGACAACTGTCCTCTATGTCATCACGAAGATACCAACACGCCTCCAATCGCTCCTATGGTGTCGCTGGCGACCCGAACCTACCTTACTCTCCCTACCGAACCGGAGCTCAGTGAAGGGTGTGCAACCATTGTTCCGATCCAGCATCGCACCAACCTGATGGAATGCGACGATGATGAGTGGGAAGAGATCCGAAATTTCATGAAGAGCCTCACCCGGATGTACCATGATCAAGGCCGCGATGTCATTTTCTACGAGAACGCTGCTCAGCCCCAGCGGAAGAAACATGCGAGCATGGAGGCCGTTCCCCTGCCATACGAACTGGGCGAGACCTCGCCGGCTTTCTTCAAGGAAGCGATCCTAGCCGCGGACTCCGAATGGACGCAGCATCGGAAGCTGATCGACACTCTAGCGAAGGCGAAGCAGGGGTTGGGCCGGAATGCGTTCCGCCGCACTCTCGTCAAAGAGATGCCTTATTTCCATGTTTGGTTTGAACTGGACGGAGGACTCGGCCATGTGGTTGAAGATGAGCACCGCTGGCCACGCGGTGATCTATTTGCCCGCGAAGTCATCGGAGGCATGTTGGACCTGGGTCCCGAGGTGATCAAGCGACAGGGGCGTTGGAACCGAGGAGGCGATCGCAGACTCGACGGGTTCAAGAAGCGCTGGAGGAAGTTTGACTGGACGCGGATGCTGGTCGAGGGATGATGATCGGCGATCGTCCGAGTACAGCTAGAAAGCCGAACAATGCAGCTAATGACTATATAGAGAATGAGGATTGGTCATTCATCTTGGGCCATGAAGGGTCAGTGGACTGTATAGTGTTGGTGTTGGTGTTGGTGTTGGTGTGGGTATGTGTGCGTAAATATATGTAACTATCCCGCCGATGGCATTCTGATCCGGTAGACGAGCTCTGCGACGAATCCTAAGATCGGAGGTTTCCTGGAGCCATCGGGACGGATTCCACCGACGAAGGAACCCTCGAATCCCCAAGGGAAACCATCACCTCATCAGGACAATAATTGGCAATCTACCATCGATCACTTCACCGTCTAACTGGCCGAAGACGTCTTCTCTGTTAGTGCGGGGGAGAAGGCGCTGCGATGATAACAGGCAGTGGGGCAGCGATGGTAGCGACGATAAGTATCTATCTAGGTAATAGATCGGGGATTGTCTTTCGCTCTCTTTCAATTTCCAGAGACGAGTCCATATCCTCTTCTTCTTCTTCTTCTTTTTTCCCCCTTGCTGGCTCAGTGTCTCTATCTAATCCTGGTGGATCGTCAATTGCGCTCGCAAAGAGGCTCAATCCCTCCACTCTGATCCGCCTATACTCTCGGACAGAACTCCTCGGTCTTCGCTCTGGCTTGGGATAACTCCAGGTACGATGCTTCTGCTCAGAATTGACTCATATCTGCAGTCTGCAACTTGAGATCATTGCAAGGAAAGCTCTCTAACTGTCGCAGAGCACCGCAGAAAGCAACCATGGGCTTCACCGGCACAAAACCCAAGGTCCTCCTCCTGGGATCTATCATCCAGTACGTCCAGTATCCGACAGTTCAGTTAGTAAAACTCCTGGACACTAACGCATTCTCCCCTCAAGCGCACACAAGACCTGGGAATCGCTAGCAGACATCGCAGAGCTGGTTACGCCCACCGCGACAAACCGCGCAGAGTTCCTGCAGGAATGTCGCGATGGGAAGCTGGACGGCGTCGTCGCCGCATACCGCACCTTCGACTCGATCAGCATCACCGGCCTCATCGACGAGGAACTGGTCAATGCGCTCCCCAGCTCCCTGACATACCTCGCGCACTGCGGTAAGCCATGCCTCCGATCCTCAGTCGCACTCCCATCCCTCTCACCTCACCACACTGTGTACACCCACTGTACCATGCATACTAAAAACCTTTTGCTCCCGCCACAGGCGCTGGCTATGACCAAGTCGACGTGCACGCATGCAGCGCGCGCAGCCCGCCCGTGCGCGTCTCCAACGTCCCCACCGCCGTCGACGACGCCACCGCCGACGTAAACATGTTCCTGATCATCGGCGCCCTGCGCAACTTCAACACGGGCATGCTGGCGCTACGCGAGGGTAAATGGCGCGGGCAGCCGGCGCCGCGCCTCGGCCATGACCCCGAGGGCAAGGTGCTGGGGATCCTGGGCATGGGCGGCATCGGGCGCAACCTCAAGAAGAAGGCCGAGGCGTTCGGGATGCAGGTCATCTACCATAACCGCCGGCAGTTGAGCGAGGAGCTCGCGGCTGGAGCGGAGTATGTGACGTTTGACGAGTTGTTGGCGCGCAGTGATGTGATTAGCCTGAATTTGCCGTTGAATGTGAGTGCAGTCGTCGCCCGCGAGAGTTTTAGGGGGTCGGCAGGAAGATGTCTTCTAACTCTGTCCCCGTGATGATCATAGAAACACACCCGCCACATCATCAGCACTGCCGAGTTTGAGAAAATGAAGGACGGCGTCGTCATCGTCAATACGGCCCGCGGCGCGGTCATGGACGAAGCTGCCCTGGTCCAGGCTCTCGACAGTGGCAAGGTCTACTCCGCCGGCCTGGACGTGTTCGAGGAGGAGCCCAAGATCCATCCGGGGCTGGTCCAGAATCCCAACGTGCTGTTGGTTCCGCACATGGGCACATGGACGGTCGAGGTAAGTTGAGTGGGTAGAGAATCAAGACGGAGATCATACTAATGGACTGTACGCTGAACAGACCCAAACCGCCATGGAGGAGTGGGCCATTGAGAACGTACGCCTGGCAATTGAGACGGGGAAGTTGAAGTCTCCAGTCCCTGAGCAGGCGGATCTATGACTGTAGCGAGAAGACCCTACTGTTTGACACCATCGATGGGTGAAACGTACTTGTTTCTCATTATTGATATGTACATGATTTTGATAATAGAAGTAGATACTTGAGATATACCAGTCATGTGCATCGTTAGTAGATGTTCGACCAATGCATTGGTATCCCTTCAAGAGTCGCCAGTCGGATGGATGCTTCACATCACAAAGCGAAGATGTTCGAGCCAGTATATCTTCCATCTCTTATTTGAATACGAAAAAGGGAAAAGGATAGGAAAGAAAATATAGAAAAACATCCGGAACGCCATAGTGCTTGCCATTCCCAAGCTCCAGAGAGAACTGAGAATGAATTGAAACAAACTCCTTTGCCATGATAGCTATCCTTGAGCCAATTGGACAAGACGCGCAAGAAATGGGGGATGAAGATCATCAAGGGTTAGAGAAACAAGAAAAAAAAAAGTCGTCAAATATTGACGTTCAGACATCGTGAAGAGCGAAAGGATGTCATCAAGGCCATCTCATGCACACGACGTAGGTCTCGGAAGTCAAGCGTGTTGACCACGTGGTCCATTACTCACGGGAGACATACCACGAGCGGACAACCATACCGCAAAGGCGCTTGATGACCTGCGTGGTTCCTTTGCCGCCAGCCTCCTGCTCCAGGAATTTCTGCGCGACATACAGCTTGGCCCCCGCATCTTTTTCGTTCGGTGTGACATGCTGAGGGATGCTATGTGGAAAGTCCGCCCAGCGCTGTCCGATGTGGCGGGCAATGGCGATCGAGTAGATCACATCGCGATTCTCGTAGGTATCCAGCAGAGTCCTGCACCGAGCCAGGGTATCATCGATCTCTTTCGCTGAGATGGCTTCATTATCATGGAGAGTCAAGAAATGGCCAATCGAGCTCCAAAAGTCCAAGGATCTTTGCATGAGTTGATCAGGAAGGGTAGGCGGGCTGGCTGCCGGTTCGCGATTCGGGAACTGCGCCAGCGGATTTCTGTCCAGATGCTCGCCCGTGATCATTGCTTCAATCACGTCAAGTCTGGAAGCGGTGGCCAGTAGATCGAAATCCTGTCCGAGGCTACCATTGGAAACATTCATCACATGGCGGCACAAAGTCATGGTGCTCCAAACGACAGACGCTTCAAAACTCTCCAATTGTGCCACGACGTTGGGGTCATTGAGATTACGATCATTGAAAGCATCAATCAAGGCAGAATACTCGGCCATGAGCTGTGCATTGGCGAGAAGGTGGCCCAGCGCTTTCTCGGAAAACCAGCGAGTCTCGAAGAATCTATCAATGGCGGGTGCATATGTAGCGAGGAACACGGCTTTGATTTCCTCTAGGCGATTCGGTGGAAGGGATGTGATGGGATGAGGGGGTGGAGGAGGGATGCCTCTCAGCGCCAATAAATCGCTTATCTGGGCTCGTTTCACTGCTTCAAACATCAGTCAATATGAGGTCTTAAATGCGACACAACCGGTGTTTGCACAAAAACAAACATACCTCTGAAGCTGGAGGGTTCTGAAGGGTTCGCTGTGGTATTTGTTGAGGCATTGAGAGACGACTGCAAACCTCCCTCGGTGATGTTCTGCACGCTGGCCATGTTCGACGAGTTGTTGCCGCCCAAGGAAGGGTCAGCAGAAGGAGTCCCGTAGTCGTACTGCTGTTCGGTAGATGTAGATGGCGATTCGGAATGGAGAGACGGGGCGAACGGTTGGGACGCCGCGGGCATATAACCAGGAGGAGCAGCTGGGTATGACGGTGTAGGATCTTGAGGATTGACAACCAGTGAAGGAGCCGGGTTAGGCGCTGGTTGGATGGCAGAAGGGGTCGATGCCGGTGTTTTGAACACAGGGTCGTAACCTAAACATTCACGCTTGCTCTTGACACAATTTCTGCAAACCGGGTGTCCCTCGTCACACTGGAGGACAGCATCAATAAACCGTTAGCAAGAACAGACCAACAACAGCATGAAAAATTAAAAATTGAGGATGCGATACATAAACGAGCGCAAAAAATTGTGCCGTTGAGCGGGAGGGAAAACAGTGGGCAATCAAGCAAGCGGGGTTCTTTGCGGTGGGCAGCACAAGCGAGGCCGACAACTCTGCTCTGTCCGCCCGCACTCCCCGCACCACACGGGAATCGCCCTCATCCCGAATCCGCATATGCGATACCACAAGGAACTTTTTTTTTTTCTTTTTTTTTTTGGGAAAATCGAGTATACATACCTTGATTCTGCGCTTTCGGCATGTCAGGCACCCGGTTTTCGTTCGGCGCTTAACCTCCTTCTTGTGCCGTCCGCCAGACAGCATCTTGTTGGGATCACCAGGCAGCTGGTACCGCATCTGCGCGCTCGTGTTATAACCCATTTGTGCAACATTCGCCGAATATCCCGCCATATACTGGTCAGTAGAGGACATGGGAGGCATGTTCGAGGGCATTGGGGACCCAATGGGGGCCTGAGGAATATGGGATTGTTGCGATGGGCCATTCATGTGCGTGGGCGGGGACTGGTGGTTCTGATACATATCGGAACTCGGCTGCTGATATTGCTGCTGTGATGGCTGATTCTGCTGTTGATGCTGCGGGGGCGCATAGTGTTGCGGTGGCTGATACTGATGCTGGTAGTGCGCATCCTGTTGCTGCTGCTGTTGCTCCTGCTGTTGCTGAGCGGGTTGCGGCGTGTATGTCCCGTTAGATTGATGATAAGATGACGCTTGCGTCGAGGGTAAGCTTGTTTGGTTGGCTGTGGAATGCTCAGATCCTCCGGTGATGGGACCCGTGAAATCTGGACCAACAGGCTCGCTGTTGCCCAGCTTTGTGCTTGAAAATGAGAAACCCGGCTCTGTAGCCGGGAGAGTGGTGTCTAACGGTGGTAGAGACGTATCGATCGGGGGTAAAGATGGCACCGACGAATCGATTGGCGGCAAGGACGTATCCAGGCTGGGTAACGACGTGTCGATTGGGGGTAGAGTTGTATCCTCGGCCGGCATAGTCTTGTCAATCGGAGGGAGCGCCGTGTCAATGGCGGAGATCATTGACTCTGGTGCGTAGTTGCAGGTCTCCACACCTGCTTCAACCACAGCCTGAGAAGTTTGTTCAGCGTGAGGGGTTTGTTCAAATGTCGCTTGAGGTGCTGCCTCTAGGACACTTTCTGTGGTTGGCTCTGGCGCCTGTTCAGGAGCTGGTTCCGCAAATGGTTCCGCAGCAGGCTCCGCAGCAGGCTGGTCAATTGATTCAACCGCCTGCTTGGGAGGCTCAGCGGGCGCGCTGGCCGGCTCTGCGGTCTCCGCCATCGGGGCTGACAGAATTTGAAATTCGGTGCGTTTGCGCGAATGGTAATGCCCGGGGTCTTGGGGGGATGGATTCGGTTCGAAGTGTAGATTTCGACGTCGCAACTCGGCACACTTATCCGTAAAGTCTTAAGTCTTCGTACACTGGCCGGGGGTTATGATGCTGGCTTGCATCTATTCCCTGTGGGCTTGAGGGCCAATCTGCTGTTAGTAAACAGTTTCGATAAATTGACCACAGCCGCATAATATGGAGATTCATAGGAGGATGTCTTCCAGAGAATTCAAGTCACAAAAAGGAAGACGGGGTTTATAAATGAGCCTGTTGAGAAAACCCTGCCGGCGCATTCTCCTGGTGCCATGAGCTGTCATCTCACGATGGGGTGTCGAGAAGCGCATTCGCATCTGGGGGACAATATTGGCCGCCTGCAGAGACCGAGGCGAGATCCAACCCGTTGAATTCACTGATTGACCAAACTGCAGGAACGGGGAGGTGCTGGATTTGAAGTTGATGTCGGACGAGACCGCCATGATCTTCTCCGCTCGGGCGAACTTGTCAAGCAACAACAGCGCGGCAGGACCAGGCCCAGATCCCCATCGCGACATCGCAACAGACTCCAGACACCAATGTTTTTCGAGAAAAGTAACAAGCAGGAAAGGCAAAAGCCCACGTAGCCAAAGGGGGCAAATGCATGTCTCGGACGGAAAAGATTGGCCCAGCGAAAGAAACAACTGGATTACTTACCACGTACTACTGGGCTCGATAAGCGAAAAGAAGCGAGAGTAGCGACCCGAATCAGTATTATTCCACCAGAGCACTCGATTCGGTAACGAAGAACCTCCGCATCAGGGGTGGGGAGAAAGGAATGATTGGCAAAAATAATGAGGTCGTTGCGAGTCAAGAGAGATGCTCTGGTGTGAGCTCCGGAACAACTCTTGAAGAAGCCCCGGATTTTTAGGAGGGAAGAAAAAAAAAAAGTGAGAGAAGGCAGTGGCAAGAATCAACTCACCACCACAAACCCCCTTGAACAAGCAGATCTTCACTGACAAAATAGCTTCACATCTGGCTTTCTGGATGGATATTAGACTTTTTTTTTTCTTTTCCGTCTGTTACAGAGAATATATTTCTATCTTGATTTATCTCTAATTTCCCCTTTTCTACACTCGCAGCTCAATACAATCCTTTGATTCTGCCAATGTCTAATGACGAGTCATGGAGATAGTCCCCAAGGATCATACGACAGGGCTGACATGGATTATTTATCTATTTGGTTTATCCTCGGCATCGAGACTTCTCTGTATGTAGGGATATTTTCCCCCGTGAGATGCCTTTTCAATAGATTGTGTCTCCTGCGCCTGGTTTTGATCGACACTGCCACGATATGTAGTCTTTCGTGGCATGTTTTCCCAGCCGTTCGAGGTAGATGTCACAGCATTCTCTCTTCCATCTCGGCATCTGTAATAGTCGCTGAGGCGAAGCGATGTCGCTCGGGGATTAACAGGTCCCTCAATCGATGGTCCTTTCCGGTTAGGAACCCTTTTGAATGTCATTGAAAGGTTGACATCTGGAGTTGAACAAACGGAAAGTGTATGATCGACGACACTGTATTTTGGGGAGATTTTACCATAGCTGCTCGGGATCAAAACAGCCGTAGTAATAACATTAATAATAACATCCGCTGCGATACGATCCGCAACTGTCTGAAATCATCTGGATGGTCGGTGGTAATTCATTCAAGAGCTCACTTGAACTATTTCCTCAGAACCTTCGGCTTGCGCTTCTTGAAAACGACACCTGGAGTCGCCTCCCCTTCCTCTTGCTTGACAGCCGGAGTAGTCGACGCGGGAGGCTCAGATGCCTCTGCCTCCTTGACAGATCCTGGTTCCGGCTTGGGTTCTGCTTCCTCAGTCGGAGCCGTCCCCTCCGTAGCCTGTGCTGTAGGTTCTGTCTCTGGAGTCGATATTTTGGCCTTCTTGATATCCTTTGTAGATTCTAGTAGAGCGTCCAGATCTGTGTCACTCTGTTCACCCGGGTATCGTCGTGTCCGAGACCCCCAAGCCTGGCTCACGAATCTTTCAGCTTCCCGTTTCGCTTCCTGCTCCTCCTCATCGCCTTCGCCTTCAAGTTTACGTTTGCGAACCCCAACAGACGTCTCAGCCTTGCCTTCCTCGGCATCACCAGACCTGATCACTCGCTCGGAAATTGTCTCCCACTCGCCAGCCAAGGCCAGCTCAGTCCGGTATTGATCAGGAATGGCGACACCCATTTCCGCCAGCTGCGCCATCTGTTTTTTTCTCTCTTCCACGGACACAGGCCTCTCAGATGGTGGAGCGACGGCCGGCGTCCGTTTCCAGGGCGCTCCGTCGCTCTCTTTCGCACCTGACGGTCCCGCGACACTCTGTCTTAGCCGCTCAACCTCGTTCTTCGCCCTCTGACTCTCGCGCTGCTTCCGCTCATTGTCCCGGTGAATATCCCGTAGGAATCGCTTGAGATTGCCTTGATGCTTGCCGCTCGCTTCGTGCTGGGTCTTTTCGAAGGGAGTATCTCGGATGAATATCTTGCATTGTTTGCACCAAAAACGAGGCTGGGTTCGGGCGTCAGTTGATCACGTTCACTTATTCTTGTCAAGAGACAATGGGATGGATGATGTAAGTTACTCACAGCTGATTTCCAGTATTCTGCCATCGCGAAGTTCGAGAGCCGCCAGGGATTGATAGAAAATCGAGGATGCAGCCAAAATGATATCACCGTTATCAGTTGCTGGCGCAGCGATAGGCGATTCGCCTATTCCCAAAACAGCAGCACGTGTTGCGCTCATTTCCATCCTTTGAGCAACCACGGTCCAATGTATGGGCTTTACATCTTCAAAAATATACTTAGACAGTATGTATCCTTTTGAGTAATTATCAATTCAAGTGAATATCTTAATAACTGTTTGTGTGGATGGAGAAAATGAAATTTCTCTACATCCCATTCTTGACGTTCCATGTATATATTTGTCGAGCTGGAGGAAGCAAATAATGTAACATTTCTATCGTAACTCGTTCAATACCATATCCATAACCTGATGCTAAGCTCAAGATGCAACCTCTATTCTGATTCTTGCTTCAAGGATATCAGGTTGAAACCAGAATCCGATGTCACGCGTCGAATCAACAAGCTCAATCTCCCTTTTGACGAACTTGGCTTCCTCACTCAGATCCACTAACTTGCTATTGTCTTCCAAAGTCTTGTTGGACACATCATCGTCACTGTCCCAGTCATCTTCATCTTGTTTTTTCTCCTGACTGACTGGGTCTAACTCGTCAGTCTCCCATACCAACCGGCACTGATAGGGTGGCAGATTGAAAAGTCGGGAAGCAATAGCCTTGACCTGGTACGTATCAAAGGATCGCGGAATCTTCTCACTTTTAATCTGCTGTTCTCTTGCTTCGGAACCGCCAGAGGGATTCAAATGAAAGATGAGCTTCACTAATCGAGCAGCAACGGAGCGTGGATTAACCGCAGCACCAGCTGATTCGGAAGCTCGTCTGATTGTGGGGGGTCCGTATTTTTCGCAAAGTTCATGGTAGCGAGGATGCGTACCCAGGATCTCACGTTCTGCGCTCTCCGGATACGCAGATAGTTCCTTACCGATCAGAGAGAGGTAGTACATCTCTCCATTGCTCCGGTCCTGGGGAGTAATCTTGCTGTAGTTGAGTGTTTGGATAGAAGACAGCCGGGCAAGAGTCAGCATATATGCTTCGTCCACGGTCATTGGCTTCTCCGGTAGGCCTGTAGCTGTCGAGGGGGCGACAGGCTTGTCATAAAGGGGGTTTCCAGAGATTCGAAGAGATTGCAGGCCGGGAAATATAGATTGTAGCTCGTCCACCAAGGACCAGGAGTCGATGATATTTCTAGACAAATCCACCGACTTGAGACTTTGCGAGAACTGGATTGGGTTGACTTCTGAATCCCTTCCATAGACTTTGTCGATACGATTCTCTCGCAAAGACAAATGCTCGAGTTTGTCCAGGGAAGTGAGCCTCTCCAGCGACACCAGCGAAAAAATATCGTTGTTTTCTAGTATCAACGTTGTTATGGTCCCTGTTATGGGGGCTGAAATCTCTGTGATTTGGTTTGCAGAAGCCGAGAGAGCAGTGAGTGATGTAAATTGATATGTCAAGGCTGAGATCTAGGCAATGCGGCTGTCAGTAAGCTTGCTCATGTTCTATCAGCAGCCTAGGGCAGCATACCTCGTCCCATGACAGAAGAGTCTCATCCAAGTGAAGCTGCGTGATACCGTCGAATGTCAAGCCTTCCTCGAGAGGGCCAAGCCGATTCCCACTGTCATCTGTGTCAACACAGGTCTCCCAAATAAATGTCCGTATACCCACATCAATTTCAATTTTCTCAAGCGCTTCAGACAATGACATATATCCGCGATTTCAGTCCACCTTTCCAGGAGATTGTAACTGAGGTCGAGCTCCACGATTTTGGAACATGTCGTTTCGATGTCCCGACAAGCCTCCATCCTTTCTTCTGGGCCTGCCGCATGAGCAAGAATCCCCCCAACGCGCAGGCCATCTAGGAGGACAATCTTCAATTCCTGAAGTTCAGCGAGCTTCTTCCGAATCTTGTCAAAGCCGACTTCTTCTACAACTTTGCCGCTGAACTTGATAGCGTCTCGCAAGCCATCTGCAGCGGCCAAATCTCCTTGCTTCTGCCTTGCAAGCTCCTCCTCAAACTCAGATGCATACTTCTGGCGCAAAGCCTCGATGAAACCCCGAGGTTGCTCAGATCGTCGCGATGGACGCACAAATGACCCGGCCGTGGGGTGTTTGCTTCTACCTAAAACATTGATAAGCAACTGCAATGTAGTGTGAAGAGATAGTTACTCAAGTACATGTGAAATATCTCACTCCGTTATGTTCACCAGAGTGCTTCCCCCGCGTTGGGTCATCCCATTCCACTCCGAGCCATTCACCGATGGTGCCCTCAACTTTCCCGACATAGCGCACGGTGCAAAGATCACCATTATAGGATCGTCGTTGATTTACATAGCCCTCGGAATCCATCATCAAATCAAGCCGAATGGCAATATAGATTCAAATGGAGATGCTTCATCTTCGCCAGCTGCTGGGCGGATTCGTTGATATCGTCCCGTCCAATAAAACGCCAGTCATGGTAATTACATAAGCAGGTATATCGCGATGTCGTTGAATTTCCAGTCGAAAGCTTATCATTATTGCACCTCCCACGTCTGTCTGCCTCTTAAACGCTTTTTACGCTTATTTGGCGAAGGCGATTCAAAGATGGATTACCAGGTAAGCTTCACGTGCATCTCACCTCAACATCTAAACCAGGACCAGGTCTAACTGCCCATCAAGAACCGAGCAGGCTCCAAATTCGGTGGCGGTGGTGTCGCATCCCACTCCGCAACAAACGCAGACCGTCGCGAGCGTCTCCGCAAACTCGCTCTCGAGACGATCGACCTAGACAAGGACCCGTACTTCTTCAAGAACCACGTCGGAAGCTTCGAGTGCCGTCTCTGCCTGACGGTCCACCAGAACGATGGCTCCTACCTCGCCCACACCCAGGGCCGCAAGCACCAGACGAACCTGGCGCGACGTGCGGCGCGCGAGCAGCGCGAGGGCAAGAACCAGGATCCCTCGATGCTGCCCGGCGCGATGGGTGTGCAGGTCAAGAAGCAGACGATCAAGATCGGGCGGCCCGGCTACAAGATCACGAAGATCCGAGACCCGTTGACGAGGCAGCTGGGTCTGCTTTTCCAGCTCCAGTACCAGGAGATCACGCCGGGTGTCACCCCGCGCGTGCGTTTCATGTCCGCTTTTGAGCAGAAGGTCGAGGAGCCGCCAGACAAGAACTTCCAGTACCTCGTTGTTGCGGCGGAGCCGTATCAGACCTGTGGGTTCAAGCTCCAGGCAAGGGAGATTGATCGGAGGGACGGTCGCTACTGGACTTGGTTTGATGAGGATAGTAAGGAGTTTTGGATTCAAATCATGTTTAAGACTGAGCGCGAGGAGCGTTTCAGTGGTGTTCCGGGTCTGGCACCGTTGGAACCCAGAATCTAATAAAGTCGCTGATGAGGGAGTACGGGTGCTTCTTGAGCAGTTTTTCATGGCATGTACAATTCAACTGGGGCTTCTGTTCAGGCGTTATTGTCGGGTCTTTAATGCATTATCAGATTGAGTTTGTCGTCTTGTTTGAATTGATATGGGTTGCCAAGCACTGTCTACTAATTTACATGGATATCCTTCCCATTCCTTCATGTAGTTTATAGGAGTAAGATTTTGATCCCTCGGAATCCATAGATGGTATGAGGGTTGATCTATGGCTCTTTTCAAGGACTACGGATTACAGCACATCCAAAACAGCTCAATTACAGATAAACGGATTGGGCATGGACGCCATATGTACGATTGGGATAGAGGACCAAACAGCCATTTCAACCATGATATGCACTGCATATTTTGTAGGAGTTTGACAACCAAAGAATAATGCATTTGTATGTGGTCCACTGCTGCTAGGTACGGTTCAGACCTAGCAGCTGTCGTCTTGCGACAAAGAATAATGCATATGAAACAAATATGCTCAGGTCATGATCACAGAAAAATCCGGATGCGCTATGTGCTTATGATGAAGACCAAACGGGACGAATATTCACCGTCTGGAACTGAGGATGGACCACTGCTAAGGTTTCCGCGCAAGCCCGCCCGCTCTGAGAATCCCCGGTATGGCTCATCCACAAACCCAGACGTTCGAAGGCCAGCTCTTAATTTCAGTTCGCCTGGAAGGCATTGAATGCCTTGTATGTGTATCCGATGAACGGGAGGCTCATCTCCGCCTCTTGCTCCTCCGGCATGGCACGGGCCTGTGCACGATGGATGGCGCTGGTATCTTCCTGTGGAATTTCATCAATGGGGAAGTAGGAAACGTCAATGTTAGAGCTAAGCTTCGGCTCGAAGGGAGCACGGATATTGCGAAGCTGCTCCCATACCACACCACGGAAGAATGGGTGATTTTTGATTTGAGTAGCACCGCCAAACTGGCCACCTTCGTTTCCAATACGGTGCTCGGGGTCACAAAGGAAGCTGTAAATCACAATCAGTATTTCGAATCGAAAACAAGAGGGCACTAAAAAACCCATACCTTCTAATGAGTCCCTCTGAATCGCGCGAGAGTGTAAGTTCCTCGGGGAAGTATAAACACTCCCTCCAGTTGACGATCTTACGGTATGTGTCGGTGGTGTCCTCGGCACAGAAGGGGGGCCAGCCAACAAGACACTCGAACATGATAGCACCAACAGACCACCAATCGCAGAGGTAGGTATATCCTTGACCATTGAAGATCTCGGGAGCAATGTAATCTGGTGTGCCGACGGTCGAATAAGCCATAGCTCGGCGGGATTTTCTCCAAGTGTTGATCTGTCCACGGTTCGATACCGTCAGGTTGATCGCATCATTGAAGTACCCGGAATTGCGATTCTTGTCCTTCGACGTCGAGTTCTTCAGGAGATTCTGGTAGTATGAGTTGTCGTGGGTCTTCTTGCCTCCAGTGGAGAGACCGAAATCGGTGAGCTTGACATGACCGCCGCGGTCAAGCAGAATATTGTCAGGTTTGATATCACTGGCAAGGTATAGATTAGTCGCTGACAATTTACATTGCAAATTACAGAGCGCAGCAACGAACGAGAGCGCGGAACATGTCTCGCAGGGAGGCAACTTACCGATGAAGGAAACCAAGCTTGTGGACGGCCTCAATAGCCATGACGATCTCCGCCATATAGAATCGTGTGATGTCCTCGGAGAAAATCTCGTACTTGATGAGCATGGTCATCAGATCACCACCGGGTAAGAACTCCATGAGCAAATAAAGATAAGCACTGTCTTGGAACGAGGCATGCAGCTTCACAAGCCACGGGTTGTCCTTGGAGTCAGCCAGAATATCACGCTCGGCACGAACGTGAGCCAGCTGATCCTTCTTGAACATCTCGGTTTTTATCAGCGACTTGAGGGCATAGATCTTGCCATCAGTCTTCCGCTGTACAAGTTTGACCTCACCAAAGGCACCCTTTCCAATGATCTTGATGGTCTGGAAATTCGACGGCGTCTCCTTCGTCCGTAGGAATCGGAGGAAAATGGACTCCTTCCGTGCAGCAATCTCCCCCTCCTGACGTTTCCGATCCTTGGGGATGCTGGGGTCGCGGATCATCTTGTCGAGTTCAGCAGAACTGTAAAAATGAAACTTGTCAGCAATCTCCATCGGGTTGGAACATGGATTGGCTCAATAAGTACTTACCGCATGTTGCGGTCGCGTGCCCGTTCAATGTTTTCATGGAAGAACACATTCACCAACTCCTTTGCTGCCTTGCCACGCTTGTGAACATTTTCCGAGTAGCGCTCGGGGTAGCGCTGCAGCTCTTCATTCTCAGCTGGGGTTCGCGGACTCCGAGGCATGGGGGGGGCTAGATGGCTCGGTTGCTGCTGTCCGGGGGCAGAAGAGCCGGCGGTGCGAGGCCTCTGAGAAGGAGACGCAGAACGACCGAAGAAACCTGTGCGCGGAGAATTCAAGTCCTGGTTCGAGAATTGCTGAATGAGCCCATTGGTCCCGTCGTTGGCGTTGTATGCCATCCGTGACTGGTACGCGGGTTGGGGGGAGGCCAAATTCTGTTGACCATAAGGTGCCTGGGCATACTGGGGAGGATAAGGGTTGGCCATGAAGTATCCCTGGTTGTAACCGCCATTATTTTGAGCGTTGACATAATCCTGAGGGGCTTGATTCTGATAGATCGGCTGAGGAAAGGCGGAGGGGGTCGTTGGGTATGCGCGGTTGTTGGCCGCTGCATTATTGTATCCATTCCGATCGTTAAACCCAAAATTCAGGTGAAGACGATTATTGTTGGGATCCATCTTGCGACGTCCTTCCCAGCTACCAGGCCGTTATAGACGGTTAGGAGGAAAACACAAAAGGTGTTTTTTTTTTGTCGAGATGAAGAAGCGAAGAGTTGTAACCCAAAGGGAGAGGGAGCGGGGGGGCAAAGCTACTATTCAAAGAAGCGGTGGCTCAGGGTCAGGAGTAGTTACGAGGAGAGAGGGGGGGAGAATAATAGTGGAGAGGGGAGAAGAGATCGCACGAGTCTCCGAGTGTCCACAGATCAGGGAAGAAAAACAATTCTGACTGGAAGAGATCCGAGAAGGCCAAAGAAGAAACAATGAGCGTGTCAGAGAGAGAAATGGACCAGGTTGATACGGAGTCTATGTTGAACCTATCAGTCGATACTATCCGTAAAAGTGTTTAGTTTACTCCGTACAAGGTGTACAATAGTACAACTCTCCAGAGCCAAGACAACCAAGGCAGTCAGGCACCACTCCGGCTATCATGTGATCTAGCGAGCTAGTCCATTCCGAGTCCGCCCGGATAAACATCGCCCCGCGGAGCTTTCGAAGTATCCCGAACTTTTTTGGCTGGTCACTGGCACTACGGGCTGGTCATGCCGAGTTATTCGGGTAGAAATTTGCTTGCGGTTCTCCTGAAACCCTATTCCAATCTTGCTTGATATCATAGTCCATATACTCGACCGGAGTTCTCTCATCAATCCTACACTCGTCGTTCTCGTCGACTCTACCCCAACTCCGAGCCATGGCGGAACCCTCCGCGGCCACAGAAAAGGCTCCCAATGCCTCGACAAAGCCTACACCAAAGCCAGTCAACCCGGCATTCAGAATGCTCGGTAATACTCAGGATATTCGATGCGTTGTCAATTGTCGTTAATAGTCTCGCAGGAATGCCAAACTTACGGTTTAAACTTCCGTCTCGCAATTGGATGATCTTTTTTACAATCACCGGATCCTTGTCAGCTGCCATCATCTATGATCGTCGCGAAAAGCGCCGTGTACAACAGAAGTGGAGTGATTTGGTGGCGCATATCTCGAAAGAGATACTCCCTATCGACGAGACACGACGGAAATTAACGGTGTATCTGGCCGCCCCTCCTGGCGATGGGCTGCGTGTTGCTCGCGATCATTTTAAGGAATATGTCAAGCCGATCTTGGTCGCCGCAGCTCTAGATTATGTGGTTATCGAGGGAAGAAGGGAAGGTGATGTGCGCGCCATGCTTGCAGAACGGATCCGCAAGCACAGAAGAAAGGCCGGCGAGCCTAGCTCGGTCGTGGAGGAGATCGGCAACGAAGATATCATTGCTGATGCAAGACAGAGGATTGGCGTCACAGAAGAACCGGGCCCCAAAGGAGACTTGGTCATTGGACGACACACCTGGAGGGAATACATTCGGGGTCTCCATGAGGGTTGGCTCGGGCCGCTTGATCCCCCCCTTCCTCCAGTGACACCTACAGAGGAACCCTCGCCTTCTGCGGAAGTACCAGCGGCCAGTGAACCTGCCGACGGCGCACCTGTGGCAGAATTTGTTGAAGAGACTACGGAGAAGAAGGAGGAACCGGAGAACAAGGACGAAAAGCCAGCCAAGCCTACCGGACCGACACCAGCATACATCTTTCCTGCCGAATATTCATCACACAGCCTTCCCGCCACCCTTCCACAATCCTTTGAGAGCTCCGTTCCCATCCAGTTCCCCCATCTCCTGGGCTTCCTTAACACCCCCATCAGACTCTATCGCTACTTGAACCGACGCCACCTGGCCGATGATATTGGACGAGAAGTCGCCGGAATCGTCCTCGCCTCGTCCAGCAGACCCTATCAGGACAATTCCTTCAGCTCCGACTCCGAACTCAGCGGTGCGAGTGTCGAAGCTGGCGCATCCCCCGTTTCCACCTCCGATGACTTGACCGCTTCCTCCAGCTACGAGCAGCAGACCGTCCTTGAGCACGAAGAGTCCGAATGGCACAAATCGGTGCACAAGAAGGACGAGACAAACCCGGACAAGGAGCGCGAATGGCTCAACGAAATCGTCCTTGACCCCCGCATCGCTTCCCGCATGCAGCGATCCCTCCTGTCCCCCGAGGACGAGGCACGCTCACAGCGCCTCGCCGAGAGTACAGAATACATCCTAGGAGAGGAGAGACCCATCCCCGTGCCCTTCTGGAAGCGCATGTGGGTCAAGTACGGCTACGGCGAGGATGAGGAAGCTCTCAAGATGAAGCCGATTATCGGTAACCTTGACGGAGAGGATGGCCTATGAGCTCCATGACAACGGGTCATTCGCTTCTGCAGCTTTCATGTGTTCGGAAATCTCAACTGCTTGAATGTATTATAGCCTCCTCCTAGACTGTATATTATTGCGACTGCAAACGATTCACAACATCCTTGTAGCCCACCCTCATACAGAAATAGCTTCGTCCTATTCAAGCTGCCCGAGTTCACGAAAAGGTTTGTGTATTATCTAGGAACGAGTTTATCCATCTAGACGACATATGAAGCGGCAACGATGAAGGCAGGTATACAGCAATATCGGATTCATTGAAAAATAGCCAAATCCCAAGTCGAAAGCAAAAAGACGCGGGGAAGATTTTGAGCATCCTACTCTTACATGATTCGGTTCGTGTGAATTCGCTATTGTCGAACTAGATATTCTTTTGTACTTCTTGTATGTCCTCATCTGCGGATGTGCCTATTTCTTCTGCCATTTGTTTGATGGTGAATCGAGTGTTAACGAGGCGGCGGACCGACTGAACTATATCCCACCAAAGAGAGACTCGTGGGACTCGTAACTCATTTGAGGGGTGATAACAGGAGAAAGTTTTCCCTCGTATTATCCGGCCGGAGAGTATGTAGTCGTGGGGGTCATTTAGCTGAGCTGGAACACCGACGATTCAGGCCACTTGTTGCTGGCCTTCTCGGCATATGCGGTCTTCGCAGCCTGGTCACTTCCCCATTCGTGAAGCATCTCCAGACCCGCCAGCGCCGTCTCAATGGAGATGTCGCTCAGATCAAGTGTAGAGGTGAGGTCCTTTTCGCATTGGGCTTTGGATTCTGGCTGCAGGAGCTGGCGGCATATGAGGCCGGCTTGTGTGTGTGGGGCGCTGTCCTTGTGGGTCGAAAGGAAAGACTCGTTCCATTTTCCAAGGTCCTGCGACTTGGGAAGGAGTTTATCGAACTCAGCATTGACGACCTCGGCGACCTCGGGTGAAAGGGGCTCTGACAGACTGTCAAGGGCTTTGCGGAACCGGAGCTGTTGGACGTGGACAGTGGAGTTGGAAGCATCGATTGCATGGGCAGCGGAGAGACACTTGAGCGCAAGTGCGAGTTTATCTAGAAATCATGTCAGTCAATAATAGCAAAGGGCATTGTTCTCAAGGGCCGAACTCACTCTTTCTCAGGTATACCTCAAATCCAAGGCATTGCACCTCGATGTTCTGGGGGCTGTACTCCAGCAAGGAAGTCAAGAACTTAAGCGCATCGGCCAGGGGATCTTGTGTCTGGACGAGCTTGGTGCCTAGCGGATCTGGATCCTCTTTCTTCGTCTCCGTATCAGCGCCCTTAGCAGTGGCGGCAGCAGCCTTCCTCGCCTCGCGCTTGTCAGCCTCGATCTTTTCTAGGCGCTGCTGTTCCTTCTTGGCTTTCTTGAGAGCCTTCTTCCGCTCGGCACTGTCCGCATCACCCGAGGCGTCAAGGCCGCTAGGCAGGGGCCCATGAGCCAGATCAGGCTGATCATGAAGAAGAATATATGCCTTGATGGCAGCAATAGCCATTCTGGTATAGAAGGGATGTTCGCGTAAACGATTCTCCCATCGTACCATGTCAACGTATGCTCTGATCATCCCCTTGCGGAGGGAAAAGCTATGGAAATCGAACTGATCTTCCTGCCAGACGTCGAAGATGTTGTACACACCGTTGAAGCGCTTCAGAGCGAGCCCAAGCTTCTTCTGTCTCAAATATGACTCGCCATCCTCGGTCAGGTACCAGATGCACTGCATCTCATGGAGATCGCCCAATGCTCCTCCAACGGCCTCATTCCGGGTGAACTTGCTCATATTGTCGAGGGCCTTTTCGTTGTCATGGTTGCGCAAGTGGTACTTGGCCGCCTTGGAGTTGATATATCGGTCCTTCTCATCCAAAAGCCGGGCCTTCTCCATCTCCTCCGCGGCTTTCTGGGGGTTCCCATAGTGCTTCCATATCCTAGCCTTGGTCATTTGGTACTCGACAGCTTTGGGGGCGAGTTCAATGGCCTTTTCAACATTTTCCATAGCCTTGGCCAGGTCGCGGCTGAGGTGGTAGTTGTAGTGTTGAGCCAGGAAGTAATGAGCCGAGGCCATGAAATCCGTTTTCTTATCACCATTGGCCTGTTCATCGGTAGTGCCATTTGATTGCGTCGAATCACCGCCGGAAACGTAGCCTTCCACCAGCTCCTGCACTGTGTCGCGCTTTTCGGGATTGGTGTACAAAGACTTGATATTCGCAAAGAGGGACGGCACGCCCTTCTTGAGCATACGTTGTAAGTATGCGTCGGCTGCCTGCTTGAACTCTTCGCCCTCCAAGAAATCCAGCGGAATCCTGCGAGAGGCATCACCTCGGGGATGCTTATCGGCCCAAGTATCATATACAGCCTTGAGCGCCTTGTGGTCGCCCCCGGAAATCCCCTTGGCTCGGATCAGACCGTCGAAATAGATCGAGTTCTCCGGGTTTCGGTCTAGAAGGGCAGTGTAGGCCGCCTCAGCTTCGACCTTTCGGCCCAGTCGCAGAAGATAGTCCGCCTTCATTTCCATCACGGCGAGAACATCCGTCATCCTGTATCCTATGCTTTCAAGGTGCTCCAGAGCCTGTTCAACCTTGCCCGCTTCCGCCATAATCATGTTTTTGTACAAGACAGCCTCTGAGTGCTCCATATCGGACACTGGCGGCTGTTGCTTCAGAGTCTCTTCGTATGTCGTCAGAACCTTCTCCGCCTCTTCCAGATCGCCAGCCAGATGGTGCGCAATCGCCAAAGCTGTCCAGTTCTGCCGAAAGCCCGGCCGAGCTTGCAGCATCGCACTCCTGCTCTGCACATATCCCTGGTAATCCCGCATCTGCATCTGGAGCAGAGCAAGATCGCGCTGGATTTGCGGAGACTCGGGCTCAATCCTTAATGCGAATCTATACGCCTTGATCGCCTCCTCGTAGTTCTTCTCCGCCCGGTAGAGCAAGCCGTAGACATGCCAGCAGACATGCGACTTCATGTCATTCCGGAGGGCTTCCTTGGCCAGCGTGAATGCCTCCTCCTGTTGTCCGATGTTACTCATGATCAACGCTTTCATCGCCTGGGTTTCGCCATGATTAGGGGTTTTCCGCAGAATCTGATCAGCGAGTTTAATGCCTACACAAAAACGCAATGAAGTCAGCCGTCTCAAGTCAGATCCAGCTGTACGGAAGGCCTTGGTGACTCAATTTGGGCACGGAACGGAACCCACCCTTTTTATACTGCTTGGTCTCATAATGGCGAACCACCTGTCGGAAGGAGGACGCATCCTTGGAACTCAAAGGCTGCGGCATGGTGGCTGTTGTGCAAGGTTGGCGGAGGTGAAGGTCCTGCCAAGTGACTTACTTGTGTGTAGATAGACGAAGCTGGGTGTTGTGCGGGGAGTGGGCTCTTCCGGCCGGAAACAACTAGATAGGATGACGACCAGGCGACCAAAGGTGGTCTTCTCCCGAGATCGCTGCGGGCAACAACCTCAGATGACAAGTTGCTTGTTGATCTTGTGATTTAATTTTACACAGGCCCTGTGATTCTTATCTCCAGTGAATATTTGAAACACAGCTGAAGGCCAATTCTTGCTATTCCGCTTTGCGACCGCCCTCGCTCTCATCCAAAGGCTGATCGGCGCCAGACGAAATAATTATCCGAGACGACAACGACGCTTGCGTGCAGATGCAGCACAGAGAACCCTGTACGAGAAGCAATGCTTGTTTGTGCGACTCTTCTATTGTTCTTATCAGGTTATGGAATCTTTCTATTGCGTGCCATTGGTGGAATGGAAGCTTTACTCGTGTTTTCAAATTGACTATCAGTACTTAACGTAAATAACAGGATGCAACAATCAACGCCCTTAATATGCAATTATCGTACAGTTATATACACTTGTATATGAGCATCACATCCTCAATTCATGGCAAAATCGGCCGAATCAATAGATCACCCAGATGCGGAAGAGGCTTGTGCAGTATCTTCCGGTAAGAGTAGAGATTCAAGTAGGTCTGTAGGCGCTCGCGCAGTCATATCATCAATGTCGTCGTCTTTCGCGCCAGCTGTTGAGAGCTTCCTCCCAGGTCATAGCTGAGTCGTTGCATCGTTCAGTGACCAAACCCCATGTTCGGGCACGTATGATTTCTTCGACCGTGCGCTGGTTTCGAATCAAGTTGGCTAGTGACTCGGTTCGTGCTTCTCGGGGGAAGAATCGTGCGGAATACGGATCTAACCGCTCATCAACAACTCGCTCTCGGTCCCTGGCAGATTCTGTCTCCCGCAAAATGAGATCTGGATCGTCAGGGTCTGGACTTGTCGCCACTCCAGCGCAGTAGTTAAGTACGTCAGAGCGAGTTTGCCACGACGGAAACAAGACATTATCTTTGAAGCTCTGACACGCCTCTGGGTCGATCGGTTGTGCTCTAGAATCCGTTTGGCGCACTGCAGTTGATGAGGGATCAAACCCCTTCTGCGCAGGAGTGACCAGGGCATTGAGATTTTGTGTGATCGAGTCATCAATCGTGCCTCTGGAAAGCCGAAGGAAATCTGCTCGAGTTAGCGCACGCCTACTGGGTTCCCAAGTCCGAATAGATCGGAACCGAGCGTACCTCTAAGCACCCTTTCGTTGAAACAGAACTGGGGACTCAGCCCGGGAGCTGATGTCGACGATGTCCGAGACATTCCGCCTACTGTAGAGGCCCGTAGCTCAGCCTCTTTCCCAGTTCTAGACGGTACCCAAAACCAGTCCAGTTTGTTGAAGGCTGGACTAAAACTTAGCAGGCTAGGTGTAGGTGCAACCGCTGGGCGGGATAATCACGAGTTGAACAGCAGCAGTTAGTGACTTGAACTGGCTGATACGGTCTCTCAAAAGCCTGAAATTGGAAGTTTCTCAAACTATCATCTGATATCGCAAGCTTGCTCGGGCTGTGAGAAGTCATGAAGCGGCGAAGCGCGGAGGGCATAATGGTGTCAGACCCAGCTGCTAGAGTCCTCTTATCGATAGTGACTAAGCTGACTTTATTAGATAGCTTCACAGATCACGAGACTGCGTGAGCTTTGACGCGTCTCATATAACATCTCGTGTTAACCCTGCTGATTCTGTCGAATTTGAATTTGAAAACTGTGCTTAGAGTCTTCATCTAGAGCTCCTCATTCTCTTCTACTCAGATTTGCATATTTTACTCTGCTTTCCTGGTCAATCTTGGGGGTCCCAGTACAGACTCGGAATCTATCCGTGGTAGCTCCATTGAAAGTTAGATACTTATCACCTCAACTTCTTGCTTAATCCATCCTTTTCTTTTCATTATGCCTGAATTAGCTGAGGTTTCCCGGATAGTGCACTTTCTTTCAGAATATGTCGTTGGAAAAACTCTTACCAAAGTCACTACGACGAACGATGATATCGTGTACGGCAAGGCTGGGACCAGTGCTTCGGAGTTCCAGAAAGCAATGGAGGGGAAAAGGGTTGTCTCGGCAGGACAGCAAGGCAAATACTTTTGGATGATCATGTCGGAACCTCCCCATGCTGTCATGCATTTTGGGATGTCTGGCTGGCTCAAGTTTGACGGTGTTGATACATACTACTATCGCAGCGACAAACATGAAGACGAGGAATGGCCACCCAAACACTGGAAATTCCTTCTCGAAACAGACGGAGAGCCTAAAACAGAGGCTGCTTTCGTCGACGTTCGCAGATTAAGTAGGGTCCACCTCGTGGACTGCCCAGCAGAGGATATCCGCAAATATAGTCCCCTCAAGAATCATGGACCAGATCCGATCCTCGATAAAAACATTCTCACTGAGGAGTGGCTGGCGAAAAAGATCAAGAGCAAGAAGGTCCCTGTCAAGGTCTTTCTTCTGGATCAGGCGAACATCAGTGGAATAGGGAACTGGATGGGGTAAGCTATTCAATCACGAGCAGCTCAACCTACGTTTGAAACTGATTGTTATCCAGCGACGAGATCTTGTACCATGCAAAGATTTATCCGGAGCAATATAGCAATACCCTTACTGATGAGCAGATCAAACAGCTCTATTCTTCGATAAATTATGTCTGCACAACTGCAGTGCACCTGCTGGCCGATTCGGAACAATTCCCTAAGGACTGGCTGTTCAAATACCGTTGGGGTAAAGGAAAGAAGAATCATACCTCAGTCTTGCCCAATGGGGAGAAAATCATCTTCCTGACTGTGGGAGGCAGGACAAGTGCTGTAGTCCCAAGCGTTCAAAAGAAGACTGGCCCCGTTGCTAAGGACATTAGCGAGGAAGATATCGATGTCCCAAAAAGTGAGACAAAGCGGAAGCGTGCGACGGCCGTGGAAAAAGAGGAGGAAGTGGATGGTGTTGAAGAGAAGCCCAAGCCTAAGAAGCAAGGATTGAGCAGACGAAGTAAACCATCCGAGGATGCCGTGGAATCAAAAGCAGAGTCAATCACGCAAGGAAGACGGCGTTCCACACGTTTGAGGAAATGACGACCCCAATCGCATCTTGGATGATCGTGTTTCATCCCCACACATGTCAATTTCTAACTGCGGCTATATTGAAAAAATGTATGTGCGAAAGTGAATACTGCCCCATCATAATTGGGCTCCATCCAAGATTTCGTGAAATGTCCGGAAATTGCCAATACCCAAAGCTTTCTGCTGGGGGCCATCATAGACGGCGAAAACGATAGCTTCAAACCATTCCTTGAATTCCGTCTCTTGCAAGACCTCCAACCAACAATGTGCGACCTCTTCCTTGGGATGCCGAAGAACACCACAGCCGAGAGCGCCCAAGACCAGCCTCCGATGATTGTGAATTGCTGCCATGCGCAGAACGAGTCGCATCTTGCCTTTCGTCAATTCTCGATCCTTTTGGTTCTTATATTTGGGCGGTTTCACGGTCTCATCAAGTGACGGTTGGATCATCGCTGCCATACTGATGATACTGACAATGGGGAGCCACTCAGTCTTTCCCAAATCCATCCAGCGGTGGTCTTTCAGCACGTTTTCCCGAAAGATAACAACGCTCGGCGAGTAAACGGCACCCAGGGGTTCCATGGGATAAAAGTCCGGGTTAAGAGTCGCGCTGAGGGAACTCCGGAAACAGAGCGCTTCTTCTTGAGCCATTACTCCACCCTCCCAACCTCCACCCAGATGCGTCGCGTTTGCCATATTCAGAACGCAGACAGGTGTGGTATCCTTGTGATTGAGGAACTGGGCAGCATTGGCGAGATTGATTGCAGTATCGAAAGTATCCCCTTCTACCACTTTCACCAGCGTTTGCACTTTGGGGCAGTATTTCCGATCCAACGGAGGCACTCCTATAGTCGAATAATAGGTTGCATCGGGCGGAGCTTGGGGCATCAACGTCAAGATGAACGGGATGATGCCTTTCGTCTCTTGTGCGACTTTTCTCAGCTTCAAGCGCTGTTTGGCAACGTCTTCCTCTTCAGTCACCTGTGTTCTGGCCACCTTGACAGCTCGTGGCTTTGCTTGTTTTTCATCTGCAATCACTGCTGTGGATGCTTCAGGCTCATCATTGTCGACATCTGCCGCCCTCTTTCTGCGTGGTCGAGTGACTCTCTGCTGGGTGGAGCTCTCGCCTTGTGTATCCGCCATGGTTTGGGGTGATCTGGATAATGAATCGAGTAATCTATTATTCTTTAAAGAAACAGAAACACCGAGAGACTTGGGAAACTACATTCCTCGATTCCTTTGCATGTCTCTCTTGGGTATATATGTGCATTCTGGCGAAGGTGGCTGCCATTCTGCCGTCTTTAGCCCTCCTGTCAAAGCCTCCAAATGCAACAAAATAAAAAACACAGCTTACTTGCAACCTGAACTGTGTATCGACAAAGAACTTGTAGCACCAGGTCACCAGCAATTCAGTTCAACCTCCAATCGTCAACTAGTTATCTCTTTGTCTCGGCGGGCGGCGAGCTTATCAGCGCCGATTGCGGGGCGGAGCAGCACATCGCCACTATGACAAAGCCGCAATCATAACCAAAGAATGAAGATTATTAGAAATCTAGTCTTGTCTTTCTTTATGTTCACGACCAACATCTAACTTCTTATTCAAATTAATCTCAAGGGGTTGAAGTTCTCTTCTTTGTCGTTGAATCCACCGGGACTGCATGTTTCATTGACGATAAAGAAGTCCAGCCAAAGATTCCCAGCCAAATCCGAAATACTGGTAGCACCTTATCGTTCAGTGGGGGAATTTATCCCTTAGCCACATCCCATCTCCAACAATGAGTGCAATTCTCTCAGCAGACGATTTGAACGATTTCATTTCTCCCGGGGTTGCTTGCATTAAGCCCGTAGAAACACTGCCACAGAAAGAATCCCAGTCAGAGGTATGCCTGTCGATCTCATATGCTATCTCTACAGATCGTCCAATGGGCTGACATGGATTTCTAATTTTGTAGAATCCCTATGAAGTGACAAAGGAAGACAAAATCCAACCAGAAAATCTCCCTCCTGCGCAGATCTCGTTGACCGATTGCCTTGCATGCTCCGGATGTGTCACGAGCGCGGAAGCCGTATTGATCTCCCTGCAATCGCATGCAGAAGTTCTGAATACCCTCGACGCGTACCCGGAATTTCGATTGAGCAACGAAAGTGGTCAGGATGATATCAAGACAACCGAGACGGCTGATAGTGAGAGCCGTGTGTTTGTTGCCAGTGTAAGCCCTCAGGTAAGGGCTAGCCTGGCAACTACATACGGTATCTCAGAGAGGGAGGCGCAATGTATGATTGATCAGTTCCTCAGTGGTTCTCAGGGTCTCAGGGCTGGCGGTAAATTCCACAATGGATTCGCCTGGGTGGTTGACACGAACACCATGCGAGAAGCCGTGTTAGCGCTGACCGCGGATGAAGTCGCCAACTCGTTGACATCTATTGATCCGCTCAACACTCTTCCGAAGCGACCAATCCTATCATCTGCCTGCCCTGGATGGATTTGTTACGCCGAGAAAACACATCCTTTCATCCTTCCTCATTTGTCTCGTCTCAAGTCTCCGCAGGCCTTGACCGGCACACTTCTGAAGTCAGTGTTGAGTAAAGCACTTGGCATTTCGCCCACTCGGATATGGCATCTCGCAATCATGCCGTGCTTCGATAAGAAGCTCGAAGCAAGTCGCGAAGAGCTCACGGATAGTGCATGGGGGCCGACGCCTTCTGAACCACACACCCCTGTCCGCGATGTCGATTGTGTCATCACTAGTCGTGAGCTTCTCACACTGGCGGCATCCAGAGGGATCTCACTCCCAAGATTACCACTGAAACCTTTGCCGAGATCCTATTACTCTCCATTCCCCGATCGGTCCTTGGACTCATTTCTCTTCTCAAAGCGCTCATCGGGCCAAACGGCCGCATCGGGAACTTCTGGAGGCTACCTTCACCATGTCCTCACAACATTCCAAGCTAAGAATCCTGGTAGTCAAATCGTGACGCAGCGGGGGCGGAACGCCGATGTAGTGGAGTATGTGCTCATGTCTCCTGGAGGTGAGCCTCTTTTGAAAGCGGCTCGGTACTATGGCTTCAGAAACATTCAAAATCTTGTCAGAAAGCTGAAGCCTGCACGTGCGTCGAGGCTTCCGGGCGCCAGGCAATCTGCGACTTCAGCAGGTGGAAGTCGACGACAGCTGGCCTCGCGAAATGCAGCCTCAGCCGGGTCGGGCACTGATTATGCATATGTGGAAGTAATGGCTTGTCCCGGTGGTTGTACCAATGGCGGTGGACAAGTGAGAATAGAGGACGCACGGGAAGCTGCCTCGAACATGTCGGTTGAATCCCAGACCGAACCACCCGAGGCTGCACTGAAGCCCACGCCCCATGAACAGCGAGCTTGGCTTGCTCGGGTCGACGAGGCATATTACTCTGCAGATTCGGACTCTGAAGTTCCTGCGACGAGCGAACCAGCATCTGTCATCTCAAGGGATGCCGAGATCCATGGGGTTTTGCAGCATTGGTCAGAGTATATGAACATCCCCCTCTCCAAGTTGGCATATACGTCGTATCGCGAGGTGGAGAGTGACGTTGGCAAAACCCAGACCGGTCCGAACGATACTGCCCGTGTTGTCGAATTGGCCAGTAAGATCGGTGGCGGCTGGTGATTTTGCCTTTTCCTTCTTATTTCATCCCAAGAACTATTCATATACCCGTTTAATTCATGGATGGGAAGAGCGCAGCTATGCATTGGTTTACGAATTATGCCAATGGAGAGATACCCAGCTTGAGACAAGCTCGAGACACCAACGTCGAGATTCATTTTGTATGTTACAGCGGTTGGCTACGGGGAGCCTTATGTATAGGGTAAATATAGACGTATATAGATTAGGGTATAGCCTAACGATGCATTAAATTTCTGACATGTCACTGCGAATGTTCAAGTCATACTATAGGAGATTGACACCTAAGGCAGAAAATATAAGATAGCGAACTAATCCCTATGAGGTTAGTCTATTGTCACCGAACCTTCTATCAAGCTGACAAAGCAACCTAGAGCATTCAAGCAAAAAAGTGACACTATCAGATCCATCTTGCCTCTCTCTCCTCCCAGTCATTCTTCAAGGCTATCTTTCACCCTCAAATCTAAGCAACCTCTCCATAATCCTCCCTAACCATCTCTCAACATATCCGATCACCATGTCTCGCGAAGCCTATCAGGTTCCCTCCCTCGGCGCCCAGAACGCCTTCGGCACTGAGGGCGGTCTCGGTGCCGGCTCCACGGACGGCCCCATTGTCGCCTACCTCTGCGGCGAGTGCAATGCGCGCGTCTCCCTGAAGAGAGGCGACCAGATCCGGTGCAAGGATTGTGGCCACCGGGTGCTGTACAAGGAGAGGACGAAGAGGTGAGTTCTTTTTGCTTTGGGCTTGGGAAGAGTCTGTCGGAGGTATCCTTGGGGAAGTGAAAAGAGTCAGGGGCTGACGTTTATTTTTTTTTCTTTCGCTTGGGTAGAATGGTCCAGTTCGAGGCTCGTTGAGTTGAGTGGGGTGATGGAAATCATCGAACACGGATTTGGAGGAGCCTCGGCCTGTTCTCTTTACGATTGTGATGTGCATTCTGTGGCGCTTCGGAGTTGGTTATTTCGGTGTTGGAACATTTGCGAAAACTGCGTGACAGGTTGTGCAGAGGCAGTTGACAAGGCGAAACGCGATCGCTAGAATATCAAATTGGCGGCAGTCCTACGTTCGAGTCTATGGCTTTTAGCAACTTTAAACAATACCTGTTTTCATGTGGGATTTTTATATGTGCTTGATATGGTTCTTGCGATTCCCATATCCCCCGCTATCCAATATATAACATTTGTCCAGCTTGATCTTTAGACATAACCAAGGATTTAAGAAAAGAGCCCGAAATGGAAAAAGACATCATACATTACACTGCCTGCAGAATGTGCCCACATCTTAAAGTCGGTTCGTGACTTCGACGAACTGTTCCAGGCACTTAAGTGCCGCACCACTTTCGACACACCATCTTGCTCGTCGAATACCTTCCTTCCAGCGTCCGCCACCAGGGCCCCGTTCGGTAATCACCTTACCATCGTCGCCAGGGCCCATGTTACTGGTGTCGGATTCACAGAGACCGGAGGTCACCAGAAGAGCGGCAACATTTATCAACACGAAGGTCAAGATGGGGTCATCCGGAGGGAGCTCATTTCGCAGAATGGTCATGATTTTGGCCGCATTCTCCTTGGGCATCTTTCTCCCATAGACTGCACTCAGAGGGTGAGTTGGCAGACCGAAGTCAGACGGGTGAAGCTGGAAGGTCTCGATCTTGGTCAAAGTACGAGGGACATATTCGTCGTCACACGAACACTCTGCTTCCTTCGAATCATCGTAGGCAGGGTTAGGGTATTCGGAAAGTTTCCAGCAGTTTGTTGGACCTGCACAACTGATTTCATCCAGGTCCTCCGCACCACACACGACAAGAGCCTTCTTGGCTCCACTGGTGCGCAACGCTTCAGCGAAGACGGGGCCCAGGCTTTGATAAGCCACACCGACCACCCGGGCTTCCAGAGCCCAATCGACAGGGTTTGCCAAGGGACCCATGAGATTGAAGATAGTTCGCAGGCCTAATCCTCGACGCACCGGGTTGGCATACATCATACCCGGATGGAAGTTCGGGGCGAAAAGGAAGGCGTAGCTCGTAGCCTCATACACTTGAGGGAGATTTTCGGCATTGACTGCAGAGATCTTCGGGGGAATCGGAGGAATCGCATTCAGGACGTCCGCAGAGCCAGAGAAGGAGGTCTGCGCGCGATTGCCGTGCTTGGCCATCATGAGCAGTGGTGAGGTGATAATCGAGGCAGTCGTCGAGATGTTGAACGTAGAATGTGAGTCACCACCAGTACCAACAATATCGCACTAAGAAGATCGTCACAATCCAGAATCAGCGCGGATATCTCAGCATTGGAAATGCATCGTATACTCACCAAGCCACCATTGTAGTTCCCTTCCTTCCTCCCCCGGGCCTTAATGGCCTTTTCCAGCGATATTTTGTCAATCTGGCTAGCAGCCTCTCTCATTCGAAGGGAGCATAGCGCAATAACTTGGGCATCTCGATCTTTACCTGTAGAATGCAAAAGCGTCAAAAGAGCAGCAGTTTGAATGGCTGATAGACGGTCCTCAAAGATCAATCCAAAAGCTGAAGCGATCTCGGAAGCATCGACCGGGACCTGAGTCGTGGGGTAGGCTAGTTTCTGAAGGAGGGGTGATATTGAGACTTGACCAGGCTTCTGATCGAACTCATGCGCCGACATTTTGATGGACATTCTGTCAATGATGGATTGAATCTTCAATCCTCAAAGCCCCTGAAGGAATCTCAGCTGAACTCAGGGTTAAATAAGGGGGGAGCGTCCATGTTACACACGTTTTGTTGCACAAGCGGAGGAGTCATTGGTACCTGGCAGAATCCCACCGCCCGCAGGTCCGACTATTCCGATTCAGGAACGCAACCCATTGGCTTTCTTCCAGATTTTGGTTTCTTCGCGGTCTTGCAGTTCGTCGATTGACATTTGCGCAGCCGTCGGGATCTTGTTCAATTGCTTTAGAGCTAATTGGATCCTGCCTTTTCCATCACCGAATCAATCCCTGCATTCAATTGCAATAATACGATCCACCATGCCGCCTAGATTACGGCTCACAAATGGCCGCATCTCGCAGTCGTTTCGACGACAGAGACCCGTCTGCCAATTCGAGTTGTCAATCGTTGCTCGGAGTGCAAGCACTGCGGCTACAGCAACTACCCCAGCGCCGTCAATGGAACAGATGACACGGTCCGCTGCTCCGATCGCCAGATACCCTCCCTCTCAGCCTCCATCTCACCGCAATCCCGAGTACCGACGATCACAGCTTCTCCGACAATACACATCGCTAATCCGTACTACCCCTTTGATGGTTCTTTTCCAGCATGACAACCTTCAATCTGTGGAGTGGGCTGCGATCCGACGAGAATTGAGCAAGGCTATGCACAAGGTTGATGAGCAGATTGCTGCCGAAGGACGAACAGCTGCACCACTTGCGCCTCACATCAAGGTGCAAATCGTTCAGACCAGCATCTTCGAAGTGGCTCTGCGTATTGTCGAATACTTCCGCCCTAGCGAGGCCACAGTGGCCAGTGGCAAGCCTCCCAGGGCCGTTGACCCTGTCACACAGACATCCGCCGAGATTCCCCTGTCAGGATCAAGGGACGATCCCGCTCTGAGCCATGACCTCTCCCGTGCGGCTCACGATGCCGTCTTGCATATGAAAGGCAAACATGAACTTTCGTCCCTTCTCGTCGGCCCTATAGCCGTCCTTTCCATCCCGCAGGTGTCGCCAGAGCACTTGAAGGCCGCAATGACGATCCTTGCCCCCAAGGCGATCGGCTTCCCCGCTCCCACTCGCAAGGCCAACCCGGATTGGCACGGACTGTCCGTCCAGAACGGATTGCAAAAGTTGAGCGTGCTGGCTGCGCGGGTAGATGGCCAGGTGTTCGATGTCGACCAGACCAAGTGGGTCGGCAGCATTGAAGGTGGTATGGATGGCTTGCGGTCTCAACTTGTTATGGCCCTGCAGAGCATGGGATCTAGCGTCACAAACGCGTTGGAAGGTGCCGGAAAGAGCCTCTACTTCACTCTTGAGAGCCGGAGGAACGTCTTGGAGGAGGAGCAGAAAGGTCCGGAGGCTGGGGACAAGAATGAATCTTAACGACACAGCACTCCTTGTCTGGTATCTCATGTATAATATTCCTTGTACTTATCTCTCCGATTTCAGAGCACATTACCCGAGTTGAAATCAAAAGCATACATCTGGTAGAATGAGATTCATCTTCATTGCTGGAAAAGAGAATCCAGCCTGTTTCCATCTCTGCGATCGAGGAGCCGATACGGTGGACTTTACGAGATGCTAGTTATCTGTGCAATCCTTGCATGTACATTTACCTGACCCTCATTGTCCGTATCGGGCAACTATTCTAGTCCGAACTCATATACATCATAGTAGCATAGAATATATATCGCCATATACACCTTCCAGTGCAACATCCATACGAGCTGTCATCCGGGATTAAGCACTGTCATCCGAACGCTCCTGCTCCAATCTCATCTGCCTCAACTTCAGTCTGGCATTCATGCCCACAATGCACCGCACCAGATCCCAATCGCCTTCGTGGCCGACCCAGTCCGTGACCAGGATACCCGTAGACCAGTCACCGTCCTCCTTCTCGCTGTGTCTCCGACAAAGATAGTCGACGGTAGCCGGGTTCAACTTGGCAGCGATTTTCTCCGGCCACGTGCCCACCTTCCAGAAATTGCTGGCGCTGAGGAAGTTGACGTAGAACGGATGCGCGCTGGACGCGTCGGGGTCCGGGAGCGCACCGAACGGGTAGCAGTGGCCGCTGGAACGGTCACAGTGCTCTGCTACATACTGGATCTTGAGGTCGATGTTGCTGGTTTCGAGGACTTCGTAAAAGTCCTGGATGCAGATCGGTCCTCCGTTGCAGGTGGCATTCGGGGTATTGTCCGCCCAGTCGCTTCCGTTGATACCCCAACCGCGGCCATTGTGCTCCTCCTTTAGCTCCTCGATGATGTTGAACCGGCGCAGCAAGACGACTTTGCCGCGCACCTCGCCTAGAGTAGGGATCTTGGGCTCCGTGTACCACCGGCTCCCCGGACGCATATAGTGATCACGCAGGATGCGACTGAGTTGTTCATCGGTGTGATTTCCTGGCCCCTCGCGCTTGAGGGAGATGATGAGCGTTTCAGACGGATTGTTGTCGAGGAACTCGTTCACTTCGCGCATCAAGTCCCGGAAGTACTTGTGGCCCGTCAGAGAGATGGGAAATACGCTGTGGACTAGGGCCAGCTCGTCCTTGGACGGGTCTTCCGGATACTGAGGTTGCACACGAATGTCGAAGAATCGAACGCCGTTTTGGAGCTGCTCCCGCGGACCAACCGCTTGACAGCGAACAGAGGGCGCGGCAACATGGCACGTTGGCGAATTGTGGGTGCCTGGGATGGAGAGCGAGGAGAGCAGTGTATTGTCGTTCAGCTCTTTCATCCATGCATGCAGATTGGCCGAGGAGTAGATTGTGAGATGGGACGCGGCAGTGAGATAGATTCCAGTGAAGCCAAATCGGGGTTTGTCGCACAATGCCCGCATAGTGGCCGACTCGGTCGTGGGAACCGGTGTTTGGATCTGGTGCCTCTCCCCCTCAGCTTCAATGACCCAGCGCAGGCGCTCTTTGTCTGAGTTCATGAATGCGCGCAATTCGGTCTGGACCGCCTTGAAAGGTTCCACATGGATGTCGACCTCCTCTGAAGCAAAGAGTTGGTTGTCATCGGTGATCGCAGCCACAGCCGTATTCGTGCGCGTAACATTGTTCAGGATGCGAGTAAAATTTCTAGCCAGAAATTGCATATCATCGTGAGGATCTTTATGTGGATGAAAACGCTCGATGCGCTTGAGCGTTATCGGCGTGGAAGTGAGATTGCGGATCGTCAGATGTTCAGCCACCATTGTATGCAACAATTGAACGCTCAGTCTGAGCGTCTATGTATACCGTGTAGTGAATATCTTACAGGGTCGACGATGAAAGTAGATGATATGGACAGGGAAGTCTTTTTTCAATGGCGGGGATGAAGGAACCCTGCATTCATATCTAGTCCTAGGCGGCTGCTCCTAATAACCTCTTAATCCAGCGGGAGTGCTTGGCTCAGACAAGAGATATCAGGATGCCAGCAGAGGAATACCATCCATTGGCCTAGCGGGTTGGAAGAGCAGCTGGGACCTGGCATTCGTAGTTGCACTAAAGCACGCCACGATGGAACCTGCGCCAATGGTACTTCATGGAATGGTTCGTGTCCTCCACTGTTTGAGATCTCTCCCTGGTGCCTGGGAGTCCTAAAGCCCCTCAAGCCCCTCAAGCCCCTCAAGCCCCTCAAGCCCCATTCGATTGGCATTGACCATCGCGTGGGTCGTTAATTGAAATAGCAAGTCAGCATATACAGCCTGCCCTGGATTTGCAATTGATTGCATTGAATCAGAAAGATGCTTCCCTCAGGCAGTGCCAAGGACGTCTGTATCCTGCTCCGCTGTGCTGATATAATAATGGAATGGTGGGGGCTGTACCGGACCGCAAGCGGAGCAGAAAACGATCGGACTGAAGAGCTCGCAAATTCGCAACCATGGACATTATCAATGCCTATTTCTCAGCAAATGGTTACGTTAAAGATATTCTTTGCAAGGAGAAAGCAGTCTTCCATGTCAATGGCAGGCAGGAGAACAGCAATAGAGGAAAGAAAGTTTTTTGCTCCCACCAGATACTCGTAGGTGCTGAGTACTCACGTAACGGACTTGATTACAGCGCTCTTGGATCCAGCTTTTAAAGACCCTTCAGGACTTAGGCATCTTAACCCCCCTGTAATTATCATGCTAGGTACCCTTGTACAGAGGAAGATGAAGCTAAAAGGCAAGCATGTTTATCTTATCAGGACAAACTGAGTACTCTGAGTCTCTGTAATAACTGTTTAAACCCATAGAGAGAGAGAGCGAGAGGCCGGAGGAATAGACGGACCGAGATAATCGACGATAATGCGGAGTAAATCACGTGAAGGTGATGATGCTCTCGGCTACCATCGGCGGAGGAAGCAACAATGCGGAGAGACCCTTTGCTGCCCTCCTCCTACTAATACTGACTATGCCATGATGCCGCACAGTCATTTTCCCCCAGATGGATATTTCTCCTGCTTTCCTCCCTCATCCACTTGCTTTGTGACCGAATATGAGCTTTTTGCGCTGCAATAGGCCCTTTCTGGGGGCTCTCCGGTCCTCTCGACCCCAAAGAACACTCCCCATCACTCAATTCCCAACAACATCGTCATTCAGGCGGAACTTTCATGCTGCCTTGCCGCTGTGGGGGGTCAGATCTCAAATATTGAAGGATGTAGGAGAGGGTATGGCTATGTTTTCTTCACGGCCTTCTATTTGCCATGCAATTGCTTATCTGAGTCTTCTATACAGGGATCACGGAGGTCCAAATAATCCAGTGGTATGTCGAGGAAGGCGCCCACATTGAGGAATGGAAGCCATTATGTCAATATCAATCCGACAAAGCAGTTGATGATGTGAGTCACTCTTAGATCCCCTGATTTGTCCCCGTTCGACTATTGACGAGTTCAGATTACTTCGAGGTACGCAGGGGTGGTCAAGAAGCTTCACTTCCAGGCAGATGACACTGTCCCTACAGGGAAGGTCAGTATACTCCCACCCCATGTAACTAGGTCAATCCATCTAATGGAAATTTCACCCCCAGGCACTCTGTGAAATAGAAGTCGAAGATGGAAAATATCCAGAGGAGCATAACGCTGCGGAGGCAACCCCAGAGCCCGTTCAACCCTCTGTTATAATCGCGGATACTCCCTCGGAACAATCGGCAGAATCTACCCCATCATCCTCGTCCAAGTTGGATCCTATCGGAGCTGTCAATGAGCCCCCACGGTCAAAGTATGCCACTCTCGCTACCCCAGCGGTACGTGGGCTGTTGAAGACACTCAATATCAATATCCTAGATATCAGTGGAACTGGCAAGGATGGCCGTGTACTCAAAGAGGACGTCCACAGGTTTGTTGCCGGTCGTGATGCTGCAGCTGAAGCGCGGTCTGCGATCACACCTAGTCAGCAAACGGAAACAACGGTGAACCTGACGCCTATCCAATCGCAAATGTTCAAGACCATGACCCGTTCTCTCACTGTCCCACATTTCCTCTACGCGGATGAACTCAACATCAACAATATTACCGCCATGAGGAAGAAGTTGGCCAGCGATCCTAGAGATCCCAAGAAAGTCACCTTCCTCTCATTTGTCATCAAAGCGGTGTCCCTGGCGCTCAATGAATATCCACTTCTCAATGCCAAAGTCGATATGAGCAACCCCGAAAAACCGAAACTTATCATGAGACCCAAGCATAACATTGGAGTCGCGATGGATACTCCGCAGGGACTGATTGTCCCAAATATCAAGGATGTCGGAAATCGAACAATTCTGGAGATTGCATCAGAAATCTCACGCTTGAGTGCGCTTGGAAAGGATGGAAAACTCACACCTGCGGATCTCAGTGGTGGCACCATTACCGTTTCCAACATCGGTAATATCGGCGGCACCTATGTAGGACCAGTGATTGTACCAACTGAGGTGGCCATCTTGGGAGTTGGAAAATCAAGAACGGTACCTGTCTTTGACGACGTCGGGCAGGTCACAAAAGGTGAGCTCGTGAATTTCAGCTGGAGCGCAGACCATAGAGTTGTGGATGGTGCAACTATGGCAAGGATGGCCACGATGATTCGCGAGTTCATTGAATCACCTGAGCTGATGCTCCTAAATATGAGGTAGAGCAGATACATATCTCATTCCTCTAAGCTCTAGACAAAGGTGGTATACAACGCTTGAATCTTGTATAGATGTCACATATTGATGCAATAGCGATCATTCTCTTGCTTTTCTTTGGTAGAGTGCAGGGGTGGATGTCAAATGCATGATGTATGTAGGCGCCTGAGCCCCGCATACTCCTTATATTTTCCAACTCACTTTCCAAGTCTCTATTTTCCAGCTCCTCCTTCCTCTCTCTTTCCCAACGAAATCTTCAAGTTTCTCCTCGTTCCTCCCTTCTTCTTAGCGTGTCTCACAGTCATCACGATGGGCACACGTGGACTCGTCTTCGTTCGCTGCCGTGGCAGATACTTCGCCTATTACAATCAGTTTGACAGCTACCCCGAGGGCCTTGGGGTTGCTATTGTGCAGCAGATCCCTGAAAACTACGGCGAATATTCCAGTAAGATAACTGGCAAAATGGGTTTTCTTCTTTCAATATCTTCCTGTGCGTCTCCTGATATGGTGTTCCATAGAATGGCTGAAATGGATGAGAGGCCTATATGGACGTATCTCGCAGTACTTCGAAGAGCACATTCTCACTGTCAATGTCGACTCCCTCCCTGATACAATGAGCCCAAACGAGCAACGTGCAAAGACTTATCGGGATGTCGATGACCGGCTACAATATGCTCCCCTTCAATTTCTTTGTCCTCTGGTCAGAGGTTCCATGATCATTTGGAATTATATCATAGACCTTGATCAAGAGATATTTACTGTTCAAGAAGGAGCTCACTTCAAGCTAGCTAAGATGCCCCACGCAGGCGACTGGGGTGCCTTGCTCACTTTTGTTAACCAGCGCATGACCCTCAAAGATTACACTCCCAAGGATGTCATTGCGGATATCTTCTGTCAACCGAACATCAACCCCAAGTGGAAAGCTATGCGCAAAGCCCTTACAATAGAGTTGATCCCAGGGGTTGATTTTGTCACGAAGATGAACCGAGCTTTCGGCAAAAGCATGGCATCCTTGTTTGATCTTTCTTTACAAACGCTGCCAGCCCATGCACATTTCTTGCTGACCGCGTGCTACAGGACCTGCAGAGAATACCTGAGCCTTGTGAACAATTGGGAGCCTGAATGTTTCGTCTTCAGGGAGCTTGCCTTCGCCGTACTCTCGTTAGCTGCGGGGGAAGTGTACTTTGAATGCCCTGACGTTCTGAATAGCAACTATCGATCAGAGGGCTATTTCCTGATTCCCGACTCCAAGATCTACAGGCCCCAGTCAAGGCTCCTTCCACTCTTCTTGCATGAACGTCATCTTCCTGGAGTCGAGCCTGGCTCAGCACCAAAGAGCCCCACGTTCTGGTTCCACAATATTCTTGTCCATCTCACTTCCAGACTTGATTTGGCTGATGTCGAGGAGTCGTCGATTGTAAACATAGTCCACTACGGCCTCGATCAGGGACTTAAAGAATTTCGTGCTATAGTGTTTTCAGTCTTGGACGTTATCTTTATTCATGTGCAGAAGGGGCATGATGGCAAGCCATATGTCAAAAGATCCCGTATAATGTCTCTGTTTGAGTCTTATGGCACATCCACAGCATACATCATGACAACACCTCGTTCGAGTCCCAAAACGCCCAGCCAAATCAGAAATTCAGACGAGCCAGTAACCAAGAAGGGTACTGCTCTGGAGGAATCGAATGAACCACAAATAGATGGTTGTCCCAACTTTATCCTGATGTACCACTTTCTCCATGCGGCTACGACTGAACGACTTGCGGGCACAAAATCTCTTGTGTTTCCCAATGAGATAATGTCTACGATTATGGAATACTCGGATGTACTGACTTATCATACTCTCGCAAAATCGTCGGCTTTTTGCTACGAGCTGAGTCGTCGCAAACTCCAACTGAACGATGACTATGCCGTTGTCGGAAGTGGCGTGGAGCCCAATGTCTTTGTCTTAGAAGACCTTCGTTCGGGGGCACGGGTTCATTCTGAGCTCAGAGTGCTTCGTAATGACCGGCCCTGGTGCCGAGAGGAAGGTGGAATGACTTTAAATCCTGTCATCGGGGTCACGGATACGTCCAGACTAAGTATCATAAGCTATGTGACTCTTCACATGTCGGTTGCGACAGCCAAAGATCCAATTTTCTTGAGAAAAGAGAGAACCTCTTCTCAGTGAGTAATATAGCACATATATAAGGAATGCATAGATCTAATTTCACACAAATCTCGAAACAGGCTGTCACCGAGACTCAATGACAATGATGCTCTGATCTTCAAGGCACCAGCTCACTCAAATCTTGAGACTTTCGAAATTGAATGGAGACGTTATTTCAGCCATCTAATGACACGCTCAAGTGACCCCGACCATTATAGCTTGACTTCTGATATTCAAAATAAACTTTACCGCTGTTTGCTACCCCCTGGATACCGAGAATTAACGATGCTCTCTGTCCATCTGTTCTTGCGCCATGGACGGGACGAAACGACAGAAGAATGGAGGATGACTCTACAATTCATCGCACGTCAACTTTTAGTATTACAAGCGTGCGAAGATTCTCCATCTCGTGGCTGGGGCTATCCGGTCATTGTCGCGTTTTCGACAAAAGTGAAGCTCTTCTACTACGTTTTTCATCGCCTTGATCCACCTAGTGTTGCTCCAAATGCGAAATCATATACTGTTGAGATAGCAGCCCGTTGTACTGATCCAGATCCTGGCTGCCGGCTGGTACAGCTCATCGCGAGAGACGATCCGATTGATTTGAAGAACGACGATGATGGCAGGCTGGAGTTTGAGAACTGGGTCATGATGTTCTGCAAGAACAGGAGACTTCATTATAATCCGTTTACTGAGGAGTTAGCAGAGCCCAGCGAGGAAGCATCCGGTGGAGATAACAACGAAGATGGCGGAAGAGCTGGACATGAGGAGAACGAGTAGTGGAAGAAGAACGTGAGGCACAGTCGTCGAAATGGGCTTGATGATGAAGATGATAGAGAATCCGCAGCAAGCCATGTCTCTTGTCTCCCTGTCTTTCATTACTACTATCTGTTTGATCAACTGCTTTGCCTCTCCTCTTCTGCCTGACTTCCCATACATCGAAACCCTCTCAGGACAACGTGTTAGAGAGAGTCAAGAGGAATGACCTGTTGTTTCATCGAGCATCTTATCGGGACAATGGTCACGTAGCTCAAAGAGTACAAAAATACAGATAACGAAACATTGGCTCACTTTTGATACGAGGTGCTTCATAGATGGGGGAGTATACCCGCCTCATAGGACAATGACGTCATATACTATCTTGCGAACTACAACAATGGAAGAAAGTAGTGAAGATTGTAGAAAGGAGCAGAAAGCAATCCTATATCTTCCCTTCTCGATAGGGTATCAGCATCGCGTTAATACATGAATTTGGGATGTACATATTGTAACATCAACAGCGGACAGACAGTCAAAAAGATGAAGAACACAACTCCCAGATATGATGCGAAGTCCGGTCAAGACAAAATCATGATGTTTCCCAGAAACATGAGTAGTCAGCTGCAAAACTCCAAAGACACCGGAAGGGGGCGCAGGCCATCCATGCATGCCGTGCGGTAATGAACTCCGGAACCGGAGAACAGTCGTAGAGAGAAAAACAGACAGAGAGACAAAGAGCAAGGACGAACCCAACGCCAATCGCAAAAGCCGAGACAAAAGAACACTGGGGGAAAAAATGCACTACTGGTACTCAGCCAGCTTCTGCGACACCAAGTCGAGAACCGCCTGCTGCACCTGCTCGCGCGGGCCGTCGGCGTTGACGGTCAGCGCATCCCACTCTCCCTGCGGTTCCTCGAGGGCCTGCAGCTGCGACTGAACCATGCCGCTCTTCATGTAGTGGGACTCGCGCTGCGTGACGCGCTGGATCAGGACGTCCTCGGCCAGCTTGAGGTAGACGAAGTGGATCTGCACAGAGGGGGTGCCGTAGGCGGCGACGCGCATGACATCGCGGTATTTCTGCTTGAGGGCGGAGCAGGCGACGACGACGCCCGAGGGAGGGTGGTAGTTGTTGGCTTGGGATGGGGAGAGGGCGTCGATGGCGGCCTTGCGGAGCGAGATCAGCCAGTCCCAGCGGTCCTCGTCTGTCAAGGGGATGCCATTGCCCATTTTCTCGCGGTTGGATTGTGAGTGAAACTATTTGGGGTTTTGTTGATTTTAATTCTCATGCAACAATTCCAACTTTTCCCCAGCCTTGGGGTATTTTCTGATTGTACTTACATCGTCTCCCTCCAGAAACGGCAGTCCCAGCTTCTTTTCAAGAGCCCTGCCTATGGTACTCTTCCCGCAGCCCGCGGGCCCAGTAACGATCCAGATATGCTGGATATCCTCTGCCTTGGAGGTATCTGCCCGCATTGCGACAGCTTTGTGGTGACTCAGAGAGGATTTGGTGACTGCTGTGCGGGAGGCATCTACCGCCGCTTTGGCATTTAAAGGCGGCTGAGGCCTTTCCCCGGCGGAGAGCATGGCGGATGGAGGATGAGAAAATCGACGGTGGGATCACAAGAAGAAAGTCTAGCACAATGGCACTGGCCGCAGTGCAACGGGTATGACGCCGGAGTGATACACGGAAAAGGTGAGAGTTGCCGGATGGTTCAACCCGTCTTTGTGAGGTGTGGTTTCCGAAATGTTTACTACCAAGAGCAATGGCAGAAGTAGTTGGAGGAAGTATAAAGAGACGCTCTGGGAAGCTTGGACCGGAGTGGTATGCACAAGGCTGGGTAATTGTAGTAGAGGATGAAGAGATCTTCGATGCAGCAGATTTCTTGAGTATGAGAAAGAAAAAGAGACGAGGGAAATCAATGGCTAAATATTCACCAGAGGAAAAAGGGCAGCGCGCAGCGGATCTTTAGAGTCTTTAAGTATGAAACCTGTCGGACGCCGATGAGGGATTCAAATAATTAATTTCTTTTTAAAATATTCGCAATTCTTGAGCATCATGCAGACGTAACAGGGATTCTGCCTGTAATTGATACAGGTAGAACAAATTCTAGATACAGGCAGGAAGACCAGTAGGCAGTAAATGCGACTCCATCGCTGAGGCAAATAATGTGCAGGTTGAAAGTGCAATACAGCCGAGTGGGGAAAGGCTAATGATGGGAAAAACAGTGAATAATACCTTACAGAGTACCTAGTACTTTTTGACAAGTGGGGGACGGGCAGTTTCGAGAAGAAAGGGGGTCCGGCGGTTTGGTCATTAGTGGGAGATCGATCTTGTTAGTAGCGGACAGTACTCCATAGTACGTATTCTCATTTCTCAGCATGTTGACTGTGGAGCAGACTGACAATATCCAAGAAACAAAAGACAGCGACACTCAGCATTGGGAAATCGGAAACATTATTACAATGTTTGGTTGATCTTGTTAGGATCAATTGCAATATTGAAACAGACGCCCTTGTACTTTTGCGGGTGACTAGGTCAAAGGTACGTATTTTGCATGTCATCCCATCTCGAGCTGAATGATTCCATGATGTCACGAGCGCAGAAGAAAGTTCTCCTGGCACTCTTTTTGCACCAGGGATCCGGGTCTGATACAGCGTACAGGCAATAATACTGCATTACAATACAGATCCATCCGCAACCCCCACACTATGCCCAATATGGTATTGAGTCACATATTCCACATACGCGAGATGTCCAGGTTCTCTGTTATTTTCATTTCATACGTCTCTCTCAATTAGATTAAGGACGGAGGGTTCAGATCCCTAGGATTATTAAGGTCAGGTCCCGAGGCCAAATATGGGCTGTTTTCTGCGGGCCACTATGGGATGATCTTCGTTGACTATATCAAGACCGCTTCCGTCTCTGAACTCGAAAGTCATGGGGGTCGGTGGATTGGGGGGTTTGGGGGTCTCTATGTCTACTCATCGAACACCCCCACGCATTTTTTCGGCCTTCTGAAACTGTTTCCCTATACTCCGTACAAGGCTATAAAAGGGAAGGAAGGGGCAATCTATCTAATGATCATAGAAAAAAATCACTGATGAATGGTGATCAACTGTTGAGTTTGTCGCTTGCTTCCCTGTGTTGAACTATGACTGGACTTCATGTCGATCTGCCAGTGTTTGATCTCGTGGACAAAGGTTGGGCTGCCAGGGCCAACAATAGTAATGGGATTCGAGCACAGAGGCTGAGAATGGTGTGATACTGCAAGCACAGGTACTTTTGCAAGCCAGCCTCGGCGTCTAGTCGACCATATGGTAGTGGGCAAACATCTTTCAAGCAAGGATGACTATCTATCACCTATCACCCTCCTCAATGTGAACCAGCTGCTACGCGGTAGACCGCCTTTTCTCTAGGATTCAGTCAACTATCAAATTGGAACAGTTGACTCGTATAATCTGCAATCCTCACCGCTCAAGCGATTGATATTGGATCTTGTGGCTTGCAGGGGGACGTGGCTCAATCCGGGGAAACCCGTCAACATGCATGCACACAATTCGCTGGGGAATTCTGCAAGTTTGACAAGTCAGTCGACTTTCCGTTTATCCAAACTTTATTGTGAGTTCGCAGGGGTCAGTTTTCCACGGCACGTCCAGGTTCTGGAAAAGGATTACGGAATTGAACTTCCAGCTGCCTCGTTCAAGTGTTGTGACGAGGAGACATCGGATTTCTGCCCAAGTCCGCTTCTTCAATCCTTCGACGATACTCGAAACATGATAGCGTCAAAGGGCAGCTGGACTCTGCACTTCTGCCGCTCCAGAGGGCGAGATTAAAGGAGGTTTTTTTGCGGAAGAATCCATCAAGGATCATCGCCATTCTTTCTGGAAAATAGACATGAATGGTTAGTTCAGGGCAGTGCTCAAAGTCACAAGGGCATGATTTATCTGATATTGTCAATCTCAATCGAACTTAGATATATAGACACAATTGCAATACAACATGTTTGACACAGTGTAATTTTCTAAATTATAGTGAGAATGTGAAGTTGTTCTATGCCATAGTAACATATCTTAAGTGTTTGATTAATTTTATCAACTAGACACAGACATATTGTCACTTCAGCAGCAATATGCTCCTCAGATATAATCTCTGAGAATGACAGCAGCATAACAAGAACAAAAGTCGCAGGCTACTCACAAACAAACTCACTTTCTCAATTAATAGAATTAAGGAGTTATTCATTCTATACAAAAGGTGTCTGGTTGTTTGTTTGTAGCCCAACTATGACGCGGATGTATTACATAAGCGCCACATGCCAGCTAACCGCCAGGCAGTCGTTGCATCGCCGTTGGTGCTTGAGCTTGACATCCCCAGATCGAAGCTTGAGCGGAGCCCAGCGGCAGGGCCATTATTTAATATCATCCGATTTGATTGAAAGAGCTTGACGTGTGCACTGAGGTCCAATCGAGTTTAGCCCATCCTGCGTCCTGGTTCACCTTCCAAACCACTTATCTCCTGCGATGACTTCCCTATTCTTCTCCACTCCGGTCGACATCGACGTCGTCCTCGAGGACAGCGATGAACGTCAGACAGTTGATGTCAAACTCGATAAGGGCCGCCGTGAGCGAGTCCCTCTCTACATGGACGGAGAGTCGGTCAAGGGTGCGGTCACGGTCAGACCTAAGGATGGGAAGCGGTTAGAGCACACAGGCATCAAGGTGCAGTTTATTGGCACTATCGGTATGCGAAAGCCTGTCGCCTCCTACTGGCCGTGGTGTTTTGCCTATGGCATTGTGCGCGCGCTGCATGGCTGGTTACACCCCAAACTGACCGAATATCGTCTGATCAGAGATGTTCTACGACCGAGGCAACCACTACGAATTTCTATCACTGGTGCAGGAACTTGCAGCCCCCGGAGAGTTACTACACCCGCAAACCTTTCCTTTCAACTTCAAGAACGTCGAGAAGCAGTACGAGTCGTACAATGGTATCAATGTGAAGTTGCGGTACTTTGTCCGTGTGACGGTCTCGAGACGGATGGCGGATGTGATCCGTGAGAAGGACCTCTGGGTTTACTCGTATCGCATGCCCCCGGAAACCAACAGTCCAATCAAGATGGATGTTGGTATCGAAGACTGTTTGCATATCGAGTTCGAATACTCGAAATCGAAATACCACCTAAAGGATGTCATCGTCGGACGGATCTATTTCCTGCTTGTGCGGCTGAAGATCAAACATATGGAGCTATCCATCATTCGACGCGAAACGACGGGATCTCCCCCAAACCAATATAATGAGAGCGAGACGTTGGTGCGATTTGAGGTCGGTTGCCCACACCTGTCTGCCGTGATCCATTTATACAAAGAATGTTTGCTTACATTGACCTTCTGACAGATCATGGATGGCTCTCCTTCGCGAGGTAAGCTACTACTACACACCCCGTCCTTTCACGTCGCCCACTTACCAGTGAAAGACGGTAGAAGAATGGGAGAGAATAGCTACTGACCATAACCAGGCGAAACCATCCCTATTCGTTTGTTCCTCGGAGGTTTTGACTTGACCCCTACTTTCCGTGATGTCAACAAGAAATACTCAACACGATACTATCTGAGCCTGGTGCTAATTGACGAAGGTAAGCAGACCCTTGCGCACGCGGCTAAGTGTATTGCGAATGCCCATTTCTTCCATCAAGAACCCGCAGCCCCCGGGCCCATGGATATGGACCCCATGGACCACAGTCTAGCTACTATCAGTGCAAAAGCCTTGTTTGCTGCCTGCATTAGTACCTGAATTCCTTCCCCTGCCTAACAAAGAATACACCCCACGACATCCCACTCGAGACAGTTCAATAGCCGATCGGCCTATGATCCCACCTCGGACCATTTACGGTGGCTATTCGGGCCGGCTGACCTGAGATTTGTTTCCGACACCCAAAATTCCCCCACGCTAAACCATTCTTGGATGTGGTTTCGCGTGGCGGCCCCACCACCCCCCGGTTTTCATCCCGTTCTGTTTTGAAAACACTCCATTTTTGCATTCTCCATCGGTTTACACAGCGTACTGACTCCATTCTCTACTTGCGTCTAGATGCCCGTCGGTACTTCAAGCAATCCGAGATCACACTCTACCGTCAAGCTCCCGAGATTGCGGCAACGCCCCAAATAGCTCAACAGCAACAGATCCAACAGCAGCAGCTCCTCCTGCAGCAGCAACAGCAGCAGCCACTGCCGGAAGGTTCAGCCACGGCTGGGCCTGGACGGGAGACCTATCGCAGCCAGACAGTCTCGGCTCCTGCGGCCTAAGCCGTAGGCTGCTCTTCTATCGCATGAACACTTGTTTTGATTCTCTTGTCCTCGTTATCACACTTGTCAAATTAGGCATTCCTCCTACGACGTACATATACCCTCTCTGAACTCTGTATCTGTACCTTTACGTCTTATGTAAACCAATAAACCATCTTGTCATGAATGCGGTTGCGCACTCAGAATCCCAATATTGTTTACGAAGTAGTCTCTTGGTTATGTACCATAGCACTTGTAAAACAAAGCTCTCTATTCCGTACCAAATGCTAGTTGGTCTATGCAATAGGAAATGCAGGGGATTACAGGTGAGCGCAAATTCTCCAAATACTCCCCCCTAGAAAGTTAGTCGTGGTTACCGAGCTGGTCCAACACTGCCCCGAGAGCCCGAAGAACTTCCCCATCATCCTTTTCCTTTCCGGCTACTTGCACCGCTTTCACGACGAGGGGGTATATCCATTCCAAATGCCTTTTGTGATGCTCATTGCCTGCCACGTCCGATCCTTTCGCTGGTAGAGCCAAGGTCCTGATCACCGGCGGGTCAGGGATAGCAGTGGGTTCGCTCTGCAGGCTGACCATCCCGCGCAGGAGATGCAGGAGCACCTTGCGCGCAGGAGTGGGCTGCGGCATCAGTCCGCGGAGAGGCTGATCTGCAATGTATGCTTTCAGGGACACGGCGCAGCGGAGGATGAGATACGGGGAGATGGCGCGTGAGAGCAAGATACGAGCAGCTGCAGAATCGCCGCCGCTTGCTTTTTTAGGCTGAGAACTGTCGTTGCTGTGTGAGATTGTGGACTGTGGAGGAGCTGCTGCCAGCTCGAACAGTGTGTCAATTAGGACATACGCCAATCTCGCGCGCCGAGTTGGTGCAGGGTCAAATGTCCTCCCTGGCCTGATATCGTATAGATCCTGCAGCGGTTCATTCTCTGAATACTTGACAGGACGGCCCAGACGCTGCTGTTGATATATAAAGGAGGAGTGGAGAACCGTACGCGCAAAGTCACGCCGAATACTGTCTGGGATGATTAATGCTCCGAGGGAGGGAATAATGATGAGCTTGAGTTTGCGGAAGGCATCAATGTCAAAGGATTCGTCACTGTAGATCTTTGTACTTGATACTGGGAGTGTCCAATAGCCTCTTGCTGAGACAATGCCATTCGCAATATCCACCACACATTTCCAGAAGTGGGATACCTCTGACGGATCAGATTCATCGTAGTGCTTTTCGACGTACGGGACTGCCACATTCAGGATATCCAATGCTGCTGTTGTCGATTGTTGCCATAGACTGGGATCCCGATCTTTGCCTGGCCACTCATATCTCTGTACTATCGGGTTTCCAAGGTGCTCGAGTGCCGAAGCCAAGGAACCATTAGAGAAGATATCTTCTTTGATCCCATACTCGGCTATATACCAGCGCAGGAGCTCCAATGCGCTTTTTGAGAAGGCAACAAAAGTTGGCTGCCTTGGGTCGGACTCGGGGGACCATTTTGTCAACGCAGAATCGACGAAATCCGCAAGACAAATAAGTATTTTGGGCTGTGCTTTGGGTTTGTCTGAACACAGAAGTTTCATGCAGTCGATGATCATTGCTTGAAGACTTGAAGGACGATCGATATCCGGAGAGTACCGTGGAATGATAGAATTCCAAGCCAGAAGACGCATATGCTCAAGGATGCTATCAATCTGACTGCTTTCAAACTCGTCTTTGTAAAGACGATAGAGCTGCTGGAACGCCTGCAAGTATGCTGATGCTGCATCTTGATTAGGCGTTTCCAGATCAAGCATGTTCTCTCCGTTGGCAGGATGGCCATTAACCCACAACGACCACGTACAGCGTAGCGCCTCCTTGCTTATGTCACTGGGGGACTGGACGCGAAGAAGAATGCTCGAGAAACTTGAGAATACAGCTTCGCTTATGCTCAAGATACCGGAACCGGCAAGTTTGTGGAAAAATCCCACGAGTCGTTCCCAGGAACGATCAAATTCATCATCCTTCACAATAGCTTCAAAAAATGTTGTGATAAGATCGGATGAGCCCTTGATCATTACTACTGCTGTTTCCACCCATGATTTGAGCTCATCGAACTCCTTGTTATCTTTGGCTGTTTGGAATATTGCAAGTTCAGCTTCGATCTCTTCAATCATCCGGAACAAGACCCTATTAAGGCATAGTCGCCATGCCTTCGGCGACAGTTGCTGCCCATAGGCGTCAAAAATCCTCAAAAGCGTGTGAACCGCACAATTTCGGATTTCTAGCCTGCTGTCCCTTGTGAGGTCTACGATCCTCAGCAGGAGCAATAGCCATAGGGCGTTCCGAGAGACTGAAAGGTCATCGCTTTTGGCCAGGGCTGAGAGTGTCTCTTCACTGACTGAGGAATCCACATGTGATTCAATGGAGAATCGTTCGATTTGGCCTTGCAGAAAGTCTGATACATTCCAGAAGGATGACGTTGTAGTCAACGATATATTAAAGTCTTGCTGCTGTTGAGCGAACCGGGAAAGAGAGTCCACAAGATCCAAACGGCAGGGCGGGGGCAGTAAAGCAATAAAATCGGAGGCCACCACTTGAAGCGATCTGTATGCCACACGAACAAGGCGAGGTGATCCCACCGATAGGCGCGATCCAGGCTCCCTCGGTGTTGCTTGTATCTTACCTTCGCCATTTGCGCCGTTTCCAAAAATGCTAGAGATCAGATTGAAGACTAACGCCCATCCATCCGTAAAAGTCTCTGCGTACTGCTCGAGAATACTCTTCAACGTCTCCAAACTTTGCTCATGTATCTCGGCCACAGATGAAGAAGGTGATCCTGGCACGCAAGCGTTTGCCTTGTATAGTGTCTTGACCTGCGTATTGAGAGTTTCAAGATTTCTGACATGGCGCGCATTCCGAATCGAGTCATCGATATTGCCCCCGTTCTTCATAGTCTGGAAGATAGCGTAGCTGAGCAACCCATTTGCTCGGAGCCGAAGTTTCTGATTGATATCCGGGTTTGCTGCAATTGCAATCAACCTCTCGGTCAGAAACTGCCAAGCATCACGATCACTTTCAGCCAGCGATGAAAATCTCTCAAGGTTCGCCTCAGTTAACTCATTCGCTTTTCCAAGGACAAATTTTAGGTCTTCATCTTTCATTCTGGACTTCTCTACGACAAGAGGCACAAGGCGGTTGGTTCTGCGCGTCCGACCAACGTGTCGCTGAGTTTGTGCGATTTCAGAGTTTCCGGACGCCTTCTCGCTCGATTTATCTTCAGCCACTTCCGCATTCACCCCAGAGAGATCAAGAAGAGCAACCAGGAGACTCTGGAACGACTCGGTGGGATAGTCCCCAGTGCTCTCGAGCATTTTCGCAGAGGCTGTTTGGACGGCCGAGATCTCAGCCCCAAGGTTAGCTTTTTGTACATCGACTGACGGCTCTCCTACATTAGTGGCGGAGGTATGTGGCTTGCTTGAAGCCATGCCAATGAGTAAGTCTGCATCCTGGAGTGTCCCAAGTATAATTGACCAGGCCGGCTGGTCTAGAGTCGAGCCAAGAGCAATTCCGAGATTCAGGAGAGCACGGAGGCATAAGAGGTTTCTTGTACTCAGTGACAAAAAGGTGGCCTCTCCGTTGGCGTTTATCCCATCGGTAGCGAATGGGGATCCAACAAGGGATACAGCGCTACCTTTTCTTTTCTCATCCAGGGTAGGTCTTTGATCCGGGGTAGACAAAGTGGACGCCCCCACAGGCTTGACGCCGCCCATATCTGCTGGCATGGCAGCTTTTCCTAAAGTCGTCAGGAAGGCATCCCGCGGAACAGACAGTCTCAAAAGACCGGCAACATGAGTTAGTTTCTGAAAAGACCGGACTAAGTTATGATAAAATTCCTCGTCTAATGAGGCGTATAGAAAGGTGGAGCAGGTTGCGAGAACAGCAGGCCAGCAATTTTCGATAATTCCGGCGCAGGTCCTTATCGCAGATATCTGGGGGTGCGACTCTAGACCCAGGGGATTCAAAGGCACGGTAGATTTCTTGCTGGTCGACCGTTGGGGAGACTTCCCAGAATCTGCCCTTTCGAGAGCCGGAATAGGTGTAGTAGGAGCAGCCTTTTGATCTGGACTTGCAATCCTACTTCTCCTTTTTGGTTTGATATCAGGGACAGTTAGGGGAAGGATGAACTTTGCAAGTCCCTCAGCAAAAGTACTGATGCAGTTGAGAACCAAGCTATAAATGTACGTTTCCGGAGGTGATGGCGGGTCAGACTTGTCCAACAATTCGATATAAGGCGTGCGAATCACACTCCACTGGATGCTGATTCCTGGCGCATTGGTTTCGGGGGACGGGCCCGTCGCCCCAATGACACCCGCAACCCCACCGGCCTCGAGAGTTATCTGTTCTTCTGTGATGGACCGTGAATGTTCAGCTCGCATGGGTACTGTTGACCGGCTACTAACACCGATCAAGGACGGCCTCTCGGAGACCAGGCGAACGAGCGAAGCCATATGGTCTTTTAGGATATTTTTTCTGCTGTCTTCTCCATCATACAAGGAGTAAACCAGTCTGACCAAGCCTGGCTCAGCGTAGAGCCCTCTAAAGATCTCCATACAGAGAACTCTTTTCCATGGCGAAGTTCCATCAGGCTCAAGAAGATGGGTTAGCAGCCCAAGAGCCATTTCGCACTCCGCTGTCAATAGAGACATGTGCCGCTTGAGTAGGATAAGAAGTATGCGCGCGACTCGCACTGTGAGCGCAAAAGTGTGCCTCTCAGATAGGTATCTTACGGTCATAGGCATTAGCCGGGTTCGCAAGATATGGGTAAGCTCTGGATGGCCGATAAACAGGCGGCCGCTGTTGATCAGAACGCTTTCAATCAGCTCCAAGGTGAATGTTTGCGAAAGTGACTTGATATGCAGGAATTGGAGTTGTTCGCCATCTACGAGCCGACACAAATCATCCAGGACCTTCAAAGAATGTAAGCTAATTACGAACGCCTCCAAACCAGGATTCTGCTTACTCGCAACGCATCGTATGCAGATAGACCGATATTTACGGAGCTTCCTTCAATCTTTACTGCGACTCGTGGCTTAGACTCGTCAAGGGTTTCTGGGGACATGTCAGAATCACGACGACTGAGTCAGTCAATGGGAAGGTACTTACTGTCCTCGTCGGCGACTCGTTCAAATGTCGAAACTACGAGTTGCTGTAGTGTGGCCGCTGCCGTGCTCGAAACAGCCAACGTTTTGCTTGCCTGCAGTGTGGCACATATCTCCAATGTACTCGCAAGCAGCTCACCACCCAAGTCATTGGAATAATGCTGTAAAAGTGAAGGCAGAGACTGCAGGATCTTGAGTTGAACATCCAAATCTTGGAGGCGGTTAGAGAATTCCCATCTGGCCAGTCAAGTTTACGTACTCAAACTAGTCGTTTCTCTCAGTCCTCCCAGCACATCTTTCAATCTGCTGGACGGCAATGAACGGGAGGCCACGAGTCTCTGCAAGCAGACAACCCCAATTCCAGAAAGCTTTGCATGTCGACTATGGCAGGCTAGAATAAATGGATCGACAAACTTAGGTTTGCGCACGAGGTCTCTTAGGGGTTCAGTAAATCCTCCAAGCAGCACGAAAAGAAGGATAATGATATCGCGAGACACCCACCGGCTGAGATTTGTGCCTCCGAAGTCGAAGGCAATGCCTTTAAGTCATTAAGGGATTCCTCAGCGGCCTAGGCCTTCAGTCAGTCTCCTGTATTCTGAGCTTCCTTCGCCAACGGAATACAAACATTTCGCAGGTCTGAATTCTTTCTCCTGGACTCCTGAATGAGATTCAGAAGCTCCGTCTGCAGAAACTGTGAGGACATTTCCAACTAGGGCGTCAGGCCATAACATGTCCGATGCCACCAGTTCGAGGAAAGTCTCCTAGACGGGTAACTAGCAATCAGGCTGTAGAAGGTGTAACTGCATATATCTTCCGAAGATTTGAAAACTGATTATGATGATGTCGGCCAGAAATGAGACTCAGCATATAAGCCTACCATGACACGCATAGATCTGAAGCCACAATAGTGCAAAACAACCAAAGCGATCTAGAGCTTGAGCCAAAACAATGCAGCCATCACTGCAATGATATTCCCAAAGTAGGTGGCTTCTCCCGGGAATGCCAAGATAACAGTGGAGATAGGCGCCCCACGTGATAGAAGTAGCTATTCTTATCGTCACGTGAGGTGATGCTTAGAAAGTCAAGACTGGGACTCCTCAGGCACTCAGGCTAACCCAAGGCAGTAGTACAGCCCAAAAGTGCCCCTCTTCCTTGCTCTGCGATAAGACCGAATAATTTCAATCCCACCACTGCTTCTTCCAGCACACAACCTGATTTTCTCTGGTCGTATAGAGCTTTCAGGATGTCGGCAAAGGTTCCTAGAAACTTTAGGCTTCTCGAGGAGCTCGAGAAGGGAGAGAAAGGCTTAGGAGCAGGTGAGCATGCGACCAGTCGATGATGACGCACCACCCCGCTAATAATTGTGCTGTTCAGAGGCATGTTCGTATGGTTTGGCAGATGGTGAGGATATGATGATGAGCAATTGGAATGGGACCATTCTGGGGCCCCCTCATGTCAGTATTCTCTTCAGATCGACTGGTCAAACCATACGACCGGCTGACATGGAACTATAACAGAGCGTCCATGAGAACCGGATATACAGTGTCCAAATCCATTGCGGTCCCGACTACCCTGATAACCCCCCAACCATCCAGTTTATCTCCCGAGTCAATATCCCATGTGTGGACCAGAAGACCGGCAAGGTATGAGTTTTGGCTCTTTTTGTCAATATTGAGATGACACCGTCTTATTCTCGCACAGGTCGATCCCGCCAAGCTGCCCTGCCTGGCTCAGTGGAAGCGCGAGTACACTATGGAGACCATTCTCCTTGAGATCCGAAGGCAAGTATTGTATTCCTCTATTAATTCTCTAGAACGAGGCTAACATTCAGTCATTTAGATACATGGCCTTGCCACAACACAAGAAGCTCCCTCAACCCCCGGAAGGAACCAACTTCTGAGTCTAATGCATTGTACATGGATCGGAAATTGAACATCGGAGTAACAGGTCTGTCTTCATGTTAGGTTTATTTCCTTGCTACATTGGGTTTTAGAGCGTGTATAGTCATTGCATAACGACAGGCATTGGCGTAGCTTCGTTCAGAGTCTACCCATTTCCAAACAATATATTTGATAGCAACTTAGCGTTTACTAGCTTATATTGGCGGGCTGGTTTAGAAACATGCTGCGTCGATGGGTGTATCTCCTGTCAAGTCAATATCTGTCCTTTGGATCAGTTGCCTGTGTAGTGGTAATCAGGCTCTGGCATTGGGTGCAGATCCGGAATTGTGAGCAGATGATCGGTCGAGACCAGCCGTTTCAATCAATAGTGCAAGCAAGCTCGAATAGAGCAATGCGAAAGTCCAAACATTTGCCTCGTACTATCTAAAGAAACTGTACAAACACCGGAGCATCCGACGATCTCCAGATTATGAAGCCGTTATCATCACGTGATATTTCTGTATGCTGCATGGTCTGGAACCTTGAGAAGGAAACGATCAAGGAGCTTGGTACACCCTGTTGGAAGCAGACATATCAAGATATGCATCGAATCATTGTTCCGAAGCAGTCGAGTACTCATAGGTTTGCTTGTAAGTTTGATCAAGTATTCCGTCAGATATTGCGGCCCATATCGTGATTTTCACTAAATAGTCCATCTTCTGCTAGGTCTGGCACTTTATCGAGCACTCCTTCGACAATGTAGCAGATTACCAGAAAAATTCTCAGAGCTTCGGTCCACCAGGTCGCTGTTACAACAGAAATTCCAAAAATACAAAAATATTCAGAGTCCTTCGCAAACGATAAATGCCCTGAAAGCCGGATATGAGGTACTTGCCCCATCCCGTATGTGGTTCATGCGAATGCTAATGGTCTGGTGGTCTATTTTACCAGGCTTTAGATCTATTGCATTCGGCGTCTCATGGCAATACTCAGGATGCACATCGCATTACGAAACTCTTATCGGAGAGCCAATCAGTTAAGAAGCAAATGGTTGCAGAACATAGCAGACTGACGGCCGCGTGTGCTCCGAAGGTTTTGTCCAAGAAAACGCAAAGAAGGGAAGAATCAAAACAATTTCAGGAGATGACTGCCCGAAAGCACCCAGATGCCACCCCTATTCTCTCCCGGCCTCGACCGGAAGTGAATGGGAAACGTCATATACCTGTTCTTGTCAGCGCTCGTGGAGTTCCATTCCTCCGCATCAAAAAGCCCCAGCCTAAGAATCTAAGTGGAGTCATTCGTACGAAACTCGATAAACGATGGCGTCGTATTGAGCGCCGTGAAAGGTTAGGATTGGATCTGCTATTTGCCAAAGATGAGGATCACTGGGATCAATTGACTCTTGGCCGGCCCGAAACGGAGACATGGACTCAGGAGGTGAAGAATGCCTTGGATGAAGTGAACATGAACATTCACGAATCAGACAAAAAGAACATGGAACTTGCAGAGGCAATGTGGCAAGTTGTACTTGCTGAACGCAAATTGGCCGCAGAAGAGGAGCAGCAGAGATCGGTTCAAACATGAAGGTTGACACCAAGGGGACATCTCTTTGACCCCGATAGCAATGTTCTTACGGGTCGTATTGCAATATTGAGCAAATTATTTGTTCAATGTTGCCCCTGAACAAAAGGCCTGTCGATACGAGAGATCTATCTCTCAACTCGTTTGCCAGGAGGTCAACCGACGTCCATCCTGTTATCCGGGAAACCTACCTATGAGCGTCCCTCAACATCCCCTGAATGGTAGAAAGCCGTGCAGATGATGACTTTGGACACAGCCGACTCATATTGCAGGGGAGGCCTGGTACACGCTCGTTTTCCACCTTTGACTGATCGTTTCATCTGTGTCGAACATGATTTCGCTGCACCTCAAGCTCAAAAAGGTGTCAGCTCCGGTAGACTGGTTACTCCTGCGGAATCAGCCATTATTGCAGAATTCGCAGAATAATTGGCTTGTATGTTCATACATCAACTGGATGTTTCAGCTATTTTGCTCAGCCTCGAGCATAACAGGTGAACTGGGCGAGTAACGAGCGGCATACACCTTTCATGACTCTCCAGACTTCAGAAGGTTAATAAAAGTGCAAACCAATTGGCTTTCGGCGCACCCAAGCAAATGTATTTTCTTCTGAATATGTACAGATATCTATTGGTCTGAGACTCATCCAATTCATAACAGCGCTGTGGAAAGTTTAGGATGTGGAATCTCATAGATAAAATCGAAACGCTTGTTTATGCAGCAATTTTCATCTTCTCCACAGCAGCTGGAATAGCATCCTCATCATCCTCGTCATAGTCAACTTTCCCGGCCAAACCTCTCTCCCATAATTGTCTGCCAGTCAGCTTCTTCTCTTCTTTGGCCGTTATCTTTTTGAATTTCTTTTCCTCCGCCTCTTTCTCTTCTCGCTCCTTCTGCTCCCGCCCCTCCATTTCTTTCCTGAATTTCTCCCGCCACTCCATGAAAGTCTGCGGTGTCACAGCCGTGCCCTGGAACTTTCGGTTCTCCTCCTCTTCCGCTTTGGCAGCTTCCATCTCTTTCTCAGCCTGAACAGCGTTCGCACGCTCTGACATGAGTAGCTCAGCGCTGTCCTTGAGCGTACTGACCAGAGTAAAAACCATTGCCATGCCTAAATTCTCCTCGATAGTCGGCTGCAGAGCTTCAAGCAGTCGTTCACGGTCTTCCTGGATGTCGAGGCGGGGGTGTTTGGGCGCATTCGGCGGGGCCGAGATATCTAGATCTGGAGCAACATCTGGGTATTCTGGCGGGTATGATACCTGAAGGATCAGGACAGGTTGCTCAGCGTCCTCCTCTTGCACATCATTCTCGGGTGTGTCCAATGTGATTGATATCCGGTATGAGGTGTCGGATACGTCTGAGAACAAGATACCATCGTCAGCGGACGAGTCCCACTAGTAATGCGATCGCGCAAAATAAAGATCAAAGGGCCTAACCTGTGATTTCATCGGGGAAAATCGAATCAAGTACTTCGCGCTCCTCAATCTGTTCTTCGCGACCCATGTTGCTTGAACTGTGCCGCCTGTATGGAGAGGTAATCCTAATGCACTGTAAAAACCGAAGGCACGATCACCGATGCTAGTTCTGATCGCAATAACTGGTTAAATTGAATGACGGTGTATATAATCGAAGCTTTAAGCTTACAAGACGTATCCCTCACTGATGTTTTCGACCTTTGAGCGCACAGGCATGCCCATAGACGAACTTGCGGTCCCGCATGCAAACCAAGCAAACAGATAAGAAGACAACCAAAATTATTTGATCCAAAAGAGGGAATTTCAATGCTACTCCACCTGCTTGATAGAACCAGGAAGATCCCAGTTTCTAGAAAACCGGGCTGATCATCTCTATAAAAGCTTTTCTTCGAGACAATTTAGCTCCCTTTATATCCAGGTCTCACATCCCAGAGTACGTTTGACTCGATTCAGCTTAAGACAAACATGGGCAAATCCAGACCTCACACGAAGAAAGCTTCGAAGTCGCGCGAAAAGTCCGTTCTCAAACCTGGCGGTTCAGTGTCGAAACAAAAGATGAACGAAGATCCGTCGAAACTCCTGGAGCAAGCAATTATACTTCTTCAGACCGGACAAGCAGATGCAGCACTTGCGACTGCTCAGCAAGCATTTAATGCCGCGCCCGCCAACTCCCCAACCCAACTATCAGCCTTGAACACAATTGGAGATATTTACGTTGAACTCGGCGATATCAATGCGGCGAGAGAGTGTTTCCTACGGGCGGTTGAACGGGACCCGAATGGCACAATACCTGAATCTCAGGGCGGTGGCGCCGAGAAGTTCTTATGGCTTGCTCAATTGAGTGAAGCTGGAGGAAAGGACAGTGTTGGATGGTTTGAAAAAGGTGTATCAGCCCTCAGGGCTATCATCCAACAGCTGGAGGAGAAAAAAGACCCTCAAGCCGTTGCCGATCTTGAGGAGAAGAAGAAGAAACTGGCGAACGCCCTCTGCGGCGTTGCTGAAATCTACATGACCGATCTCTCGTAAGTGGAAAAACATTGAACCCAAAGCAATTGCGCTAACAGTTCGTAGCTGGGAGGAAGATGCCGAGACTCGATGCGAGTCCCTCATTACAGAAGCTCTCCTAGTCGATCCGCAAGGACCTGAAGTACTACAAACTCTTGCCTCCATCAGGATATCTCAGTTGCGAACCGAAGATGCTCAGGCTGCTCTTTCGCGGAGTTTGGAGTTATGGAAAGACTTGCCTCCCGAAGACACGAAGGTCCCGGATTTCGCAACTCGTATCAGTCTCGCGCGTCTCTTGATGGAAGTATCGATGGAGCTGGAAGCACTTGAAGTTCTAGAACGTCTGATCCTCGAGGATGATCAGAGTGTGGAGGCATGGTATCTCGGCGGCTGGTGTCTCTTTCTTCTCGCCGAGAAGGGACAGGCACCAAAAGATGCCGAGGCAGAGACCGTGGCCGGATCACAACGGGAAGCTTCTCTTGTGGCCAGTCGCGAATGGTTGAGGCAAAGTTTGACACTCTACGACCTTGTTCAATATGAAGACGAACGGCTCAAGGAGCATGCGCTGGAGCTGGTCGACAATATGAACAAAGAAATAGGCGAGGATATGGAAGACGACAGCAATGCCGAGGATGGTGAGGAAGGAGAAGAGGGCTGGGATGAGGACATTGAAGAAGGGTCAGACGATGACCATGAGATGGCGGATTCATAAAAGTTATATAGCCGTCGTACTATGTTTGATGATCATCTGTCATGATACCAATAGAAACGATTCCACCAATCTAATGACAAGAAAAGCATTTTGCCATTTAAATACTCTCATTCCAATTCTGTGCCGTTTGACCTTAGGCTCTTAGTTTGCAATATAATATCGACAAGATCATAAGAAGCAGCTGGTGACCATCTGGTTGTCCAGTGACCATCTCTTATCTTGTTCCTTTGTCACTTATCGGCGTCGGAGCCGGATTAAGTCGGCTCCGACCGCTTTCCCCAGAGATGCGCAGAACCAAATTTGTCGCAACGATCGACTTCGCGTGGCAAACAGCTCAATGTGAGTGAGGAGTCATTATAGAGGTAGCTGGAAGTGTCCAATCCTTTGCTTAGGATGGACCTGGTATCAGCGCCCGGCGGGGAGAGCTCGTCGTTGAAGAACCCGGTGGTTGAAATGGAAGCCGTTGATATGGCTGCCACAAACCCGGCAGGCACCATCAAAGCGGAGAATACAACTGCAGTGCAGTGCGAAGTGTCTGTTTCTGAGTATGAGACTGATAGCGACTCAGGGGAAGAATGGGAAACACAATCTCTGTATGAGGATGCTATCCAAATCTTGAAGGATGAGCAACTTCGTGAGGGTGGTAAGCACTTCTATATGCGCCTATCTGTCCAGTTGTGACTTGTGATGACTCAACTAACTCTGATTCTGTAGTACCGAATGCCTGCACCCTGGAGGAAGCCGTGGCCTTTCGAGAACGACTTCATGAAATCGGCAAGGCTGCGTTCGTTGAAGAGACAATTGGGCGTGATACAGTCACTGCGAAGAAGTTGTGTACTGCATTTGGGATCATGCCACCGGCTTTCCTTGAAGGTGCTCCCGACGAGGCTTATCATCCCCTACTGGCAATCGCGATATCTCGAGAGTTCTCAAGGCGCCCAAAACTTCCTCAATACAACACAATCGACGATGCGGTCAAATTACTGAAAGAATCGAAGAACATCGTTGTGTTAACAGGCGCTGGTGTGAGTATTGTCAAGACAAGCTATTGTTGGTTTATATGAAAACTGACAGGTCTCGGACAGATCTCTACGAGTCTCGGAATACCCGATTTCCGTTCGAAAGATACTGGACTCTATTCACAATTGGAGCATTTGGGATTGAGCGATCCTCAGGAGGTGTTCGACATTCACATCTTTCGCGAAGATCCGAGCATCTTTTTCTCAGTCGCGAAAGACATCCTACCAACCGAGAAGAAGTACTCGCCGACACATGCCTTCATTCGTCTTCTGCAAGATAAAGAGAAATTATTGACCAATTATACTCAAAACATCGATAACATCGAGGCTAATGCGGGCATCCACTCGGACAAGATTCTGCAGTGTCATGGCTCGTTTGCGACAGCGACATGTGTCAAATGCCACCACAAAGTTACTGGTCAAGAGATCTTCGAGGACATCAAGCAAGGCAATATTCCTGAATGTGTCGCCTGTAAAGAAAGACTTGACGAGGATTTATTGAAACCACAGGGACTCAAACGGAAACGCCTGTCCAACGGGGCGCAGAAAAGCAGGAAGAATGACCTTGGGGATAGTTCTGATGACGAAGACTACGAGATTCCCACTCCTGGGGTCATGAAGGTTAGTGAGACACTGTTTCTGAATGCCTGTTGACGATCGTTTGTTGATATATCTTCCAGCCTGATATCACCTTTTTTGGCGAGGATTTGCCTGACGAATTCGGTCGTCGTCTACTTCATCACGATCGTGATAAAGTGGACTTAGTCATTGTTATTGGTACCTCACTAAAGGTCGCCCCTGTGGCTGAAGTCCCTGGTGTGCTGCCACGCCATATACCTCAAATTTATATCTCTCGTACTGTAAGTTTTTCTTTTTTTCTTCTGCGCACAATCTGTATCTTGGAAACTAGCTAACTTTTCAGCCTGTAACGCATACATGCTTCGACATTGATCTGTTAGGTGATTGCGATGTGGTTGTCTCAGAGCTCTGTCGACGAGCGGGTTGGGGCTTGAAGCACGACATGATCCCGCCAGATGAGAAGGTTGAGATCACTCCTGTTGAAGGATATGATTCACGACATTTGTTCAAGGTTGTTGGTGCATAATGGTGGAGTTTGGTTGTCTTTTGCTCTGTCTATGTGTTCAGGGCCGGTGTATATTGTTTATGGGATTCAAGCGGACTGGGAATGTTTTAGCAATATCCTTTTTTCTTTTATCTTCTCTTTTTGTTATTGATTTTAGTGAAGGCTGCAACTTTCATGGACATGCTTGTTGGACTATCATTATGATTGTATTTGCTGGATCTCTACTAGAGACATGTGGCTTCGAGACAACAATTGCTTTACCCAAGATATCAGTACTTCCTTACTTTTTTTTTTCTGAGTGAGATATATGCTTCTTGATATACGTGCATAGATGATTGACGCTGGAATATAAAGATTAATTTTTGAGTTGATTCATTTCTCTTCCGCCTGGTTTTGTACCATAATAATGTTGGGAGCAAGAAAAAAGTTATCTCAACCCATCCAGTAATAAGCATTTATAGTGCACCACATCAGCCAGCCCTGACCAGATACTCTCCAGTTCGTTGGGCCATATGATCACTGGAATTCACATAAGAGTATCACAGCTTACTCTGAGAAGCCGCAATTCGGCCTCCTGGTATTGCGATGGAGTACTTGATCCGCTTCGCACAAGTGCACGAAAGCTTCCGACAGCCGGAGATCCAGGCATTGGCTGCTTTGAAAGGAATCGATCTGGAAATTCTGTCTTATAATGAATTTGTATGTGATATGTCTAATCTTGCATTGTTTTCGTTGAGAAAGACATGTTTCTTCATTCATGAGCCCTCATTGGAGGGGCTTCAATCGAATTTTTTCTACCCCCGCCTTCACTCGCAGTCTACTATAGAATCACACATAAATCACTTACTAACATTGAATATAGTCACCATATTGCCTCGTTAAGCTGAAGAATGAAGAGACCGCGCGAGACCTCATCTCTCGCAGTATCCTAGCCAAGGATATCTTTGAGCTTTGGGGCCAAGGCACCAACTACGATGAAGTCCATGAGGAAGTACGCAGGCGGACCCAGCACCGCTGGAACGACTACAAAGAGGTATCGTTCCGATTCACGATCGAAAGCTTTGCTGGGAAGCGGAGTAACGAAGTGAAACGGGACATCATCCAATCCTTCGCCTACCTTGACTTCCAGGGCCCTATCCGGATGAAGAATCCGGATGAGGATTTCTGGGTCTTGGAGGAATACGTTTCGGATGTCGCAGTCTCAAAAACAGCACCTTCGCCTGGCTCAGCACAACCGGTTGAACCACAGCATCCGCAGAAAATCTACTTCGGACGCTGGGTTGCCAATAGTAGCCGGGACGTTGTCAACAAGTACGACCTGAAGAAGCGACGATATATCAGCACAACATCGATGGATGCAGAATTGAGTCTCGTGACGGCGAACATGGCTCATGCTGCCCCTGGTAAACTATTCTTCGACCCGTTTGTGGGGACAGGAAGTTTCTGTGTTACTGCGGCACATTTTGGAGCCTTGACCCTTGGGTCAGACATTGACGGGCGTAGCTTTCGCGGCAAAGAAATGGATAAGGGCAAACCGATGGGAGTGCTCTCGAACTTTCAACAGTATGGTACTATGGGCAAGTTCATGGATGTTTTCACATCCGACCTCACAAACACGCCTCTGCGTTCCAGCCAGTTCCTGGATGGCATCGTCTGCGACCCGCCTTATGGTGTGCGAGAAGGACTTCGAGTATTAGGCACTCGCGACGGGCGTGGAAAAGAGGAGCTCTTGATAAACGGAGTTCCTGCTCATTAGTAAGTTTGCTCGACCAACCCATTGTGGCCTCATTCTCTTTCCCCCTAACAGGTTATACAGTCTCCCTGGCTACATAGCACCTAAGAAGCCGTACGGTTTCGAGGCAATGCTGAATGACATCCTTGAATTTGCCTCCCGCAGCCTAGTCACTAATGGTCGACTGGCTATGTGGATGCCTACATCCAGCGATGAGGAAGGGGAGTTGGCCATTCCGATGCATCCAAACCTGGAGGTCCTGAGCATCTCTGTTCAGCCATTCAACAACTGTAAGTCCGCCAGTTTAATATCCATATACTAGCGTCAGGACTGAATTATAATTTCAGGGTCTCGCCGGCTCATCACATACCGGAGACTTCCAGAGGGAGAGACCTCAGATGTGTCCTTGGGACGACGAAAAGGGGATGCTGAAGGTGTTTATGCAGATGATCTGAACGCATTCAGGAGAAAGGTGCATTTATCTCTCCTAACAGATTTTTATGGGAAATCCATGGCTGACAGCAACATAGTATTTCAAGAAGAACCCAAACACGAAGACCACATCCGGTACAAATGATAATGTATCGCAATGAATGACAACCCAAAATAGACTATGGAACCAGAAACAAGCATGCATTTGCCAGTGAAACACACTGCATCAGTAATGAAGTAATCATCAACATACTTAAATTTTCCAGATGGGAAAGGTATCATAGAACCAACAAAAAAAAAACACAGGATATAACTGCCCATAGTTAAAAGGAATCATCCTACAGCTTCCCCTTCGTCCTCTGGTAGCGCACACACGCAGAATCCACGTCTAAATCCACCCGTTCCCTCTCTCTTACACGCCAAACTTCGCTAGCCAACTCCTCCCTCAGCGCTTTAGCCAGAGTCTCCCCTTCCTCATCGTCTAGCTCATCCCTCTGCCCGCGTCCAAACATGACGAAACTCATCTTGGCCGCGGTGGGTGCCGCATCCAACGGAGGGCGGGGAATCACATGGAAGTGGACGTGAGGCACTTGCTGTGCTGCCCCGATGCCTATTTCATGAATATCTTAGCCCGAATCTGCACTCAGAAGCAACGGCATACGTACCGTTATTCTGCACCACGTTCCAGCTCCAGTCCGACTCCTGGTCTGTGCCAAAGATGGTCTTCATTACAACTCGTGAGATGACAGGCAGCCACTGGCCGATCTGCAGGGATATACTATAGTTAAAGGTCCGAAAGAGGATAAAAAGGGGGGAAGAGCAGAAGAAAGAAACACAAGACTTACCTCCCGGCTAACCTCTACACCCATATCTCCCAACTTCTCGTAATGATCTCTCGTAACGACTAAAACATGGCCCCTAGTCAAGGGCATAATATCTAAGAATGCTAAAACGGACGTAGTCGACAGGACTAGATGCGCATGCGTCTCCTGTGTAGTATCTGTCGAGAAAACGGCTCCACCTGTGATTTCCTGCTTGTGCTGAGAAAACGTCAACGGTGGAATTGGAGGATACGCTGCTGCAATTCGGCAGAAAGGACATGAGGCAGATGGCAGCATGTCGGTCATCTTGGTCTTTCTATGTATCAAAGACTCGTTAGATGGGGTCGATGATGTGTGGATAGATTTAGTTGGAGTACCTGTCTTTCTCAAAGTGCAGAAGGCTATCTGCCTAGAAGCATGGTCGACTATACAATTGGAGAATAAGGAAATTCTACAGGCATCAAAATCGTATGATATGCCCAGGCATGACAGCACATGCACGATTCATTCCTCTGATTCAGGGACAGACGATGTTCGTCCTGAGGTTTGTGCGGAGTAGAGCGAACGGGATACTCATCAGGAACCTCGGCTCAAGCTCTCTTTCCAACTGTTCATATCTTTTACTTACAAGATATCCCAAGTCCAAACGCGCTTCTAATAATATAGTCAAGAATCATGGTTCTCGTCATCCTCAGAATATAAAGCTGGAATTTCTAAATGTGAAAGATTATTGGTACTCACTCTCGCTGCTTGATCATAACTATCTCTCGAAGAGCAAAGGAGAAGAAAAGGGAAGCTTAGAGAGAAAAGAGATGAAAGGCTCGCAACCAGAGAAAGCGAGTCCAGAGAAGAAATAAGAACGAAAGAGAAAGGCAGCCTCTCCTCCCAGATAGTCCTTGCAACAGGATTTTGCCCCATCATAAACTCTGCCTTGCGTTGGCAGCAGCAGCATGTAGACCGTCATTGATTCGTGAAAGGAGGTGCATAGAAGAAAATCCAGCGCATGTATGGCAGCAGCAAGACGATCGAGCCAAAATAAAAGTAAAATGCGAATACATTCCTGACCCTGGAGCATTTAAAAGGTTGTAATACGCATGAGGGCAGAGGAAGAATGGTGAAGGTATCAGAGCTAGTGAAGCAACCCCGGTGACAGTGCCAAAACCAAAAAGAAGTCAAGAACTCGAACAGAAAGATGCGCCAGACACCCCCCGAGAGAAGTGATAATGCCAACAAACGCAAATTGAAACACAGAGATGCCATCATAACCATATGCAAGAGGTTGTCCTTTTACCATCACAAGCGAACAAATGCCGACACATGAAATTCGATTGATTCGATTCTCGAACACGGCGATGTGTGATTTACTGAGGCCGAAATCATAATGCCAGCACGACGTCGAGGTGGGTCTATTCGGTCTCTTTGATGAAGTTGTACGGCTCTGTCAGTGCGCTGTCGATGTACATGTGGTGATACTTCTTAGCCCACTGCCGGGTAAGGATGGAAGCTGAAATAAGTCAGTACGAGCTGCTCAAATTGAGTAACCCATCCTTGAAGTGCTTACCCTTGAGGAACTTCTTGCTCGCGTATTTCTTGAAGAATGCTTCGTGGCAGACAGGACGGTGAAGGTAATCAATCATCAATCGGAAAACAGGGTCGATTTCTTCTTCGGTATACCCAGCGTAGTGTGCCAGAGTTGCGTCCTATCTCAAATTAGTTTCGTGGGGGCTTATAGAGTTCTCATGAAGGAGGGAAATCTTACCCAAGCGCCACGTTCCAGGATTAGACGGGCAAGGTACATAGCAGCTGCGGCAACATGGCTTTGAGGGTAGCACATGAAACGATGATCCAATAAGCTGATCTCCATCAGGTATTTGCCGAGGGTACGAGTCTGGATGTCGTAGTTGTCCGCTTTGGAAATGCGCCGAAGGAAGTTCATAGGGTTGGGATAGCTCATGTTGTACTCGAGCGTAGCAAGAATATGACGCTCAGCGTCCAAAATCTCCTTATCTGTGAATGTCTCGTCCGCAACATGGCTGAAGTTGGCCACATGGGGAGAAAGAACCTCCTCATACTTGGAGGCAATGAACATAGCAGCGACTCCGACCAATTGCAAGCGGTCAAGTGCAACGACCTCGGCGGAAAGGAAGCGGTCGATGAGGTTCACGGCAAGGAAAAGGGTCTCGGGAAGGAGACGGAAGCGAGTGTGGACCTCGATCAACCAGTCGACAAGAATGCCACGCATCTTCCATTCAAGGTCGGGTTGATGGTCAATGTAGTGAGGATTGGGTAATGTTTCCAACTCCAAGTCTCTCAGGTAATCGAAGATCTCCACCACATACTCAGCGGCCATGAGTGGATCATCCAAATCCTCAGTATCCAGATCATCGACAACATCGTCAGTCTTCTTCACAGTGTCCACCTCAGCAGGGATGACAAGGGGTTCCTTCACTGTAGAGACCTTTTCGACGGCTGCCTTCTTCTCGATACCCTTCTTCTCCAATTCGACTTTCTTGCGTGGTGGTTCCTCGGTCTGAAGGGTTTTCTCTTGTACCGATTTTTGGCTGGATGTACGCTTCATCTGTGAGCTGCTGACGCCAGAGCCACTACCGGGGCGCTTTCCTTCTGTTGTGGGCTTCTTCGCGTTGTTATCTTTGGCGCCTAGAGCTGTACGCGACGAGTTGTTGCGGCTGAGCTTCTGAACACCGCCGCCAGCCTGCAAGGTAGCCTTCGATGTCAGACCGACCTTGCCTGCTGCGGCTTTCTTCGTTTCCTTGGTTTCACCATTTTCGGCCTTTGTGACATTGCTGACGTCTCCGAGGGCAGCACGTCTTCTTTGTGTTCCAGTAGTCGTGGAGTTTGTGGCTGCTTTCTTGGTCTGAAGGGGCTTCTTCGCGACTGTGTTGGAGGCTGGAACGTTTTCTGCTGACAGAGCGGCGGCCTTCGCCCGTGTCAGACGCGTCGATGGTCCGTTCTCATCATTCTCGTTCATGGTACCTCGCGTACGGAGACTTCGGGCCTGTCAAGGATTAATGAGAATGCAATTGCAATCACCCGGGCTAGAAAGACACGCAAGTGCTTTCAGTGTTTGACTGGCTATTCTACACGTGTTTTCTAGCGGAAAGAACTCACCGGAGGCATGATGATAGGGGAGAAAAGAAGGAGAAAGAGTACGTCGGAAAGTCAAGGGAGGATAGAGGATAGGTATAGTAGATATTGTCGTTCTGCCGAAGGTGTCCAGTCAGCATTCCAAAAGAGAGTGCTCCGTACCCCGGTGGGGATGAAATACCAAGGTGCAGATAGCACGTACCACGCGTGAAAATGTGCTGTATCCTGCTCAATCACCAGTAATGCAGCTCTGATCTAGGGTACCTAGTTATGAGAACGATATTTTGTGCAGAAATCCCAGGAGCAGTCGCATATGAGTCTGACAATGTTGTTGACGAGTCCTTGTAAGACTCGATTCACGTCTGCTTCTGGCGCGCAAAACCCGTAAAAGTTCGTGTCAATGTGGTAATTTCAGATAATTGATCAAGTAAGTCAAAGATAACACGCGATTAAGCAGAAAAAGTTGTGCTTTGATATGCCTTTCGCTGTCTTCAAGACGCAGAACTGCTGGGGTGGTGCAGAGAAGGTTGGTAAACTTGACAGGGCAAAGGCGATGTTTGGCCCTACGCTTAGCGTGGAAACAAACTAAGCTGGGAAAGCCGCCCCACAGCAGAGGTAGCTCAGATCTACCGCGTGGATGAGGTTGTTGCTCTTAAGCCTGGACAAGGTACGGTATATTCAATAGGTGATTCAAGTATGATCATCTATCATCGAAGAATGGTATTGAATGGGACGGAGAAGAAGTGGTTTTTTCATGCACAAGGAGAAGAGTTCGAGTGAAGGAGATATACGGGAAGGGGGTTGTAACTGTAATAAATGAAGCAGTTTTATAGGCGTAACGTAACAGCCGTACAGGATATTGGATGTATCGAAATCTCCGATACCTTGAGCGACTCCTTTAAAAGAAGGCAAATGATGAAGAAAAAAGCTAGAATTACAGATTCATCCGACCGATTGTTTGTAATAATGATATTCAACTAAAACCTAATGACAAAAGAATTGGGTTGGCCGGGAGGAATCAAATTGGACAGCAAGGTGCTCAATGATGTATGCTGTACCTCTGTATTTCCATGACAACTTGAAATCTAGGTAGGTATGGATGGAAGCAGGCTTTGGTACAGAGACAGTACTGATATCGTCACTAGTCGGTGAATTATTTACAGTGGTTGCGGCTCAGATAAGATTGATGCCTGAAGGATTCCCCAGGCAAAAAACAGGAAGTGCAGACAGTTCCAACTTCCAAGACGCCATCGCGGACACCAAACGTGATGGCGATGCAGCGCGCTGCACGACTCCCCAAACATTGCGCCGTTGCCCAGCAACGAGTTGATCTCCTGAACCCCTTTCGGACGTGACGCGCAGTCCCGTGACATGGCTTTGCTGTGCCACAGATGCTTCATACAGTGGCAGTGCATATAGTCAGGTGACTCTGACAAGCCACACTTGCAATGGAGAAAGTCAAAGACATTTTCGGCTTGATTCAGTAGACAGAGAAGAACGTCGACAAGCGGTCCATTATCGCTCAACAACAATCCAATTCCACGCGAAAGGGCCGTCGTGGGTTGAGACGGTAATAATTTCTTTAGATTCAGCATCGTCCCCCAAGATCAGCTGAGCATGTTTGTCCAATAAACGGCCACCTGACTTTGAACATCCGCTGTCCGATCTTCGCATCTCCGGTAGTGCCTTGAACAATTCCGATCCATTGAGGTCGAGGTAATCACTATGCTGCAGCCTCGATTTGCCCTGACGGGCCTCCGTCTACCCTTTAGATGCCTCTCCTCCGTGTCAGCGCGAGCGTACTCTACAGCTATCCACGAACGCGAGAAGCCTTCGACCGAAGAATCCTCCAGTTCAACCTTCGACCCCAGTATTGCTTTTGCTCCTCCGCCTACCCGTGATGATGCCGGTGTGAATCTTCGAACATATACGCCGCGGACTCCCGGTATCAGACATCTGCGACGACCGGTCAATGACCATCTGTGGAAAGGACGCCCGGTGCAGAAGTTGACGTTTCCGAAACGGGGTCAGGGCAAGGGAGGTCGTAATAACACTGGTCGGGTCACTGTTCGGCATCGTGGTGGTGGTCACAAGCGCCGTATTCGGATTGTCGACTTTGCACGAGATGCTCCTGGGCCGCATCTGGTAGAACGTATCGAGCACGACCCGGGACGAAGTGCTCATATTGCTCTGGTTCGCAGCCAAGAGACTCAGCGCTTGACCTACATTCTGGCTGCAGAAGGTATGAGGGCTGGAGATGTTGTTCAAAGTTACATGCCTGGTATCCCGGATGATCTTTGGAAGAGTATGGGAGGAACTGTTGATCCTGGTGTGCTCGCCGCTCGGACTGCCTGGAGAGGAAATTGCCTGCCCCTGCACATGATTCCCATTGGTACTCTGATCTTTAATGTGGGATTGCGGCCCGGCAAAGGAGGTCAGCTGTGTCGTAGTGCGGGTACCTTCGCAACCGTCATTTCAAAGGGCAGTGATTCTCAACATCGGGCCAATGAAGTCGAAACTCAAGAGGACGGGACAGAAGTGAAGAAGACTTTGACACAGCGGGAAAAGCAGAAGCAGGAACGCATTGCTCAGCATGTTACCATTCGTCTACAGAGTGGTGAAGTTCGCCTGATTCACAAGGATTGCTGTGCCACCGTTGGTGTTGCCAGCAACCCTAACCACCAATATCGCCAGCTCGGAAAGGCTGGTCGGTCACGCTGGCTGAACATTCGTCCTACCGTTCGTGGTCTCGCCATGAACGCTGCTGATCATCCTCACGGTGGTGGCCGTGGTAAGTCGAAGGGTAATGTCGATCCAAAGAGTCCTTGGGGTCTGCCGGTATGTTGTCCCGAAATCTCGATATTGGTTGCTTGTGCTCGGATCCTGTTGACTGACTTGCTTTCCAGGCCAAATCCGGCTACAAGACTCGTCCCAAGTGGAAGATCAACAAGGCTGTTGTGGTCCCAAGAGTTCGCAACCAAGGCAAGCGTCGCAGAGGCTACAACTAAGCTTCTCTGTTGCCACATCTCTTATTGTTTGTTTACGCCTCTACCATCGTGTGTGATTGTCGACCATACCACTCAGGAACAAATCCGCAGAAGTAGGGTCTCATGTACCCAGAGTTCCGGCATATCCTTGTCTTCCGTATCCCATTGTGTTCCTCTGAATATCCTCATGTCTTCAACTGCGGAGGAAGGAGGTCGTCCGCTCATATTGTATTATAAATTCGACTGAACATTGGGCGTTAGGCATGTCTCCGATATCATCGAAAATTCTTGTACTTTTTTCTTATCGTTGCCTTGGACTATAGATTGCATTTCTATCCTCCCGCTTTGCTTGAAATTCATGCATGATTATGATACACTTTATCGAAGAAGTGAAGAGCCCTTCGGATGATCGATTCTAGATAACAGATAAGGTATCCTTCAACGAGTTCTGAATTCCTCACACAGTTGCCCCTCTAAGATTACAAACCATAGTGAAGCTCGTAAAAATTCGTAATCAAAGCAGCCCAAAGATTATATCAGGTGGCTTGAGCATCCATATTTCCCAAGGCTGCAAAGTGATCACCAAGTCCCATTCGGGGAACAATCGTGGCGCTGTCAATTCTCTCACAAACCTAAAAGGATCCATAATTATGAATCTTTCTTCTCCCCATCAACAAACTTGAGCGTGACAGTATCCACGACGTGTCCTATCCTATTGGACATATCCTATAGCTTCCAATGCTGTTTTGGTATGCCTTTTCGTGCTTCGTCATTGAGGTCTTGAAACCTCCGTTTTTGCGTTAGCCTCCAGTGGCATAGTCCCGCACGTCATCTGTGTACCTCGTCAGCTCTCTCTCTCTCTCTTTCTCTCTGTACGATCCTCATCCAACCATCCGGCCATGGCCGATTTCTTCGGCGACAAATTCCAGAGCGCTGGCGCCCAGTCCTCTTTGTCTGAGACCCGACCGACGTCAACTCACCGTGAGACCTCTTCAGCGACTATGAGCCAAGCCGATTCGGACAACGTTCACCTACCCCGTACGAAGCGCATCGCATGTGTTGTTTGCCGGAGACGAAAGCTGAGATGTGATGGAAAGAGGCCCAGCTGTGGAACATGCTCCAGGTTGGCGCATGAATGCGCGTACGATGAAGTGCGCAAGAAGAGCGGTCCCAAGCGGGGTTATGTGAAGCAGCTGGAGGCGCGACTAGGTATGATTATATCGTTCTTAGGCTCTGTGTGGCCTTCCAGATCTCGCATCTAGTGCTAACAGTGATTTGATGAAAGCCCAGGTCGAAAATCTTCTTAGAACCCAAGAACCGAACACAACTCAACCTCCGGAGACACACACAGATGTGCCGTCCTCGATTGATAATGAGATGACTATTATCCCGGATATCCCTTCGCTCGCAAACGAGATGAGCAACTCGCTATCGCCTCCGCAGCCAATAATCGATCATCAAGCATCATCCCAATTATATCTGCCCTCAGACCTAAACACGGCGAGTAGCTTCGGTTGGGACATGTTGAGTCTGGGACTGGAGGAACCTTTGCCAACCCAGGATGTCATTGATGAATTGTATGTCCATGGATTTTCTAACATCCTCAGAATGGCAACTTATACACTTACAGGAATCAAATCTATTTCGAGAAAGTACACCCTTCTTTATCTCTCCTACACCGACCCAGGCATCTAGCGGCCATGAACTTAGCTTACAACATACGACCTCCCGTCTGCCTGCAATATATCACCTGGTGTCATGCCGCATCTGTCAGCGACAAGTACTCGAATCTGCATGGACTCTTTTACCAACGCGCTCGCAAATACACTGAATTGGATGAAATGAAGGGTCTCGGGGAGAGTATTGTTTCATTAGCACACTGCCAGACTTGGATCTTGATCAGCGCATACGAGTTTAAGATGATGTATTTTCCTCGAGCATGGCTCAGCAGTGGGAAGGCTACGAGGTTGGCTCTAATGATGGGGCTCAATCGGTTAGACGGGCTGGGCCCTGAAGTGAAGCAATCGTTACCACCAGCTAGGGATTGGACTGAGAAGGAAGAGCGAAGGAGAACGTTCTGGATGGCATTTTGTGTTGACCGCTATGCAAGCGCTGGGACAGGGTGGCCTGTCGTGATCGACGAGAGAGATGTCAGTCTTCTGCATTCTACAATCGAGGGCCCTCCATGCTCTGATGGACACTCACTGACTGTTGGTACCAGATATTGACAAACCTCCCTGCGAGCGAAACATCATTCGTGAAGAGCAAGCCAGAGCGCACGCTGCGACTGAGCAGCGTAATACTAGGGGAAGGGATCCCCACCTTGTCGCCCCTTGCAAGCGTTGCACTGCTAGCATGCATGTTTGGCCGAAATCTGACCCACCTCCATCGTCCCGATCCCCAAGACAACGACCATGACCTGAATGGCGAGTTCTGGAAACGGCATAGAGGTCTCGATAATATCTTACTCCATTTCGCTTTGACTATGCCTAGTCATTTGCGACTACCGGCTGGAATTTCCGATCCGAACGTAATATTCACTAATATGGCCATTCATACGTCCACGATTTGCCTGCATCAAGCCGCCATATTCAAGGCGGAAAAGAACAAGATGCCCAGTCAAATCATCACTGAGAGCAAGCGGCGGTGTATTGTTGCTGCGGACCAAATTTCAAGCATCATGAAAATGATCAGCCACACTGATCTGACTCTTGTTCGTCCTCTGTTCGGTCCCCACAAGGCAATGGCAAAACTGACACTTTGCAGATGAATCCATTCATGTCTTTCTGTGTGTACGTTGCCGCGCGCGTCTTCGTGCAATATTTGCAGTCGCGTCCCGATGACTCGGCAGCTCGTTCATCCCTGCAATTCTTCTTCTCGGCCTTGGACGCTTTAAAGAACAAAAACCCCATGACAGAGTCTTTCCTTGTGCAGCTTGACGTTGATATTGAAGGGTCAGCCTTTCGCGATATCCGGCACCCTAAGTTCAATAGCGCAGTAAGAAACACACCCCAGAACAGGGTCATCCTGGAGTAGCTAACCATATATAGGCACAGAGTTTTACTAATGCCACTGCCAAATGCGTGGCTATTTTGCCTATAGCGGGATGTCAATTTGGAGACCATGGCGACACCGGAGGCAACCAACCAGGTCTCCAAACACCTACTTCTCTTCCCAGCCGCCAAAGACAGGCGCCCTTGCAGAATCAGAATACGGAGTCGCAGTCGGTCGGAGTCACGCAAGTTTACACTGAAACAGCCTATACTCTCAGTTCCGGACCGGAAACAGTCGGGTCCGGGAGTGGTACCGATATAGAGATCTCACCGAGATTCGACGACCATGGCAATCTCATATCCGATGGCTCAACGTCGTCCGGTCCGAAATCATCCTCAAACACATCTTACTTGGAAGCAAGCTGCACGTCCTCGCCAAAGGGACAGCAACAATCGCCCGTGGACTTTCCGAATCAAGCCTCGCGCAACCCGCTGGACGCTAGAAAGTCCGGGCAGGTCCTGTCAGGCCTCGCAAATGCCGCGCAATTTGCAAATTTGCCCTATGGAGATAATATTTTCTCGACCGACACTATCCCGTCAATAGATGCCTCAATGCCGGAGGCGCCTTTCCCCATCCCTCCATCATGGGATTTCGGTGCTACACAAACTTCCAGCGCTGATGCCATCAATATTACGCCCGAGACTATGCGGTCTCTGAGTGAGGGGCAGTGGGCACAATTGCTCAGTTCGAACAACTGGGATGCGTGGCGAAATCAGAGCTAGGCGCAGAATTCAGCCACTGAGGTGCCATCACTAATTGTTTGTTTCTGCAATGCCAAGGGTTGATTGAGCTTGCAACGTACGGTACCTCAGGCTCTGCAGGTGTCTCGAAACGGCCAGATTATGATTTATTTTCTTCAATACAGGAGTAGGAGTCCTGGGGGTTCGGCTTCTCCAATTAGGCTCTTTTCTCTTATGTTATACCATTGGGAATATCGGGCCCTTGTACGATGTCCGCGTCAACACGTACATATTTGGAGTTCTGGATATCTTTTAGGATATAATGCAAATCTCCACATCAGCAATAAAATCACACCTTCTCAAGATTTCTGGTATACTATGATGACATCCGCGCTTCATATTCGAACATTTTTGCAGTCCGAACAAGCAGAGCACAAATGTTGCTCCCCTTGCATGTGTATTCTGTGCATTACAAACTTCCACCAGCAGCTCCAACAATCTTAAGTCCACCCGCCCCCGCACTCCCCGGCCCATCAGCAGTGGTAGAATACGCCAGCCAGTAACGGGACGGATGCCATGCCACAGCCGGTATCCCCGAGTTACTGCTGCCACCCGTAGGAACCGTATACACGCTCTCGCCCGTTTCCGCGTGGAAGATCTCCAGACCGTTCCCGCCACAGCCGACCTCGTCGCAAGCGCCGCATATGAAACGGCCGTCAAAGCTCCAGCTGACGCCGCGGACCGCGCCGCCGTTGTTACTCGACACCGTGCGCCGGCAGATCCAGTCCGTCGTGTCCCAGAGAGAGATGAGGGCGTCGCTGCCGCCGACGGCGAGATAGCGGCCTGTAGGTGCGAGAGCTACGGAGAGACATGCAGAAGTGTGTGCGTGGAGAGTATGGAGGACGTCGAGGGAGGGGTAGGACATAATCTTGACGGTGCCTTCGCCGGTTGTCGCGAAGAGGTGGAGGTCGGGAGAGGCGGGGGTGGGAACATGGTAGGAGAAGGTTGTTGCGTTTGTCTGAACAGGTTGTGGATGCGCTTCTAGAGCAGTGTATGTTGTTGGGCCATCTTTTTGATTCGGAGATAATGTTGATGCGATGTTGGCGACCCCGTCTGTGAGAATGTTTGGGGAGGACGGCGATTCTATCGAGACGGGGACAAGGGTATCATCCTGTATAGCAGATAGTCAGCCGTGTTTCAACTTATCCCTTCTGCCAGAAGTCCAATGAAGTCCCGAAATCATCCAAGTACACGCATGGGGTATCACAACGCACCTTCCTGCCCACAATCACAACCTTCCCATCCGCCGACCAGGACAAGGTGAATGCTTCTCCACCAACATCGAGGCGGCTGACACACGTCTTCGATCGTACATCCCAGAAGCGAACAGTCCCATCAGTAGAACAGCTGGCCAACTCCGAGTCCCGCACAGGATTGAACAGCACTTTCTCGATCCCCGCAGAATGGCCGCGCAGGTCAGTCGAGTATTTGACAGCCGGACGCTCGGGGTTCCATATCCGAAGAGTCCGATCAGCGGAGCCCGTTGCAATGAGCTGGCCTGTAGGATTCCATGCTATCGTGCGAATACTATAGCAGCGCACGACGCCGTGGATCAGTGGGGATGCTCCGGGTTTGAGAAGGCCGAGGGGATGAAGACGCACGTATGAGACCCAGGGCCCCGCGAGATAGGATCATGATAGCTTTGGGTCTTGAGGTTGCCAAATGCGAACCCGAAACGCTCCTTCGGGAGGAGGTTTCGTCGAGGGGGTGCCATCGCTGGCTATTGTTGCTGCTTGAGAATTTGAGAGCGGAGATGGCGCGCCTGCGGAGAAGAGCAGCAGGAACCATAGGCATGCCCCGAAGGGCTGTCGTTGGCGGTGTCGAGAAGAGCGTTTCGCAAGGGCAAATAGAATCTTCACCAAGAGGATGCGACTGTAAATTCTGTAGTGTCAATTGTAAAGAAGGAGATTGGTGAGGTGGAGGATGAGCAGAAGGGTAGGTAGACTTGTGATCAATGCTGGTAAAGATATCCTGTTGATGCCTCAGGCACGCACACTGAGCAGGTGCTGCTCCTTTACAATTGTCCAACACCAGTTCAGACCAAATACTTTGAAGGCATGAGTCGATAGTTGATAATTGAGCTTCATCTACTCATCATTCGTGACTGTTCTAAGATTACCTGTGATGATAATACAGTTCTCTTGTCAATCTAGATATACTTCAACTGTGGCAGATATGGATAGAAATCATTTGGATTAGGATGAAAACAATGAAAGGACTAGCCCGATGAAACCTCGAGGAGTACAGATGTATCCTTTGTCTTTGTTTCTCTTTACATGTGGATGACCTTAGCAACTAACACAACTTTCACCATCTAGTTTGGCCCTCCTGGCGGTGGCGAAGGGGACAACAATAACAACGATGACGACGAGGACCCTGATAACAAGGGCGCTCAATACACGATTGTGTTTGACTCTATGGCCGACGACCCCTTCCCAACAGCCTTTGTCGGTGCGGCGGACCTCTCTTCCCTCAATGCTGAGGTCATGTTGAGTACTTCAACTTGCCTTTCTTCATGAAGGCTGGCTGCGTGGAGCGCGCGATCGTTTCGGCTGGCGGACCGAAGATTTCGTGCCAAGGGGGAGAGATTGGCCCGATGAAGCGAGATGTCGACGTTGACGTTGACTTTGACATCAAGGCCGAGGAGGGGGAGGATGACGAGGACGATTGGACCAGACTAGATGCGCGAGGCACCGGGAAGACGCTGGACACGCCGGCCTTCCCATCGTGGACAGACAAGCAGCGGCAAGAGTTCCAGGGTTTCTATGAGGCTATCAACATGCAGCCCGAGACGGCGGATAAGACCTATGTGCCGGTGACCTGGGGGGCGACAAGTACAAGTCCGATGATAACTTCTGCGTAGGTAGTGATTAGGGGTCCTTGTAAATGGTTCTAGATATGTCCTAGTGTACCATAGCTCGTAGCCTTCATGACAAATATATCATTCTTAGTTCTCTGGAGCCGGAGAATATTCTCCTGGATTCCTCTGGCCATGTCAGTCTATGCAAGCCTGGTCTTTTTGGATTGGAATTGGGGGATGGAGATCACATTTTGCCCGGCACGTCCAAGTATGCAGCCCCCGAGACTCTTCTTGACGACCGAGAGGCTTCCCGGGCAATGGATTGTTGGGCTTTGGGGATTATTCTCTATGAGATGTTGACCGGCAAACCCCCCTTTTACCACAAGGACGACGGCGAGCGCCGGCACAAGATCATTAACCAAGGCCTACAGCTACCTGAGAGCCTGCCATTGGCCGCGAGGGACATGTTAACTAAGCTCTTTGATAAAACCCCTATAGAACGCTTAGGTGCAAACGGAGCTGCCGAAGTGAAAGCCCACCCATTCTTCCACGGAAGGGTTGTACCGATAGCGATGGAGATGGGTCATTCTGAGATTGTCCATTTGCTCGTCGGTGCCGGCGCAGATATCAATCTTACACACCCGGTCTGGCCTGGAGGCAGCGGTAGCAGCAAGAAGAGGGCAAAAACCTAGCAAAAATCCAAATGGATGTAGTCAGATGTCATAAAACTGGAATACCTTTATACCCCACAACCTGTACTCATTAGGATAATATGAGTAAAAAGCAGCGGCACTTCGGACCGAATCTGGAAACGGAAAGTCTTACAGTATCCGCAGAAAAACAGTTCAGTAGTAGTAGTAGTATATTTGCGCAGAAATCGTCGCTCAATCTCAATGTCTGACGGTTAACCAGGTAGTTTCCTGGAAACGCATTTCTGATACTTGAAATTAAAAGAAACATCAGTCGAGTATCTACAGCTTGAGACTCAGAAACAAGCCCTGTAGGGCTGAGAAGCAGTTTCCGCTCCGCAAGTTTTGATGAAACACATTTTTCTCACCCACGGCATCATGATCACAACCGTCATAGACAGCTAGGAGCACCCCTCTCATCCGAACTTGTTCCGTAGTACGCCCTGGTGATATCTTTCCAAATCTGCACTTCAGAGCAGAGCCTAACACCATTATGCTGGACTTTGAAGACGACGCGTCCGGGCGCGAAAAGTGCTACACCACCATTGTGTCGCTTCCTGCCTTCATCGACCCCAAACAGCCTCCGACTAAGAAGTCGCCCTTCTCGGCCATTGTGAACCATGCATTTGTGCATACGGTAATTAGAAAGACTCGTATATCATCCTGAAGAAACCGGTATGCTAACTCTCTGAACAGACAGAAGTCCTGTTGCCGAAGGAGATCTATTCAAGTATCAAGGACTCGCTGGATACGGAACTCCAGAGACTTCGATATGCCAGAGTATTCATGTCTCCCTCTGCACTGCTGGAGGGAGAATTTTTTAATACGTACATCAAGTCAGGTATTACTGCTCCCTCCGTCATCACCCTCCGTGGCATTAATTGAGGTTCCTTCGTGCTAACCTATCTTTCAAGGCAATGTTCTGATGATATCAGAAGGACGATCAGGCTCTGACAACGTTTTCACACTCAGAGATGGTAACCCCCCTCCCACTATTTACCAGCAACTGAAGCTAGGTTGACGGCTATCCAGGCATCCTACGCCTAGAGCTAGGAAAGGAGATCTATGAACGAACAGGACTGACAGGGAAGCCCATCCGCAGCGGAGGGAGGAAACATGCCAAAGAAAGATATCGTGCGTGATATCCACGACCGAAATCCCTGCCTGGGCTAATCACTTGTTCCGATAGTTATTGAACTCAATCTGCGTTTACCCTCCATGCTCCATGGCAAGAAAGGATTCGACAGGATCGTCTGGGCATTCAAGAACGTCCTCGATCAATCTGTAGCTTGGCTTTTCTATGATCTGACGTCAGGAGTCCAGGGGATTTCGAATGGTATGGATGCTCCTATGATATATGAAAGCAAGATGAGAGTGTACTAATCAAACACAGGCGATCTCTTGCTCAAGGGCAATCACCCACATATCATTGACTGCGAAGTGATGCGTACCGAGCACCGCAACGTTCTCACTCCCTCCTTCAATGAAAAAGACTTCACAGAAGCCCCTTCAGAGGATCTCCTGAAAGACAAGTGCGAGGATCTCTCCGAATGGCTGGCGATGGTTGCCCTCGACTCGCCACGAGTTTCCAAAGACGACGACATCGACCCGTATCTAAGTCGCTACAGTGTCCCGGACAACGAGGACCGCAATTCTACAGATCTAGTCTCCATGCAATGGAAGGCTTTCATCCCTCCAAGCTGGATTCTAGCTCTGTTCACCACCTTGCTGTAAGCTGTCAAATTTGCCTTTGGAGTTTGATTGTCAAATGAATTTGCTGACTCCCTCTAGACGAGAGACCGCCTCAAAGACTTCCCCAGCGTCGACATGGTTTGCACTTTCATCAGGCGCTCTTGGAAGGGAAGCAATAGAAGCGAAAGATGGATATACTATTTTGTTGTTGCCATCGGCAGTAGATGCTGAAAGCGCCTCGGGTGGTCCGGATAGAGGTGCAGATACTCGAACCCGGGGCAGTCGATCGTGTATCTGCTGGGAATATGTAGGAGCCTCGGTTTTATAATTCGACAAGAATTCTTTATGGTAGAGGGTTCTTTATCACACCCAAGATTACTCTGATATCCCTGTCTTTTGTGCATTGCTTCCTCTTCCTCAAGAGCTTCTCTTATCTCGTCTACGTACATATTTGCAGGCGCAATCGGGATCATACTCAACTAGATTAGACAATGGAAAATCGTCGAATGTTGCTTCTTTATCAAGCTATTTCATCGTGAGAGTCATCATACCCTGTAGTATCCAAGAACCCCCTTGAAGTATTATTCAGTGCCAATTCTCTCTCACCACCATTCCAACGCCCTGAGAAAGATACAACCAGGCTGATAAATAGGAATTTTAAGAACAATAAAGGAAGAGAAGATTGCGGGGCTACATAATAATGTCAACTCAGACGAGACATTAACCAAAGAGGTCATTCATTACATCCTGCAAAACAGGCCGGTTTCCAAGAATTTTGGTTCCACTGAGAAGCTTGGCTCCTCGCTTTGCGGGCTTCTTCAAACCCTGGGGGTTTTGCCGGGCCTGTGTCGGACTGAGAGGATTCCGAGAGGCCTTTCGCTCGGAAACTGTCTTGGGATTTTCGGCGGGAATGGACGAGATAGACTGTTCTGCATCTTGAAGCTGAGACAGCCCTGCATCGCAGTCGAAAGTATGGTTTTCCAAGGCATCTTTAGGTAGGTCATAGACCCATCTCTGCTTTTCCATCAGGTTTATGTATTTCCCAAGAAGCTCATTGCCATTGCGAAGAGTACTCTTGCTTCCAATAACGAGCAGTTTCGTACGCGCTCGAGTAAAGGCAACGTTGATACGTCTCCAGTCCCGAAGAAGATCACCAACGTTGTTATCAGCATTGCTTCGGACACAGCTCAGTATCACAATCTCCTTATCTCGACCTTGGAACTTGTCCGCGGTATGCATCTCGAGCTCGGGTAGATAACGGCGAAGAGTCTGCTTTAATAGCGAGAGCTGACTGCGGTAGAATGTGATCACCCCGATTTTACGTGCAGGAATGCCACACGAAATGAGAGCCTCGACAAGGTGGGAGCAAAGAGTTGACTCCGCTGAATTGACAATTCTGGCGCCGTTGGCCATATCTCGAGCAGGAATTTCGAGGGTGTCAGTGTTGATAAACCGATTCTTTGCGGATGGGTCAAGTAGGTCGCGAAGCCAGCAGCGGCCTTGGCTTGTGCCTAAGCAGAACTGCCGTTGGTGCGGAGATTGAGGTAGTTGGTTGATATGGTATAGTTTGAGACCCGCCATGTTGGGAATCTTCAATGAGCGCGATGCAACCTCATGAGTTCCGCATTTCAAACGTCCAGAGTATATAAGAGTATTCGAAAGGAGCATGATATCTTCACTCATACGGTATTGATGCTCAAGATTGACGACTGATTCGGGATGAGCGTCAGAAAGAAGTTTGAAGAGACTGACATCCAGGCCACCATCTTGTGCCTCTTTGTTCTGCACCAATGGCGGCAGTTGATAGTGATCGCCAACGAGGATGAATGTTCTCGCCATCCGAATTGGCCCCAGGCATACCGGCAGTGTGATCTGGGACGCCTCATCGACAATACAATAGTCAAATATGCGTCTATTGAAGATGTTATGGTTGACTCCAAGACAAGTCGTTGCAACAACTTGCGATTCTTCATATGATGCTTTCAGCTCTTCAATGGTGGTTTTAGGTATAGCTGCAAGATCAACAAATTGTTGAACCTCGGGATGCACCTTAGCAGTTGCCCCAACTCGTAGAATGCGAATGTTATCATTTCGAATTTTGAGTAGAATATTGTCAACGGCAGTATGGGTGTACGAGGTTAGCAGAACACTCTTTCCTTGCGCGACCAGAGCTCGAATGATATGAGCAATGGTTGTAGTTTTCCCAGTCCCGGGCATTCCAAGCACCAGCGCATAATCCCGAGCACTCATGACTTTTTCGATGGCTCTTTTTTGATCAACGTTTAGGCTTTCCTTATCAGAGTCAGACATGAGAGAGTCAGATGCCTTGGAGTTGAATACAGGCGCCTCCCCCTCGACAATTAGTCTTCTCAGCCGACTTGCTTGAAACACGTCCTTTTCCATCATGGAAATAAGGTTGTTACGGACGATCGCCATGCCATTGCTGAATTCGTCCTTGTCTAGTCGATATAGAATTTCCTCCTCCTGTTCATCTGCCGAACTTCGTGGAGGAGCGCCACCTTCCACTATTTCCATGATGCCTCTGAATGACTGGTTCTTTGCTGCATCAAAATCCTTCATCTTAGTCCTGGCATTGTGTAATCGTCGATCCACTGCAACCATAATATGCTTCGGGCTGACTTGCACAACATATCCATTGGCAAGTGCAAAGTGACCCTTTTCATCAGATATAACAATCGGTTCTCCAACCGTCAATTGAGATTCGGTAAAGGAGAATGAAGGTGACGACTGCTTTTTCATAAATGTGTATCGGTATCGGTTGATCTTGATGCTGTCTTTGTCCTCGTGGGCAGAACCTGGTTGGATCACCACGTTGCCAAAACAACGGCCGAGAGCCTCACGCTCACTACTGAGTAGTGTCCAGAGTTCTCGCCGGAATCGCATCATACTCTGCTCTTCTTTTGTGAGTAGATCGTCCCATTTCCTGAAGAAACTTTGATGTTGAGGATGCAAATGGTCCATTGCCTTCACAAACTCGTCGCCGAGTCCGCTAGTTTCGCCATCTCCATCATCCACAAGCTTGTGGTAGATAAAACAAGGTGTCTTCGAGTAGCATCTGCTGCACATTCCGGGTTTCTTCACCATAGGTGGAAGCAGATGTCTTTCACGAACATATCCAGCTAAACGGTTGCGCTCCTGGATCATCTGAAGGAGCTCATGCCTAACGCCTCGAATGCGGAATATCTTCGAGATCTCAAGGTAGTAAAGCAGACCAAAGGTCACTTCGACATCTGGAGAGTGCAAATCCAATTAGGCGGTGTTCGAAGGGAGGGGATTGCCCTGGGACTTGAGCTTACCATAGCGATCAGAAAGTAATAGGGTATAAAGAGCAGTCTGAGCTCTGTGAGCTTGATTTGTGTCTCTGTTCCCTGTCTTCAGCTCCAGGGGAATAACCAAATTTCTGCTACCTTCTCCGTCGTGGCAGGCGACTTGGACTGTAGCATCGATGTTGCCTTTAAGGCCGTACATAGGGGACCATATGTGCTCCTCGACTTCGAGTAGCTTGTTGATACTCAAACGGACCTTCGAGCTATGTCGATCTTCAACAAGAGATTGTGCCTAGAGAACATCTAATCAGCGTCGGTCTACACCGATAATATAGTAGGCATCACTTACGCTTGGAGTTTTTCGGAGAAAGATTTCCGCCCAAGCTCTCAAGGCTGGGATTCTGCTCATCATATACTCCACGGCTGCCGGAACGCTCATGTCAATCAAATACAGATCTTCGACATGCTTGATCAAGATGGCTTCCACTAAGGCTTTCAGGGATGGGAGGTCCCATTTGTTGAGTTTCATGGCTTCTTGGAAAAGCTCATGAAAGATGTTTCCAAACACTTGAGGCTTGCTAATGTCGCTTGAGTTCTTAATGCGGTCCTGAAGAACTGCCCTTCGTTGGCAGCTGATGGAGTCTGCGACAACAGTTGCGGAGACCAAGTGATCTGGATGGAGAACGATCATATTGTGAGAGTCATCCACGACACACTGCCCTGTAGGATCAAAATCTCCGATCAGGTGAATATACGCATCCTTGCTGCAGGGACTGTCAAACCAGGACTCCCGCAAGAGAATAACTTTCTTCTGTTTGGCTTTCTCATCCTGGACTAGAAGTACCTGCTCACTTGTCAGTTTATTACAATGCTTTTAGAAACGGCCTGCGATGACACACCTTTTCTGGCTGGATTCGGCCTTTCTGAGTTGAGTATGTAGTCTCCGCAACATCAACAATCAGATACCGTTTGATCGCTTGCCGGTTTCTAAGGTTCTAAATCTGATGTATTTAGCAAGAGCCTATGAATGGTACGCGCTAAGAGTGACAAACGTTGGCTGACTCATTTTTACCTGGTTGCATAGACTGTTCAATAGCTTCCACATCAAAATCATCGTCGTCAAATTCATCACCTGAAGATATCTCCAGTTGACCGTTCGTAGCTTGATAGGATTCTGTCAAATTAGACTGTCTCATGCTTGCTTTCTCGCCAGATTGTCTCCATGTTGACTGTTTGGTTGAAGCGAGATGCTCGAGATTGGACAAACTGGAGTTCTCATCACATTCAGCTAGGATATCTTCTATATCGTCAAAATCGTCATCAAAGTCGTCATGATCCGTAGTTTTGCGGAAATTGGTCGTGCAGGCACTTGAACCTGGAGCTTGCGCAGTTTGGTGTGGTTCTTCCTTCGTCTGAGAGAGATTCTGTGGCTCCTCCAGAATGGGTTCGGTACGTAAATTGCGTTTCGGGGAGTTTGTAGAGCCCCCAGGTCGAGATGAATCGATGAAGGGATCTGCAGAGGCTTCAGCCAGTTCAAGGAAGTCTTGATCCAAGTCATCGTCCCCAAAGTCAGACGAAGAGACCTCGTTCCTTTCCATCTTATTCGACCCTTCCTTTGGTATGGTAGGGCAAATTTCATCATCGTGCTCGTCACATTGCTCTTCTGGGCCACAGGTAGCAGCCTTTCTTGGGAATGGGGAGTTTGTCTGGCTCCATCGTACATGTTTTCGCTTGGGCACTGGAGAAAGATCGGATGTGTCAACCGGGATAACGGAGGGCTTCTGCAAGCTGTTTTCAATTTTCTGCAAGAGAAAGTTGAGCCTAGAAGTTTTCGAGTCTCCTGAATCTAGAATATTGCTTTTTGATCGAGTAAAAAGATTGCGTCCGCTCCCAAATTCTTGTCCGTTTACTTTTCTCCGCTTCGCTTTGGATGTCGGCCATTCTGCATTGCAACTGATTGAGCGCCTCAAGCCGGAAGAATCTCTACTGATGCCAGCAGACACGGGTGTTTGTGGTGAAGATGATAGTAAATTGGCGAAACGAGGAGGAGGGAGGCTTTCTTCGCCATTTAGACTAGCCTTGCCCACATAATTGTTCCACAGATCGGTAGCCAGATCGTTTTGTGGGGTTTTCAGAAGCGCTTGGAATGATTGCATGTCGAATGATCGTTTCCGTTCCCTTTTGAGGCCTTTCCCTAACGGGGAGCTAGTCGGTGATGAGCTGTGACGGCGTTTTCTTCCCCTATTTGCGGATGCTTGAGACAGGGTGTTCGGATTTGAGCTAGCGGGCACATGCTGCCAGATGACATGATCTTCGGGGGTAAACTCCTGCACGGGAGCCCGATTGAATGCATCTTCTGCGTTGCTGATGAGATCCGCCAAGGGAATTCTGTTTCCTGGAGTTTGAGGACATTCCCTGACTGATTTGGACTGGCCTGCTTCGGTCAAAGGCTGTTCCTCGCTAGCTAATGGCTCAATTTCTTTCACCACACCATTCAGCCAGGAAGTTTGATTTTCTTTGTCTCCATGGCTGGCTTTTGACGGCGACGTTGCAGAGTACTTCTCTTCAACCTGCCCATCCCGAATGCTGTACCGAAAGGCATTCAACTTGGTACGAGAATTCGAGGAGATCGGGTATGTTTTCGAGGTACCGGCCATTTTCAATGTTGTATGGGGGCATCAGCTTGTTGAAGGAGGACAGGAGATCATGTCGACTGTGAGCTTCATCAAATTGTAAGCATACAATCCCGATATTACCTGGAAGATTGGCCTTACCATGAAGATACAGTTGTCTCTGAATCACATAGGGAATGTTTAAAGCAGAAGAGACTCGGATGTTTCTCTGGGACATGGCGGGGCCTTGTCTCTCTGTATAGCAATCTCATTTAGATGCGCGATGCGAAATGCGATAAGCTTACCCTTGCGACGCGTTGCGCGTCGAATGTTCTTGCCTCAGGTGTATAATTTACTGCCTGGAATATCAGGCATATAAGACGGCGTGTAGATTGCCTTAATGGGGATTAGTGCGGTAACTCCCAGCTTCCACTCCATCGGCCTTTTGCGGCTTCGTGAACATCAACCGCTCAACGCCAGTCGCCCCTCCCTCATACGCAGCACCAACAGTTGCGGACTTCAAAAAACGCTCAATTGAGCTCACTATTGTCATTACCGGTCGGGTGCTCACGTCTGACTCTCGAGTTTCCTTTCCTTGTCCACCTGACAAGGGTCTTCAATCCAACATCGCCTTCCTCTGATTACGCAGCACTTCGAAGCCAGAACTCCCAGGTTCATACATACACTCACAATGTCTGCTCGTCCCCTGTCGCAATGCCTCCGCGCCGGCAGTCTCCTCCGCAGATCTCAGAACACCAAGAGCTTCTCGACTCGAAGCACCCTCCGCGCCGCTGACCACGGTGACCACTATGACCCTCCGACTGGGTGGCTTTTCGGTGTTAAGCCAGGCCAGAAGTATGTGAAGGAGGGCTGGGAGAACATCTGGTACTACGGCTTTATTGGAAGCTTGCTCGCTGTTGGTGTCGCATATATCTTCAAGCCCGATACCTCGTATGTTTGACTCTCATTTGCAGCTGATGCGTGAAGGGCTGTCGCCTTCCACGGAAGGCTATGCCAAATCGTCTCGCCTCTTTGAATTCATTAGAACTAATGGTTGATTTCTAGGATACAAACATGGGCTTTGGAGGAAGCTCGTCGAAGGCTGGAGGCTGAGGGCATCCTCGAGGATCCCGACAAGGTTCAACGCAAGTGACTGCATTAGTCCCAGTTTTCCTTGAACACTGTACATAGAGTGATCGGATATGGGAAACACTTTCCACAAGGCCGGCCTGTGATAACCAATATGGCGTGCTGGTCCATCTTAGACGACTTGTTTCATCCACAATCCTTTATTTTTGTGTGTTTTCCTAGTTTCGTGCAAATGTACTTGTGATTGCTTTGCTTTGAACTTCTCTCGGTGTCATTTCAAAAAATTTCCTCCCGAAGGGAGATTGTATGGCTTACAATTTACGTCAAGGTAGCGGCCATGATTAGCAGGCCACTGAAATGACTGATATTTAATTAAAGTGTGTTTGAACTTCCCCGTCATGCTTTCATACTTCTGGATAAATGTCTGTCCTCCTCAACAAGGGCATTTCTCTCCTGACTTTCTCTAGAAGGTCCAGGTCGACCTCTGCTACCGCAATCTGCGGTTCATGGTACTCCTGTCCAAGCTTGGCAACAACCTCTCCCCAAGGGTTGACAATCATTGAGTGGCCATAGCTTCTTCGTTTATCATTGTGCGGACCAGCCTGTGCCGCAGCCACCACATATGACTGTGTCTCGATGGCTCTTGCCCGGATCAAGGTCTCCCAATGGGCTAGTCCTGTTGGTACTGTGAACGCAGATGGATATGTGATGATCTGAGCATTCTGACGCTTCAGAGCCAGGCTGATTTCGGGGAAACGTAGCTTTGAAAAAAGCGGGCTTGTGAGCAACTTGTTCATCTCGGTTAAGAGTTCAATTATAAGTCGATCAACTTACATCGAAACAAATCGCTAGACCGACACGTCCAAGAGGGGTTTCGAATGGCGGTAGAATATCCGTGCCCTTTTCGACGCTCCTTGATTCCGTACAGGTGAGCTAGGAGTACATGTCATTTTTAGACGTCAACTTACGCGCTTTCTTTGAGAATTGGGCCATCTTTGATCTCGACATCAAATAGATGGATCTTTTGATAGCGTTGGGTTATCACACCCTTGTTGTCAATCCATATCAGGGTGTTCTTGACTTTGCCATTGGACGCGGGTTCATGGATGCCAACATTGATGTGTATGTTCGCCTCTTGGGCTTCCTTTTGAAGACCTTGCACGAATATACTGTCTCGTACGGATCGCACAAGTGCTATGCTCTCGCCTGAAGAAGATGCAATGTAATCTGATGCCTCTGGAAGAAACAACGCCTACACCAGGTTTGAGAATAAGTCTTGAGAATGTTCAGTTCCCGGTTGGAAACATCATAGGTATATACTATACTTTAGCACCAGCTGCCACAGCTTTGCGCACCAGCTTCTGACACTGGGCCAAATTGGCTGTCATACTCGCAGTAGAGCATAATTGCCCAACAGCCTAACACGATCTTCATTAGTACATGGATATAGTGCCGATGCAATGCGAAGCGCTTACTGCAATCGCCATGTTTATTTACAGGCTAAGCTATGAGGCCTAAGATAAATTGTACGCTCAGAGGAGGGGTACAGAGGAGTCCTGACTGTTGTTGATATTCCGATATCGATAACGACTGACTGATATGGATGACTACATTAGTAAGTCGGCAGACTTTCCTGATGGCGACCCACTCCCGACTGAGATTCAATACTGAACCAGACCAAAAGCGCAAACGTCAGTCATTGCGCTGCGAGAAGAAATACACCATTTCAGAAAATAGTTGGTTTGCAAAGAGTCAGATAGCAATCCACATAATATGAAGAGCCTACGCAGGGACTTTTCGTCCGATCCGCAGGCTGCTAATGTCACGAGCAAAGTCTTTGTCAGATCCACGAAAAGTGGAAAGGTGCAAAAGATCGTTCGTGAGCTTTATCTGAGACAGGATATTCCTTGCTCATCAAAGTTATGTTCACTATGTCCGACGATTGCGCCAACGGATGCGAATGGGAACAGTGAGTTGTATCTAACGATCCTCGTTGGGTTCATAGCTAATGTGCTATCAAGTCGCGCCTTTCGTCCTTTCCGACCAGCCAGCTGGGACGAGCGCTTTCCCTCGCGGCCACTACCTTGTTCCTGATACGAATGCGTTGTTGAATGGCATGGACCTCTTTGAACATACCGGGGCATTTTACGATGTTATCGTCCTGCAAACAGTCCTCGAGGAACTGAGGAATCAATCACTACCGCTGTATAACCGTTTGCTCTCTTTGATCAAGACGGACGAGAAACGATTTTATCTTTTCTTCAACGAGTTCAGACTGGAAACACACATTCGGAGAGGTCAAAATGAGTCGATCAATGACAGAAATGATCGCGCAGTGCGAGCTGTGGCAAAATGGTATTCCGAACATCTTCATGCTACGCTAAGAAAGGGGAAGAAGGAAAAGTCGATACCAGCGATTGTGGTCATTACAGATGACAAGGAAAATTTGCGCAAAGCAAAGGAAGAGAACGTGACCGCCCTGTCATTGACTGATTATGTTTCTGGGTTGGAGGAATCCGACAGACTACTGGACATGATCAGTGAATCAAGGGAAGCAAGAGAAGCCAAGGGCGCTCGGGGCGAGCTTTTCTATCCCGAATATTACTCTATGTCGAAGCTTATGACGGGCTTGAGGGCCGGAACTCTGCATCAGGGTGTTTTCAATGTCTCGCCTTACAATTACCTGGAAGGTTCTGTGAACGTTGCCGCATTCGATAAGCCGCTCCTTATCCTCGGCCGTGATAATAGCAATCGGGCCATTGCCGGAGATGTTGTTGTCATTGAGATTCTGCCAAAGGACCAGTGGAAATCGCCATCGACAAAGCTTGTCGACGAAGAAACGATTACGCGGAACGACAATCCTGATGCGGAGGAGAATGAAGCTGTGGTGACAGAACGGGAACGGAAAGCTCTGCAGGAAGAGGTGAAAAAGGCCCATGGAAAAAGCTCTGAGGGCCGGCCACAACCCACGGCGAAGGTTGTCGGTGTCATCAAGCGCAACTGGCGACAATATGTTGGACACGTTGATTCAGGCTCGACAGGCTCGCAGGCCAGCTCGGGGCGACGGCAACAAAATGTTTTCGTACTACCCATGGACAAACGCATCCCCAAGATCAGGGTACGCACACGACAGGCGGGTGATTTGTTGGGTCAGCGCATTCTGGTCACTATCGACGCCTGGGATCGCGATTCCCGGTACCCGACTGGCCACTTCATTCGTTCCCTTGGAGAGTTGGAGACAAAGGGAGCAGAGACCGAGGCTTTGCTTTTGGAGTATGATGTGCAGTATAAGCCGTTTCCCAAAGCGGTTCTGGACTGTCTGCCATCAGAAGGACACGACTGGAAAGTTCCCGCCAGCAAAGAGGATATTGGTTGGAACGGAAGAAGGGATCTTAGGGATCTTCTCATCTGCAGCATTGATCCTCCTGGCTGTCAAGATATCGACGACGCTCTTCATGCGCGACCTCTTCCCAATGGCAATTTCGAAGTGGGTGTCCACATTGCGGACGTGTCGCATTTCGTCAAACCAAACAATGCAATGGATCTGGAGGCTAGCGTCCGTGGTACGACGGTGTACCTGGTCGACAAGCGTATTGACATGCTTCCGCACCTGCTTGGCACGGATCTCTGCTCTCTCAAGCCGTATGTGGAGCGTTATGCCTTTTCCGTGCTGTGGGAGATGACCCCGAACGCCGAAGTTGTCTCTGCTAATTTTACGAAATCGGTGATTCGCTCGCGAGAGGCCTTCAGCTACGAGCAGGCGCAAAAGCGTATTGATGACCCGTCTAAGAATGATGAGTTGACTGAAAGCATGCGGACACTACTCCGTCTGTCGAAGATTCTCCGTCAGAAGCGTATGGATGCGGGCGCATTGAACCTGGCGTCCCCGGAAGTCCGCATTGAGACTGATAATGATGAGGTTGGCGATCCGCTCACGGATGTCAAGACAAAGGCACTGCTTGCGACCAACAGTCTGGTAGAGGAGTTCATGCTTCACGCCAACATCACTGTCGCCGCGAAGATTTACGATAGCTTCTCCCAAACGGCCCTGCTTCGTCGGCACGCCACTCCTCCACCACAGAATTTCGAGGAGCTGATCAACCAGCTATCAAAGAAACGTAACCTGGAGCTGGACGTCTCTAGCTCCCGGGCCCTCGCCGACTCGCTCGACCGTTGCGTCGATGCAGAAAACCCATTCTTCAACACCCTAGTCCGCATTCTCGCTACTCGATGCATGACTTCTGCCGAGTATTTCTGCGCAGGTGCGCACGCAGAGTCCGAGTTCCGCCATTACGGTCTAGCATCGCCCATCTACACACATTTCACCTCACCCATTCGGCGATATGCCGATCTGCTCGTCCATCGACAACTTGCGTCTGCAATCGGCTACGAAGGCGAAGACGGCCGGGCGCAGGTCCACGGCGTCATGACACGGAACAGACTCGAGGATATCTGCCGCAACATCAACTACCGGCACCGCAACGCCCAGTTTGCGGGCCGTGCCAGCATCGAGTATTACGTTGGGCAGGCGCTGAAGGCTCGCGGGGAGAAGATGGCGGTGGATGGCGTCGATGGCGGCATCGAAGAAGAAGGATACGTGATGCGCGTCTTCGAGAACGGCGTGGTTATCTTTGTGCCTCGCTTCGGCATCGAGGGTGTTGTTCGTCTGGAAGACTTCGTGCTTCCTGGCGAACCTGCTGTCCGAAGTGTCGAAGAACGGCGCGAGCTGCTCCTACGTCGTGAGAGCGACTTTGACGGTGAGGAGTACACCCTTCGGGTGTCGGAGAAGGGACACTCCGAGCGCAGTGTGGTGGTTGAGCTCTTCCAGAGAGTCAAGGTTAATGTCAGCTCGATCAAGGAAGAAGGCGGCCGTGGAGCGGGTAAGAGACGGGTGCGGATTTTGATCACGGGTGGTGCGAAATAAAAAGTCTGGAATTCAAGTTACGACTTTGGGATGTGAAAAATAGACAAACATAGGGTTACGGCGTTAGTCGATGACTGCTCGATCACTTCAAGTATAATTCTGTGTATTTCTTATGTAGGGTATCATAAAGTATGCTTGGCAAAATAGGAGCCAAAGCTCGACTATGTTTTATTAAGACTTGATCAGGATAACTCGATTTCAGACCCGTTTCACAGCCACCATCCCACGCAGCAGGGTAGGAAGATTCCAGGGATCCACCAAGGGAGGTTCTGGAATAGGTGACACTGCGCCTCGACTATGACCATGTTTCTCAAATTCAGCATCGGCAAGGCCCAAATTCCCAACAGCTGCCTCGCTTTTCTCAGTATGCACCACACTGACCGAGGCTTCCTTCTCCCGAGCCATATCCCCCACTTTCCAACCTCTGACGATCCAGAGACACAGTGCGCTGCCCAGATACATGAAGCCCGTAAAGATCTGAACACGTAGATACTTCGAGTTGGCTGATTTCTCGTCTCGCAGCAGCAGGGCGATGGCCTCCGAGACCGTTGTCGGAGGCACAAGAGTCAGCCAGGTGATGCTAAGCCCGCTTGGAAGATCCCGAAGGCCTAGGATCTCGGCAGCGACGGGCGTACAGGTAGCCCAGTACGTACCTGCTACGGTACCCACGAGGACAGCGAAGAAGCAGACGACGCCCATGCTGCGGGCGAAAGTCCAGATCACGAGACAGAACAGGCCGCAACAAAAGGAGAGGAATGTTGCGATGTTGATTCGGCCCAATTTATCGCTGAACATCCCCACAAGGGGACGTCCGAGCCCTTGACCGAGATTCAACAAAGCGCTGACAATACTGCCCTGGTGGGGAGAGAGACCCACAGAGAGGGCGAAATTGGCAACACTGAATAGGAGGGCCACGTAACCGAGCATGGTAAAAATGCCCCAGGCTAGGAAAAGAAGGAATTCAGGGCGCTTCAGCAACGGAAGGTGGAATGCTTTGAAGCGACTTCCAACGGCTTTGTTGCGATCTCTCAGCAGGTTGGCGCAAACTAGGTTGACCACGCAAGAAATGATACCAAGGATTCGGAATGCCCATCCGAGACCCAGGCGGGGAATCATAGCGCCTACCGCAAGAGACCAGATCAGCCCTCCAAGGCCTGAGCCGGCTGCATTGATGCCCATTGCCAAACTCCTTCGTCGCTGGAACCACTGCGGCGTGACTCCCACACTACCAACGAACAGAAATCCCATACCCCATCCGAAACAGACACCCTGACTCAAAAAAATATGCCATTTTTGGGTAGCGAAGGAAGATCCGATCAATGATAAGGTCTCAAAGAAAACGCCGACGTTCAGCACGAATCGCATTCCCCAGAGGCGGATGAGATACTCAAACCACCAGTGAAGGCATATGACAGGGCGCTCGTATTGGGAAATACATCGTTTGAGAGATAATATGAGAGAAAGACTCCATAACTCTGCATGGAACCAATTAGCCTGCCTCGATTCAACAAGTATACTCCCTGTCGAGTACGCCGTGACCATGGACCTCACTGACACTGTTGATGCCCCAAGTATGGGCATTGATCCAAAACACACAAGCAACGCAAACCCAACCATAGCCACCATCAGGCACATCCTCGGGAGCTTTTTTGTCTGTTATCGCAGTGGCCGGCACTGGTGAATCCTCAGCCTGACCTTGATCCCGCCTATATAGGGGATCATTTGCAGCGGGATCTCGGTCACAATCTCGTGAATGAATGATGTCGATTGGTGGATTATCCGCCATTGTAATTCCTAAGTGATAGTCAAGGGTTAGACCAGGATGACTCGATTTGCTTGGTCACAGTTCCCCAAGCGTACGATTTCCGAACGCAGCAGAGATATCAAACGCAGACCACATCAGTAATCATGGAAAGAAGTAGATCATCAAAAGTGTTCCAGGAGAACATGGCTATTTGAAGACCCCGACTGCAGTAAATTAAATAAAAGGATCTGATTTGGAGTAGGGAACAAGAAGGATTGGTTTATGCCATGGTCTAGCCACGAGCGAGTCACTTTCCAGCAATGGAGCCTTGGCCACACGCTTTCGGTGATCTATCCGACCAGTCCAAGGGCCATCATTGGATACATCAAAGATAGGGCCATCAAGCTACGGTGCCGATTAAGCGGTACGGAGTCCGAGAGCGATTCTCCATTTTGTAGTAATCCTACAGCTCAGCAGTGAGCAGACAGCAGCTGACTGGGAGCCCAGGAACCTGCAAGTCTGCAAGTCGTTGGGGACTTAACTCGTGGAGTATAGATACTGGCCACTGGGTCATCTCGAGCCAGGGTTCGATTTCTGGGGTAACTGGGACCCATTATTTTTTGATCTCAAGCTCTCGAACAAAGCTAGTGACCGGCAAAAGTATTGTCAACTTGTTGTCACTTGTCACTGACTTTTGAACTTCATCAGACTGCCGTTATCATGATTACTACTGTCATGTTTCCTGTCACTGTCAACTGTCAAACTCCACGAGGACAAATCTCCGCATGAACACTAGACCTATTCTGGATCTGCAGCCAGGGCTTAGGGCTGAGATGACATAAGCGGTGCCCCGCGTTGCCTCGCGACCAGATCTGTTTGTTGTGTTTGCATCCTTTGTTATGATTGGCCATAGCTTCCTCCCCCAAATCCTACTACTAAGAGTACGATCATCATCCACCTCGCAGGTGATGAAGGCTTCATCTAAGACCCCCGGGTGATCGAATCTATCTAGTCTACCACTGAGCATTCGCTTAATTACTCTCATCTCACACTAACACCTTAGATCCAAGCATATCTAACTGATCAGACTTCTAGCCTACTTGCCAGATCTCTCTAGTTCATTCCATCCCTGCCACTCCCAGCCACCGTCTCCAAGCCGATTGGCTCTATGTGGCTCGACGGAGCAACTACCTGACACCTCCAATAGTTATCACTATCTTATCTACCTTGGGTACTAAGCGTACAACTCATCAACTTGGTCTTCCCTCTGACGTCGAGGCTCAATTACTGACAAAGGTTGATCCTCATGTTCTGATTCTCACAATCCCTTCAGACTCACATCGGCCCCAAGATGATGCCCAGACCTCAGCTCCATAGCAGCCAGAGCAAGGCCAGAGATGGCCAGAGGAAGGTCTCCCCGCCTGGTCCAACTTATATGTCCAGCGATCAGTTCGGTACGTCCACATTGCTCACTGACTCATGACATTCCTACCTTGGACCTTCGGCAGACTTTGAACGATTACTATCCCTACTGATGACCTACTTCTCTTGCTGTCGAGTGTAAACTAATGACGGGGTGGTTTAATTTGCAGCAACCTATCTAAAAGATCTGCGAACTAATCGACCTTCCCGTCCGGGTGGATCAAGACCGCTTCCCTCTCCAGGAATTAACTCGGGCTCCAACTTACGGGACAACCTGCCTCCCCGAGCATCGTCGTCAATGTCAATGTACGGGCAGTCGAACATGCAGCCTCAGTCGCCTGAAAAAGATCGACCTCGCGCCAGCAGCTCCTTGTCAAACCATCGTCCATTCGACCCTCGAATATCGCTGGGAAGTTCAGCTGGGCGTCCGTTGGTCCAGGAACCAAGGACAGTCCCGATCCGCAAGACTGTATCACCTGCTCAAGTCTTCACACGCCCATCCCCCCCCTCCCCCAATGCAACATACCGTGAGAGTGGCCAGCGACGGATAGAAAAAGAGGAAGCCCGCTCCCTGCGCGATGCATTGCAGGGGGTAGATCTAAATGATGAGGTTCGCCTGCATCAGGCGGCTCAAGATGAAGCCACAGAACTAGTTTGGATGCATCAGAACCCTGGAATACCTTTCAAGAACCCATATGCACCTTATCACAATCCTGATCTCGATCGATTGTCCCAGTCCCCCAAAAATGCTGGGCTTTCTCCGACCCATGCGGAGCGATCTGGTGGCCCCAGGAATGGTCACCGGCTTGCTTCAGAAAGCTCTCCCGAGAGCCATTTTGCCGATACTCGGGGACCGGGCGCAGGACTCATCCATGATAAACAACGGCAATCTATCATAGATGACACAAACAACAGCCCTACAAAATCCGCATTCTCACGAAGAGGCCTCAAGGTCGGCTTTGCATTGCCTGTTGAGGAATCACCTCCCAAAAGCGAGCTCAATGATAACAGGTTCTCGAAAGGGATCTTCAGAAATCCTCGTGATTCAATATACGAAGAACCAAAGGACCCTCACAAGGGTGACGACGGTCGGCCAGCTTTCTCCAGATCCGAATCTTCGGCTCTTAAATCCAAACCGCGCAATGCACTCCCTCGTGGTTCTCGGCCTCTTCCAGGACGATTGAGCAGTCTTCCGTTTGTTGACAAACTGTCCCGGTTTGAACTACACAAGCGACCTCCGACCCAGTCGACAAATCCAGAGTACAGGACAAATGAGTCGCTTGAACAGGCGGCTTCCAGTGCAGGTGCTAGAGAAGAACCAGGCAACCCCACAAAAAATGGGGTCGAAGTTCGCAGCGATGACATCCGAGCGGCTACCAGTAAAAAGCTCAAGGATCGAAGCACAAGACTACCCATGCCAACCGCCGTAAGTGATCGAGTAGGCCGACCTATCGTGAGCTTTGACCCAACTTGGAAACCGACCGAAGTACAATCGACTTCGAAACGAGACAGCCTGAAGCAGGAGTCGACCTCTCCGACACCACCACCACAGCCGACTACCCCCACAATTGAAGTCTCTGAGGCAGCAACTATACCCGTCATCAATCTCCCTGACGACAAGGAACCCACTATTTCGGAGATGACAGGATCATCGCGGAGCGGGAAGGATAATACCAGGCCACTGCCGAACCCTACGAGCGCAAGAAACCACTCGCATCATTCTCCGAAGAAACCTGCACCGAGCCAACAGAAACGTTGGTTGTCAACCTATACGCGCTCCGGTGTCCCTACCGCGAAATGCGAATCCTGCTCTCTTCCGATTGCAGGAAAGATTGTCACGGCGGGCGGAGCACGGTTTCACCCGGAGTGTTTTGTGTGCCACCATTGCCAAACTCCTCTGGAATGTGTTGCCTTCTATCAAGAACCTGATGCAAAACGGACTGAGCGATTGGCAGAAGCGTCAAGACACGATGAGGAAGCGCGCGTGCTGCGCTTCTACTGTCATCTTGACTTCCATGAACTGTTTAGTCCTAGGTGCAAGAGCTGCAAGACTCCGATTGAGGGCGAGATTGTTGTAGCCTGCGGGGCTGAGTGGCATGTTGGACACTTCTTCTGTGCCGAATGCGGTGATGTATGTCCCCCCTATGACCTTGCTGTAAGCACAAAGCTAACTGATATTCTGTACAGCCATTCAACTCCCAGACTCCGTTCGTGGAGAAAGATGGATTCGCATGGTGCCTCCAATGCCACTCCCGCCGCACCGCGCCTCGATGCCTCGGCTGTAAGCAGCCCGTTCTTGACGACGTTGTGATTAGCGCCGTTGGAGGCCAATGGCATGATCAGTGTTTTGTCTGTCATGAATGCGGTGACGGCTTCGGTGGTGATGGCCGCTATTTCGTGCGAGAAGGTGAGCCCAAACGGACATCCAAAGGTCGGATCATTGGAGGCCCAGTCCAGCTGGCTGTTTGTGAGAGATGCGAGAGCATCCGCCTCAAGGCCTCGCCCAAGTGATGGCGTGACAAGACAGGCTGAAGATGAAAGTTTGAGCTTTGTCAAAAATGTCACCCTTCCGCGATTTCAGTATACGCAATGTCACGAAGATGTTTCACAATCTTGGATTCGGCATTTTTATGTGGTCTGCATTCTGTGTTCTAAGTTGATGCATAGGCTAGCAAGCGGGATGTGTAGCGATATGGCATGCAGCGGGTACCGATTAGACTGATTTTTTGTTGATTATGCCTCTTTTTTGGGGGAAGCTGGATATCATCCCATTTGTGTACTTAGACTCCAATTGTTCCTACCAACAAACGATCTTTTACAATCGATTATATTTATTGGCAGAAACACACAATGCATGCACTCGAGGCTAGGCTTGTAGTCCATTTCGTATCGCTAAAAAAGGAATTCCAAAACAACAAATTTTCAACCGTCGGGAGATATCAAGCAGGCCACTCAGGGTCGGCTTTGCGACGGAAGACGGCGACGTACTTATTCCCCTTGTTCCGGGTCACCTTTTTCCCTTCCTCTGTCGCCTCCTTCATGACTCGCACGCAGTCATCCTTTTCCAGCTCCTCGTCTGACACCCGTTCAAACAGCTCCGTAACCCCAGCGTTCTGCCCCGCATCCGCACCCTCCTCTCCAAAATGCCTCAGGACCCAATGATGATACTCCTCCACGTCGGTGATGGTGTACAGAAGGCCCCCAGGGCGCAGCGCATACGCGTATTCCGCATTCAAGGTCTCGGAGATAATCCGCGCCTTGTGCTTGCGCGCCTTGAAGTGCGGGTCCGGGAAGCAGATGAAGATCTTGGAGAGCTGGTGTCGGGCGAAGAAGTTGGGGAAGAATTTCATGGTGTTGCTGCGGATCGCGGAGATGTTTTGGTAGTTACCAGGGACGAGCGAGAGGGTCTCGCCTGTGGCGTCAGGGCTGCTCGGGGAGGCTGCGTCTGCGGCCGTCTCGGTGGCTTGTAGTTGTTGTTGATGATGTTGCTGTGGTTGTTGTGCCGCAGGAGAGGACTCGGATGGGATTGCTGATGACCGCAGCTTTTGCTGCTGGGAGCGGAGGGCCTGGATGCGGGCCGTCACGTATTCGAGGACGGAGACACGGATCTCCATGCCTGTGATTTTCATCCGATGCACTCATCAGTATTTTGGCTTTTGTGTAGAAAGAGGGGGAAAAGTAGGGGATCCCGCACCGACTATCAACGACTCCGGCAGCAGAGGCGCAAGACCGATAAGTAACCCGCCGAATCCGCACCCGATATCCACGACCTCGACATCCTTGAGGAGTTTCCTAGTCCCGGCCAGATTCGTATGCGACGGCTCTGGATCCACAAACGCAGGATAGTGAGACGACCAGTCCATATGCGCCGGGCTAAGCGGGCTACATAGTGTCGCAGAGGAGCACACCGGTTAGCCTGGGACCGACCACACCCCCTCGAGGACTTGCAATACGTACTAGTTCAGCTGGTGATCAGAGAATGGGTTCGCATGGGCGCGCTGTCGGTAAAACTTCTTCTGAGGCAGTCTGATCTCGCTTGCGTCGTCTGCCACCGCTGTGTTTGCCTTGCGGTATTCATTGCGCTTTTGGCGTTTGGCGGGGGGTGGAGTCATTGTCGACAATTCCTTGGGAGCTGATCCGAGTTTATAAGAGAAAGTCGGAGTGGGAAATAGGATGGCCAATGCGTGTGAATAATTGCGATCTCGCAGGACTGGTACGCAATGGCTAAAGGTGTACTATGTAGATAGTCTAGCGAAGGTGTGGATTTTTTTTTCCCTCACTGGAGCGGGCACTGTTGACGTCGGGAGGATGAGCTTGGCGCGGAGAGAGATATGGACCCTCCGAGTCCGACGGAAGACAACACTTGAGATAGGATCGAGATCTGATTTCCTCTTGGATAAATCTTTCGACTCTTGTTATTCATAGCTTCTATTAGTGCTAGATTAACGGAATCCTCGAACTGGGATTGTAAATACCCGACATCGCTCCTTGCGCGATCTCCAACGATCCAACCAACCCCGCATCCTCGTCTATCAGTCTCGCTCCAGTATGTCAAAAACCTCATCCCTCACTGCTCGAACGCCACCGCCTTTCTGACTATATGTATCGCACCTCAGTCCTCTAGCTACTCGCTCCCCACCCAGGAAATGGCCAGCTCCTCGACAACTCCCGCAACCACCTTCCAGTTCCCTCCTACCTACTCCTTCCCCCCATTCTTCACCCCGCAACCCAACAGCGCAACACGCCTCTCCCAGCTCCAGAAATGGTCCTCGCTCATCCAGGCCTGGTGCCGCCACCACCGCACCTACCGTCTCTCGCTGATTGAAGCGGTCGAGAGCCCGCTGTTCCATAACGCCGCGTTGCGGAAACGGCTGGGTCTGAGCGAGGCGCGGGCGGTGCTGGACTGGATGGCCAAGGCGGAGGAGGAAGGGGGTGGCGGGAGGAGGGCAGAGTGGATTGACGGGGGGGATAAGACGGCGGCGTGGATCTGGTGGAGGAGGCCGGAGGAGTGGGCGGGGATCGTGGCGGATTGGGTGAGTGGATATTGATATTCCTCCTGGGAGTCGTGTGAAGATGGACCTGCTGACTGAGTTTGATGAAGGTGGAAGCGACGGGGCAGAAGAATGTCGTGTTGACGGTCTATGAGTTGTTGGAGGGCGAGGCTACCATGTCGCAAGGTATGATCTTGGATACCATCGCTTCGGTGGATATGATGGCCGCGAACTGACCACTTTGTAGAATGGCATGGCATGGATACAGACGTCATGCTCAAATCTCTCAATGTCCTTGTGAAACGCGGCAAGGCCCAGGTGTTTGGCAGCGAAGGCCAGGAAGGTGTCAAATTCTTCTAGTTACCCGGAATTCTCTTGGGAACGCTAAACTCAGACGCCTGAATTCCCATAACTATGCACATACATATGGGAAGTATTATCTCTTTCAACAAATGAGGACCAGAAAATACATAGAGATCCAGATAGAGGAAACGGAACCGTTATGATCATGTACAAGGCAAGTCTCCCGAGAACACACCTCACCTGTGCAGCACTCCCTAACGCCGGATTCAGGTGATCATCCAGCGTCTAATTGTCGGCCTGGTCCATCATGCCTTCTTTCAATTCATATTCGTCTGCCCTGCGCAGCTCCTGTGACATCGCAATGTCGAGAAGCCAGTCTACCCGCACGATTCGCGGTGTCTTGGACATGCTGTGTGCCAATTGTTGGAACCGCGGCCATAATTTCTGGTGATCAGGTGATACACTGCTGAGAAGATAGATCTCTTTGCGATTAGAATCGCTCTCACTTGAGCTGTCGTCCTCACTTTCCTCCCGCTGCGAGTGGTAGGAAACCCGCCCGCGGAATAGCGTACAAATTCCTCCATTTATATCGACAATGGATTTGAACGCATCAAACCCTCCTCGAATAGTTTCAACGCAGTAGATCTGATATCCTTGCAGGAGTCTGTTCTTGTTCTTCCTCGCGTTGGCCCGTGCTTCTTCAAGAGAGAAACCAAATTTCTTCTCTGCAGCTGTATCCATTAGGGGGAAGTCGTCGGGGTTTAGGAGCTCGTCCTTCGTGAGACACTCCTCGATGAAGTCGACGTTGATGATCACGGGGCCGTATGCGAGCGCATTGACAAATTTAGGGGTTCGCAGTATCGATGGGGCGGCTAGATGCGTGCATCGTCTTGCGTCTTGGACTACCATGATCCCAAGGTCACGAAGTTGTCGCTTATCATCATTAGCACTCTGCTTGCTTTATATGGTTGTACATAGATTATAAGTATAATAAAAGGTGAACCAACCTTGTCTGCATCCTCTTTCCTGAGGTTTCCCACCCATCTTTGATACCCAGTAATCAGAAGATGCATGGCAATGGGAGGTTTCGACTTCTTCTGCCTCTTCGCGTCTGTTGCGATTTCCTCATCACTTTCCTCCTGCGGCTCCATCGATCTGCGCTTCTTGGTGTTGGTAAGAGCCACGCGATCCTCGTCACTCTTCCGTCGTCCGCCATAGACCACTCCACCGACCCGTTTCTTTTCTTTCTCATACAGGGCAATGTCCGGAGCGAGTTCTTGGAGTCGGCTGAAGGCGGCTTCCTTCGACTTGCGGCTGCTCGTTGATGATGGTGTCTGATTTTCTTTACCCTCAGACTCAAGCCGAGCACGTGCAGGCGTTTGCGGCTTCTTGTAATCTGATGATTTTCGTGATTTATTAGCCGCCCGCGGTGTCGCGTCTCTGGTATCCGAAACTTCATGTTCAGCTTGTGTGACCTTTACCGGAGAAGATCGCATTGTAGTGGATGGCTTATCAGTCGCAGTGTTCTCGTCCCGTTTCTGCATGACTCGTCGAGGGCTCTCTGCCGATTGAGCTGCGGTATCTGATGGGAAAAAGAGGCTTTCGAGAATAGCCTTGTCCAGTCTTGTTTGGCCAACAACTTCGCCTAGGTTCGTTCTCTTCGGAAAATGCGTGTACCGAGGATCGGAGACAGGTAGCATCTTCCATCTTGCATAGCTTTCTTCCAACCAGAGATGGTTCACGACATGCAACCCCCATTCCTTCGCAGCTGCACACTTCTCACTGTTACCGTGAGCAGTCACCAGGTGTGTGTTCTCCTGCTTCAGTGTCTTGGTACACTCCGCCCCTGTCGCGGCGATTAAGTTCTCTAGGTAGCTTCTCGCTTCACCAACGTAGTTCGACAGACTTATCTTGAGTCCTTTGAACCCAGGAATCCCTGAGCGAGAAGTGGGGTAATGTAGCATACGCCGTAGAGGCGAAGTCCATGCGTTGTAGGTAATCATATGGTAGAGCCATGCTAGGTTTCCAACTTCCTTGTTGTACTTCGACGCTAGGCGATATCCGACTCCCTCTCTATACCGACAGACATAGATGTCTGCTTGCGATATCTCTGTTGTCATTGAGCCACCAGCGTCCTTAATCACCTCAATGATCGAGTTCGAAAGATGGGTGCCAATGCCGAGATCTTGCGCAAGCATGATTGTCTTGCCCTGGAAAACGTCGAGCTTGGGCCGTGGCTGGGAAGTGAGGATAGACGTCGGCAGTTTGGTGGGTTCGGGTGTTGAGGCTCCAACGACGTCGCGGCTTTCCGATGAGCGAACCGGTGCATCTGGGCCCGCGCGTAGGATTTCGGGATGTGGGAGAGTATATGGGCGCTCATCGATGCGCTTTCCAAGTTTAAGGCAGTCATCAAACCTTTGCCGAAAGTGTCAACTCAGATACAGCCATGGAGGGGAGACCAAGAGAGTCATACCAATGAGGGAGCACAATCTTAATGTTCAGTTTCCTGGCTGTAATGAGTCGCGCCTTATCGGAATCCATCGTTAAATCAACCAAGTGCGTGACCAGTCCGGTCACTCTGGGGCTGTAAAGACCACCCTTAGCCAGGACTCCACCAATGATCGCATCTTTGTCGCCTTCTGGGATATCACCGCAAGTAACGACAACGTCGTTCAAAAATAGTCGAGGATCTGGGTTATACTGTCGCGGGTTGGCCAGCTTCTTCTTCGCGAGTGAAGCCTGCACCCACTGAGGCTTGACAACGGGAATCAGGGCATCATTGGCTGCATCGAAAGAAGGAAAATCGACAGTGTACGATATCAGGTGGGTGAATTCTTCCAGGGGCGGAAATGAGGCTGGTGGTTCGTAGATTACCGTTTCCCCGCCATGCGCTTCGAAGGTTGACGCGAGCTGAGTTTTATGAAGTCAGTGCTGGAATTTTCGAGCGCAATCAACAGGATCGAAAGATGAAACTGCATACCTGATGAGCTGAGTCGGGATCTAGGTCTTTCGAGCAGACTATGCAGACTTTGCATTGGTCAAAGAGCTGGAAGTCTGCGTCACGGCCCGCCATGGCGCAAATGGAGACCGCAGTGCGTGTTGAACCTCGTCCTGTTCTGCTTAATTCTGATTTCTTCAACTCAATATGTTAGAATATAAGACCGTGACAACGTGACAGAATAGGATCTTTGATCTTTTCCTCTGTAGCTAGTGGTCGTGTCATGCAAGATCCGCCACAGACATAAAGGTGCTTGAGGGATGCGACGCGCCGACGCGAGGCATCCACGACGCCCTGTCACGTGAACCACCATTGATGCGATCCATCACTTTCTCAACTCCTCAAAGCAGTCCCAGCTATTGTTATCGACATACTGGTTGCCTCATCGTCTGTTACAATGTTTCAGCAGCGTTTATCCGCAGCTCTACTCTGTTGCGCTGATCTAATTTGTGTTGCGATATCCGGGTCGGTCCATACAACCACTATGACCCGTTGCAGTACATCACGTTCTAAGATGCTCTCGAGGTTTGGGAGTATACAATGCGATTAAAAGGCAGTTGGTATAAAGAGGCACAACTGGATTCTCAATATATCTCGGTTTCTGGAACTTTGCACAACCGGAAACAGGTTCATACTATATTCCCGTCAAAATAATAGTCCGAGCGACCCAGTCAGCCTAAGCTGACTCTCACGGTCTCACCAGTGATATCGGCAGTTGGATTGGTCGGTCTTTTGCCCATCCGCATTGCAAGGGCCTCGGTTCAACCCCCGAACCCCGGCATGATATACTAGTGGGGACCCCTGCTTAAACGATGCGATGGATAGTATCTTCAATCATCTCGCTTTCCCTCCCCTTTCTTCTTTCAGGCACTCCCTTTGTCCTTGGATAGGTCGCGCATCATGTCTTCGTCTTCACCATCTACGACAGGGCCTTTTCGCATTGTCGAACATCAGGTACCATGCCAGCATATCAGGGAATATCCCGGAGCCACAGCCAATGAGCAGGAGGATGTATTGCATTTGGCTGTGAAGCAATACATCCCCCTGGATAACCCAGATCCTCAACCTGGGGACGTCACTATTCTCGCGACTCATGCCAATGGCTTTCCCAAGGTACCATCTTCCGGGCGACTTCACCACTCCCCCAGTTGCATCACATGTGAATACGTATTAACGTGGTGGTCAGGAGCTCTATGAACCACTCTGGGAGGAGATTCACGCTCGCTCCAGGGCCAACGGATTTCGCATTCGGAGTATCTGGATGACAGATGTGGCCCACCAAGGACAAAGCAGTGTACTTAATGAAGATCTCTTGGGAAACGACCGTACGTTAACTACCAGTCTCTAATCTGAAGAAACAACTCTTTCTGGGACATCTTAATTGACTGGAGGCTGCTCGAACAGCCAGCTGGTTTGATCATCCGCGGGATCTCCTGCATCTCGTCAATGTCAAGCACAAAGAAATGCCCCGTCCGATTGTGGGAATCGGTCATAGCATGGGCGGTGCGCATCTGTGCGTCTCGTCCCTTCCCTCTATCGACCCTCCCAGAGATACCAAACCTGTACTAATGATCATACAGGGCGCAGCTCTGTCTGATGCACCCCCGGCTCATTCACTCGCTAGTCCTGCTGGACCCCGTCATCCAACGCCAGACCACACAACTCGATCCTCTATATTTAGTCAAGGGCCAGCACGTCATCGCTAAAACCACCCAACTCTCCACCTACCGCCGAGACCTATGGCCATCCCGCAAGGCGGCCGCGGACGGCTTCAAGAAGAACCCCTTCTACCAGACCTGGGATCCCCGCGTCCTCGATCGCTGGATCAAGTACGGTCTGCGAGACCTCCCAACAGGCATCTACCCGCTCAACGAATCCGAGGCTCCCAAAGACGGTGACCGCCCAGTCACCCTCCGAACCACCCTGCATCAGGAAGTCTTCACCTTCTCGCGCCCCAACTACGACGGGCCCCCGGGCAAAGACGTCCCCATCAACAGGGTCACACATCCCGATCTCGACCCCACACACATGGGCTCATTCCCATTCTACCGCCCCGAACCATCCCGCATCTTCGCTCAGATCCAGCACCTCCGCCCCAGCGTCTTGTACGTCTTCGGCGGCAAGTCGGACATGTGTCATCCCGACATGATGGCCGACAAGATGCAGAACACAGGCGCAGGCCTTGGTGGAAGCGGTGGTGCGGCAGCCGGACGCGTCCGCGACGTATATCTCGAGAAATACGGACATCTCCTGGCGCAAGAAGCGCCCATTGAATGCGGCGAGGCGACCAGCCAGTGGCTCGGTAAAGAACTACAGCGATGGCGCAACGAGGAGCGATTCTTCCGGGAGCAGTGGAGCAAGAAGTCGAAGGTTGAGAAAATGACCATCGACAAACGGTGGAAGGAACATGTGCCAGCTCCCGTACGGCCTAAGAAGGAATCGAAGGCCAAATTATAAGTTCACTCTCAACCATGATCAAATCACGTACCATCTGTGCCCTGTCTTACATTGAGTACATGACACTGTATACACCTTGACGCTACTACAGATACCGCGAGTTCTTCAATATCCATAGCGTAGATTCTGGTTTTCATGTATTCGTCTCTTTTCTATTCAAGATATAGTTTCTGTCAACGCCAGAGCCGACATCTAGAAGCAACTCTAACCAGCATTGCGTAGAGGTGAATCGGGTGTGAGATCACTGGCTCGGAAAGTGTCTAAGCCCAAGGCGCAACCTCGAGCCAAGATAACAAGCGAGCGAGCTAAATCAGGTCGACTTCTTGTCCAGGCGACTCCCGGTCCCTTTCTGCGTGCGAACAATTTCTGGGAAGTTCCAGAAATGCGGCCACCACAGGTGGTATTCTTCCTGTCGGTCGTTCAAGCAATGGCGCAGCCAGATGCCCCATATAATGTAAAGATAGGCTCCAACTCCAGTCATGACATGCCTACAAGCAATGTTAGTGCGTTTCAAATCTCTTATTTGCGAAAAGCATACCACCAGCCATGGCCTTCGAGGAAAATACCCCACGGAAGCCCAACCGCCCGTCGCCATTTCCGAATAGTAGGGCAGAAGTGGTTATCCAGGTTCCAGATGAGAAATCCTCCCAGGAACATGGTCAGCCCATAGATGACCATGAACCACATCGTCTTCAAAGTTTTTAGGTCCCGAACATTCTCATATTGCTGATGTTCCTTCGACGGCACAGGGAGGCCTTGCTTCTCACGCGCCAGGCGATCCTCCTCGGTTGAATGCCGCCTGACTGCGCGGAGAGTCACTTCCATAGTATACATACTCCGCAGGACGACCACTGTTGTCAAAAGCGCATACGCATTCTGGTGAAACACGGGGTCCTGAAGGTAGTGGTAGTACAGCGTGATGAAGACGGCCAGACCAGTCAAAGCGAGGCCGAGGACAATCCGGAAACCAACGGGTCTCGAGTAGGAGAATGACGCATAGCACATCAAACAAGTCGTATAAATCATAGAAAGTTCATCAACTAACTGCATGGGGTCTAGAGGCAGTCAGCATCATCCCACATCGTCACTGGCGTTTTTAGGAACCACACATACATTTAAGAGTCGCGTGGAACAAAAAACTGCCAGTCCCGACTAGAAGATATCCGTAGAATGCGATTTGGAAAATTGTATCGTGCCCATTCCGCCGACAACTCCTGATACCCTTGATCCCAAGCCACATAAACAGAAGATTTGTCAGGGTGTTGACTATCTCGGCGGAGTAGATGGTTGCATAGTAGTCCTGGGATTCACAACATGTCAGCACACGCAGAGCCTTGCGGCTGCATAAATACGCACCTCTTCACACCAGTTCAGCGTCGAAGTGACAGGACTCCAGTACCCAGCCTGGGAAGGCGGATACGCAAAGAAGGGCAGCAAAGACCACTGGGGCATAGTGGCTCTCCGCAACGGTATCTTGATCACCTCTCTTTAGATACACGAGTCGAGAGGCAGCAAGATCGATGGCATTGCAGGAAGAGAAAACAAACAGGAGAAGAGAGCAAGGTACGAAAAGAAACACGGTACCTTAGTCAGGTCAGGTCAGGGCCGTTTATTATGGCATGCCCTGGATTAGGTAGCAGCAAAGGGCGTTTCCTATGGAACTTACGCTTCCAGAACCGTGACGTCGGTTTATTACACAAACCAGCGGGACAACTTCGATGGCAGGCCAAAATCCAGCGTGCCGATTGGCTCAGCCGACTCTCCGCGGGCTGCCGAAGCCCCGGCGGTAGACTGTATCGTATAGCTATTACATTACGTTTGTCAGGTCAGGTCACCTAGTCTTGACTGAGACCTCCATGAATGTAGCCGCGTAATCTTCACAGGTGTATGCTGTTTGCATGTCTTCGACTTTTGTGTTTATCGAGGTTTGGAGCTCTGGGGCTATTTGTGGTATTATTGATCCTTTGTCTTACCATCAGTTGTGGCGTTCGAAGCATATCTGAATGAACCTATCAAACAGTGGCTTAGGAAGACATCATCCTGCAAGTTCATTCATAAAAGAGCTGGGACTAAGGTAGGTACCTGCCTAGGTATCTAAGGACAGGGTCTTTTTGAAGCTTGAAATCCTTCCTGTACGGTACGGTAATTCAGCCATTCTCAGATGTGGCTGGTGCTTTCCCGGTTGCGGCCAATCACAATGCAATCGGTCTGAAACCTGATGACTTCACCAACAATCGTGCACAGCATCAGCCTTTACTCCGAGGAAGCAGAACCTAAGCAGACAAGACTACATTACCTACTCCGTAGTATCTGCCAGAAAATTGCTTCCACAACTACCCTCACGGTGCTGGATCGCCGGGATTAGATGCGAATGCTACGAAACCCTTGACATCTTTTTATACTCAACCTTAATATCGACGCAGCGAGGTTCCAGGATTGACCTGTAGAGCTCCTGCAAGTGAAATGTCGAACAATGCTACTACATATGTGGTATCGCCAGCGCCGTTGAAAACAACCTCAACATGTATGGATACTCTTTCTGCCTTCACAACTGTCTGCTGGGATTTCGATGATCATATACCGGCTAAATGAGTTTTGCTAACATGCTCTTCCCATTCTTTTGCAGCATCTAAAACCACCTTCCACTTCGTTGCCGGTCTCTGTTCCGGCCTTACCTCCTCCATCCTTCTCCAACCGGCAGACCTCCTCAAGACCCGTGTACAACAGTCCCATAAAAGTGCTTCGCTATTACCTACATTAAAGACGATCCTCTCCTCTCCTCATCCCATCCGCAGTCTATGGCGCGGCACACTTCCCTCGGCTCTCCGAACGGGCTTCGGCTCCGCCCTCTACTTCACAAGTTTGAATGCTCTGCGGCAAGGCATAGCACAAACCAGAACTCCCCTCGCCATCGCCAGCGCAAGCAGTGACGGCAAAGCCCGCACCTCGTCATCCGCCCTGCCCAAACTCTCCAACTGGGCCAACCTGGCCACCGGTGCCATCGCCCGAGTAGCCGCAGGTTTCGTGATGATGCCGGTGACTGTGCTCAAAGTGCGGTACGAATCGGACTACTACGCCTATCGCAGTCTTGTCGGCGCCGGACGTGACATCGTCCGCACCGAAGGCGTCCGCGGGCTGTTCTCGGGCTTCGGGGCCACGGCTGCCCGAGACGCGCCCTACGCGGGCCTCTATGTCCTCTTCTACGAGCAGCTGAAGCGGCGTCTGGCCTCCGTTGCGAGCTCGGAGTATTCTGAACAACCGCTGAAAACGTCATCCTCCTCTTCCATCAACTTCGTGTCTGGTGGACTGGCTGCTGGCCTTGCCACGGCGATTACTAATCCCTTCGATGCAGTCAAGACTCGCCTGCAGCTCATGCCTGGCAAGTACGGGAATATGATGCGGGCCGTTCGCCTGATGATACACGAGGATGGTGTGCGCAGCCTGTTTGGCGGCCTGGGACTGCGCATCACCAGAAAGGCGCTGAGCTCGGCACTTGCTTGGACCGTCTATGAGGAATTGATTCTTCGTGCTGAGGGCCACTGGGCTGAGCAAGGCAAAATCAATTTATGACGAGATAAAACTGATGATCGTGTTCAGCGCTATGCCCTATAGTCTTTTTTTTTCGACACTTTTCGGAGTTCCTGGAGTGGGTTACAGAAGATAACGAAAAGAAATACGGCGGTCTCTCATCCTGTTATATGTAGGTTGAGCATCATTGTATGATATATATAGCGGTTAAGAAAAACGCAAAACATCCCAACTCATGACATATCTGCAATCTAAATTTCAAAGACATCACGACGGCAAAATCACTTATCGTATATCATCAGACGTGACCCATCAACGGCTAAGAAAGGAATGGGGATCAAACGTTCCCAATGCAAAAGGTTCGTGAGCAGACCCTGGTATCAACCAACCCCTTCAACCCCCACCCCCCGAGGAATAAAAAAAAAAACCAATTATGTTAAGATCCATGCCCGTCGGTTGGGGCTCTTCTTGCGCACAAGATACATTCTGTCTTTCTTGCGATCGTTCACCTTGAGCTCGGTCAGACTGCTCGAGGTCTCGGTAATGAGCTTGCCCTCGCGTAAGCGTCGTGTGTGGGCAAACAGCTCTTCCTGCAAGTCCTCGGAGATCCATTGCTTGATGATCAGGTAATTACCGTCGAGCTGGGAAGGAAGAAGAGTTAGCATTCTCACTGGCCCGGAGGCTACTAGTAGATGGACGAAGGTCTGGTCTTACCTCATCGAAATCCCAAGGCAAGTGATAGGCAACGAGTGTGTCGGTAGAAATGTACTTGCGATGGACCTGGAGGTAACGTTGTTAGAAGGGGGGCTGATGGGTCAAGCACGCGCAGAGACGGTTTCACTCACCTTGATCCAGGTTGTACGTTGATGGTCAAGCTCCTTCTCTTCCTTCTTCTTCTCCTTCTCCTTCTCTTTCTCTTTTTCTTTCTCTTTCTCCTTTTCCTTTTCCTTTTCCTTGTCCTCCTTCTTTTCCTCCTTCTCTTCCTTCTTCTCTTCCTTCTTCTTCTCTTCTTTGGGCGGATTCTTCGTTCGGTTGATAATGGCCTCGATCTCTGCTTCGGTGTAGCCATACTGCATCCGCAGCCGGTTCCTGAACTCGTGGTCCTTTCGCTCCTTCTCCTCTCGCTCAGCGATACGTCGCCGTTCCTGCTCAAGCCTCCACTCATCAATGGCGGCCTGCTTCATGGCCGCCTCCTTCTTCTCTCGCTCCATCTTCGCGAGTAGCTGCCGTGCTTCTTCGTCGCGGATCTCCTTCTTGATACGTTCGCGCTCTTCTTCTTCTTCGATCTTGCGCTGCAGTTCCTTCAGCTTCTCCTCGCGCAACTTTTGCCGGATCTCTTCCTGCTCGGCAGCCTGACGCTCCGCTTCTTCGAATTTCCGTAGCTTGTACCGGAATTCAGCTTGGCGCTGCTCTTCTTCCATCCGTTGCTTCTTCTCGAACCGTTCAAGCCGCCTGAGACGCTCGCTGATCTCATCCTCATACCACTCCTCTTCTTCTTTGACGAGTTGAGGACCTTGGTGAGTGACCTGCTCATGACGCCGATGGGCAAGTTCCCGCTCCAGACGCTCGATCTCAATCTGCTGCTTTAAGAGCTCGAGATCCTGGCGAGCATCGTTTCTCTCAAGCATCCGCTGGTCGATCACCAGCTCGTAATCACGCTGGTGGCGAGGAGAGGCCGAAACCTCTCGCTGAACGGGGACTGCAGCCGGTGGTGCAGCCGGTGGTGCAGCCGGAGCCGCAGCCGGAACCGCAGCTGGAACTGCAGCTGGAGCCTCCTGGCGGCGGGGAGAAGCTGGGCGAGCGACAGGCATCATAGACTGAGGCCGGCGGCTGCGTCGGAGGACTGTTTCATCTTCAGAGTCGATATCAAGTATAGTCATCTCTTCCTGTCTCTGCTTGCGGTTCTTGTTGGCACTCCTGTTGGTGCTCCTATTCCGCGAATCATTCTTGATGTCGACGATGATCGCAGGAGGCGGGGGAGGCGGCAGCTGCTGCAGCTGCTGAGGAGCCTCGTGGCGTCGCCGACCACCGGTTGAAGCGGAGCGATGGACACGGATGTCCTCGTGCAGAACAGGACTGAGAAAGCTTGTGCTGCTGATCTCAGGGTTGAAGCGCTGACGAGATACCGAGCGTCTTCTGACCGAGTGTCTGTGACGGGGAATATCCAGAGAAACGTCCGACTCAGAAAACTCCGACTCCTCTTCGGAAATCCACCGTGCACGACGAGGCATGACGATCACTGCTCAGTCTTTGTGAAGATCTGGAAATGATTTGACTTATTGTATGCGTGATTGTGGATGAGGCTGACAAGGTTGAGAATCGAGTATAGGAGCGGGGTTGGCTAAGCGATCTATACGGGGTATATAAATAGGACAGTGGGGGGCGGGAGGCTGGTTTGGATAACGATGAGGAAATAAGACGAGAAAGAAGAAGGGGAAGAGGAATGTTCAGAACGAAAGAAGATGAAGAATACGGAGAAGAAAAGGATGAAAGAGGATTCAAATCAGAAGATCGCTTGTGGCCAAGATTAAAGACCAGCCACAGCCTCACAGACAGTGGGAGCCACCAGCGGTATCAGACGAGAGTACGGAGTAAAATGAGTGGATGATGACATTCAGCTGAAGTGGGGGAGGAAGCAGGTTTAAGTATCGCAGAGATCATCGCCAACGGTCGGACTCTGCGATGGGAGCCTACTGGTGATTTGTCGACTTTATTTGAGCAGCCTTAGCATTAGAGTAGGTACTATCGGTTGGTATTAAGGCAAGAATGTGTAGCACTGAAAGCGCCTGAGGTTGATATTAATATCCTCGAGATCGACGACCTCTCCCGCATACATACACCAGTCCGCCTCCATCCAAGCATCCCGAGCTGAAACGCCAACTGGCGGCTATGGAAACAATCGAGTAGAACGATCGGCCTACTCTCCTCTCATCCCGAGATACTTCTCTTGAGGCGCTTATACTGACTTGAAATACCAACTTGGATATCTAGATACTATCCCCATTCTCCAGAGGATCCGTCTTTCCCTGGCCCTGATCCAAGGAAACTCGTCGGTTAATCCCGTTGTGACCCAAGAGTCACGATTTGGCTATTTTAAGTACCTCTGCCTTGTGCCGTCTGTAATGTGCACTGTATAGTATACCCACACATCTGACACCAGAGCATGACATGTCCACAACCATATAGGTATCTCACTGTGGTATTGCTAACTGCACGCTCGTGATAGGGAAGAAGTGTCGATGGCTCTGATGATGTTTTGCTGCCCAATTCACATGACGCCACCCACGCAATCATTCAGTGGGCCAGTCTACCTACTCTACTCCATGGAGGGGAGAGATTCGCGGGAGTGGGCCGGCCATTATTTCAAAGGTATACGGAGTAGATACTTCTAGCTTGTATGGACCAGAAGAGGAGCTCCAGGCTCCGGCTTCTCTGCCTTAACTCTCCGTAACTACCTCGCAAGAAATAAACTATGCTGGACACTACGAAACTAGCTCCACCTTCAAGCCTCCCTCGTTTACCCGATTGCTTGTTTCTAGTGGGAGAAGGTATGTGACTACGTCGATCTGGAAATTTTGCTTTCTAGCATCAGGCTGTAACTGCGAGAAATCTCTAGTCTGTAGGAAACAGTGGAGCGACTTTGGTGCCCTACCAAGGCTACAATAGGTGGGATTATACTCGCAGATGGTAGACAACTTGCATCTTGTCGCCCCCGTTTGGTATTAGACGGCTTTTCTTGCTAGCTATAGACGTAACGGACCCAACGTAGGAGTCACCTTCTCAGATTTAGTCCGAAGCCATCCGGACCAGCCAGACGTACTTCGCACTCCTGGGTATCCTCACTAACGTATACATGAACCATGCGACCTGACATTTGTCTGTTTCAAGACATCCATTAGGTTGCAGGGCATGTTGATCTGCTCAACAACCCCGGCATTCTGACATTGTCGAGGTCCCCTGAACGTCATGGACAGTCTTCGCTGGGCTCTCTAATATGCCAAAGGCTCAGGATACCCGGCCGGAGTGTTTGATTCTCTCTTGGAATATCGTGGAAAATTCTTCAACCTTCGCTCGATCATGCCCTTCCCCCGGACTTCAGGATCTGCTCCAGATTCTCACGACTGTTCTTATGCGTCATCTCGAGATAATTCAGTTTCTTCTCCAAGCCCTCGATATCCGTCTTCAACTCGGTGCTCTCGGTCGATAGCCGCTTGTCAACCGTGTTCATTGGGACAGCCACGAACCTATGTGGAACAGTGCAAGGTCAGTCCCATCGTAACCCTTTCCACTTATTCCCGTTGCACGCATCTTAAGCCAGGGGCTGCAAAACTCACATTTTCCCTACACCCTCGTAAATATTAGTGTCCTTGGGCAGGGAGCCGATCTCCTTTGACGTCAACTCAAGGAGACGGATGTTCTTCTGTTTGGCCGTGATCTGTGCCTTGGTGACGCCGATTTGTTGCTGCGAGCTGATGGCGCGAGCTTCGATTTCCTGCAGTAGCTGTAGATGCAATGTAATGTTAGCGAATACTCGGCTACGCTCACGCGCGTCAACGATAGACCGTACTTTCTGCAAAGCTTCGTTGGGGATAGACATTTTGGGGGGATAGCAGCGACGCGGCGGCGTGGAGGGGCGGTTTGGTGAGGGGTAGGATGTTGCGACGTTCAAACGAGAACGATACTGTTGATAGTGGCAATCGACCACAAGGACCCTGTGGACTTTATTATGACTGTCTGAGAATTGTGCAATGTTTTGTTGTTGCTATCATCAAGTTATCTGACAAGCCTTGGTCAGAGGTAGGACTGATGAACTGATAACAGGTCTGGGCTCTGATGTCCGGAGAGCTTACTGAATGGGGCTGTATAGGGCTTAGGGTTCGGGCTCATCTACTTGGAGTTTATCGTTCATTTCGATGCCTTCGACTTTGTACTGGGGATGATCGTGATGATTAAACTCACTAGTAAGTCGTGTATATATATACGCTCGCATGTAACTTCCAGTGTTGTATGGGGGCTCAAGTAATGGAGATGTAAGGCTACGCCGCCATTTTAGTTCTTTATATATATATCAGAGGGAGGCTGTCAAGAACCACCACGATCGTCAAGTATTTGGTCATTGCCCACTACCTCAATTTCCCCCTTCTTCAACAACTGCTGGGATATCGAGACATGAAAGTCTCTTGTTGAATACCATGGGATCGTATCCATATCCCAAATTCCACGACAGTATAGTCGATGAGCGCGACGGTTCTCAACCGCCCATTTGGATAAAATAAACGCGTTCATCTCAGCACACCCTTTCCTCATAAATAGCTGCATATCGCTTATCACTTTATCGGTATTGAATTCTGGAGCCATGCATGATGGAAGCCTGCATAAAGGCTTCACGGAGCCCGACATGTTCCCTGCATATGAGTAGCAAGAGCCTGATAACATGGCAGCATGGAAATCAAATCAGGATACCATAATGATCCACGAGAGCATTGATTTACCCAACAGCTTGCAGCTGTTCAATATATTATTGTAGGTTTTATCTCTGAGCTTGAGCCGAATACACCGAGATCGTACAACTAGGACTCACGGATATGATGTTGCACCAACATCGCGCTGACGACAGGCTCCCGTGCATTAACATAGATCTCCTCTGAAGCATGATAGCCTGGATGAATCTTCCAGAGAATACAGTACAGCGATCACTATTTCAAGATCTGTCAGAAATGTGGTGCATTACTCTAGACAGGTATGTCAACCGTAACCGCTGCGACCTATACTTGAGATCCTTGTAGCTACGACAGCCGATTTCCGGACGATGAATAGGTTGGCAGCAAATCGTTCTGGCCAGAATCAAAACCCGAAAATCCAAAAGACTCGACAAGATGGAATATGCTAGATACTCCAAAACACCGATTACTTGGCTTCTTGACCAAATTTCATTAAAGACATGGCCCATGTGGCAGGGATTGCGGTTGGTTATCGGAAGGCCGTTGCTGTGGCAGGGATGCGGGATGCTGGTGGAGACTGCGCTGGCACAGAATAGCCCGAAGTGATGGAGACAAGACAAGAACCAGCTACATCATCCACGCCTCGCTCTCCATCCGGTCGATCAGTTTCAGAGTCGAGAGAGGAGATTCCGATAGAAAATTCGATTAATTGTTTGGGTGTTTTTCGTCGACTGGTCAGTTCTGTCGCCTAATCCACATCGACGCATTGATACAACAATACTGATTGTTTAGGTCTCATACTTCTAGTGATCTCTTGTTGATAACCCGCTAAATCTATTGCCTGCTTCAACACCAGAATACCTGAAGCGATAGTTGAAGAATTTTCGAAATCTCGTCTCTATCCACTGGCCCAAGCATATTCAATTTTGCGATAAACTCTGGTGGGCGAATTGCAGCCTTGGTCGCCAGAATGAGGGCTCCTTGGTGGATCGCAGCCACATTCTTCGCATCGACCGTCCTATCGATAGAGACACTACCGTTCTCTCCTCCGCAAGCCGCAGAGTCCAGCAGAAGAGCATACGATGTCCTACAGATCTTAAAGCGTGCCGACAACAATTGTCCCTTCGGATACGACCCATGTACGGATCTGGGCCATTCTGAAGTCTGCTGCAGGAGCGGCACCAGATGCTCCAAGGATGCCGCGAACAACATCGCCTGTTGTCCCACCGGTGCCTCCTGTACAGGGAGTCTTACGGGCCCAGCGTCTACAGATACCAGCTTCAGATTCCCCGTAACCGCAACCGCAACACCAACGAAGACTGCGACCGATGGTGCAATCACAGGATCGACGATCACCGGAGCTTGGCCGTTCATCTTTGTCCCTACGACGTTCCCCAACCCAGGCGTTTGCTCGTCATATTGGTCGTTATGTCAGAGCGAGTACTCGCAGTGCACCGCGCACCTCGGGGGCCAGTACGGAGTCACCGTGGCCGGAGGTGGTGCAGGCGTCACGGTCCAGGGGGGCGGCCCGACGGCTGCTGTTTCTGTCTGCTCGAGCTTGAGTCAGGCTGCTTGTCACGGACTCAACCTGGGCTACTGCAGCGCGTATGTTACCGGAGGAGGTGGTCAGAACAATGCTGCTATGCCGGGACGGACCTCCAGTCTTCAGGACTTGGTCTTGGGAATGGTGGTCGGTGTAGCAGGGATGTTTATTTAAGGCCTGAATGGGTTGGTTTTGAATTTGAGCGTCTGGATCGTCTGACCAGACTGCATTTGCCTGAGCTCAGCAAGACACCGCGCGCCCTGACATGACTGGATTTGCGACCATTTTCTTTTATGCTTTGGATGAACCCTGGAATGAATAAATGATGATGCGATATGTACGCTTGTATCTGGTTTTGGCTACTAGTTGTTATTGTGCTTGTATATAAGAGACTACCTAAGGTATCTACTCACATTGATCGAAAAAAAAAAAAGGACCTTGATGTTAGATTTGATGGACTTGGTACGCCACACCGTCCTACCCCAAAGACTCCACATACAAAAAACCGATCTATTCGTCAGGCATCGACGGCATCATTCTTTCCCACCAACGTAACCACTAATTGGTCGATCATAATGAAAGCCCATCGGGCCCGGCCTGAAGACAATGAAGTGAAGCGGTGAAACTCAATGCCTTGGTCATCCCCAGTCAATGCCCAATCACACAGTCATGCCCGAAAGCTGGAATGGGGCCGTCCTTCTAGCAGATAGCAGAATTTCCTATTATCAGAGGCAGTAGATAGCGTCCCCGGCTCGCTCGGGGGATGCGTTGTTCCTACATGTATGACTAGACAGCTGCATGGACTAGACACTGACACAGACTCACAGTACAAGTTGGTAATGTGCCGAAATGCATCTTATGCTAGATTGGGAACAATACGTGTCTAGTAGGTGACCAGCGTTGATGAGACCCAGTTTCGCTGGTTCACGGACCCGAGGCTTGAGACTCGGTATTGAGGGTTACGAGTCTATCTATCTAACCAATATCCATACACTTCGAGGACGCAGTCGCAAACAGTATTCATATATTATTCTTGATCTTCAATGAGTTGAGAGATGGACTACTCGGCAGCCCAAGATTCTGGAATCGGGTAGATGTGTAAATCCTGGGATCTTCGCGGAAGACCGTCTAGACTGGTTGGCTTGCTGGCCACTTGAGTCAGACCATCTGGTGGACAATGACCGAGGAGTGATGCTGTCAGGAACAGAAGCCAAAAAGAGCGGGGGGGATCCCGTGTGAGGGGCAGTGATAATAATAATGAATGAATGATACTAGTACGGAGTACACCGACAGATGACGCCCGCTGATAAGTGCATAGTACTGCAGTACTGTACAAAATAGGGATAACAAAAACAGACAGGGCACGGAGTAGAGCAGAAAATGGAAACTCCCAGCCTCCTCTGATTTTTTGTCTTCCATTCATTGAAGTTGGAGAAACTTCGTAGGTAATAAAACATGCGTCAGCGGTTGTTGGAGTGATTGGTTGTTGTTGTTGATACCAGGAAATCCGGTGGTTGGGTTTGGGATGTGAGGGAGGCTGGGAGGTGTGCTTCTGTCGCAACAGTCAGACTCCCACGAGCCTGCCAGCTCGCTTCCTCCAATTCTCCGTTCTTTTCTCTCTGATGCATTCTTCGACTTTTTTTGATTTTATGCTCACAATAATTCTACATTCCATTCGTTTCGAAAGACCCCCGCAGCCTTTACGGCATCGCATTCTTCTTATCGGTGCTGTCGCTTGTCAAAAGTGTCACCCAGATCGGGTTGTTACACATCGCAAACAGCAGTAATAAACTGGACTACATATCGTCATCGCTTGACAGTCATTCGAAGGAGCGTAGATTCTCCCGCTTCATCATGAAGACATCCCTGTTGCTACAGCCAGCGCTGTCGATGCTGGCTGTCTTCAGTCAACTACGATGTTCGGCTGCCACCTCGCTAGAAGATGAAGAGGCCAGTCTCGAAAAGCGCTGCGCGAACCCTTGTGGCTACTACGGCCAGCTATGCTGCGCATCCAGTCAAACCTGCGGCACCAATGGTAAAGGAGAAGCAGTTTGTTTGGAGTCCGCGGGCGGCAGCGGCAGCGGCAGCAGTGGTAGTTGGGGATACTTCACCACGACCTTTACTGACGCTCAAACGATCACTTCGACATGGAGCAGTTGGATACCAGGCGTCACAGGTTCGCACAGTTGCAGACCTGAGCTTGGCGAAACGGCGTGCGGAGATACCTGCTGCGGTGCAGCATTCGTGTGTGCCAACAATCAGTGCATAGTGGGAAGTTCTTCGATCTGGGCAACAGCTACTGCCCTGCCTCCGGTACGGGGAACCAGTCAGTCAACCGTTACTCAAACCGCGTCTGTGACAACCACCCAGCCCTTTGAAGCGCCAGTGGGTACTGATGGTGCAACTCTGATCGGAGTGGGGGCTGGAGGCGGGGGGCTGAGCGGCGGTGCTATTGCGGGAATCGTTATCGGCGTCATTGCTGGAGTGTTCCTCTTACTACTGCTCTGCGCCTGTATGTGCTGCAAGGGAGCCCTGGACGCCCTGTTCGCCTGCCTTGGTCTTGGGGGTAGAAGGAGGAGAAAGGAGACAACGTATGTCGAGGACCGTTACCATCATCATGCGCATGGCAGCAAGCCACCCGCAGGGCGTACCTGGTTTGGCTCCCGGCCGCCCGCTCCCGAAGGAGGAGGAGGAGGAGGAGGAGAAGAAAAATCGAGATGGGGTAGTCTGGCGACCATTGGCATTGTCCTCGGCGCCATTGCATTGTGTCTGGGATTAAGGAGACACAAAGACCAGGACGAGAAGAGCGATTATACTTACTCCAGCACATATTATTCCGACTACTACACCAGTGCGAGTATGTGCCTAACCTTTTCACATCCCCCGTGCTTTTGACAATCATTGCTAACCAAGCCCTTGCAGGTAGCGAAAGCTCGGACAGGCGAACGAGAGACACAAGACGATCGAGACCATCCCGACGCTCATGATGATGATGATGATGATTTCGATGAAGTATCTGCACGAATCAACGACCTTTCCGACCATGAAACCTCTCTTGATCTGTGAGGGAGCTCTCCATTTCTTCTCTATTTTTTTTTTTTTTTTTTTTTTTTTTTTTTTTGAATATGCATAGATCGGCGCGGGCTTTTGCGAGTTGTGTGTACCATCACGTTTTTCGACTTCTTCTCATGCTTTCTGTTTTGGCATGTTGCCCGATTGGCCATGCATGATGATTATCTGTGGGTGGTTTTACCTTTTATGACTTTGATGGATCAGACGAGAAAAATGATGTAAATATGAGCCACCGGGAAGGATGAAGCGATGAACCAACATGTACCGAAGACATTAAACATGTTCCCCTGATATTTACCTATATAACAATGAGTTGGAAGATAGCACATTGGGCTGAGACCATGCATCGAGACTTCCAAACGCCACAGTGTCGAAGACTTCGCACTTGCAAGAACGTCTGGGCGGTCTCAAAGAAGTGATATATGCTTAGCTAGGTTAGGGATGATCAGGATTAATACTGGATGGACCAATCCCCATAGAGCAAGGGTCTCTGGTCATGCATCTGATGGACCAGGTATCTCGTGCGCCCTTCGATGTAACCTGCAAGTCAGGACTTAATTCAGTCAGAACATAGCAGAGAAGGAATGTGTGTTCCTGACATCAGTCTTTCCTTGGCTCAGTCCCAAGGGAATAGGGTCGAGAATCAGGAATTTTTAAGCAATACTCCAAAGCGAGATACCTATGAGAAGTGAACATATAGTCAGTATCTACTCCATATTATTAAGTAGGTAGATGAAGACACGGAGTAGAGCCAAGATCCATTTGGGCCCCAAGAGTTGTCGTGGTGGAGGCTCCACAACACACAAGGAAGACCCGATCCTTCTGCAGTCTTCACCTTCAACCTAAGCCAACTAAACTTGCGCGCTCCCCGCTCGCCTCCCGTAGCCCGAACTTCCCTCTTCAAATCATCCTCTCTAGATACAAAGTGCGACCTGGTATTATTGCTACATCTTACTCATTTAACTATACCAACACAACTGCTCCTTGAGACACCTGCCCCCACTTCTGACAATCGGTCAGCAGAGATTTTATCCATGAATAACACTCCGAGGTTTCCTGCCTGACAATTTGATCCGAACCTGTCTTCGCGACGACGCCTCGCCTTCCCACTCCTCGTCCTGTTAGTCGCTCAGAACAACCACGCTTAACCGCCTCAGAATTACGAGTCTCCGATAGTTCGCTGGCCCGCCATGCTTCAGACGCAATCTCAACACGTCTTCTCCCATCAGCATCAGTATCCGCAGGCTGATCCTTCCTGGCTGCAACATCAGCAGCAACAGCAACAGCAGCAGCAGCAGCACCATCAAGCCCAGCCCCATCCCCACCAGACTCAACAACAGCATTCTTCGCTGGTAGCCCAACATGCTCAAGTCCAGGCAGCCGCCGCAGCCGCCGCCGCCGCTCAACAACAACATTACAACCGCATAGCCATGGGCGGAAACGGTGGTGGTGCTGGGAACCCGGCGCAAGGAGCCGGTGCTGGAGCTCTCAACGGAGAAGGCGCTTTGTCTGGCGCGGTGTCGGCCATGGATGGCGGGATTAGCGATGAGAACAGGAAAGTGTTCATCTGGGTTGCCGAGTTGCTAGACCCGAACCGCCGGGAGGCTGCCTTGATGGAGCTCAGCAAGAAAAGAGAGCAGGTTCCTGAGTTGGCGCTGGTTATCTGGCATTCTTTTGGTATGTTCTTCCAACTTCTCTACGGGTGACTGCGATATCTTGCCGCTGCCCGAAAGCGGGGGATTCCCGATTTACATTATGTGTACGCGACTAACGTCTTAAATTCCGTCTTCAGGCGTTATGACTGCCTTGCTCCAGGAAATCATCTCCGTCTATCCGCTTTTGAACCCCTCGCAGTTGACCGCTGCAGCGTCGAATCGTGTTTGCAACGCGCTGGCTCTGTTGCAATGTGTTGCCTCTCACAATGAGACTCGTACCCTGTTTCTGAATGGTACGCCCTCGCTCAACATCGTACTTGTCTGACGCCGTGAGAAACCACTAACGAGCATCTCATTTTGTAGCTCACATCCCTCTTTTCCTATACCCCTTCCTCAACACGACTTCGAAATCTCGCCCGTTTGAATACCTTCGTCTTACTTCCCTCGGTGTGATTGGGGCGCTTGTCAAGAATGATTCGTCTGACGTGATCAACTTCCTCTTGACCACTGAAATCATTCCTCTCTGCCTCCGCATCATGGAGACAGGCTCAGAACTCAGCAAAACTGTTGCCATCTTCATTGTACAAAAAATCCTTCTTGATGACATTGGCCTTGCATATATCTGCGCTACATACGAACGCTTCTATGCTGTGGGGACGGTTCTGAGCAACATGGTGACTCAGCTTGTGGAGCAACAGACAGTGAGACTGTTAAAACATGTTGTCCGCTGCTTCCTTCGGTAAGTCCAGATCACTACCCTCTCTGTGTTTCTGCTGCAACAGCTCATGCTAACATGGCATTAGCCTGAGTGATAATAGTAGAGCTCGCGAAGCTCTACGCCAGTGTCTCCCCGAACCCCTTCGCGATGCCACCTTTTCCTCTGTGCTGCGTGACGACGCGGCGACGAAGCGTTGCCTCGCGCAGCTGCTCATCAATCTCTCCGACAATGTTTCTGACGGCGCTCCGGGAGTCACTATGTAAGCGACGAAAAAGTCTCTTTTCACTATTTTAATACGCTTTGGTATTTTTGCCACCTTACGACATGCATGGGACGGGTTCTAGGCGAAGACGGATCACACGGCGCAAATAGTGTTCAAAATACAATTCTACGCATCGAAAACCAGAAAAGCAAAGAAGAGGACAACGATCGACGAGACCATGGGTTTGATTCAAGGAAAAGCTTCTTTTTTCTTTTCTCCTTTCTTCCTTATTATCTGAGTCTTTTTCATTTCGGAAATTTGGTGCTTCAGGGATCTTCTGTGTCGAGTGTACCAACGCTGTGTTTTTTTTTTTTTTTTTTCTTCTTCTTCTTCTTTTCCATATGTTTTACTGTTTCTACCTTTTTGTATGGGTTGTCTCATATCTCTCTTTCCTCCCCTGATCTTCTGTTGCAATGGCACAAGGCTGTACGGTGGCGTGGATATGGTTGGTGCTGTTATTTTTGCGCATTTCCCTTGCCTTTCATGAATTATTCACAATTCGTATACCATTGAGATAGACCACTCTTTCCAGCAAGAGATACCAATATATAAGTTTTTGTTTTGATTGATGGCCTGCGGTGTACATGGATTTTAGGACAATCGATGCTGTCATGGAGATTACTTCATATTCTTTCGTCAATGAATAAGGCTGCAAATACCTCATTTCACTTTTCCGGATTGAATATCAGAAATCGAATCTCGAGCAATAATGCTCTTCATCATCTTCGAATATAATCCTTTACAACCTGGACGGGTGTCATTTGGCGATGGTCAGCCTTATCGGGGGTAAATTGGATGAAATCACCTGACAGCGTCTCCGATCTCGACGCGCGCCTCCTCTGAGCTCATCACCATCTCGCGCCCTGGAAAAACTTCCGCCGCCCTTCCATTATTCAGTCAAGACATTACAACACCGCGTGCTTCGACTTTATACGATTTCGTCCTATAGTAGTTATCCCCCCTTTACAGATCATATTAAAAACTCGCGTCAATCAAGAATATTTACCACACGATCTCGCATTTTCGATTCTCGTCGGCGCCGCGGCGCTTTTGATGGTCTCGAACCGCCGCCATGGTATCGCGAAAGCGCACCCGCTCCGAAGCGGACGCTGCCCCAGAGCAGCCAGCTGAGGAGCATGGCTTGCTGAAGCGTCTCCGAGATTGCTGGGAGTTTGCGTGTCTCATGCAGTTCATTACGATTTTTGGCCATCTTATGAAGATTGATGAGGACTTTGGTATTGAGGTGAGTGTCACCCTCTCCTCTGCGATCCTGCGCGAATCGTTGTAGCGCGAGTCGGACTTTGATGTTGTCGCTGGTGCCAATGGAACTAATGCTGGTCTTCTGCTTTCTTCTAGGACTTGGAAACTGAATGTCTGAAACCGGAGCCTTCGCAGAAGCTCATGGAGATTGGACTTTGTCTGCTCAAATGGGTTTCGTCGCATCGGGGACTCACGTATGTGGATAATTTATCATGTATCTGATCCTGCTTGATCTGACAGGATGCCCCCATTATAGGTTCGATAACTTTGATGAATACACGCGACGGCAATACAACGCCAAAGCCCCTCATCTGCCCAACCCCTTCGGCTACGATGAAGCTCCAAACAAATTTTCAGAATTCGACGTTTTCTTGAAGCTTCGTGTGCTTCATCAACTCACCCTGTGGACTTTCTGGAACCCCGATCGCATCCGCGAGAAGATGCCGCAACAAAAAGAAAGTGAACAAACCGAATGGGTGAGTGTTCTGCGTCTGCGATAGCTGTTCGCTTCGATTTCCTACTGGATGGCTGACATATCGAAGCGCATCGAAGAAGTAGGTTACGATCGCGAGGGCCGCTACTATTACGTCCTAGACGATAATCGACTGTACCGTCGCACCGACCCTGATATTCCTCCCTCAAAGCCTGCCAAAGCGAAACCCAAGAGCCGGAGTGCCAGAGCCGCGCGAGCTTCCAAGCGACGAAAAGTCTCCACCGCGGCTGCCGCCGAAGAGTCCGATGGCGAGAATGATAAAGCCAACGACGATATCGCGAACGATCCCTTCAAGGCAATGAAGTGGGAATGCATTGCAGTTACACTCACAGATTACCAGAAGTTTTTAGATCCGATTCGGAAGACGAAAGATGCTGATGAAAAGATCCTGCGGGACACGATCGTGGAGAAAGTACTGCCAGTGATTGAGAAGGAGGAAGAAGCTCTGGAGCGGAAGAGAGCCAAGCGGGAAAAAGAGCTTTTCAACTTGCAGTTGCTTGCAGGTGCCAAACGTTCAGGCCGACTTGCCCAGAAGGCTGAAAGAGAGCGACAAGAACGAGAAGCCGCGGAAGCAGCACGGAAGCATGAGATTGATCTGGCCGAGGCACACAAGGAAGAGGCGCGATTGAAAAAGATGGAGGAGGAAAGGCGCACTCGAATGATGACACGTGAACAACGTATCAAAGACCGTGAACGCAAGCGTCTGCTGCACGAAGCCGAGTTGGAGAGAATCGCAAAGGAGCAAGAGAAACTTGAAAGGGGCGAAAGTCGTGCGTCCGAAAGACATCTCAAAGCCGAATTGGAGAAGCAGAGAAAGAATCTGGAAGAGCTCCAAGCAGAAGACCAGTGGATCTTCGACTGTTCCGGCTGTGGTGTACATGGAGAGAATCTGGTATGGTTTGGCCGTGGTGATCGGCAGATTTGAGACCGATATATGCTAACGATGGGACAGGACGATGGTTCGCATAGTGTCGCTTGTGAGAAGTGTAATGTGTGGCAACATAGCAAATGCTTGGGTATCTCACAGGAGGCTGCTGAGCGTGATGACTTCCACTTTGTCTGTCAAGACTGCAAGCGACGGGAAGAAGAATCCAAGTTTCCCAAGCTTCCACCTTTAAAATTCCGGCTCGGCTCTTCGCCAATTCAAGATCACAAAGCAAGCGATATCGTGGATACTGGATCCTCCATGCCTTCAACAGAGACCGGCCCCGCTACGTCGGTTACACAGATGGGCTCGCCGTCGAAGCCACCAAGGAAGCCTTCCACTCACGAACCGTCAGTTCCAGTCAGCCCTTCTCGACCTCCTTCCTCTCCTTTGAAAGGCATAAACGGATCAACTCTGCCTTCGCGAGAGCTTCCTCCCAAGCTACCTCCCCTCTCACAAGCAACCAATCTTCCTCCCATCAGCCGAGGCTTTCCTAATGGCGGCTCGTCGCACTCGAGACGACCATCATCTTCCCACTCCGCTCAGAGCACAACCCTTTCTTCTCCGATCCGTAATCGACCTTCAATGTCCCCCACGCAAGGCAACCATGATGTTGGTCCTCTTGCTGGATTCCCATCTACAGCCCCCTCCGATGGCTCTGCTCCCTGGACACCCTATGGACAGCATCAAGCTTCGCGGCCAGACGCTGGTGCCCATGCCTCCTTCTCTTCCATCCCCAGTGGTCGGCCATCATTCTCAGCCGCAACTCCCGGTGGCAGTAGATCCTCGCCTCCGCAGAGTTCACATGGTGTACCATTCTCTGGAATCAGCCCAACCAAACAGTCACCTCGACCGATGACTTCGGGAAGTATTGCTGGAGCCCCTGTTCTTCCGCCGATTCAGAGACTCGAACCGAGCCCGAAATTGATGGGTAGAAGCTCGCCCGATGCTCCGATTCCGCCCCCGGTGAAATGCATGACTCCGGAACAGGAGGAGCGCCGACAAAGGGAGCATGCGATGATGATTCAGAATCAATCGCATGCCTTTTCCAACGGCCAGCATTCTGCGATGTCGTCACCATCACTGAATCGTATACCACCACTCGGTCCATCCGCTCTGAGTCGAAATATTGGACCACAGTCGTCGACTGCTCGTACAGATCAGAAAACGAATGGCAACTAGAAGTGCGGGTATGTATTTACCGTCAACTGATGGTCTAAACGCATGTAAAAAAAGGAGAAAAAGAAAAAGAAATTTGATTTTCCCTACAGCTGATGGCATTGCCTCGGGCGTGCATATTCCTGCTACTTGAACGGAACATTGATCTTGTCGTTCCCGAACCCGAAGATGAGGAAGACATCATTCTATTCATGGCAATCGGAGTTTAAAATAGGGTGTTGGATTATGAAGGTCTACTACTAGGCGGAATTGGCTTTATTTTCGTGATTTACATATCTCATACGCCCGGAAGTCTTACCCCCAGCAAATGAAGTTGTCGCACCGTCCGAGAACAGACATGTCATATCCATCGTCGACGAACTATCTGCGGACCGTCAAGCATAGTTCACGAGGTTAATTGAACGTCAGAGGAAGCTGGAAGCTTGGGGTACTACGTGTTATTGTTCATTCCATTTCCGAAAGTATTTTATGGCTGGCGAAGGTTAGATGAGACTTTGTCTTGCCAGTTTGCACGCCTATGGATTCTCTGTCTATCCCGTGCTGGATACATCGGTCTTCATATCATCAGTGCATACATACATGGACTTGTCTTGGGTGTCTTTGGGCGGATGTTTTGCCTTTTCAGTTTGCATCATTGGGGTTCTACAGGATCGCAAAATACGGCGTTGCGCAGGAGTGGTCATGTTTCTAGAGGCTTGATGATGTCGGAACTGGTTTTCTTCTCTCTCTCTCTCCCTCATCTGTTTCCAAATGTTTTTAGGGGTGTTTGAATAGATATGGATGTTGCTCCAACGATAGGAATGAACTTGCCCGTACCGAGCTAGTTTTTCTTCATCTTTCGCTGCTTGTATGCTTGTATGCTTGTATGCTTGTATGCCTGCTGCCTGACTCCCTGAGGCCTCCGCGAATACCATCTGCCATCCCCAGCCTGCAAAGTGCAAACCCTCAGAAAAGACCGAATGAATCCGAGAATCCCCCCCAATCGGGCCAGCTGCATGGCACAACAATACTCATCTCAAAGACAATCAACCAAATCACAAAAACCCCCAAAGGAGGAACTCCCTTCACCTAACCCACAATAGTCTTCAACTATGACCTTGTTATGCGGTATGATAACCTTCCCCCCCTCTCCCCCCAATTCTCCACCTTGCATAGGTATATACCAGTCAACTATGGGACAAGGCCAACCCCAATCCCTGGGACAGGAGTGCATGTATGTATGCAGGCTGAACAATAGCAAACAAATCCACCGGGGCCTGTACTCCGTCTATCATGGAACGACGGAAAGCTATAGCACAGCTCAGCCTGTGTGGACCGTGGAGATGAAGAAACCAGGCCCCAGGAGCAATATGCAGCCCGCAGGTGTGGGAAGCGAAGCTTTGGGGTAAGGTCCTGATTGCTGAGTTTTGAATCGGTCTGCAGCGTTTATCCTGGGATAGGATCATGAGAGTCAGGGGTGGCGTTGATGTCGGTGCCGGTGTCTGCTTTTTCTTGTATCATGTATGTCTGCGTATCTGTCGGGTCGGGTGGGAATGCATGGGTGATCCCGTCTACTCCGTATGTACGGTGCACCATCGAGCACAAAGTACGAAGCATGATATTCTCTTTTCCACCGTAACATTGGGTTAAAAAAAAGAGTGAGTGCGAGATTAGGATATATTACAGAAACTGGGTACTCAATCTAGTCGACAACCTACTAGTAGTATCATTATACATAGATTCTGGGCAGGGTTGCCAGAACTTGCAGACTTGCAGGTCGAGTCGCTGGACCTGGACGCATAGACTATAAATGACCCACTATCGATGATGGACGGTTGAGTGTTGACAGTTGACACGTCCCCCGTTTCAGTCAATAAATACTATTGATCCTGATGTGGAGATTGGGGATTGCTACGAGGTAAGTACAGAGTAGGTACTAAGGACTTAGTAAATCCACTTCCAACCACCAAATCTGCATGTATAGTTCTGCATGTGCCTGGCCACTGGCCAGTACTGCGCGCCTTCTCCTGACTCTCTCCTGAGTCTCTCCTTAGTTGTAGTTGCGTTGCTTTAATCGGGGGGAGGGGTAGGGGGGTGGGGGGTTTGCCTAGACCTTTTCGACGGGGGTTGCGGAAACCAAAGCCGGCGGTTCTTGTGGAAATTGGGAAATGAAAGTCAATCAATCAAACTGCTGTTAGATAGTTGATGCCCCGTGGATAGCTCCTGTTTAGTCGGGCGTTTGGCAACGGCACACACGGGATAATATTGGGATGCCGCCGGGGGTGGGGGGGGAAGGGGAGGGAAGTTGAGATGCCAGCGGTTTTAGTATGGTACTTTTGTTCTAGGTTGACTTTTTGGAGGTGGGGACGATTCGCATTTTTTCAGCTTCTCGATAGTCGTCGCGTATATTCTTTTCGCATACGGGAGAGCTAAGAATACCTAGGAGTGCTGTCGATGTTTGTAAGATGCGCCGTCAAACGGGAGTACAATTGCTAACACTGCAAGATGTAAGGGAAGAGTGTAACCCTCACGTGATGAAGAAGGGGTATTGTAGTCCTGAATAATGGCACCTAGTACGGAGTACTTAATATCGATCCATATCCATATAATAGCTATCTAGACTTCCTCCTGCACATGCGTCTAGCTCCATGACTAATGTATGTATTGGCCGCTTCGTTCCCACTGACCACCGCTAAATCACTGAAGAATTCCAAATCATTTGCTTGGTAATCGAGATGTCCCAAATGTGACGTCGGCTGTCGGGTGTATTTAGTCGATACAAGCGCGAGCCTTGGGGACCTTCGTATCGCTGACGAGGTGAAATTGGAGTCGGTTAGAGGATTAGATTAGCGAGACAATTTGCAATTCGCCGTCAGGAACTGAAAAGATGGTGATAGCCAGTTGTCTAAGCGAGACTATTCAAGCACACAATACATGTAGTTAGTAGACCGATAGTCGAATGTGGTAAGGATATAAGATGAAGACCAGCCTTTACTAACCACGGCAAAGCGACGGCTTTAAGGAGAGTGGAGAGTATAGACATCAGAAGCACTAAACATCTGAGGCACTAAAGTAGTCCACAACTGCGTGTAATGACCATTGACCGCATTGGCGAATGTCCATGCGCGACAGTACTTGTGTATTGTTGGAAAACATGGTATGACACTCTTGAGTCATTTGGATGATAGACAGGATCTTGGTGCATCACACCGCGCAATACAGAGTACATAGATACTGTTGAGTGCTTGAGTGGTGAGTGTTGGCCTCTGCATCTACTACTGAAGCATGGCTGCCAGACTGCCAGCATATTATAATCTTAGTCCATTCAACACCATACTCAGTGACCTACAGTCTCCAGGTGATATACATTCATACCATGAATCATGATACCACTCAGAAAGCACTAAAAAGACACGGTCCAGGCCAAGAGTCCCCAAGTGGGGTCGCAGATCGATTTCACTAGGGTGTAGCTAATGGGACTTGAGGCCTGGCCTGGGGGCGGCCTGGGGGCAACCTGGCAGGATTTCAATCTACTCTTACATTATTACATAGTACGATCTCGACCCAGATAGTGTAGTAGGCCTAATCCTATAGATCACAGATTGACGGCTGATGCCATCACATCATTCACTCTAAGGAGATGATCATTAAGGTTGGCGGAAACCGCAGTAGACATTGTTGCACCTGCGATGCTCATTCTGGTATTTTCCAAGTAGGCAAGGGCCACGATCAACGATTAGACGGAGCGTCGGAGAAGTTCGAAGTTCGAACCAGCTTTTCCCAACGTTATCTCCACCCAGGTCCACTCTTTCGCCCACTTTTGACATTTAAAGGCTGTGGAGCCAATTCTATCCGTCCAGTCGATGCGGTTGTTCGGAGCCAAACCCAAAGGCTAAAAAGTGCTTTCCCACTTTCCAGACCCGCCGATCTCGGACAGTTGGGTGAGAATGTCTAGGACAGTAGGACTCTAGATTCTAGAACCGGAGTTTGGTCAGTTATCTGTCACTTTACTCACTACTCAGTACTCACTAGTCACTAGACTGACTAGAGGCGGTTGTAACTTGTAAGATTGTTCAGTAATTACAGGCTAACTACTAGTTACCACCCCCCCCCCCCCTGTACCTCCAACTCAAGGACCCAACTTTGAGCAAGCTGTTAGGCAACCCCATTCAGGCATTAGGTACCTATCTACCTAGTACCTACTACTACTGCCTCACCGTTGGAAGGTACACTGTAGCCTATACAGTCTACGTGCACAAAAAAAAAAAAAAAAACTCAGACTGTGTAGGACTGAGTCGACTGACAGAATTGACATATTTTTAAGAAAACTCCCTCATAAACCTTAAAGCACTCGATCTCCGAGTAAGGCCAGCCGCAGACCTCCGTATAACAAAACAAGAAAAAGCTTGTAAAGTTTTATTTTATTTTATTTCCACCCCCCCTCTACGGAGTACGCTCCAGTCTTGAAATCATGAATAGATATTGTAACTTCGGCGTGGCTGTCAGCAATCGCCCCGTCCCAAGACACACATGCGATATGCACAGTACATCATGACGATTCTCCCAGCCCAGTCCCCAGGGGGAAAGGAACCTGGGAGTGGGAGAGTCCATCTGTGCCGCAGAAATCCTTGAGCTATAGAATCATGGTGGTATATACATCCGTGCTTTTTAAGGGTAACAATTAACATGGGTCTGGTTTCCTTGAGCGATCTGGTGTCCCCCATGTATCACCGATTACCGCTAACATGGTATTGGTACTACGACTGAAGGGGAGGGGGGGGGGGGGGGGAAGAGGGGGCCTCACCTGACTTGGACTGGACTGGGATGGACATTGGAGAGACGAGATGAGATAAGCGGGACGTCAGGCAGAGCACTGCACTCTAATCCAGACTGGAGTTCTGATGATTGCCATGCATTTGGGAATAGGCTCAAGCTTTCTGCATGATTTGTTGGGCATTTTCCCGCCAAAACCTAATTCTCGCTGTATCGGACTATACCGATGGAAGGAAATACCACCTAATATCTACCTACGTAGTAGGGAGTATATCTACCAAACCACTTACTGTGTAGGTCTAGAAGCGAAGGGACGTAAAAATGAAAGCATCCATACCTACAGTAGATACTCAGGTAATTACTACCCAATTACTCAATATTTCGAAACTATAATCTATGTATCTATCTACCCTCGCTATAACTTGCCCCGAGGCCCCCGACGCCAAGCGAGTCGGGACTCCCTCTTCGGGTAGGCCTGGAGACTGGAAATCACTCACTAGTTAGGTCTACCACAGTAAGCACCCTGAGAGTTGAGTGAGTGGAATCGATAACCGGTCAGCAGCCAATGGCGGACTGGCCCGGTGAGAATTATGCTGCTCCTGCATATACGTAGTACTGGGACCAATAATGGAGTAACGGGCAGGGATCTATCGACTTCTCTTCAACCCCCCGTAACCGGCGCCGTATACTCAGACCCTTCTAAAGAAAGGTGCGCTGGGATCTAGATAGTACGCCCTTGACACGGCTGTCTTGTCCCTTATCAGCCGTGCTTACCAAGAGGTCGTGATACCTTGTTACGACTTAGTGCGATGGGAGACTGTTCGAACTGATCGAATCGTGGTTCAGGCGGCAACATTCAGCTGCTTCTGGAGTAAAAAAAGGTGCATCCCTGAGCCGCCTCGATATTGAGGCTGCTCCTAGTGATGACCTTCGGTGAGAGTACGGTCGTGTGTAAAAGTCGATGTATTCCACGTATTTTTGCCGAAACCCTTTTACACGAGAACTCAGGATGTGATGATCTTACACAGTACTACGATGGGTCCCACGCGGGAGGATCACTATAGCATATCAGCAAGGGCAAGACACGCCACCAGAAGACTGAGGGTAGGAGCCTAGGACTAGCTGTGAATGGTGGAGTCTTACGACTGGCCCGAGCAAAGAGCGGGGAAATATACCTTTGGGCTTTCCATGACTTCTGTACGACCATTCTGAAGCCGTTGACTCGAGGTGAATAGGAACCACTCGAGCTCTCTCGTTTGCCTCGCAGATCAATAACACATTTCCATGCCGGCGTAACCAGTCAGGGAATCATCTATGCACAATCACATCGCGTTGGCACAACAATCGCTCGGAAATTCGCCTCAGCTTGCAGGTCATGTCGCCAGGTATCGCCAATCATAGCGCTTGAGCACGATGTTGGTTACTCAAGCACCCGCAGCTCCTTCTCAGATTGTCCTCCTTCTCGCGATTCACCGGCCTCGTGGCATGTAGCTCGAAACTCAAATTCGAAGTGTACATTGGCGTCCTGGCTATTGTTGTGTTGGTGATTCGCAATTCCCGTGTTCTCGAAGGCCACGTTTTGGCTGATCTTAGCAACTCTGCACCTTATTTCCAAGCCGACCGTGAATGAGGGAGTTGGCCAACATGATTTTGCTCGGCGATACTTCTGCCATGAGGCCGACGGGGCCATGGAACCAGAGCCCACAAAGAACTTAGTCTCGAAAGATACTTTCTTCTATCCTCACCCGCGATACGGTTGACATATGCTGATTAGACGCAAAGTTCAGCTAGAAGCCATGTAGATACAATCATGTGATGGCTAGTCCTAAAACGATTCGTGGTGCGCATCATGTGGTACTGGTCAACCCACTTGGTGTCCCATCTTTCAGCCTTTCAGTTTGCCATATCGAGCCGCCATAATGGTATTGGACTGAGGTCCCCTCGAAGATAGCAGTTGACATATCTCCATAGTCCATACCCCTCATTGAAGATCCCTGCTGGGTCATGAATCATGTTAGTAGTGAATGGGGGCCTTTAGCAGCTTTGCTAGACTAGTCTCCAGATTCCATTGTGCTGATACTCAGAAAGATAGCATCGGGGTTCGGGGACCAAAACTTCGAGACCAGGGAGCGGCCCTTCTGATAAGATAGTTTGATGCTTCCATGTGCTGTCCATTCCTGATTAGAGTCATCTCGTGTATCGTGGTCAAATCCGTCGCCCTCGGTCGAGTGATTGACCTCCGGAGACTTTGACGGACACTTTTCTAA